CCCTGGCAGACCAAAATGGCAGGATCAGATACAGTGAGATGTCATACGTAACCAATCCTAGCTCCACCCCGAGGCCCACAATGCAGGCCAGACTCTGAAAGTAGAGAGGACGATCACGGAACAAGCGTCTGCATTAGCGGATTGAAATGCTTGTAAGAAAGCAAATTATGATATTACCTTTTGTCATGCCCCTTAGAACATCAGTGTCTGAGAGCTGAATAGCTACTATGTTACCTGCCACTTCTACTACAACGGCAATGTTAGACTGCAAGCTAACTCGAGGAGAAGCATGCAGGGCAGCGATGTCTCTGCCCACGACTCAGAGGCAAATTATGGGAGCATCTTAAAGAAAAAAGTCACTGACAGAGGGAAAAAAAAAATCTGTAAATGATTTTGTACATTGTTCAATAAAAAAAAAATGATCACAAAAAAGTATAAGATTAGTTATGACATGAGACCAAAAACCCTGTCTACAGGGGACGCCACAAACATAGCCAACTGAGATCTCCTCAGATCGTCAGTCTGACTGAACAGACTAATTAAACCAAGCAGGTAATTAACCCCACGGAGAACAAACTCCACTCTGTTTGACCTCAGGACCAATTAGCCTAAAAAAAACACAACAAACCTTGAATCCTGCAGAGACGAGGTGCAGAATAATTACATTAACAGTTTAAGCCCTGAGGAAACACAGACCTGCTCATGTAATCTCTCAGTAAAGACCCAGGGAGAACTTTATGTGCCTAGCGCTGCTTAATTTCTGTTAGACTGCAGAATTCCTTAGATTTCAGACGTTGTCTTCTTTGTATGTATATTTATGAGTTTCCTCTGCAGTATAATAAATAACCTTCAGAAACCTTAACTCCCTCTCACCTGCAGCTCTCTCAGCCTCTCTCACTCACTGTCTGTCTGCCTTACCTCCCCTGCCCTCTGATGACCCCACTGACCTGTATTATTATTACCTTATTATTATTAATAATAATAATAAAAATAATAATGACAACAATTATTATTATTATTATTATTGTTGTTGTTGTTGTTGTTTTGTTGTTGTTATTATCATTATCATTCTTCTTCTTCTTCTTCTTCTTCTTCTTATTATTATTATTATTATTATTATTATTATTATTATTATTATTATTATTATTATTATTATTATTATTATTATTATTATTATTATATCAGTGCCAGTGAAGTAGTGTTTTAGTTCCTCAGCCTACCTGAGTGTCCACCCCTCTATGACACACTATACCATCTTCTGATCACTTCCAACAGGATAACACGCCATGTCACAAAAACTCAACCATCTCAGACTGGTTTCTTTAACATGACAGAGTCTGTCGTACTCAGATGTTCACAGTCACCACATCTCAGCCCAACAGAGCTCCTTATGGATGTGGAGACACAAGAGATTCATATCATGGATGAGCAGCCGACAAATCTGCAGCAGACAGTGAAGCCATCATGACAGAGGGAAAATGAGGTCCAATCTTATGTGTATGTAGATATACTGACAGCCCTAAGCTGACATCCATTTGTTTCCTCAGTATTCTCTGTGGTAAAGACTTGATTTCAGAAGTTTTCTGGTGACACAGATTTATTTTCTCCCTCTCCAGGATAACAAAGTTGGACTTCTCATGAAGAGAATTACTTTGTTGTTTCATCTCTGGGGGGCAGGTTTATTTTCTGGAGATAAAACGAGAATTTTCTGTTCTTCAAAACAAAATAGGCTAATCACAGTGAAAGACCTGACCATGGCATGGCATCCTGCCTTCGGCCGAACGAATGAGGGACACTAATGAGACTGTTTCTGTGTTTGTCTGTGACTTCGAACTCTAGGGAAACCAGATACAATCATGACCCCTGATAGGAACTCCTGGTTTATCAACTGTAAAAGGAAGGTAAAGGTGTGGAGAAGGCAGGTAAACATGAGAAATTTTGGTTTGTTTGTTTGTTTTACCACTTCATGATTTGATATCTACACTGTATGAAAATACCTAAAAGGACTTCATTTCTCACGGTGTGTTAGTACAGCATAGTTTAATATGAAGTGAGGATGGTGATTCAGCTTTTCCACTTATCGTTTCCTGGTTCTTTATAATTAAAGTTCGATTCGCTAAAGCTTTACACAATAATAAATCATCTTCAAGTTTCCTGACTGTCAGAGGTTTGGGGTCAAAAACAGCCATAAATGTGTTATTACACGTCACTGTGTGATAGAGGAGAAAAGACAAAAACAAACGTGAAAGACTGAAATCCAAACAAACAGCTGAGTAAATTCTGTGTGGATTATCAGATCAGCAATTATCGGGACATTCGTCAGAACCTTTTCAAAACAGGAAACATGAAGTTGATTAAACTCTTGAGAGTCTCAGTCCACCTCTCTAACAGGCTCTGGGACTTTTAAAGGGTCTCAAACTACTTCCAGCCAGTCAAAGTGCTGCTGCATTCAGTGTGTGTTTCCCCTGTGGGACGTTTGGACTTTGAGTATAAGATGGAGACACAGAGAACAGAGACCTTCCTGACGACTGACTGATCAACCTGAGCAGGTAGGAAAGATCAATATGTTTTATTTCACTTTCATTTACTAACTAATGGTTGATGGTAGATAAGTTTGATTCCCTTCTGATGTAATTTAGTCATTTATTTTTCAGTTAAAGCTTCAGTTTAAACTTAGTTCTGACTGACTTGTGCTTTTGCTTGTTACTCATTTTGTTATTGAGAGTAAAGAAAAATTGAAAAAAGTTAACCAGAATTTGATTAATCTTTTAAGATATCTTCACAGCTCAATATTTATTATGGTGTAAAAGGTAAAATAGGAGAATTTAACAAAAGATTTTAAGTTTATTTTATTACTGTTCATAGGTGGAACAAAAATTATCAAATAGTCTTTAATGTTAAATTGTGTCAAATTCACTCTTGTATTTTCAAACTTTTTCCACACTGTCAAACTTTTAAACTGTAAAGAATGCCTAGAGAAGTTAGGATTGAGAAATGAGTATTAGTAATATCAAAGGACTCTAAGATCATATCAGTTGATATGATCAGAATTTCAGTAAATTTGGAAAGATGATTCCATAATTTTACATGCCTCATTTCGAAAAAACAACACTTCACTGTAATATTTTAAAAAGTTTAAGGGTAAAATCCTATCCAAAAACAGGTAATTATAAAAAGTGATGATGCTGTTTAGGTAAAGATTATTGATTTTGCTAGAGAGTACAGTAAATGTACAGTATCAAACCATTACTCATTTAGCAAGAACATACTTTCACTGTCACATAATACCAACATCAACAACAAAAATAATCATAACAATAATAATAAATAGCACATTTCAAGGAAGTGTGGTGGTTAATAAGTTAACATACTATTATTTCATGTATATTCTTGTAAAAGGAACCACTCCGTTTACAGAAGGCACCAAAATCAAGTCAAAGTGTTCCTGAGGGAAATTTTAATCCCACCATTCATTCAATATAAGTTTATTCAATCAGATATTTATTTTTTATTGATGTTTTTCATAAACTGTGAACACTTTATTAATATTTAATAGTTACAATTCTTTCCTGTTCTAACACAGTTTATAAAAACTATTCCTTCTTTATTCTGTTATATTTGACAGTGTTTTTAAAATGTTTCTGCTATGTTTTAACTATTTAATGGAATATCAATGTACATGTATATATATAAAATAAAATTATTTTCCTTTTTTCAAAGCCATAGATGCTGACAGTGACTGCTGAAGAGCTGTAAGGTACAGACTGACTGTTTGGTAGAGTGAAGACATAATTTTGACATCAGTGTTTTCTTTAAAATTAAGCTGTTTCTTTAAAAGAGGCTGAAATGGTGGAAGGACAGCAGGGATATCAGAATACAGGACAGGGCCATCTTTCTGTAAACTCCACTACAAGTTACTGTTTAGACATATTCTGTTCCTCTCCATCTCCCTCTATCAGTCTCTCCTCTGTCCATCCCTCTGTCTCCATCTCCCTCTCTCTCCTCTCTCTAAACCCAGCTCAGTCTCAGCAGATGACTGTCTAATATGAGTCTGGTTCTGCTTGAGGTTTCTGCCCATTAAGGGAAGTTGTTCCTCTCCATTGTAACTTGGTAAGTGCTGTGCAGTGTTTCACTCATGGTTATCCTAGGAGAGTCAGAGTGAATCCTATCAGTCAAAATTCGTTTTTAAGCCATCTGTACACTGACCTTTTGTAAATACACTTTAGAGAGCGGTCTGGAACAGCCCTTTTTGTTTAGAGTCTTGAGATAACATTTGTTGTGAATTGTCGCTTAATAAAAACAGATTGATTGATTTCATCTTGTAGCACCATTCCTGCCCGTCAATCTTTGCTTTTTCTCCCAACTTTCTGTATGAAAGAAGGAAGAAAAGTTTTGTGTTCAACTTGAGATGTCACTCTTTAATCAGAACATGAACAGGTGAGCAAATGAAAGGACCTCTCTTTGATCACCTGCAGAGCATGTGTCAGGTGCTACAGGTGATCAGAGATGAGGGGCAGGGATTTTCTTGTCCAGTGATTCCCAAACTGGGGGTCGGTACCCCTGGGAGGACTACAAGGTCATTACAAAAAGGTTTATTGAACAAGAGTCTACCAGAACAACCTGATTTTAAACAAGACAGAAGACCTACGACCACATAAGTTTGATTTTATCTAAACACTAAGCCAGGAACAGACTGCCTCAAATCGGTTCTGGTTGCATTTTAAGACCACCATATACCAAACAGCTGCAATCAGGGGAGCGCACCCCGACTTTACTGAAACATAAATCATTCCTTTTCGACTTTAGAGGTTCATCTGTGACTCCAAAATTGCCTGAGAAATTGTACAGTGTAAGGCTAGCTTAGTCACCCCCTGCTGGACATTAGATTCAATGCAGATACAGAGCTCCTCTTAGAAACAGTCTGTCGCTGTGTCTCTGTGATAGCACTGTTGTCTTTAGTAGTCTGGTTCTGTCTGATGTCCTCAGGTGAATTTGGCACCATGTTGGAGGAGTCTTTTGGCAAGAACTTCTCCCACAGCACCTTTGTGTTCAGAGGTTTTCCTGAGCTGCAACGACATCGCCGGCTGCTGGCGCTGCCGTTCTGCGTCTCCTACCTACTGGTGCTGCTGGGAAACTCTCTGCTTGTGTACGTGATCCAAAGCGTGGAGAGTCTGCACAGCCCCATGTACCTGCTCGTCTGCACGCTCTGTGTTGTCGACATCTTTGTGGTGACAGCCATCATCCCTAACATGCTCCTCAGTCTCCTCTTTGACTGGGACCAGATCTCATTGAGTGGCTGCTTGACTCAGATGTTCTTCACTCACTTCTTGTCTTCACTAGAGTCCACACTGCTGCTGGCAATGGCACTGGATCGGTATGTAGCCATCTGCCAGCCACTTCATTACACCAAAATCATTGACTCGTCCATGTTTGTGAAGCTGCTGCTCTTCACTTTGGTGCGCAGCGGCTCCATTATGGGCACGCTGGTCGGTTTGGCAGGATCTCAGCGGTTCTGCAGCTCTAATATTATCCTGCATGGCTACTGTGACCACATGGCGCTGGTCAGTTTGGCATGTGACAGCACAGTGAGAAACAATACGGCAGGCCTCGCTGTGATCGTCTGCTTTGTGGGTGTTGATATCCCGCTAATTATCTTTTCCTACATGAAGATCCTGAGCGTGGTCCTGCGGGCAGCGGCAGCTGGTGAGGATCGATGGAAGGCATTTCACACCTGTGGCACTCATCTGATGGTCATGATGTGTTTTTACCTGGTGGGAAGTGTCACATTCCTCTCTCACATACTGAACATCCCCATACCGACAGATGCCAACACCTTCATGGGGCTCATGTACATCCTGTTCCCTGCAACTATAAACCCTGTTATATATGGCATTAGGACCAAAGAGATAAGAAACGGATTCTTCAGGATTTTTAAAATCAGAGCCAATAAATCAATGTCCGTAAAGGTTTCTCCTGCTGGGAGAACATAGCAAACCTGATTATTATTATAATAATAATATATTAGATTATTATGTAGTTACCCAGGGTGGAAGAAACTATCAGAGCTTACATTTGTGGGTTGCCTGAGTGTGGTATCAGTGATGATCAGTATTGTGAAACACTTAGGATTTTTTGTATAGGTGTTTGACTACAGTAACTGAGACAGGCCTATTTTTTTCCTTCTGAAGTAGCTTCTTGGATAAGAGGCGAAACGTCTTCTCAATTCTACACAGTCCAGTTGCCTGATTTTGGAGTCTTCAAGACAACCATGCTCTGGATGAATGAGAATCTACATGGAAATACAAACAAGTATTCCAGGGAAGGTTTAACTCCTAAAGGCCAAGAGACTTTAATTGTCATTAGTGGTCTAAACTTAGCGGTCTTCAGAGGGCACTAAAGAAAAGGTCATAGTACCAATGTAACATACAGGGATCATCCTCTTTTACTTTATTTGACCTTTAACCACCCTCTGGTAAGAGAGGAATCAGTGAGTATTCCTGCTCCCCAGAGGATGATTTAAACACAGTTCCATGTGCCTGCACAACACCTCAATGCCAAAATACGCAAAGGTTGCTACAAATGTCCCTTTATTTAAGATGCCATGAAATACATTGGTTTCTTCCTGACCCTTTCAAATCAAAGCCAGTTCCAAGTTGTGAGAAGACATCCGAATATTTGTGTGTTTGATCATCTTCCTTTAACATCATTGCTTTACAGACTAAAGGGTCAATTTGCCTATAACATATACAGACCCTTTCTAAAAAAATAGAATACCATGGAAAAGTTTATTTATTTCCATAATTCCATTCAAAAACTTAAACTTTCATAGATTATAGATACAGGGCCCACAATTGGAACAATTTCAAGTATTTCTTTGTTTATTTGTACATAATTTGAGCTTCCAGCTCATAAAACCCACAAAAACAGGAATTCAAAAAATTTGAATACTGTGAGGAAATCACCATTTACGTCTCAGTTTTTGCAGAAAAATAGAAAATAAAGAAATTAAGATCACATCAAATTAATCAAAATATGGTACTTTCAAAATGATATGTCAATCTTCAATACTTGGTTGGGAATCCCTTTGCCCTAATGCCCTGCCATGATTCGCTGTGGCATTGAGGCAATCAGCCTGTGGCATTGCCTGGAAGTTATGGAAGCCCAGATTTCCATGATGCTTGCTGTCAGCTCTTCTTTGTTTTCAGGTTTGGTGTCCCTCACTTTCCTCTTGATAATACCCAATAGATTGGCTGGCCAGTCAAGCACTGTGATGGCATGGGCATCAAACCAGGTTTTGGTGCTTCTGGCGGTATGGGTATGGGCAGGGGCCAGGTCCTGCTGGAAGATGAAATCTGCATCTCCATACAGATCCTTAATATAGTGTTCTTTGAAGCTGTGACTCCCGCCTCATTCCACTCTTTCTGGATCCCTGCAAGATTCTTGAATCGTCTCTGTTTGGTAATCCACTGAAGCCCACAGTCAGCTCTTTTGCTGATGCGTCTTCACCTGCCACATTTTGCCCTTCCACTAGACTTTCCTTAGCTATGAACTTTTGTGGCTTACCAATCCTATGGAGGGATGTCTTCTGGCCACTTGTCAAGTCTGCAGTCCTCCCCATATTAACCCAAACTGAGACAATCGAACCAAATTTAAGCAATTTAATGACACTTGGGGAACCCTGTGCAGGTGCCTTGAGTTTAGTAGATGATTAATGTGTGACACTCAGTTTAAAACATTCATGACCTGCAAAATTTGGGCTAGTTTCTTCACAGTATTCTAATTTTCTTAATTCCTGCTTTCATGGGTTTTATGAACTGGAAGCCCAAATTATGTAAAAATAACAAATAAATACTTCAAGTTGTTTAAATTGTGGGCCCTGAATCTACAATCTATGAAAGTTTAACTTTTTGAATGAAATTATGGAAATAAGTAAATAAACTTTTCCATGATATATATTTTTGGAAAGGGTCTGTATAAATGTAAATAGTCATATAAAAAAATTAAGAAAAGACATTGAATGAGAAGGTGTGTCCAAACTTTTGGCCTGTATTGTAAATATATATATATACAGAACAGAGTGACCAGTCCTCTTAATAATCTCACACTCTCTCTCTCTCACACACGCACACACTTTAACACAAACCAATACCACATCACTGACACATTTGTAGTCACTGTTTTACATTAAATTTATATAAATAAAAATCTGTTTCTTGAAATAAATGTTTGGCGATTAAGTCGGCTGATATGTCAAATGTAGAAAAAACTCAGTGTTGTGTTTTTTTTCTTTCTGTAATCTTTGATATCAGTTTCTTAAATGATTTCCTTTTTTTGAGATATCTGTTGATTTCACTTGAATTAAACAAAAATCAGCTGGCAGAGAGAAAATATCTCTAACTTACAAACTTGTTTCCAAAAACTGGTATATGTTGTAAAATCTTGACCTGTTTAACTGGTTTTTAAATAAAGAAAATAGCAGAGACAACATATCAAAAGATTGAACTGAGTATTCAAGTATTTTATAAACAAAATTCACTCACTTTAAATTTGATGCAGACAACATCAAGTTTCTTTTGTCATGGGGAAAAAGTTACTGCTAAAAAAAGAGGTTCACCACTCTGTAAGAGACTGCGTGAGCTAACAGTTCAATGGTTTGAGAGTAATGTTCCTGAGTGTCAAATGTCAAAGAATGAGTGGATTTGATCAACTACTGAACATAATATCATTCAAAGGTTCAAAGAATCTAGAGTCTCTGTACAAAAAGGACAAGGACCAAAACCAAGACTAGACTGTCCTCTGGAGTGGAAATCACTACATGGACTCAAAGTCACTTCAAAAACCAACACAATTCATCACTGCATCTGCAAATGAGGTTCAAACTGAACCATGCAAGGAGGAAACCAGATAGAGACAGGATCCAGAAACACCAGGGACTTATCTGGACCTGAGCCCATTTAAGATGGACTGAGAAGAAGAGGAAAACAGTCCTGGGGCCTGATCAATCATAATCTGACCTTTTTGGAAATCATGGACACTGCATCCTCCTTTCTAAAGAGTAGAGAGACCACCTGGCTTGTTTTCAGCTCCCAGTCCAAATCCAGCATCCCTGATGGTATGGAGATCACATGAATCCATGTCACGGGTATCTTCCACATCTGTGAGGGCTCCATTAATGCTGAACAATATCTACAGGTTTGGGAGCAACAAGTGCTGCCATCCAGATAATAACTTTTTCAGGGAAGACTTTATATTTCAGAAAGACAATGACAAACCACATCCTGCCAACAGGGATTACAACAGCATGGCTCTGTAGGAGAAGAGTCCTGCTCGTAATGGCCTGCCTGCAGTCCTGACTTGTCCCCCATTGAAAACATTGCAGTATTGGTAAAGAGGAGCCAATGAAATGCAGTGGAAACATATTCCTGTCATAACTCTTTAGAAACTTGTTGCTGTGATCAAATTTAAATTGAGCTGATATTTTCCAGGAAACAAAAACATGTTTCAGTTTCCAAATTTTGGTGTGTTGTTTCTGCAGTATTCTTAATTGAAGATGGACTTGATTAAACTATAATAATTCTGGTTTCATGCACATTTTACACAGCCTCCCAGCTCTAATGGTATTGAACTTCAATCTAGCTTTGCTTGAGGGGCTTTAGGCTTCCTTTATCAAGTTTTCCTGTGTTTTGTTGACTTGAAGGACTTTACAGCCCAACCATCCTGTTTTTGTTTTTTTTATTGACATGTCAAGATGCAGCCAGGTTTAGTCTGGAGTCCAGTTTGGGGTCTCAAGAAATGTATCCCCACACTTAGTAGGTGATGTGCTTTTGTTGGCTTTATGATATTTGAGAATCATTTCGTAATTCAAAATTTTAATGGTATCAAATTTGACCAATTTGAGCCATTTTAAATCATTTTTAAAGTTCTTATTTCCAAATAATTCCTCATTATTAGTCACTCTGTTTAAAATGTATAAATAAAGCATCTTTCTCTAGAATCAAAATGTATTTGAAATGGTCAGTGCTACAATCTGATTTTTGGAGTTTGGACCTGCATGGTGGATGGCTGCAGGCCTGTTTGTACAATAAAAAAGTGAAAGTAGCAGCTGAGTGGACAGAGGAAAATCAGACGAGATGATGCTGATTTGAAATAATCAACATGTAAAAACTAAAACTTGTAAACTTTGTCACTGTCAGGCTCTTCATCATAAAGTCTGATTATTTCTGATATTAACAAAAAGTATCTCATGCACACAGGACCCTCTTAGCTGATTGGTGACTCTGATAGGTCCAGCTCCTGTTAGAGAGTCCTGCAGGTGACTCAGTGTTTCTTCATGCTCTGCATCCTGCTTAACACAGGGGGTAGTCAGCAGGCATTCATATTGAGGCTCAGATGCTGGACTGGTCCAGATCAACCAAAGTTGGCAGTGTTGTCTTATGTCTGATAGGACCTATTGAAAATCTCTCAACTGAACCTGACAGGTCCCTAATTGAAACACGGTGAACAAAGTGACATTATAGGCATGCTAATAGCTGCTGCTACAGCTCAGAGTTCACGGGTCTAAGTCTCCGGTGCAGAGAAAGCTGCTCCGTCTGAAAACACCACTGAGGTCCGGGCTATGGTACCCTAGCTTTAACACCTGGCAGGACACAGAGAGAAGACTAACATGAACGAGAACACAAAGAGGCACCGCCTGTCGTAAAGGGTGTCCAGACTGTGGTTTGACCTAAAGGTGACCTCTGTTAGCTCCACACTACAAACAGTGGCTAAATAACAACAGCAGTGGTGTGGTGGTGACGCTCCGCGCCTTTATCTGTCATCCAGTTTGGGCGAGTCTACTGGTTCCTCGTCTTCATCCTTGTCATCTTTTGCCCCAATCAGCCGCTGGCGGGCAAAGTCTTCAAAAATGATGTCATCATCACTGAGGGAAAAGAGGGAGACAGAGAGGTGAATCAGTGTGAGGCTCAGTCTTTGGATTAGGTCAGAGTTGTTTAGATGAGGAGGCAGGTAGATCACTGTCACATCAGGTGCCAAAGCAGCTCTAACCTGACGTCACACAAAGACTTACAGCAGGGAGAAGCAGTCTGCCAAGGTACTTAAGACCTAAAAACTGCAGCCCCAAAAAATGTCTGGAACAAAATCTTCAGAGAAATTTTTGGCCAACCCAAACAGTAAAACCACACTGAGCTTTGAAGAGAACCAATCATCCTGATCCACAATTTAATACATACACATAATGGTACAACTTTTTAAGTCCATGTTGAACCTTAGCCAGGTGCATCACCAAGATTCATGGAAGGCAGCATTATCCCTGGACATGTTTCTCAGGTACCTTCAACTGCTTATTTGAAGACATGGCCACAAGCTGACATCAGGTTGTACTGTCAAAGCTCTGTCAAGCCTGCAAGCCTACCTAGGCCAAGAAAGTCCCCACTCCTTCTCCTCCTCTGTGATCTCTGTTTGTCCAGTCTGTCTCTAAAGTTTCTATCAGTCTGCTTTTGGTCTTTAAAGAAAGTCTCAGCTGTTTCCTCTCCTCCAAGACAAAGGCTCCAGAAAACAAGGAACTTTGGATGTTTTCGAACATCATCATAGCTGTTAGTGCTCTCTGCTGCTCATCTAGAAAGACCTTCATGAAGCTCAGATACACAATCTAGAAACATCATTACAGCAGCAGATGATGGAACGGTATCTGGCATGTAGCAGGGATCCAGAGAGAGGCTAATAACTAGCTTCTGATGTTTTCTGTAAAGGCATAACTTTCGGGGCTTCAAAGCTGTGTAAAATAAAACTCAACTTTCTATCATTGGAAAAGCAGCAGAAACCAAGGTCCTGATCTACTAAGATTCCAAATAACAAACACTTAATTGCGTGTGCACACAAAAAATTGCAAGTGCTATTCGTGGGTTTGTTGCAGGTGATCTACTATGTTTGTGTGTACAATTAATAACAGGTGCAAAGTGGTGTGGACTGCTCTCTTTAAACAAGGATTTTGCGTGCGCTACCAGCTGTCACAATGGAGAGTTAGTGAGAGAAGAGTGATGGTAGCCAAAAAATGAAGTTTGAAGCTACGGAGTTGCACCTATTGTTTGGGAAGCCATCAACTACATAAAAACGTATTTTGTATCATTTACTGCATCCCGAGTGTGTGGGAACTGTATATACTTACCCACCCTGACATAGCATTCAACACTTGGGACAGCACACTAGAAATTCTACTCTGGGAGACGCTCTAACTGTGATGGTGAGCTGTAATGATCTGGATGCAGGAAAATACAGAGTTGCAAGGAGTTTTTCGATCAAAGGTATGGCATGGATCATTTTTGTGACTGGCTCCAAATCCGCCTTTAGGTCGACAAGCAGTTTAAAAATAGCAATACTATTACTATTACTATTACTCTACTATTTTTATTTCTGATGGTTCAAATATGTTGACACGCGCACAGAAGATTCTCTTTCTCTCTTGTTTCTCATTGTGCCTATGCCTCCTTTTCCCCACAATGACCGTAGCCATTTGTGCGTAACTCTGCCAATTTGTACCAGCTTTTCAAATGTGCTGAATAAAGACGTAAATACACCAACTACAATCAGTTTCCAGGTTGGATGAATCACATTGCTAGTGCTAAATGATCCCATCTAGATCTCCTTCCCCCAGTATTTTGCGTATTTTGATCATCTGCATACATTCTGCATATTCATGAAGGCAAATACACTAAATCAATTGTGCGTGCTGTTTTGCTCATTTGACGGACTCAATCCTTGGTGCACCTGGTTAATAGATCAGCTTTGCGTGCAAGTTTGCACATGTTTTTACACAGTTGTGGCCAAAATTATTAGCCCCCCTCTGAAATTTAAGTTATTTTCCAAAATTTCCCAAGTGCTGTCCAACAGATTAATGATTTTTTTCACACATTTTTCCAAAGATCCTAGTTTTGTTTTGGATCCTTACATTATTTTACTTTGCACACAGAAACAAAATTATTTCACAAAAACCAAAAACTACCATGGTCGAAAATATTAGCCCCTCTGAGGCTAATAGTCAATTGTGTGTCCTTTTTGCTGGATAATAGCATACAGTCATTTGCTGTAGTTTGTAACAAGGCTCCAGCACATTTCCCGAGGAATCCCAGCCCATTCCTCTTTTAATCTTTCAAGCTCCTCCAGATTTGATGGTCTTCTAGCATGGACCCTGGTCTTCAGTGCAGCCCACAGATTTTCAATGGGATTTAAGTCAGGGCTTTGTGCAGGCAAGTCAGTAATGTTCACTTTGGTTTCCTGGAGGCAGCTCCACACCAGGAGTGCTGTATGTTTTGGGTTAATGTCATGTTGAAAGATAAAGTGACGACCCAGACCCAGTTTTGCTGCTGACTGCTTGAGGTTTTCTTTCAAAATCTTCATATCTTCATATCCTTCTTTCTCCATTGGTCCTTCAACCTTGACAAGATTCCCAGTTCCAGATGCACTGAAACATCCCCACAGCATGATACTTCCACTACCGTGTTCAGTAGCGGTCCGAGGCACGGGCGAACCGGGCAGCCGCACGGGCCGTCATTTGTGTCATGATTTATTGGGGGTGGCACGAGCACTTCCAAAAATGAAAGAAAAAGATAATAATAATAACTCTGCACCGCAAAGTGGTTTCGTATTAACTCTTGTCAAACTGGAGCCCCCTGCTCCCCGGTCGTGGGGGACAGCTCTGCTCTCAGGATTGCTCTCACTCTGCCAGTCACGGTCATTCAAGCAGAGAGGAGCTTCTCAAAACTGAAGTTGATAAAGTCGTACCTTAGGTCAACCATGTCTCAGGAACGGCTTACTGGCCTTGCCGTCATCAGCATCAATCACTTAACCCATTTAAACTGGGACAGCACGTCCGCATTTCAACCTTCAACGCCGGGAGCGCGGCTGTGCATTTCTAGCCTTCAAGCCAGGAGCGCAGATACGTCATTTTGTAACATTCTGTTGTTTTTTTTAATCCTTTCTGGAGTCGTGGCGAATCAAATCATCATATCCGTCTGCCTTTGATAGGCGAATAAAGTGCTCGGATTCATGCTCGGATCTTGCTATGTGCTTCATGAGTAAAGTAAACTCATGAGGCAGAGTGCAGCTTCGGAGGAGAAGCATCCAGCAGGGTGAACAACCTCTTCATATTGAGGTCTTTGGCTCACACTATCTGCGATTTCTGTGAGTGTTGTATGACTTTGGGTGAGCACAGAGATAAACACACTGTCAGACACCTATTTATTTATGTATTTTTTAGATTTTAGTGCTGCTTTTGTACTGGCACCATACTGGGGCAGCTGTATACCCTTTCAACACTGTATTTTTTATATTTACATTTGTATTGATGGACACTTTATCATGACTGCCACTTGTTTTACAGAAAGCAAATAATTTGTTATTCTCCAGTGCAGAGTCTTTACTTTTATTCATACAGCCACTTTAATTCATCAAGTTTGTTTGTTCAAGGTTTTCAAAAATGTGATGAAGGTTCGGAAAAATAATAGGTAGCTTTCTTGAAAGCCACACCTGTAAGCTCTCAAATACTTTTTGAATTTGTTTCTATCTGCTACCGGGGCCGAGATATCCGCTTTTTTATAAACCTCAACAGTTCAGAAAACCTCAGGATCTGGGGGCCCTTCTTAAAATGGCCCTCAGGATTTCAGAGGCCCGGCTCAGCCAGAGTTCAGGTCTTAATGAGTTAATAGGGGAGCAGATTTCTCATGTCGAGATTATTGATGATTTTGTATCAAGGAAGGCAGGAAAGGTCAGGTTTTAGTTTTAGTTTGTGTTTTCTGTTCATAGAGCAATCACATTTTCTTTAGTGTGTTTTCAAATTTGTGTGATTTGCTATGTAAGATTATCAGTCTATATTTTATTTAATATTCTATATTATTATTCTCTTCTCGTACTGTCTTGTTACATTTTTTGTTAAATATTTGCCACTTTTATGTATATAGTGTATATTTATTATTTAAGCTCTGATAACCTGTTTTGTGCAGAATTGCCCCATTGTCTTTTGCAATGTTGGAGGTGGAGAATATGCACCTTAAGTGTCTTTCCTGATGTAATAACTGGATTTTCTGGAAGTGTTTTGTAAATGCTCTATTGAAGGATTTGTGCAATTGAGAAACCCAAGTTTCTTTTTTATTGTTGTTATGTTGGAGGTGGAGATTATGCACCTTAAAAAGTGTCCTTTCTGTTCTTGCACAAGATAAATAACTAAAGTGTTTTTTCTATTGAAGGATTTGTGCAATTGAGAAATATTTTATTTTAGTTGTTATAATAATAATAATAATACAAAACTATCTGTTCAAAGTTCTATCTTTTTGTGGGTGGGTTAGAACCGGCACTAACTGTGTTCGACTGTGGAGACGGTGTTCTTGGGGTAACACGCCTCTCCCTTGTTTCTCCAAACATAAGCAATGTCTCTGTGGCCAAGGAGCTCTAATTTAGTCTCATCTGACCACAGAACATGTCTCCAGTATGCACAATCTTTCTCCAGATTGTCCTTAGCAAACCTCAGTGTGGCTTGAAGGAGTCTTTTTTGTAGAAGTGGAGTTTTTCTTGGCCTGCATCCTCACAGTCCATTTCTGTTCAGGGCTCTAGAGACTGTCTTGTTTGACACCACAATTCCTGACTTGGCTAAGTCTGCAACTACTGTTTTGGTGGTTGTTCTAGGGTGTTTAGACACATCCTTACCAGTTTTCTTTCCAGTTTCTTTGAAATTTTTCGCTCCCTACCTCTCCCAGGCTTGTTTTGTACTGTGTGGCTCTCCTTGAATTTCTTGATACTTCCCACTCCACTTCTTGACACTTGGAAACACTGATAACTTTTTATATCCTTCTCCTGCTTTGTGAGCATCGACATTTCTTTTTCTGTGCTGTGAGCACTCGAAAGTGAAAGTATATGATTGCACAACAGTGGTTTTTGTTTTGGCTCAATAAAAACATCAATTCTTCAGGGGGCTAATAATTTCGACCCTGGTAGTTTTTTGGGTTTTGTGGAATAATTTTATTTCTGTGAGCAAAGTACAATAATGTAAGGATCCAAAATAAAACTAGGATGTTTGAAAAAGCTGTGTAAAAAATCATTAATCTGTTGAACAGCACTTTGGAAATTTTGGAAAAAAAACTTTAAATTTCATAGGGGGGCTAATAATTTGGGCCACAACTGTATATGCAAACCTTTAGTAGATCAGGCCCTAAGTGTTTCAGGCAGAAGCTGAATTGAGCTTCAATGTAGGTTTTCAGACACCAGTACAGTGAGAAGAATAAGTTTGATTTTTTTTTAACTGCAAACACGCAAACACACTCTCAGACTGACAGAATAGCAAGCCAAAATGAGACCAGTGAGTCCTGTTTCGATACTTAAGTCAGGACCACTGGGAGGATACATTTATACCTTTCTTAGTCTTTCATTTTCTGTATGAGCTGTATCAAGTCTGATTTCTTTAAAGTTTTTTGTGTATGACATGTTGCAGTACCAAGGGCTAAGGCAGGGAGAGCACACCTCCCTCCAGTTTCATACAAACAAATATGAAAGTCTAAGGCAGGGAGAGCAGCAGCAAAGACCTTGGGGTAGAGAACAGAGCAGCACCAGAGCAAGACAGAGGCAGGCTGCAAAGTGATTGCAGAGGAAGCAGGAAGAGTAGGCAGGACGAAGGTGTTCTTGTATGTACACATGTTCTGACAACCCCAAATAATGGTGGAAAAACATTAACTGGAGACCAGGTTCAATGTGGGGTTTAGAAACCCTTATCTTCATATCATCAGAAACGTGTTTGGACACATTCACCTTCAGGTGGTGTTTCATGGATCTCCTTCAATACCAGAGGAAATGGACTGCACTCAGTTATCATCCTTTTTTCCTCTTCATGTTTCCTATGGTAACAGAAATCCTTTCCTTTTCAGACATTGACAATTACAGCTCTCATATGAGCGTGAAGTGATGAGCAGTAAAACACAGAGCAGCTGTGAGAGTGAGTTTCCATTTCCTGCTGCAGCATTAAGATGCATTAAAGCCCAGACCCAGGAGACGAGTCATCCCTGATCTTGTTTCAGCAGGAAAACCTCTCAGAGTATTGATGAGGCCATAAACCACAGCTCAGCCAATCAGTTCAGACACAGGAAGAGAGATGGATAGACAGGCAGACAGACGGGCAAACCCACAGATGACTGCTTACTTTGTATCAAACTCGATCAGGTTTGTGTCGATTGGAGCTTCATCCGCAGCTGCAGGGAGAGAGACATAGAGACAGAGAGAGCACTCATTCAAACCACCTGAAATATCTACAGAAAGACTGAACATTTGTCTCTCTTTGTTTTTGGAAAAAAAAAATTCATTGAGGTAACTCAAAAAGCTAGAATTTTCCAGTTTTCTGTCACTTCCATCTGTGTTTGATAAGGGAACTAGTGTGTATTATCAGGGAACATGTGCAAATTGACAACACAACTAACACCAGGAAACCTCAGTCAGAAAATCTGTTTGCCCCGTAAACCTTCAGTCTGTTGGTTAGTTTGTCTGCAGGGAGACAGTCTGCTGGGACAGAACTTACCGTCTCTGTAGAGCAATTCCTCCATTGGCTTTGGATGCATTAATGTAAAAGGCAGCTCAACAGAGACGTCACTAGAAGAAAAAATCATCTCATGTTTAACCAGCCACAACAGAACAACAACAGTTTTAATACAGGTGTAAGTGTGTGTGCTCTCTGATGCCTCAGTAAGTCTCAGTGTGTGGTTTGTTTAAGAGTATGACAGATTGTGAGAGGTTACCTGGCTGCCAGATCTCCCAGGAGCCTGAAATCGATAAATATTCACATCTTTAACATCAGAGCAGCAGCCTGTACTCATCTGTACTGATGAGCTTATTCACACAGAGACAGTCAACATCAGCTGCTGCTGTGTGATCCCAGTTTCTGCTTAACCTGCCAACACTGCAATGTTGACTGGAAGGAGAGTAATTACAGGTTAAATGAATCATTCTCACGGATGTGCCAGTCACAGTTTAGTTATCATTTGGTCACAGCTGGGACCGTTTTGAGGCAGATTTCGTTCAGATCAGTAAACTCAGGGTTGAGCAGAAATGATGGAGTCACACAGAAACTTTTTACAGTAAAATTAAGCTTCCCAAAATAAGGAATATCATAATAAATATGAGCCTGCCCAAAAATGGCATGACCCCTCTGAGAGTAGGCAGACTGAGCAGTGTGAAGAGGGCCTCAAGACAGGAGGCCTATCAGCAAACAGCACAGTGCATGAAAAGGGATACAACATGGTGCATGAGAAAGTGCGCAGCTTGGTGCATGAAATAAAGAAGGAGCTGAACAGAGAGCTGTGTAGAGTGGTGGATGGCGTGTTGGATAAAAATCATTTCTACAATGAGAAATAATGCAGAATTCAAGAAGCAGCCAGCACAGTTAAGAACACAGTACACTGACCCTCCTCTGGACACGACCAGCTTCACTTTGACTTTGTATGACACAATGATGCCAAGGACCTCCCTGTTCGCTCCATCTCTCAGCCTACAGGGACAGAAAACAGCAGCCGGTCACTTCCTCTGGAGTCACAGGTTTGAATCGACTCTGATGACAAATATTAATGAGCAAACAACACCACATTAGACTGCTCTTTAGTGCAAATGTGACAAATCATCCAGGGCCTTTTGTATGCATGTGCTGCTAATCCAAGCTTGTTTCACAACCATCATGAAATGGTGATGAAGTTTTATAAGTTTCATGGTGTCCCTTATGGATACAGGAAGGAGGAAAATAATCTACAAATGCAAAAAAAACACCTAAATCCGAAGGATCTGCTCAGGTGAAAAACAAGGAAGTATGATGACAGTCTGCCACAAATACACAATAACTTTCCTTACTTAATGTCCACTAGACTCACAGTTCTTTGTCGAGTTAGGTCTTCATTGATTTGCACCATGATAACATTCTTTGATAAGGTAGCGAAACACAACAAAACACCTGTTGGCTATCAGGATTCTGCATTACAGTTTTTAGACTCACATTCAAACCCTGAATCACTCGGCAAACATTAACAGAGTTCAGATAAAGAGCTGAACAAAGAGCTCTATTTTTGTGCCTCACCGGTGATGTGGCGTAGGCGCGGCATAAGTCAGGTCCGCCGCGCCAACAAGGCATTCCTATGCACAATTTGGTATTTTGGTGAGCGGCGCAGCCCAGCCTGAGAATCCCCCCTCCCTAACTCAGCTCCTCCCAGCGGCGTAAGTTGTAGAGAGGGCGTGGAGTGGGTTTAACACAGCCGTGACCTTTTTTCGCCAATCAGGACCACTCCTCTCCTCACCTTTAAAGCTGTCACCAGCGAGAGGTATTGCAATTTTCGTGAAGTAGTCAAAGAGATCAAGAGACGTCTGAAGACAGCAATGCCACATGATGGTGACAGAAGGCAGCCGCTCAACAAGTGTCACTGAAAAAGCTGCAGAGGGCGTCCTCCACACTCTCTCAGATGAGCACAGATGGATTTGGTGTGTGTAATGTTGGATCCACTGGTAAGACAAACATCCTTTTCCACAAATAAAGACACTCACATAAAGTTGCACATATTCAAACCTCACGTGACAAAGGCGGGTTGTGCGCACAGACCACAACACAAATTCCAATAATGGCATTAAAATCGGAACCATCTGTGTGTAAATGACGCATCACGCTCCATGGCCTGGCTCTTTCTTTCATAGATATTGGCATATGAAATAAATTTGGCTCACAAAACTGAATATTGTAATATTCCTATGTAGGCTTGAAGTAAATAACTCATCTGATCACTAAAACAAATCATCTGTTCAGCTGCCGCAGCAGCAGCTGCAGCAGGACGGGGAGAGGACACAGAGACATGTCCAGGTCGAGCTGCGCGAGAAATAAGAGGAAGAGGAAGATAGAAATAGGGGGGAGACGAATTAAATATCTTGTTCACTTCATCATGTGTGTCTATTTACTAGATGTTTAATTTAATTTAATGCGGTTTCAGCTGTGTTGAATCGGTCAGGTGGTGTGTCCAAACGCGTGCGAAACGAGCTCATCAGATCAGATATAGATCAGAATATATCTATATAGATCTAAATGTATGTGCTGACTCAGATTATTAGTTGTTGTTGATTATTTATTGCACTGAAATGTGCCTGACATTGTGGAAACCTGCTGGTGAGGCATCGGTGACGTATGCGCACTTCGCCGCCGGTCTACCAAAATACCACTAGACCAGCTGCGCTCTGCCTGCGTTGAGAGCTGACCAGGTTTGAATCGGCAAGCTTTCAGCGCACTTTATACGCCACCGGCGAGCACGAAAATGTCACTGCGCCAGCTGATTCTGTCGACACCTCCCCCTGCCACGCCACCACGCCCAGCTTGGCGGACCTCAGTGCGCCTCAGTCTACAAAAAATACCAAACTGGCTGTACGCTCGGCTCTGCCAGATGAAAATATCACTCCACGGGGTCCGCCACCCTCCATTGCGTCACAAAAATAGAGCCCAAAAGGTACAGTACTTTTGAAATGTGACTTGGTGCACTTATTATTTCAAGTTCTAAAATGAAAACATCTTAAATGACAACATATTCAGGCCTAAAAAGTGAACATGCAGCAGAACTAACAGGGTGCTGGAGGCGAGGTTCGTATCCTCGTGCTTTAGTTTCCCGTCCAGAGCCAGACCTCGTTTCTCTCGGTTGTTGGCCAGAAATGGAGTCAGAGTAAAAACTTTGCAGAAAGTTGAACTGGGTGCAACAACATCACTGAAACATAAAAAAACACACCTGTTAAAAAGTAAAGCCAGACATTGGTACACAGAGCCGGCCCAAGGCTAAGCGCCTGCTTAGGGCCCCGTGGCCAGTAGGGGGCCCCCAAAAGCAATCAAAAAGCAAAAGAAAAAAAGTAATATTTTTTTTTTTTTGCATGTATGATTGATGCTTTCTGTATGATCAAATATATATTATTGTAAAAATAAAAGAAAGTAAAAACATTTTAGTGCTGCTGCTGATGTAGGCCTATCATTCTTACTGCCGATATATGTCAAAGCTCAGTTGCTGTTATGTACCTTCTGCTGTGCAACATGCACTGAGCATCCAAAGTGCAGGTAGTTGTGGGGCAAAACAATGTCTCAAAAAAGGACGTATCCTTTCAGGGGCACAGAAAAGAAACAGGAAGAAGAGAAAAAACGCCAAGATAAGGTATGTTTGCATGTCATGGAATGTTAAAGAGATTTGTGAAGGTGTGTGAATGATCAACAATCAATATTATTGGCGGAAATTGAGGGCCCCAAGATCAAATTTTGCTTAGGGCCCCATTGAGGCCTGGGCCGGCTCTGTCAGTACAGCTGAAATGATCTAGAACATCTGAAAACTTACTCAGATTCCTCTGTGGCCACCGGACATTTGTACTGAGCTGTGTTAAACAGGCAGATGTCTGCATACTGTCGCACTGCGGACACAGATTATTGATGAATACCACACATGGTTATAGAGGACCTGACCAGAGAGAACAGGTGTTCTACCTGAGATCTTCATCTTCTTCACAGTCTTGTTGGTGTTGTTGGTGACATGAACGTTGACGCTGATCGGCTCTCCGTGGTAATAAATCTGAGAGAAAACAGAGACAAAGCACAAGGACTGCACAGAGATAGAAGCAGGACTGGGCAATGTGATACATTACAAACAATGTCCGATTTTTATGCTACATTACAATACACAATCTATACCTCGATATTGTAAACTTGAATCACTCTATGAGCATTCAGACTGGCATCATATCTCAGGGGCTTTGACCTCCCCTACCAGAAGAGGGAGACAGGATGGAGAGTTTGACAAACTGCTCCCACAGCGACCATGGGAAGGTTTTGTTTGTCCATGTCACAGCGGGTACATTTGGTCAAATCCCTGATATGTACTGTTATAGAGTGAAGTTCTCAGGTATTACCTCTTTGTCCAGTGAGGCCTCCAGGTGCAGAGGTTTGTCTGACATAAGGAACTGTCTTGTGGTCTCTGCTGTGGGCTGAGGACCAGGTTTCTCTGGAGCATACTGCACCTTTCTGATCACCAGACGCACCGAGTTCCTGCAAACACAAACACCACCATGATGTTGCTGCTGAGAGGTAATAACAGAGATCCTCGTCTGAATGACAGTATCAGGGGATTATTTAATTTCTTTTACCTTTTGTGGATTTTTTCTTCAACATTTTCTGCACAGAAAGCTTTCACCTCAAAGTCCACCCCACAGGCCTGAGGACACACAGCGGGAGGGCAAATAAGTGATTTTTGGAGAAGACTGAAAGGGAATTTCTGTGGAAACCCTTTTCAGTTGGCAGCAGTCTAACAGGCTGTAACTACTGTAACTGACTTCTCAGATAACTCCGACCCCAGAGAACATCAAAGAAATGATCCTTAGCTCAAAATTTGGATGTTCAATCAGAAAAAAATATATATAAATAAACAAAAAACAGGTCCTCCTCATCCAATTTACCAGACCCTTCTGACAAAAAAATATCATTTTAGCTGCAGACGACCAGGTGCTACTCTGCTGCCGCACAAATACTCGATTTGTGTCACTGTGAGACTTCTGTGTTTTTAACTTGGATGGAGTGTGCATCAAAAACAGTTTTTGTATAGTGCACAACGGCAGCACATTTAGGCAGCACTGAAACCAGAACTCCTGTGCTCCTGTGTTATAGGCAAAAGGAGTATATTGTAGCCAGAGCTGGACTGGTCATCAGGACCAGCAAGTTTGACAGTGGCCTCACTGGCCTGGTCTGCAAACTGGGCTGAGGGACTTTAATGTATTTTTAAACTAAAGTCTTGTGAATGTAGCGCAGTAAACAGTGTTGTCTGCTCCACACACACCCATGGAACATTCGCTTAAAAACAAGTGCACACAGGAGGTGTGACCATGATGTGCATAGACATGCTAGTCCCAGAGCCTGGTTTATGCTTCAGGGTCTGACCTGCCCAAGGTTTACACCCTCATGGGTGCCACATATTTCTGCATCTGTGCCACTTTGCAGTAATCCAACAAAATGATAGTCCGCAGTGCAATGAAAATGTTCATCATATCTCCAGTTTCTGGTCCTGCTCAGTTCCTTCTTTGTTGGTGGGCTGAAAAATGTTGTGCAGCACTTGAAAGACGCTTGAGGAGATAGACAATGAAGAGGACAGGTGACAGTTGAGATACAGGAAATATTCACCAGCAAGTAGACCAATCACAGGGCCTGTGGTCCGTATTGTTTTAATGTGTGGTTGCATTTTGGGGGAGGTACACACAAGTAAGCTTCTGAACAAGGTACAGGGGTTTTTAATTATTATTATTTGTTTATTTGACAGGGACAGTACATCAGGCATTGGTGCATCTAATTAAAAGGCAACCGATGCTTTGTATGCAGGACTTCTAGCCGTGGCTAATTTGCGGTCCTTGTCCCTTGTTAGACAGCGTGAAATTCAGCACATGATACATAAACCGCTAAATAAAAACTAACATTATAGCAGGTGCAGACAGGCAATCATATGTTTGCATAAAAACAGCAGCAAAGCAAACAAAACAAGCAGTTCTATGCACAAAAATCCAGAGACTTACATATACAGATACATACAAACATATACGCATATACGTGGATACATATATACATACATACACACAATTAGACTCACATACAAAACCCAATTCCACCGACGTTGGGAAATTATGATAAACGTAAATAAAAACTGAATACAATGATTTGCAAATCCTTTCCACCTATATTCAATTGAATAAACTACAAAGACAACATATTTAATGTTCAAACTCATAAACTTTATTTATTTATTTATTTTTTTGGAATTAATAATAAATTCAGAATTTTATGGCTGCAATACATGCCAAGGAAGTTAGGAAAGGTGGCAAAAAATACTAAGAAATTTGAGGAATGCTCATCAAACACCTCTCTGGAACATCCCACAGGTGAGCAGGCTAACTGGGAACAGGTGGGTGCCATGATTGGGTATAAAAGCAGCCTCTCCAAAAATTCTCAGTCATTTACAAGAAGGATGGGGCGAGGTTCACCACTTTGTGAACAACTGCATGAGCAAATAGTCGAACAGTTTAAGAAAAATGTTTCTCAAAGTACAATAGCAAGGAATTTAGGGATTTTAACATCTACGGTCCATATCATCAAAAGGTTCTGACAAATCTGGGAAAATCACTGCACGTAAGCGGCACGGCCGGAAACCAACGTTGACTGACCGTGACCTTTGATCCCTCAGGCGGCACTGTATCAAAAACCGACATCAATGTTTAAAGGATATCACCTCATGGGCTCAATAACACTTCAGAAAACCACTGTCAGTAAATACAGTTCGTCGCTACATCTGTAAGTGCAAGTTAAAACTCTTCTATGAAAAGCGAAAGCCATTTATCAACAACATCCAGAAATGCCGCTGACTTCTCTGGGCCCAAGCTCATCTAAGATGACTGATGCAACGTGGAAAAGTGTTCTGTGGCCTGACGAGTCCACATTTCAAATTGTTTTTGGAAATAGTGGACGTTGGAAAGGAAAAGAACCATCCAGACTGTTATCGACGCAAAAGTTCAAAAGCCAGCATCTGTGATGGTATGGGGGTACATTAGTGCCCAAGGTATGGGTAACTTACACATCTGTGAAGGCAACATTAATGCTGAAAGGTACATACAGGTTTCGGAGCAACATATGCTGCCATCCAAGCAAGATCTTTTTCATGGACCCCCCTGCTTATTTCAGCAAGACAATGCCAAGCCACATTCTGCACGTGTTACAACAGTGTGGCTTCGTAGTTAAAGAGTGCAGGTACTCGACTGGCCTGCCTGCAGTCTAGACCTGTCTCCCATTGAAAATGTGTGGCGCATTATGAAGCAGAAAATACGACAACGGGGACCCGGGACTGTTGAACAACTGAAGCTGTACATCAAGCAAGAATGGGAACGAATTCCACCTTCAAAGCTTCAACAATTAGTCTCCTCAGTTCCCAAATGTTTATTGAGTGTTGTTAAAGGGAAAGGTGATATAACACAGTGGTAAACATGTCCCTGTCCCAACAACTTTGGCACGTGTTGCAGCCATGAAATTCTGAGTTAATTATTATTTGCTAAAAAAAATTGTAACAGTCTGCTCTGCACCTCTCCTGCTCTGCTGCTCAGCCACAGCCCTCATCAGCTAACTGCTTCCACCTGCTGCTCTCACCTGCTCATCGTCTCCAAACAGGCCAGTATATATGCAGCTTCTTTCCCCTCACTCTTTGCCAGATTGTCTTCGCTCTCATGCCTGACTCTCCAGCGTTCATCCCCGGATTGCTTACCTGATATCGACCTGATCTGCCCCTGACCTTTGCTTCACGCCTCAGCCTCTGTAAACCCACCTGCCTTCTGTCCCTGACTACGAGCTCTGTCTGCCTGTTTCCTGCTATTCGTCTGCCTGCGGCTGGGTTGCGCTCAGCCTGTTTCTGCTCTGTCAAGATCCCCCTTCTCGTCAGCTTCACCTCGCCAACTCACCTCCTCTGCAGACGTCGGTTCTGCCAGCTCCATTGCAAGCTTTGGATCCTCACCCAGTCCTCACCTGAACCACTCTCAGCTGATGCAGCTGTGAGTTTGAGCGTTTTCCCCTTCACCACACTTGTAGAGCAAATTGAGACTGTGGACAATTCCCTGCTCATGAGTCCCAGATTTCTTACCTGTCCTGTGGTCCTCCGCCAACCTGCTCGCCTAGCACCTGGAAGACCCAGGTTTGAATCCTGCCATACCCACCTGCTATACTCTGCAGCTTCATTTGGTTAGGTGTCAAATAAAGACTGTTGTTTGAGTGAACCTGCTTGTTTGTGCTGCAATTAGGTCCAGTCAATACCTGTTACAGTACAATCTGGCTAAACTATGGACCCAGCACACAATGTCTAACCACTGAGTCGCCTTGAGAGAATTGAGGGCGTTCTGCAGCAACACAAGGCCATGATGACTGCGGCTGCCGCTGAAGCCAGACAAGCTGCTGAGACTCAGGGACAAACACTAGCAGCTTTGGCCTCACAGATGCAGCAGCTATCAGCTCAACTAACCCAGCTCCCCTCATCTGCTGGATTTGCCTCTTTTTCAGAAGCTTCACCTTCTGCTCCTGCACCTTTACCCGCCTCTTCTCCACCCAGCGATGCTCCTGAGCCCCAGGTGGGAACCCTGGAGCGTTATGACAGAGATCGAGAGACTTGCAGCCCTTCCTCACCAATTGTTATCTCCTGTTTGCCCTGCAGCCCCGCATCTTCGCCACAGAACCAGCAAAGGTAGCGTTTGTCATTAACCACCTGACAGGCAGAGCTAGACTATGGGGAACAGCTGAGTGGGAGAGGTGGTCTCCAGCCTGTGCTTCCTTTGACCTGTTTGCTGCTGAGTTTTGGAAGGTTTTTGGGTTTGAGAATTCTGGTTCTGATTCGGCAAGGGGACTGATGGGACTGAAGCAAGGCGAACGAACAGTGGCTGACTATTCCATTGATTTCCGCACCAGAGCCAGCCAAAGCAGTTGGAACAGTGCAGCTCTCCATGATGCCTTTCTCCATGGGTTGGCTGGTTACATTGAGGATGAACTGGTTTCACATGACACCTCCCTCACCTTGGACGGGGTGATTGACTTGGCCGTCCGCATTGATCTTCGTGTCCAGACTCGTCGACGAGAGAAGCATCAAGAGGGAACCCAACATTCTCGTCCACCTCGCTCCCATGGGGGTGCTGCTGCAGCCAACTCCGCCTCATTGGGTCAGCAGTTTGAGGATCCAGAGCCCATGCAGTTGGGCCGCACCTCCCTCTCCCTGGAAGAGAGAAAGCGTCGACGCAAGTCCAATCTCTCCCTCTATTGTGGGGCAGCGGGACACTACATCTCCGGCTGTCCAGCAAAAGCCAGAGCTCATCAGTAGTTGGGGAGACCCTGGTGAGCTCAACTACCCTGTCACCTCCCCAAAGCTAGCGACCCCTGCTCCAAGGCCGCCTCCTCCTTCCAGATGGCCCCCACACCTTTGCTATCTTCATTGACTCCGGGGCTGATGCCAGCAGCATTGATGAGGAGGTGGTCCTTCAGCTGGGGCTTGAGCGGGTTCCTTTGCCTCACCCGGTTCCTGCTCGAGCCTTAGATGGACACGTCTTGGGCACCGTCAAACATCAGACCTCTCCTGTTCACCTGCTACTGTCTGGTAATCATCATGAAACCGTCCAGTTTCACATCCTGAGCTCTTCCTGCCTGCCACTTATCCTGGGATATCCATGGCACCGTCTTCACAATCCTCACATCGACTGGGCAACTGGGACCATCCGGGAGTGGAGTTCCTCCTGTCATCAGAGGTGCCTGCAGCAAGCCTCAGTTCCGCTTCATCCCTCCAGTTGTAGCTCCAGTTCATCACGTGACCTCAGTGGGGTGCCACCCGAGTACCATGACTTCCCCCAGGTCTTCAGTAAAGCCAGAGCCACCTCTCTGCCTCCACACCACCCCTATGACTGCGCCATTGATCTCCTGCCTGGTTCATCACCTCCAAAGGGTCGCCTGTACTCCCTGTCCGAACCCAAAAGAAGGGCCATGGAGACGTACATAAACGACTCCTTGGCCGCAGGCATCATTCGTCCCTTTTCATCCCCTGCTGGAGCAGGGTTTTTCTTTGTTGAGAAGAAGGACAAGACATTGAGACCTTGCATAGATTACAGAGGACTGAATGAGATCACGGTAAAGAACCGTTACCCACTGCCACTCATCTCCACTGCCTTTGAACTGCTCCAGGGGTCCACCATTTTCTCCAACCTCGACCTCTGCAACGCCTACCACCTCGTTTGCATCAGAGAAGGAGATGAATGGAAGACGGCATTCAACACCCCTACTGGACACTACGAGTACCTCGTAATGCTGTTTGGCCTCACCAATGCCCCTGCTGTCTTCCAGGCTCTGATTAATGATGTTCTCCGAGACATGATCAACCAGTATGTCTTTGTTTACCTCGATGATATACTCATCTTCTCCCGGTCCAAAGAGCAACACATTCATCATGTCCAGTCCATCCTTCAGCACCTCTTGGAGAACTCCCTGTATGTTAAAGCAGAAAAGTGCGAGTTCCATGTTCCTTCAGCATCTTTTCTGGGGTACATTGTGGCACAAGGCAGCATCCAGATGGACCCAGCCAAGGTCTCAGCTGTTACCTCCTGGCCTGTTCCGGAGAACTGCAAGCAGCTTCAGCGCTTCCTTGGGTTCGCCAACTTCTACCTTCACTTCATCCACAACTACAGCTCAGTAGCAGCCCCTCTCACCACTCTGACCTACCCCAAAGTGCCCTTCCAGTGGTCTTCTGCAGCTGCAGCGGCCTTCCAGTTCCTCAAGGATCGGTTCACCTCATCGCCCATCCTCCTGATGCCTGACTCTGAATGCCAGTTTGTGGTTGAGGTGGATGCCTCTGATGTTGGGGTGGGGGCCGTCTTGTCTCAAAGCTCATGCACTGACCAAAAGCTCCATCCCTGTGCCTTCTTCTCCCGACGTCTGTCCTCTGCAGAAAGAAACTACGACATTGGTAACAGGGAACTCTTGGCAGTAAAGATGGCCTTAGAAGAGTGGCACCATTGGTTGGAGGGCAAAAAGGAACCTTTTCTTGTGTGGACTGATCACAAGAATCTGGAATACATACGCTCTGCAAAGAGACTGAACTCTTGCCAGGCCCGCTGGTCCCTGTTCTTTGCCCGTTTTAACTTCACCCTCTCTTACCGTCCTGGTTCCTGCAATGTCGAGCCTGACGCCCTGTCCTGACAGTTCCAGAGGACAGAGGATTCTGTTGATGGAGCTGAGACCATCCTCCCTACATCCTGCCTTGTAGCCATGTTGACCTGGGACATTGAGGAGAAGGTGAGGGCAGCCACAGAAGGACAGCCAGGCCCCAGCTCCTGCCTGTCTAACTGCCTTTTTGTTCCACCAGCCTTGAGGTCAGAGGTGTTACAATGGGCCCACTCCTCCAAGCTCTCCTGCCACTCTGGGATTCAACGGACACGGCATGCCCTCCTCCAACGTTTCTGGTGGCCCACCTTGCAAGAGGACGTCCGGGAATTCGTCAAGGCCTGTCCAACCTGCAGCCAACATAAGACCTCCCGTCGGCCTCCTGCTGGGCTACTACAACCTCTTCCTGTTCCTCACCGCCCATGGTCTCACATATCTTTGGACTTTGTCACCGGTCTTCCCACCTCTGATGGTCACACTGTCATCCTGACCATCATGGACCACTTCAGCAAGATGGTCCACTTCGTGCCTCTGCCCAAGCTTCCCACTGCTAAAGAGACTGCCCAGTTGGTTCTGCTCCATGTTTTCCGTCTTCAGGGTCTCCCTGTTGATGTGGTGTTGGACCGTGGTCCCCAGTTTTGTTCCGTGTTTTGGAGGGAGTTCTGCAGTCTACTGGGTGCTACTGCCAGTCTGTCCTCTGGATTCCATCCTCAGACCAATGGACAGACTGAGCGTATGAATCAAGAACTAGCAACAGCCCTGCGGTGCATAGCCTCCCAGAACCCCTCTTCCTGGGCATTACAACTATTGTGGGTTGAATATGCCCACAACTCCCTCGTCTGCTCTGCTACTGGCCTCTCTCCATTCCAGTGTGCTTACGGCTATCAACCACCACTTTTTCCAGCCCAGGAGAAGGAGCTCTCCAGTCCGTCAGTCCAAGCCTTCATCCGTTGCTGCCGCAGAACATGGCTCCAGGCTCGCTCCACCCTCCTCCGTTCTGTGGGTCGTTATGCTGCCAATGCCAACCGCCGCCGTATTGCTGCACCTACCTACCAAGTGGGTCAGCAGGTGTGGCTCTCCACCCAAGACTTACCTCTCCGGGTGGAATCCAAATAGATGGCACCAAGGTTATTGGGCCTTTCACCATTCAGAGGGTCATCAACCCAGTGACAGTCCGGTTTAAACTCCCACGTTCCATGAGAGTACACCTTACCTTCCATGTCTCCAAGGTTAAGCCAGTCCACAACAGCCTCTTGGTCCCTTCGGCACCACCACCTCCCCCTCCACGAATGGTCGACGGCGGTCCGGTGTATGTAGTGCGCTGCCTAATTCGTTCTCGGCAGCGGGGTAGGGGTCTCCAGTACCTTGTGGACTGGGAGGGTTATGGTCCTGAGGAGAGATCTTGGGTTCCTGCTCGCCACATTTTGGACCCCAACCTCATGGCCAACTTTCATCAGCAACATCCCGACCAGCCAGCCAATGAGTCAGCTCGTCGAGGAACCCGCACCTTGCCTCCACCTGTCCAGGATGTGGAGGACCGTTCTGCGGGGGAGATGTCAGGTGTCACGCCTCAGCCTCGGTAAACCCACCTGCCTTCTGTCCCTGACTACGAACTCTGTCTGCCTGTTTCCTGCTATTCGTCTGCCTGCGGCTCAGCCTGTTTCTGCTCTGTCAAGATCCCCCTTCTCGTCAGCTTCACCTCGCCAACTCACCTCCTCTGCAGACGTTGGTTCTGCCAGCTCCATTGCAAGCTCTGGATCCTCAACCAGTCCTCACCTGAACCACTCTCCCAGAAATCTTCCTCCAGCTGTGAGTTTGAGCATTTTCCCCTTCACCACACTCGTAGAGCAAATTGAGACTGTGGACAATTCCCTGCTCATGAGTCCCAGATTTCTTGCCTGCCCTGTGGTCCTCTGCTAACCTGCTCGCCTGGCACTTGGAAGACCTGGGTTCGAACCCTGCCATACCCACCTGCAATACTCTGCTGCTTCATTTGGTTTAGTGTCAAGAAAGACTGTTGTTTCAGTGAACCTGCTTGTTTGTGCTGCAATTGGGTCCAGTCAATACTTGTTACAAAAATAAAGTTTATGAGTTTGAACATTAAATATCTAGTCTTTATAATGTATTTAATTAAATATAGGTTAAAAAGGATTTGCAAATCATTGTAATCAGTTTGTATTTATGTTTATCACAATTTCCCTGCTTTAATGGAATTGGGTTTTGTACATGCCATGATATATATATATATATATATATATATATATATGTTAAATTGTGTTCACAGATTTGTCCTTATTTATGCCATAGTTTTGTTTTGATATTGAAGGCTTTGGGGTCCTTTAATGGTTTTATTTCTGATGGTAATATATTCCAAATCTGTGGACCTTTGACTAGAAGGAAGACTGGACAAAAGCTGTACTGCACTTTGCAGGTTTAGTCTCCACTGACTGCTCCTCTTGTAAAAGCTCCTTTATATGAGTATTTTTCAATCATTTCACTAACTAGGTCTGGGGCAAAGCCATTCACATATTTAAAAATTTGTTTAAGTAATAAAAGATTTATGAAACTGTCGAATCTCAACAAGTTGTACTTTTGTAGAATTTTGTAATGGTGCCATTTCATTGACTTTTGATTTAGTCTTTTTAAGGTTTTTTTGTATAATGACAGCATGGGCTTCATTACAGATTGAGTGGCCAAGCCCCAGACAGTTAGGCAATAGGAGAAGTGAAAGAGAATCATGGAGTGCATGTATAACTGGGCAGTCTTGATTGGTAGACAAGGTCTTATAAGTCAAAAGTACTTCAGATTAGTCGATGGTTTTGGATACTTTTTTGACATGTCTTTCAAATTTTAACTGGGAATCAAAGATGACATCTAGATATTTAAACTCATTTACACAATTAATTATACAATTTTCACAATTTAAGTTTAAAACATTTTTTTTTTCAGCCACTGACACCCCTGCCAAATGCCTATTTAAGGAATATGCAGCCATTTGTGAGGTGTTTGATGTAATGTAAATAACTGCACCATCAGCGTACATCTGGCAGCTAACATCTTTACAGCTGTCAGGCAGCTCATTGATGTATAAAGAAAAGAGTAGTGGCCCCAGAATGGAGCCTTGTGGCACGCCCAGATTGCAGTTCTAAAAGGATGATATTGAACTATTAATTTTAACACATTGCTGTCAAGATTCCAGATGAGATTTAAACCAGCAAAGGGTATTTGTGGAAAAATTCAGACTTCTGAGTTTATTTAAAAGTAAATCATGGTTTACAGTATCAAAGGCCTTTTTCAGATCCAAAAGTACTGCTTCTACAATTTTACCATCATCTAATGATTTCTTAGAATAGAATAGAATAGAATATCCCTTTATTGATCCCCCACGGGGAAATTTTTTTGTCACAGCAGCATCACAAAGTGCAAAAATGCAGTTATCAAAATAAAGATGGTATATTAAGAACTTAAATAAATTTAAAAACTTAAAAAAAAAATTAGAAAAGGAAAAAGGGAGAAGAAAAAAATAGATAAAAATAAATAAATAAATAAAACTATATACAATATACACAATTTAAATACCAGAAAAAAGTGGTGGTTCTGTATGGTTTCTTAAAGATAGCATGCAGCCATTTCTGTTAAGTATACGGATCGAATCAGAAACCAAATTGTTTTGGGTGGAGGAGCTGGTTGTTGTTAAGCAAGGTGATCAGTTCCTCTGCTACTACCTTTTCTAGAACTTTTGAGATTGCTGGGAGAATTGAAAATGGCCTGTAGTTGCAGGCTTTGTCAGGGTCTGATTGAACAAATTTATCTGATTAGTTATGGGCTTTAATAGAGTGTTATGCTTTTTACAAATTTGGTGTCCAATCCAAAGATATCTTTAGCCTTTGGATTATGTAGTCAATTATTCATTTGTTATATTTTGCTTTCATCAGTCTGATAAAAAAGGAGCTTGGTGTGTGGTTTCCTGAGATGTTTAACATAACTGTTGGTTGAAATTTTACTGCCAGTTCCTTCACGGATTGTAGAAAGAAGGTATTTAGTGCATTTGCAACCACTGAGCTATCAGAGCTAATCGCTCCATTCACATTTAACTGAATTACACTTTTTCTCTGATTTGACTCTCATTTGGTTAACCTGTCAATATGCCTCCATATGGATGAGCTATTACCCTGTGACTGTACAATTATGTTTGTGAAATAGGCAGTTTTCTCAGCTTAGCTACTTCATTTCTAAGGCCTTTGAAAATAAGGGTGTCTGTCTGTAATTTTGAAAGCAAGGATTTTTTCAATGCAAGGTCCCTTTTTTAATAAATTGGCATTAAGCCAGGGGAGAGTTGAAGCTTTTTTTCCCTAGACTTCAATGGCTTTGTAAATTTTTCAATAGTGGTTGTCAGTAAACTCATCAAAATATTACAGCAGTTATTTAAGCCACATGACTGTACAACTGAATCCCAGTTTATGTTCTGAGTTTCATTATCAAATTTTAGAATTTCATTTTTTCTGATCCCATTTACTTTGTTTGTCATGTTTGGACAGTGAAGGAGACACTGTAAACGTTTCTTTGTAAGCCTTGATAATGAGTGTCAAGTTATGATCCGATGGGCCTATCAGTAAGTCACAAGTTCTTGTCACTCGTTCAGGTTTGTGTGTCTTGTTGGGTCATATGTCTTTTGATGCAATTTGTATTTTGATGTACTCATTTTAAGTTTTCTCTTACTGTATTTATCCGGCCAATTTATGTTGAAATCTCCTAGTAGACTAGTGTAACTGTTATAGTTTTAGCAATTGATCTAGATTAGTAAAGATAGAGGTACCATGTGGCGGAGGATTGTACAATATTGCAACATTAAATTTCATCTTTGGTGACAGGGCAATATTTAAAATTGAACATTCAAGATTACCTGTGTCCAGAGAAATAACAGAGCATTTAAAGTTTTCTCTAATATAAATCTGGACTCCTCCTCCTTTTCCTGATTGCCTGTCTTTCTATAACACACATACCCCACCACATTAATCATAGTTGTCAGAGTATTATTATTCAACCACGTTTTGCTAAGAGCAAGGAAATCCAGATTGTAGTCTGTTAGAAGATGTTGAATCTGATCTCTCTTAGGTAAGATACTCCAGATATTTAGATGCCCTCCAAGAATTCCTTCTGGTTAAGATTTTGAGCTCCAGATATTTTAAGCATGGTTTGGAAATACTTGTTTCTTTTGTTTGCATCCAGCTTGATCAATATCTTCATTTTGTTTCTGCAGACTATCTTTAGACTGTCTAGGCCTACATTTTCTGGGTGATTCAGACATAGCGTGGCAGGCTCAGGTAGAGGTACAGTCAAAGTGTGGGTAGTCTTAGCAAGACCAAGCACAGACTTTAAAAACAGGCAAAGATAAGGCCTTTATAATGTGCTGAGGCAGATTATTCCAAAGTTTAGGAGCTGCAACAGCAAAGGCATGATCCCCTCTGAGCTTCCGCTTTGTTTTAGGCTCTCTCAGGAGCAGCTGATTGGCTGACCTGAGAGACCGGGAAGGAGTATAAAAGTGTAGAAGCTCAGAGACGTAAAGCGGGGCAAGATCTTTGAGGGATTTAGAAGCAAATAAAATAATTTTACAATGAACCATAAAATGTATGGGCAGCCAGTGGAGTAAAGCACAAATGGGGGTAATGTGCTCATGTTTTCTAATGCCAGTTAAAAGACATGCTGCAGCGTTCTGCACTATCTGGAGCCGAGAGATGACTGACGCACTTGGCCCCCACGTATAATGCATTGCAGTAATCCAGCTGAGTGGTGACAAGGGCATGGATCACCATCTCAAAATGCTGCCTGGAAAGAATGGGTTTAATTTTAGTCAGATGCCTCAAATGAAAGAAACTTGATTTAACAACAGACCTGATCTGGCTGTGAAGTTTGAGGTCAGGGTCCATCTTTACTTCCAGGTTTGTAATGAACGGTTTCATGTACTGGGTTAGAGAACCAAGCTCTGGCAGGGGGTTCCCACTGGTTCCACCAAAAACATCACCTCAGTTTTGTTGTTATTCAAATTTAAAGTTAAGAGCCATCCAGGCCTTGATGTCATCAGGACACTTAAACAGCGTGGTGACAGAGTCTGTATCATTTTTCTTGATAGGAACAAAAATTTGACTGTCATCTGGAATGAAACACCATGTTTCCCAATTTATTGAGCCAAACTGGAGCAAATAATGAGAGAAGAGGAGAGGGCCAAGCACGGAGCCCTGTGGGACCCCACACGAGAGGGGAGCAGAGGAGGACACAGAGTCGCCAAGGCTAACACAAAAAATTCTGTCGGCCAAGTACGACCTGAACCACTCCAATGCAACACCCCTAAAGATTATTTATAATCTGTTCATAGCCTATACATACACTACTATAGCCTGTACTTACTTATAGTTATAGCATATTCATAACAATGTTATATACCCGTGATATACTCATGTATGTATTTCCTTCATACCATGTACATTGTAAATATATTTATACTTGCTAAGCACTTCTGGATGGATGCAAACTGCATTTCATTGCTCTGTACTTGTGACATGTGCAATGACAATAAATTTGAATTCTATTCTATTCTAATGCCCACACACTGGTCCAGGCGAGAAATTAGGATCTCATGGACCACTGTGTGGAAGGCAGCAGTTAAATCTAAAAGCAGAATCACAGAATCACCAGAGTCTGTAGTTAAAAAGATATCATTAACAACTTTTAAAAGTGCTGGTTCGGTGCTTTGCTGGGATTTAAAACCGGACTGGAAAATCTCTAGGATGTTATGCTGTTTCAGAAAGGCCATTAATTGACTGTAAACTACCTTTTAATGATTTTTGAAGGAGAGGGCAGTTTAGAGATAGACTTTAAATTGGCAAGAACAGCAGGATCTGGTTTTTTGATCAGTGGTTGCACCACTGTTTGTTTGAAATTCATAGGGACCACACCTGAGCACAGACTTTTAATGACTACAGTAACATATGGTCCTAGTGTAGGGAAGACCTCCATAAAAAATTGAGCAGGAACAGCATCATTCCTGAGGGCTTCACATGACCACCAATCTCCTGTAGAGAAGACAGAGTCACAGCCTCAAACTTGTTAAAAACACAGAGCAGGGGGCAGAGACTGAGGGGTCATGAGCAGAGGGAGAAATTAGAGCCCTAGTAGAAGAGACCTTGTTGATAGAAAAAGTGAAGAAAATTACATGCAGACTGTGGGGCATTCAGAACAGAGTCAATAGTTTTAAACAAGATGGGATATCGTTGCAGCCAGCGTGAATAACCGCAGTTTGGATACTTGGACGCTGGGCTATAAGTTCAGTAATTCACTCCAGGATGTCCTTTGCACCCTTGCACCAGGGAAGCACTGGGTCTCCACATCTTGTCCACATGAGTTGAGTTACCAACAACTAAAGTTGCTGGAGAAGGGGCCGCGGGAGGTGTGGAAGATTGAGATGCTGGGATGGATGGAGGATTCCAAACCTTGGATTGGACAAGTTTATGACGGGGCACAGGAGTAAAGTGGGGTGAGGAATGGCGTGTCTTGGGCACGGTGGATTGGAGTTTTCCCGGTTTGGTTGAGTTAAGAGCTGGCGGTAATGTAGAAGATGATCACACAGGTGGCAGTGCCAGTTGGGGACAAAAGTTTGGGTTCTGCAGGCAAAGGAGGAAACTTGTTGAGATCAAAGATGCTAAATCTATTTTCATGAGGGATGTTGGCGGGGGGGCAGAACCAGAACCAACCACCTTCCAGGATGCAGGACAGGGATGGAGTGGAGCTAACAGGGATCTTAGGTTTAGCCCCAAGTAGGATCCATTGGTTCTCTGTGGGGTCCTCTGTTGGATTTGTGGCCAAGGCAGCAGGATCAGCGGCTGCGGCTGCAGACACACCAGTACATATCAGAGACGAGCAGAAGACAGTGGAGTCCATCTCCCTAGAGAACACAGGATTTGGCTGTGCAGATCCAAAAAGAACAACAGAGTCTATTTGTCTGTTCATGATCTAGATTTCATGAAGGGTGGAAATCCTGCCTTCCATCTAAACAGTTCTCTGCACCAGGTGAGCACAACCTTCGCAGCTGGAGGGAGAGGGGAGAGGGGCCATAGTTTATGCAGGTGTCCAAAAAAAAAAATCTGATGCAACACACTGTTTATGTGTAATATCGTCCTTGATAAGGTCAGCTCTTACTGACACATATGAGCCGGTCCAGTTATACGCCCTGTGTTTCTCAGGTGTAGAATGACGTGTCCATCTCAGGTGGATCAATTCGGAGAACTGTACAATGGTTTTAAAGTCATTTATAGTCTCAGTAGTCTTTTTGTGAACATTAGGAGTTCATCAGACCAGCAGCCTGGGGGGGTTGTTTCAGCTGGTTCTGGTCTACAGTGATCTGTAATGCCTACCTGAGGGGAGTACTTCAAACAGTTTGTGTCCTGTATGTAAGTGGTCTGCAGTGATGTTACCTGCCCATTTCCTAACCCTGGATTGGTGGTGGACCCAAACTAAACAGTGATGGATGTGCAGAGGAAAGACTGGATGATGGCCAAGTATAAGTGGATCAGCAGCTCCCGAGGTAAGTGTAACTTCCTTAGTTGTCACAGGGAGTACTACCTCTGCTGGGCCTTTTCCAGATGAAGTCAATGTGGATGGTCCACTTCAGGTCCCTGGAGATAGTGGATCCCAGCAATGGGAATGAGTCCATAGTTGGCACTGTGCTGTTGAAGATTGTAAGGGGGGCAAGTGCAGGAGGAGTGCAGAGTGCTCCTCCTAGAGTTCACTTTCATCTCCACAGTCTTGAATGGGTTCAGCTCCAGATGGTTCTGACAGCACCAGAGGACCAGTTAATCCACCTTGTGTCTTAATACAGACTCATCAAAAGACTGATGACTGTGAAGTGTCATCCACAAACTTCAAAAGTCTGACAGATGGGGCCCTGAGATGCAAGTGCTGATGGTCTGGGTGCTGGATGTAATGTTCCCCAACCTCACCTGCTGCCTCCTATTTGTCAGGAGGCTGGTGATCCACTGGCAGGTGGGGGCTGGTGATTTTGAAGAAGCTAGGATGCAACTGATGTTCCTGTAAGCTGTTGACAGCATCACTTGCTATTGCAGTGCATTTAATCTGCTAATGGTTCATACATCAAGTGCTGGATGGACAATGGACAGTGGTGGAACTCAGAAGAGGAGGAGGGTGGAGCAGAGTAGAAGAGAGACAAACTTAAAGTCCTGACAGGAGAGGCTGCCAAATGTGCAGAAACCACATATTTTCACAAACCAGGACAGACAGTGATCAACCAAAGGAGGAGAACAATATGTTAATAATTGTGCAAGGCTGGGTTACTCTGCTTCCAATCTGGTGTTTCAGAAAAACTGAGAAAAAAAGGTAGTGAGAAATCTTGAATCTTACATCTAACAATGAAACACAAAAAAGCTGCAAGACTGAAGGCAACAAAAGAGGGTGGTACTTTCTGTGGATCTGAGTTTTCTACTGCCCATGTACATCTGTGCTTAAGAGATTAAATAAGGAAGAAAGGTTTTACCAGAGAGAAACAGAAAAAGGGACAAAGGTAGAAATAGAAAGGTAGAAAAAAGAAAGGAAGAAGACAATAAATAAAAGAAGATTCAAAAAAGACAAAAAGTATAATATAGAAAGGAAGACAGACATTGTTTTTGTTTCATTGGTTTGTGTTTTAAATGCACTCACATTTACCTGAGATAAAAAACTAATTCTTCAAAGGTCTAAAAAGTGGCCTGGTTGGGGCTAACTTGGATAACTGTCCCAGTCCAGTCCTGCTTTCAGCCCTTACAGCCTTTTAACAGCCTGTTTTAGTGCGGCAGGATGAAATAATCTGCTGCAGGCATCGCCACACTCCTTTAACCTTCCAGACATTCAAAGCCTGGTAAATGTTAAAGCCCAATAAAAAGTGAGCTTTGAAAGTTGAACCTGAGGGTCTTACCTTCCCGGTGTCCTCTGGCCCGGGCTGCAGGGTGACGGAACATGGCAGGTTCAGAGGGATCTGGGACATATGAAAGAGAACAACAATTCAACTAAAGTAACTCTCTAATCTGCATCTAAAATTTCTTTCTTTATCTCGCTTCCTTTCTTGGCCTCATGTTCACTGGTCCACAGGAAGCACACATCCAAACATCCTTATATGGAGCTCACTGGCTATACATGGGCGGAGGTTTGTGGCTAGCAGGAGCACCTTACGATTGATTGCCATTCATGAATGTTTAAACGTGCCCTTGATCAATTCTGTTTTCTCTCTTAATTTATGGATCTTAGTAGTAACGGCATTTATGTGTAGATCTGTACATAAATTTACTGACATTTCATGAATGAGACCCAAGCTTGAACAGATGGATTCACTGATTTATTCAGTACCTCAAACGTAAAGGGATGAGCGTGTTCTCCCAGTTTTTTAATCAGGCGCTCTTGAAGGCGAGTCAGACTCTTTTTCTCCTCAGGCAGAGGAGGAAATGCCTGGATGTTTGCTACAAACAGGTCTTTCCGAAACGTCAACCCCAGGACGTCCAAATCCTCACGGCCATAACGGAATGCACAGGTGAGAGTCATGAACACTGAAGAGGAGAAAAAAAAACACACAAAAGTAACTCTACATGCAAAGAATAAGGTAGAAATATTTACATAGTGCCGACTGGAGGTTTGCCTTTATATCAAGCTGGCGTGTTGAACTGGGCTGAACATGATCTGCTCTGAAGGCACAGATTGAAACTGATGTATGAAAAACAGGAAGATGAACCAAGGGCCACATGAGGAACTCCACAATCAACTTAAACTGGAAAACACCAGGAGTCCAAGATCTAAGAAGCGCTACAAAGATGACTAGTCCTCCCTAGCATTAAAAAGATCAGTTGGACCATCCTGACATATCAAGAATGAAAAACCTGAACAGGTGAATTTGGTAGTGAATCATGAGTTAATAAAATATTCTTTGGACAGACTTGGTTTTGTGATGAATGTCTGTGTCAGCTTTGGGCAAAGTTTGATAAATCTGGCTGTTTGGGATAATGAGACCTAACCAAAGTGCTTCACTGTAAAAAAGAACAAGTTCCATTCTATAGCCTTGAGGATCACCTCCGGTTAAGGATGAGCAGAAATCTGGACCTTTGCTACAAGCAAGATCCAATCTTGATTATATACTTATCCTATTTCTTTTTTAAAGAAGTGTTGGAGAAGTTTATTCTCTGTAACTAATAATGTAGAAATGGCCGATTCTTGTATTTCATGACTTCATAAATTTGGATCTGGTAATTTAAGGCCATAAAAAGAGTTGAAATATTTGTAGGACAGATGAGCTTGAAAGCGTTCAAGAGAAAAAAGTTTTTGGTTGGCAGATTTAGTTATTGTAGAGAAAGTATAACTTGGTTAACTGTGTTACGAACTGGCAGTCAAATGTGAGCAGCATGTTGGAGGTCTGGGGGTCTCACCTTTCCTCTCTTTAAGGTACTCTGGGTCAATAAGGACGACACCGTCTGCAGGAAAAGAAGTTTGAGAGAAAGAGTTTTTCTTTGGATTACCGACCGAACTTTAAAAAGAGTGACCAACAGCATATAACTGATCTCACCAACAGGCTCCACCAGGTCCACATGGTCCACAAAGTCTCTTTTCCCCAGGTAGACGGTGAGCTAAGGAAGGGACAAAGCAGTCAGAGTCAACTGTTGGATCAGGCAGGCAAACAGAGCAACACTTCAAGAATCTGAACCTACGAGTTATTTATAAACTTAAAAAAAAATTCACGAACAAGCAAACAAACCAACAAAATCTGAGGAATTAATCCATTTCTTTCTGAAAGACCACCAGGGCTCTTGCATTCTTGTGTCTGTAGTTTCTTGTTGTCATCCTGAATTTGAATGTTAGATATTTTCCTTTTGGATGGACAATCAGGTAGAGGAGGGGGTCACATTAACAGCGTTATTATTTAGAGTGGTCTGGCTGCAGACCTCTACAGTCAAGACTCACCTCCACCGTGAGGACTCACACACTCCAATTTGTTTGAGGTGATCGTCCAATTGGAAATCAATTAGAAATAAAATATAGCAACAAAACATACATATTTCCTGGTCTAATCGCTTTTAATTTAGAAAGGCTTTGAATCAACTTTGGTGGGAAAAAACTGTACTCCCGCTTTTTTTGCTTTCATTTTGAAAGGCTTCAAACAACTTTCAGTCTGCTCAGTTGAGGTGGGTCATCACAGTGGAGGTCTGCAACAAAGGGTCCTGACAGTGGGGGTCTGCAGCCAGACTGTCTTGTGATTATTTGCTCTGTATTATAAAAGATCATAAACATCTACGAAAACTGCACCCTGTCCAGATGCATGAATTAAAAATTGAGTCACTGAACCCTGGATACTCGATTTCTTGGGTGTTTGTAGTGTTTGTGTCCTCACAGTTTGAAAGGAGTGAGGGTTAGAGGAAAAGGGCATCAGGTTCAAACTCACCTTTCCATTGGGACTGGCTTTCTTGAAAACTCTGAAAACAAAAAAGAGAGGCAGTTTAGTGCATCAGTCACCTGGACACATCTTTGATTAATGTTTAGCAATATTTATATTCCAGCTGTCACTAAAAACACTGTGCAGAAATGTAATTAACACTTTTCAGTGCAGGATAAAAATAAAGCAATAAATCAATAAATCAATAAATCAATAAATAATAATAACTTTATTTATACAGCACTTTGACAACAGTTGCAAGCACAGAACATCAGCACATGAAAATAAAAGCAAATAAAAACAAAAGCTCAGTTAAAAACAGGCCTCTGAATTGAAGGCCAGTTTCATTTTTCATAAGAAACCCAGGCAATACAAGAACCCTACAACATAAAATGAGACCATGAGGACCAAAATAAAAACATAAAATAGGTAAGAAGAAGAATGAAATAGAAAAGGAGGGCAGAAAGCAGAAAACAGGATAGTAAGTATAAAAGAGGATATTAATAATGATAATAAAATTATAATGAAATAATAATAAATGTAATATAAATGATAAAATGGAATAATAAAAATGAACAGGGAAAAAAACCCCATTAAAATCAATAAAGGACCTAAGAGGTAAAATAAGAAAAGATTCTAAGTAAAACAAAGGCTAAAAGGATAGCAAATCGAAATAAGACAGAGGTAAAAGAGATAAAAGAAAAAGGAGAAAAAAGGTAAAAGACGGCATCACATAAAAGCAAGTCTGTAAAAGTGAGTTTTTAAATTTGACTTAAAAGAAGCAACTGTCTCTGCATGCCTTATCTCCTCTGGCAGGCCTTCGCCAGAGAATCTGAGGCTGCGAGTTGGTTCATAAGGTATTAAAAGCTCTGAAATGTAGCTCGGAACGAGTCCATATAGGCTGAGTTATGGAAATAAGATCAGAGATGTTGGAGAGAGAGCAATTTTCAACTGCCACGACGGTGGGAATGAAAGAAAAAAGAATGCACATGTGCAGAAATTCAGGTGTTCAGGTGCACAGGAGTTCTGGTATTCAGGGGTTAAGATGTTCAGGTATTCAGGAATTCAGGTGCCAAGGAGCTTTGGAGTTCAGGAGTTCAGGAGTTTGGGTGTTTAGGAGTTCAAAGATTCAGGTGTTCAGGTGTTTCAGGAGTTCTGTTATTCGGGTGTTCAGCTGTTCAGGCGTTCAGGTGTTCAGGTACTCAGGCGTAGAGGTGTTTAACCATTTAGGTTTTCAGGTGTTCAAGTATTCAGGTGTTCAGGCATCCAGGTATTTAGGTTTTAAAGTAATTTTAAATGTTCAGGAGTTCTTGTTTTCAGGTGTCAGCTCTCAGTCTGAAGGTACACTGACTTTTGGATGTTAGCATGCAGGACTGACAACTGTCAAGTGATAATATTACTTGAAAAGTTGGATGGGCAGCGTAGGGGTATAGTTGCCTGAGAGGTTGTGAGTTTGTGTCCTTCTTTAACTCTTTGGTTGGTGACTATGATTCACTGTGACGTATCATTGAGGTGGAGCCCCCTTTGAATCTTGTGACAGAGCAGATTGCCTACTGAAACCTGGTCCAGACTTAAGGAGTCAGTGGGGTGATTGGGCCTGTGGGGGAACTGTACAACCCCCTGTTACACAAAGTTAGCCCTGTGATCACATATTTTACTCATCCTGGGACAGACAGAAGCATGTGTCATCAGCGCAATGTAGGTTGAAATACATTTTTTTTACAGTTAAAAGTGAATTTCTCATGTTTAAGGAGTCATGGCTCTTGTGCCTGAACGATTACAGACAAGTTCAAAGAGCTTTGAGTCAGGTGTCGCTCACTCCAGCATGAAACCAGCTCAAAACTGCTGGATGTCACAGATTTATTTAAACAGTTGAGCTGGGATCATTGGAGAGTGTACCCATGACGACCACTGATGACTGATTCCACAGGTTACTCCCTACTGTGTGCGGTGTTTGGTTTGGACACTAACCCTTCACCAGCAGCCAGAGTCCACGCTGTCAAAACTGAAAATGTTGTGAAGTCCCTTGTGGTCAAACAGGATATAATTCAGCAGACGACTGCAGCCAATCATGAGGATTTCTTCTAAACACCTCTCTGTCATTACTGATCATGTTGTGTCGTCACCTGAATCAACAGGAGTATTCAATGTACTGTGATGTTGATCAAAGTTTAAGTTTTTCAGTACCCTCATCACCATGGCTGCATCTTTGACAGAAAAATGGTTGTCAAGCATGGTTGCTTGCTAGTAAAAAGGTAGTAAACAAAACCTCAACAGATGAAGATAGGATGTAAAAAAAAAAAGGAAACTTTCCTGGCATACCAACAGTTCAGAGCTGTAAAAGTTAATGTTTCATGGTCCATGTGTTTCATGTTAGCCTCTTGCCAACCTGTTTTAGTAATAGTAACAAGCTGAAAGGAGGCATTTTGCCACCTGCTGTGAGGAGGTGGACATGCTTCTGCCAATAACTGGACTCTTGCTCAGTTCAGGTAAACTGAGACAAAGACAGCAGTCCAGTAAAATCACCCAGTGGAGCTTGAACTGCAGCTGGAATGAACTGTGGATGTGAATGTGCTGAGTATCTCATGGTTTCTGAGCCTGCTCAGTCTCCTTTGCCATCTTTTATGGAAAATATCAAGAGCTGACCTCTTCATGGCATCTCTGACCCTTTGAACCTGATGTAACCTTCCTCCTGAAGAATGATTTTAGAGATTTGATGTGACAGTCCTTAATATTTCCACTTTTTCAACAGTAAAATTATGTAATCATTAAAATGATCAAACCACATTGTGTTGATGTTGTGACCCTTCGTTATGGGCTGAAAATTGGTGTGAAGTAGATTTGGGACCAACAGACTGGATTTCAGCACTCAGTGCACATAAACAGCTCTCCATCATCTTCATCCTCTTCATCATAATCAGCAGCTTCCTGTCTCTGCCTCTGTCTAATGCTGCCTGACATTATGACCCCCACCCCCACCCCCTCCACCCTGTGTTAATGTTGTCATAAATTAGCTGCTGCGGCTCCATTAGCTTTCAGCTTCCTCCTGAGTGGATCTTCATCAATCAGCAGCATCAGGACGCCTTGTTACTAGAAACCGCCGGGGACTCCTGGGAGCTCGCTCGGCAGGCGATTACCTGCTCACCATCATTTTACAGCAATTAGTCTGATTAAATCTGAGTGCTGTGTAATCTCAGATTACAATTCAGAGAGAAAAACATCGACTGAAGGATGACTGAGTTCATAAAAGAGTTTTTGTTCAGATCAGTCAGTCACTTACATCTGCAATAAATCCTCACCACCTCCAGCCATCTTTTAACCGTCATTGGTTGATTTTCGTCCCAGTGCATATCAGTAAGAAGTCTCTTTACAGTCCGTCGTGGGAGGCTAACTATCAGGTAGCCTGTCATAATCCAAACATAACAGATGCTGACAGCTGGAATCATCAAAAACTAGAGTCTTATTACAACCTCAGCCTTAAGAAAAGAGACAGGCAGAGGCAATATTTTTAAAGACAAGACTGAGAGTATCGTCTCCATCAGATTGGAGCACGCTGTGGATACAAAAAACCTGGGTTTTAGGAAACAAGGTAGCCTTAAGTGTCTGCTTGAATAAAATACAAGGAGGTCTGATGATCATCTGAAAGGAACACTTGGATGTCTTTGAGGAAGCAGGTCTGTTCATTCTTTGACACAGGAGTAAAACTGATCATAACACCAGCTGGCGCTCAGCAGACAGTGCTGCTGAACTGATCATCAACTTTGACAGAGCAGGGGTACATCACATTTCACTTATATTCAGACTCAGAGTCATTCAGCAAAAACTAACAGAGTTCGGTTGAAAGGAGAAACATGCAGAAAAGAGGGAATCTGGTGAAGTTTAAGGCAAGTTTTTTTTTTACACAAGCACATTTTGAAACAGTGAACTATTCTTGTTTACACTGACTCTAAAATCAGAGAGTATTGAACAAAGACTACATTTAGACTGAAATGAAAACTGAGATCCTTTGGCCAAATCTGGACCGAAACAACACAAGATACAAATGTCAAGATCTCAGACTAGCTAGATCAGTGTCTTTTCCTATAAATCCCTTTTAAAAAACACATCTTTATTGTAAAGGCTTTGTAGGAGCTGTGTATTATTCATGATCTCTTGTCTATTTGATTGTTTTTCCATTTGTCAAGATTTTTAATATATTTTATTTATTCTTCAATCTAGTCTGACAAACTTGTTGCCTCTACTTTGTGTATTCTTTTATTTTAATCAATGATTATTTTTCTTTTACTGTGTTTTTCACTGATGAAATTTAATGTTTTTGTAAAGCACTTTGTAACTTGGTTTTGATAAGTGCTATATAAATAAGCTTTATTATCCTTTTTTTTTTCTTGCTTAAATTGTATTTTCTCTGTATTATGACCTTGTGATTCTGTTCCCCTGTGTTCTGGCTCTTGCTCTTGTTTTTCTCTGTTTCGTCTTATGGTCAGCATTCGGACTGGAGGTCCCAGGGTCAAGATGAAAGACACCTCTTAAAGTGGTGAAGAACAAGCGAGCCAAGGTCCTGTGGGACTTGCAGATCTAGACTGACAAGATGGTGATAGCTGTTTGGCCTGACATAGTGCTGGTTGATAAGCATCAGAAGACAGCGGTTGTGATAGATGAAGCAACCGAGCCATAGCAGTATCAGGAAGAAGAAGCACAAGAAGCTGGGGAAATACCAAGAGCTGAAGGAAGAGCTAGAAAATATGTGGGGTGGATGGCTCCAGATAACGGGAACAACATCTGAGATCTCCGTCCAGAAGTGCGCACTAGAGGATGACATTTTTCGGGAATTCCCGTGGGTCACGTGATTCCTGCAGGAATCCCATGGGATGGGAGTCATTTTTTAATTAATCCCGTGATTGTGACGGGACGGGGAAAAAAAAGCAATGGGAGCAGGCAGGAGCAGGAACAATATTAATAGATGATCATTTTCAGCCGTGTTAAACAATCAGATGAACAGATGCGTCCATTTTTGTAGTCATCTCTCAGTGAGAGTCAACACTCTTGACCGTGCTAGCAACACAAAAGAACTACAACAGTGGTTTGACTTCCTGTCCGGCTGCACATTTTTACCCTTCAAGCCAGGAGCGCGGATACGTCATTTTGTGACATTCGGTAGTTTTTTAATTATTTCTGGAGTCGTGGCAAATCAAATCACCATACCCGTGCGCTTCTGATAGGCGAATAAAGCGTGCAGATTCATGCTCGGATCTTGCTACGTGCTTCAAGAGTAAAGTAAACAATGATGGAGGCAGAGAGTGGCTTCAGAGGAGAAACATCCAGCAGTGTGAACAACCTCTTCATATGGAGGTCTTTGGTTCACACTATCAGCGTTTTCTGTGAGTGTTGCATGACTTTGGGTGAGCACAGACATGAACACACTTCAGCCACGTACTTATTTATTCAATTTTCTAGTTTTAATTGCTGGTCTTGTACTGGCACTATACGGACAGCTGTATACCGTTTCATTTAAGTTTGTTTTCAAAATTGTGATGAAGGTTCAGAAAAATAATAGATAGCTTTCTTAAAAGCCACACCTTTAAGCCTGTAACCTCTCAAATACTTTTTGAATTTGTTTCTATCTGCTTCCGGGGCTGAGATATCAGCTTTTTTTGTAAACCTCAACAGTTAAGAAAACCTCAGGATCTGGGGGCCCTTCTCAAAATGGCCCTCAGGATTTCAGAGGCCCGGCTCAGACAGAGTTCAGGTCTTAATGGGTTAATAGGGGAGCAGATTTCTTATGACGAGATTATTGATGATTTTGCATCAAGGAAGGCCAGAAAGGTCAGGTTTTAGTTACAGTTTTTGTTTTCTGTTCATAGAGCAATCACATTTTCTTAGTGTTTTCAAATTTGTGTGATTTGCTATGTAAGATTATTAGTCTATATTTTATTTAATATTCTATATTATTATTCTCTTCTCATACTGTCTTGTTACATATTTTGTTAAATATTTGCCACTTTTGTGGATATAGTGTATATTTATTATTTAAACTCTGATAACCTGTTTTGTGCAGAATTGCCCCATTGTCTTTTGCAATGTTGGAGGTGGAGAATATATTTGTGTGTGTGTGGTGTGTGTGTGTGTGTGTGTGTGTGTGTGTGTGTGTGTGTGTGTGTTGGGGGTGCTTGGAGGGGGTCTCTCCCGGGGAGTGATTTAGTCTAGAACCGCCACTGTATATATATATATGCACTTTGTTTACACCGACCGAATGTCAGGCATTGCATGCAGGCAAAGGCAATGCATTTTATATGCAGTGCATTTTACCTAAAATAGAAAATGCAACGTTTTTTTGGTTTTATTCTAACGGGAGCGGGACAGGAGTGGGAGTAATTTTGAGTGGGAGCGGGATGGTAGTGGGACAGGATGGGATTAATTTTTTTACTCTGGTCCGGGATTGGAACGGGACAGGATTTTTTCTCTGGGAGTGGGATAGAACAGGAGTGAAAATCCGCTCCCGTGTCATGCTCTAGTGCGCACTAGAAGGAACAGCTAAAAACCTCACAGGACCCTCAGGCTCCCAGGCCTTGTGGTAGAGGATCCAAGCTTGAAGGAGACACAAGAGGCCCAGACTGGGTGAGGGAGATTTTTTTTTGTAATATGCATACTGTGTCGTTTGCTTTCTGTCAAATATGTCAGTGAGGACCCTGAAAGCCTAATGAGGAGAGCACTTAGAGTTAATAGACCAACAACACAGAGAGCAAAAAACATGTAAACATGATTAAAGATTCATCCAGAGAGAAAAGTTGTACGCGCACACACACACACACACACACACACACACACACACACACACACACACACACACACACACAATGGTGAGGGAGTAAAGACATGCTGCAGAATCAGATATCATCTCCAAACACCTGATTTAACGTCAAGAATGAAACCGAAATGGACCCAAAAATAAACCACAGGAAGCTGAAAACACATCAGACATGTCCGATTTCCCACTGTCTATGCTTGAGTGTTACATTCAAGTCTTTAAAATAACTTTTCAAGAGCAGAGAAAAAAACAGATTCAGCATGAAGTGGCTGTACTTGTCAAATTTCTACCCCAAGAATCAGAGGAGTCTTCTTAATGGTCAAAGAAACACATCTCACCTGTGAAAACACCTTTACCTGCAACATCTTAGAGAGTTTCTTTGCCCCAGAGAAGCCTGAGAAAAAAAAACCCTGGGATTAAAACCTACTAAATTATTTTTCTGTGGACCCTCTCTGATGTCTCCCCTCTGCAAACAAAGCTTCTCTGATCGTTTGATGGCCTGATTGATCAGGAATCTCCCACGGAGAGGAAACACTAACTGGCAGATCAATGTGTCATTGTTGTGTCAGCTCTCTACTTGAAGACCCCCAGGATACTGGAACGGCTGCAGAGACTCAAGTTGACACCTGAATGTCACCTGATATCAGAGTCCAAGGGCTCTATTTTCGTGCTTTGCCGGAGACGTGGCGCAGGCACAACATAAGTCAGGTCCACCACGCCAACAAGGCATTCCCAAGTACAATTTGGTATTTTGGTGTGCGGCACAGCCCTGTGTAAATTTCCCCCTCCCTAACTCAGCTCCTCCCAGCGGCATTAGTCGTAGCGAGGGAGGAGAGAGGGCATGGAGTGGGTTTAACACAGCCGAGACCTGTTTCAACAAATAACATAAGCTCCTCTCCTCGCCTTTAAATCCACCACTGGCGAGGCATATTACAATTTTCGTGCAGTCGTCTAAGAGATCAAGAGATGTCTGAAGACAGTAATGCCACACGATGGCGACAGAAGGCAGCCGCTCAACAAGTGTCACTGTAAGTGCTGCAGGGGACGTCCTGCACACTCTCTCATATAAGCACAGATGGATTTGGTGTGTGTAATGTTGGACCCACTGGTAAGACAAACATCCCTTTTCACAAATAGAGACACACACATAAAGTTGCACATATTCAAACCTCACGTGACAAAGGTGGGTTGTGCGCAGGGATCACAACATAAATTCCAATAATGGCATTATAATCGGAACCATCTGTGCATAAAGGATGTATCGCGCTCTGTGGCCTGGCTCTTTCTTTTATAGATGTTGGCATATAGAATAAATTTGGCTCACAAAACTGAATATTATAATATTCGTATGTAGGCTTAAAGTAAATAACTCATCTGATCACTGAAACAAATCATCTGTTCAGCCGCCGCAGCTGCAGCAGGACGGGGAGAAGACACAGAGATATGTCCAGGTCAAGCTGCGCGAGAAATAAGAGGAAGAGGAAGAAAGAAAAGGAGGGAGACAATTTATATATGTTGTTAACTTCATCATGTGTGTCTATTTACTAGATATTTAATTTAATTTAATGCGGTTTCAGCTGTGTTGATTCAGTCAGGTTGTGTGTCCAAACGCGTGCCAAACGTGCTCATCAGATCAGATATAGATCAGAATATATCGATATAGATCTAAATGTATGTGCTGACTCAGATTATTAGTTTTTGTAGATTATTTATTGCACTGAAATGTGCCTGACACTGTGGAAACCTGCCGGTGAAGCATTGGTGATTAATGCAGATACGCCACAGGTCTACCAAAATACCACTAGACCAGCTGCGCTCCGCCTGCGCTGAAAGCTGACCAGGTTTGAATCGGCAAGCTTTCAGCACACTTTACACGCCACTGGCAAGCACGAAAATGTCACTGCACCAGCTGATTCTGTCCACACCACCCTCTGCCACACCACCATGCCCAGCTTGGCGGACCTCGGTGCACCTCGGTGCACCGCAGTCCACGAAAATACCAAACTGGCTGTACGCCGGGCTCCGCCAGATGAAAATACCACTGCGTGGGGTCTGCCGCCTCACCGGCGGACATGAAAATAGAGCCCCAAGAGTCAAAGTTCCACGTTGACTTCCTGTGTCCTATTTTCTAAAATCCGTCAGATGAGCTGAACCCAGAGAGATAAGAATGAAGCATTCATCGATTGAAGCTTGTGTTTAATCACCTAAAAATTCTGTGTCAACCTCTCCACAGGATCTTCAACCTGAGTCTACAGCTGGGGCGGGTACCTACTCTGTGGAAAACATCCTGCTTTGTGCCAGTACCAAAAACAAAATGTCCTGCTGAACTCAGACCAGTGTCCCTCACTTCACACATCATGAAAACCCTGGAGCGGCTGATTCTATGACTTCTGAGGTCTGAGGTCAGAGACAAACTGGATTCCCTGTAGTTTGCATACAAAGAACACATTGGAGTGGATGATGCTGTCCTCTACATGCTTCACCGTGTCCTGTCTCATCTGGAGGAACCTGGGGTTTATGTGAGGATCATGTTCTTCAACTTTTCAAAAGGCTGGCTCTGTGGTTGGATTCAAGAAGGACTCAGCAGAGGATGTGGTGTAGAGATCTACACTGAGGCAGGTGGAGACTATTCACAAGAACACGGATCACCCACTTCACAACACCTTAATGAACCAAAGGGCCAATGGTGGTGGACGGCTCCTCTCTCTTTGCTGCAGGACAGAAAGACTCAGAAGATCTTATTGTTGATCTTTTTGTTTTTGTTCTTCTTCATCATCTACCTTTTCTTCTTCTTTGTCTTCTTCAGATGTAGATTTAACTCTGCCTTTACTTCTACATAGGAAGGGGTCCCCTTACAAGGAGGCCGTCATCTTGCACTGCCATGTTTTTATAGTAGCTCAAAAGGGACAAACCAGTAACATATGTGTTTTTTGTCTGTTTGGATAAAGCTGAAGTTGAGCGGTTGTTTTGTTTTTGTAGAGAATTCATATTTTTAGATGCTTTTGGTGGCAAAAACTTGACAAATCAGGGATCATGCATCACAGGAGCTTCTTGTCCTTGGAGGCCACCCACCATTGATTTTTAATGGAAGGAGTGAGCAAGGGACAGTTCAGTTTTGCTAAATACTCTCACTTTGACACACCAGACTTTAAATGTATAACGGACAGATTTGGCTGCAGCAGGGCTCTCAAGTCTCACGCATTTGGCATGTGACAGACGCATTTCCACATGCTACACATTGTATTTCTCACGCATTTAAATGACCATGGTGACTTCCACCAAGTTGCACCTCTTACACAATGAAACAGGTAGGAATGAAGTGAGTTTCCTCGAGAGTTCAGAAGCTGCGTGCCACACACAAGCCAATCAAATAAAGTATATCTACAAACACCCATTTAAAAAGTAGCATTGCTGTATCCGGGTAGATTTTGATGAGTTGGGCTACAAAAGGAGAGGGACACTCGTTGAAATGAAGCAGGTCTCATAAGGACAAAAAAACCGATAATTACTGTAAGTCAGTAACCTACACCTGCAGAGGCCTTAACACCTCATGGCATATAGGCTCATATGATAAACTAAATCCCTATGCTATTGCTATTTTCAGCTGCATTGACAGATTTAGCCTCTGTAAAGCCATTTCCAGCCATTTCCCTCAAAGTCCACCTGTTTTTTTCTGTGTAAAAGATGCATTTCTCACATATTCTTTTTAAAGTTCTGATACTCATGACAATGTAATGCTGATGTACCAAAGGATTAAGTATCTCCATGTTTGTGAAACCTGTACTCATCAAAATGCTCCACAGCCCTCATTCTAACAACTCTCCTCCACAACAGGTAACTTTACTACTTTATTATTATACTATTACATTATCTTCAATCACTCTTCACCATGCTGGGTGAGGGTGTTTTTCTGCAGCAAGAATCAATGCTGGACTCAGAAAGAGCAAGTCCTTTAAAGGGACTAGGACGGTGCAGGAGCTGCTCTGTATGTCAGACCAGTCCTTCTGAGCCCATTAAGATTCTCCAGAGCAGACCCACTTGCACCATTCAGCCCGCAGGCACACACACACACACACACACACACACACACACACACACACACACACACACACACACACACACACACACACACACACACACACACAGGCTGTTTCTTAAACACTGCTTTAACTCCACAAAGTTGTAACATGTCAGCCTTTTTTAAACTGAACACAAGAACTCATGAGCAGTCCTTCTGACTGTGCTCACCTCACATGACTCTGTGACATCATCACACCACACACACACACACACACACACACACACACACTGAAGTTCAGACCTCCAGTTTCTCGCTGCAGCTCAAAATTTAAAGCAGCACAGAGAGAAAAGATGAAAATAATGATGAACCCATTTATATATATGAACCCATCATTGCCTTCTTACACTGAGTCTTAGTCTCATAATCCATTTTAAAACTCTTTTAATCACTTTAGGCTTTAAGCTGCATATCTAAAATGCTTCCCCTCATCTGCCATCATCTCTGATTTACTCTGTAGGGTTCACTCTGGGTCTTTAGTTTGAGGCCTCCACTTTGAAATAGCCAAGAGGTTTCCACCTGAGGATTTGAGGCTGTGAGATTGGAGGGAAATACATCAGGAATAAAAAAGAAAAGATATCAGGAAGGAAAAAATCACAAAGGAAAGGACATTAGGAAGGAATCACATCAGGAAGAAAATACATCAGGAGGATATATACCAGGAAGGACACATGTCAGGAAAGAAACACATCAAGGAGGAAACATATCAGGAAGACCCAGGATGAGCTAATAAACCCAGCCTACAGTCTGATACCCGTAGGTGACAGGGTCCTGGTTGTTTTAAAGTGGAGGCTGAAAACTAAGGGTTACTGAGCTGGAATTTGGGAAGACAGGCCTGGGGAGAGGAGGCTCACAGGATCAAAACTCACTTTTATACATTTGCCTGTACATGATGATGTGGTCTTTCTGTTCCTTCAGACGGTACGAATCTAACTCTGCTTGTACCCTCATCATCATGACTATTCCTCTTCGGGTCAGCTTGCCTCCTGATTGGCTATCGTTTCATGCCATTTGATAATGGACAGAGTGTGTGCTCTCCCCAGTGTCCTTTCCATTGTGGCCAAAGACATCTCTAAACTAGGTATTTAACAGAAAAAAGCTGATCAGGAACTACATCAGTACCCAGGGTCCATGCTGCCTCCGGAGTCCCAGCCAGTACGTTTTCATGTGGGTCAAAATAATCCTTTATTGTCTCAGTCTGACTGAAACTGGACTTTTAAACTCATGTTTATGCATTAGTCTGACAGAAATCATACGTTGAATGGCAAAGTTGTGTCGGTAAAAAGTTGAATAGTAAACAAACAAAAGATGAAACAAGACATAAAAAAGAGGAAACCTTCCTGGGGTGCTAACAAACAGTTCAGAGATGTCGAAGCAGCTGTGTTTTCATGGTCCACGTGTTTCATGTTTGCCAACTGTTTAGATATGTAACACGTCAACCAGGTGATGACCTGAAAGTAACAAGCTGAAAGGAAGCATTTTGACACCTGCAGTGAAGGGGGGACACGCTTCTGCCAATAACCAGACTCTTGCTCAGTTCAGGTAAACTGGGACAAAAAGCAGTCCAGTAAAATCACCCAGTAAAGCTTTAACTGTAGCTGGACTGAACTGTGAATGTGAACATATTGACTCAATCTCTGCTGCAGACCAAAGAAACAGATACCGGTGTGAGACGGAGACTGGACTTCAATCACATTCGTTTGTTTTGTTTGCTGATCAGAGCCATGGAGAAGCTACTATGAGGCTTATCCAAATTGAATCAGAGATGGTGAAAAATATACTGGGATCTTCAGCGTCTCTAAGAGTGACCACAAAAAGGTCAGGGCACCCCAGAAAGTCAGGTGACCAGGCATTGGATCAACTAGCGATGAGCTGGAGCTCTCAGCACTGCGGGGTCTATGTTCATGCTTCACCGGAGACGTGGCGCAGGCGCAGCGTAAGTCAGGTCCACCGCACCGACAAGGCATTCCCAAGTACAATTTGGTATTTTGGTGAGCGGCACAGCCCGGCGTAAGTATCCCCCCTTCCTAACTCAGCTCCTCCCAGCGGCATAAGTCGTAGGGAGGGAGGAGAGAGGGCGTGGAGTGGTTTTAAGAAAAGGAGGGAGACAAATTAAATATCTTTTTAACTTCATCATGTGTGTCTATTTACTAGATATTTAATTTAATTTTAATGCAGTTTCAGCTGTGTTGATTCGGTCAGGTTGTGTGTCCAAACGCGTGCCAAACACGCTCATCAGATCAGATAAAGATCAGAATATATTGATATAGATCTAAATGTATGTGCTGACTCAGATTAATATTGGTGATGAATATTGATTGCACTGAAATGTGCCTGACACTGTGGAAACCCACCGGTGAGCCATCAGTGACATATGCTGATATGCCGCCGGTCTACCAAAATACCTCTAGACCAGCTGTGCTCCGCCTGCGCTGAAAGCTGACCAGGTTTGAATCGGCGAGCTTTCAGCGCACTTTATACGCCACCAGCGAGCACGAAAATGTCACTGCGGCAGCTGATTCTATCCACACCACCCTCTGCCACGCCACCACGCCCAGCTTGGCGGACCTCGGTGCACCTCAGTCCACGAAAATACCAAACTGGCTGTACGCCGAGCTCCACCAGACGAAAATACCATTGCGCGGGGTCCGCCACCCTCCGCCACCTCACCGGCGGACACGAAAATAGAACCCTGCATCTCAGGGTGACAAGAGCATCCAAAGAAAATACAAGCCACAGGGTAGGACAAGTGAGCGCCAGATTTAGAGATTCAGAGTTTTCCAGAATTAGACAGATGCCAGGTTCTTAAAAAACACTGAGATAAAAAGATTTAGATGATTTTTTCACTTTAATCAAGACTTCATGAGAAAATGATCAGATGCCGATTCTTATTGATGCCGGGATACCAATCCAAGTTTGACTGTATTTGACTGATGGCTCACACAAATCATTTCTGTCCTTCACTGAGAGCTGAAAAGCGAATTAATTAGACTTTTTTTAGCAAGCAGATGTTTGATGAATTTGTTTCATTTCTGCTCTTTTTCTGCTCTTGCAGTTCTTTATATGTTTGCGGCACTTTTTTTCCTTTTTCAGCACATCTTCACGGTGGCGTTTGGACTGACTCACATGTTTCTAATGTTCTGAAGATCATTCAGGCAATTGCAGATTTTACAGTCATCTAACAACCAGAGTTGTCCTATATTGAGGTCATTGCAGTATTTTTAAATGCATGGTCTAGAGTTGACTCTGCAGATTTACTTCAGTCACAGCATACACAGACCTGCAGCAACAGGTCAGTGGTCTCCTACACACGACATGGAGCTAAAACTGAAACACTCAAAACCTCAACAGTGGGTTAAAAAAGAGAAAATACCCAAACAAACTTCTGGGAACAGACACAACAAACGTTAACTAAAATTTAATAACATACACTTTAATAAAAACAACACTGACTGACTCTTAGACTTGTGCAGGAGCGTCATTGACTGAAAAACTGGAAAGAGGACCTCAGCAGTGCAGGTCTGAGCGCCTGTGACTGTTTCATACTGCCCTGAAACCTTCAGGATGGCATCTTAACTTCATTCTGTACTGTATTTGTCTTCCTTATGCCGGAAATCTCTTTCAGGATGGTTTCCTGTCTTCTGAGAAGAACTGTAACCTACACTTTCTACTGAGATGAGCCAAGTTACTACACTGGCCTTGACTGATTTTGCCTTTCAGACTGTTTCATGGATTGCACAAAACCAGAATCTGGCTCAGGATCAGGATCTTTAATCTGGTCAGTTTAGTCTCCTGTGGGAGAAAATGTCCTGACTATGAAACTGAACCAGTTAAATAGTTTTAATTTGTTAATCACTGATGTCATAATTTCTTATGATGGCAACAGATCACTGCATTACCATTCCAGTTTCCTGTCTGTGTGCTCTGTCAAAATAAAGGCAGAAAAACAGGTACACAAGAAAAACCGTCCTGTTGTTCTGCGCACAGACGTCATAGAGCTGGAGGATCTAAGAGTGTGTTATGTAATGTTACAACTACACAGTGTGCAACTCTCCTTCCAGATCACTCACACACACTCTTACGCATACACACTCTGTCTATGTGTTTAAAGGTTCTGTGAGGACCTCTCAGCAGCAGATTAAAATGAAGGAAGCACCAACAGAAAACAGGCTCTTTACCTCGTTCCTTTATCTCCCATCCTGACAACAGCGACGAGCCGACAGCAGCTGGACACAGAGATGGTAATGGAGGAGGAGGATGGAGGGATGCCGTCACCGTGGAAACTGTGGGGAGGATGTCTTCCTGTCTCTTTCTCTCCCTCTCTCTCTCTCTCAGGAAGTCGTCGTCATGCCGTCAGATTCTCCTCAGCGGGAGGAAAAACCTCCATCTGAGCTCTGACTCTGACACACTGCTCCTCCCCGCTTTTACTCACACGCTCCCTCCCTGCCTCTTTCTCTCTCTCTCTCTCTCTCTCTCTCTCTCTCTCTCTCTCCTGTCAGACTCATTAGGAGAAAAATGTGTGAAAACATAAAAACACCCAGAGGACAGGTTTTATTTCTGTCTCACATTCACATCACACTCTCAGCTGGACTCTGACCTCCATCACCCTCTGCCCGTCCCTCACTCAGTGAGCAGATTTACATAATTCATTAAAGACATTTATATTTCATTCATCAGGGTTAATAATTGAGCTACAAACCTTAACATGTTGTTAAACGTGCCTCACACACCTATGTTAATCTACTGTTCGATCAACTTTGTGTCTTTATGAGCAAAAAAAACTTAGACCCCGATATACACGCTGGTACACATTTATATAAAAATGTGAAATGTGTTTTTGCTGCAGCTGGAGGTCTGTTAAATCTTCAAATGTTGATTCTATGGAAACACTTTCAGCCTGCTCGCTCCTCCTGATTCTTCTGTGAACCACTTTGCACATGGTAGGACAGGGAGCTCAAAGACAGAGCATTCTGCTCTCTGCAGCTTCTCTCCTTGAAGTCATTTTCTTTCACTCTGTCAGCCTCCACCGTTGTTGCCCTGCTACAAACCACGTTTCCCTCTTTATGATGGCAAAGGATGAAATACAGCATAACTTTATCTGTTGCAGCCAATGAGTTTGCACATAAATTGCAATGGAGGTGTGCTATCCCTGCCTCAGAAAGTGTCATTTTGAGGTTCCAAAGGTCCTGAAGACCTCAAATGAAGCTCAGAGAGGTTCTCTCCTGGCGTGGACTTGATTGCCTTTTTGTGAATTTTGTGGGCGATAAATAGAAATTAGAGTCAGCAACAACAGAATCTTATTTTATTTCTTCCAGCTGTGTTTCACTCTACTTTGACTTACTTTCTGGATCTACATCATCATGGACGGCATTTTTCAAAGAGGGTTTTTGGACCCCATAGCCAGAGATGGGGATAGGTCATGATGATCTTGAGATGGCCCAAGGTTCGGTCTATCTCAAAATCAAAAGGAGAAAAAGGTAGCAGAACCCTCCTGAGGCCTGATCCTGGTCTGGGCTGTTCAAGTCCACATTATGTTCCAGTCATACAGCCTGTTTCATGGTCCCCTGCTGAATCATCCTGCTTGAACATGTACAAACTTTTAGTACCCATTAGTCCTTTCAAGGCCCGATTGGCAGAAAATAAAGTCCTCAGCTCAGTCTGGATCAGACTGAACATTGTGGGTCAGCACTCAGCCGGCTCAGAGCCACAGCTGCTTGTTCTCTGTTTATTAGTGACCTCAGTGTGAAACATCCAGCGGCATCATCGTCACCTCGTATTTTAAAAATGGACGGTGAAATTCTGACAACACACCCAGACACAAGACAATTAAAAAAAAAAAAAGGATAATGAGGCTGTAAAAAAATGACCCGGGAGACAAAGACGGGACGTGACGGGACACCAAAGGTCAGAAAACAGGCTTTATTAGAAAACTCTCATCATTGTAAACATTAGACAGGTATAAAGCACAGTTCTCATCCTCGGCTAACAGAGCAGAAAAGTCTAAAGTTAGAGAAATCCCCTTGAACCTGTGGTTATGGGGTGAAGCTTTGTGAAGCTCTAAGCTTTTTTGATCTAAAGACTGTTTGCAAAAATAAAACTGGGGATTCAAAGATATAGCTGCTTAACTACTGCAATACATGAGATGGTCTGTGAAGACCTTTAAACACCTGGAAACATGACGCATGAAGGTGTTCTATGAAGGTCAGACCTCAGAATGGTGATCTTGATCTGTGCTAACTTTGAACTCAAAACCTTCAAATCAAAACAGGACTCAACATTCACTCTCCTGTTTACTTGGGATACAGTCGTGGTCACTGTTTCTCACGCTGAGCTTAATTCAAGCTTCACCCTGCAAACTCAGGTTCAGGACACAATTGCACACTCCCAATGGTCCCTTTGAAACAAAATCCCCTGAAGATACTCATTGAACCACCTCATAAAATAAATGAGACAGACAACAGGAGCAGATCTTAAACAGTAACAGGCTTCCCCTCCAGCTTCACTGAGCTCTGAACATGCTGTTCAAAAAGTCAGCGTTCCGATTCACATGGAGGAAACAGAAACAGACCTGCAGAGCAATTGGCCTGCAGAGCAGCAGATCTGCAGACCTACCGTTATAGAGAAACTATCCATTAGGAGGCCAGCGAGTCTAAAATGGATGGCCCGCTATAGCTCGTCTGCTTGATATAAGATTTTGTCTGTGTTAAAGGATTTCATTTTTACTTCACTTCACTGCATTTCTTCACCGCACTGTACTGCACTTTTGTATTTCACTCATCATTGTAGCTTCCTGCATGACGCTGTTTCTTTGCTGCGCTCCAATCTGTTCCTGTCCTAATGACAGCATTTTTTTACTTTACTGCATTTTTTTTCATTCTCAACTGTGCCAAACTGTCTTTCGTTACTGCAATTCTTCATTGCACTTTTACTACTTTTTACTACTTTACTTCTCTTTAATTGTCTGTTAAAGTTTGCCAATGCACTCTGGTGCATCTTTATTTTATGCATTGAACTGACTTTTCTTTGTGCACATTGGTTTGTGCCCCCAGCTTGTTTGTGAACTGCGTTCTACTCCATTTTTATGCACTCCACTGCATTTTTCTTCTCTGTACTGCATTTCTTTACTGCACTCTACTGAATTTTTCATGCACTCTGTTGCATCACTTTGCTTCCCTCTATCACTTCTGTCATCTTTACCGGACTGTTTTGTGCCTCTTATTTACACTTTATTGTGATTATCTTCTATGAACTACTTCATTTCTATGATGCTCTTCACTGCATTTCTACATTGCACTGGACTGATTCTTTACTACATTAAACTGCCCCTTACATGCATTTATCAAAATTTGTTAAACTACATTCCAGCGCAGTGCAATTTTACTGCATTTTACTTTCCTGTACACTGACTTGTTTACTTTTCGTTACAGCATTTCAGCAATGCGCTCTGCTGCATTAGTTTACCATGCTCAGAAGCATCTTGCCCATCTTTAACACTGTCTACTCCTTTTTTGCTTTTCAGGTGCAATTCTCTACTGATGCTCTTGGAGCACGTCTAGATTACTGCATTTTCTAGCATTCATTGAATTTTTGGCTGATCTAGTGTTTTTCTTCTATTTTACTCCACTCCACTTTTCCTCCCTCCTCTGCATTTCTTTGTGTAAAGTGTATTTTATGGTGTTTTAGTGCATTTCTCTTCTGTGCTCTGCTGTATGTCTCTAATCCCCTGCTGCATTTACTTGTATGTATTGTATCTTTTTGCTGTTTGAGTGCATTTACAAAGTGCTTTCCTGTATTTCTGTGCTGCATTTCTCTACGTTCAGAATTGCTGTTCTAGTTTTTTCATCATTGTAATGAGCCACTATCACACAGCTGCAGTCCCTCAAGTCATCAAAATGGTAAAACGGTCCTTTAATTTTCTGGAATAAGAATCTATTTTATGGTGTTTCAGTTATTTTAATCCTAACTTTTCAGGTTATTTTTCTGAAAAATAGTCTCGAGTACAGAAACTTGTTGAAAGTCTGCCCTAACCCTCTGAGTCACGGAGCTTTGTTTAGGTCCCTGATCACCTCCTTGGATCAGAGTTTAACAGTGACTCAGATCAGATCGGATGTTACAGCAACTGATAATGTTAATCAGTGGGTCTCATGTTGAGACATCAGAGCCAGCGGCTGTCGACTTTTCTCTTTGAAGCTGCTGACTTCACTCTTCAAAGCCCAGAGTCCGAATGACAGATTAATGCTCATGCTTTTTAAATGTAAATCCAGCTTAGAGAGCTTCCACACTTCAGTCTCACCTCAGCAGCTCAGGGGGAAAAAACATCTAAACTGTTGAAATCGGGGTGGGGGGGTGTGCTCCTAAGACACTGCTCTATCTTTTCCTGTATCTCAGGATAATCAGCTCTGTATTTGACTCTGCTCTTCAGATCCACCTGTTCTCCTCTGATTTACAGTTTTACCACTCAAACATACAAAAAAAGTCAGCACTTGGTTCAAAACAAAACCTGGACCCTAAGTTCTCATCAAAACAAGTTTTCTTGGAAAGAAGAAATCCTCGACCAAAATAGCTGTATTTTGATTTATTTTAGTATCCAGAAGGGAAATTTTGTCAGCAGGTTCTGAAAGTTTGTAATTTGAACACTTTGACTGGATTTGATATCTGGTTTATCTGTTATGATCCACCAAAACATTTGACCCCCTGAAGTGCTCTCAACGGGGAAGTACTGATCACAGTTGACTGGTTCAAAAGCTCAACATGAGACCCACTGATTATCGTTATCAGCTGCTGTAACATCTGATCTGATCTGAGTCACTGTAAACTCTGATCCAAGGAGGTGATCAGGGACCTAAACAAAGGTTTCTGGCAAATAATTAGTCTTTTCTCAGGAAAAAAAACTGAACCCCTGATAATGTAGTCTGAGGCCTGAAGTTCCAGGTTACTTACATCCAATGTGACAGACCGCTGGGCTGAAATATACAGGTACATCTAAAAAAATCAGAATATCATGAAAAAATTAAATATTTCAGAATGTGAAGCCCATATATTATAAAGATTCATTACACATAGAGTGAAACATTTCAAACATTTATTTCTTGAAATGTTGACAATTGTGGCTTATAGAAAATGAAAACCCAAAATGCAGTGTCTCAAAAAATTAGAATATTGTGAAAAAGTTCAATCTGAGAAAGTCATGGTGTCACACCCTAATCAACTAATTAACTCAAAACACCTGTAAAAGGTATCCAGAGCCTTTAAATAGTCTCTCAGTCTGGGTCAAATGGCTACACAATCATGGGAAAGACTGCTGACTTGACAGATGTCCAGAAGACAATCATTGACACCCTCCACAAGGAGGGAAGGCCACAAAAGGTAATTGCTAAAGAAGCTGGCTGTTCACAGAGTGCTGTATCCAAGCATATAAATGGATAGTTGAGTGGAAGAAAAAAGTGTGGTAGGAAAAGGTGCACCAGCAAAAGAGAGGATTGTCAAGCAACATCCATTCAAGAATTTGGGGGAGCTTCACAAGCAGTGGACTGAAGCTGGACTTAGCGCATCAAGAGCCACTACGCACAGACGAATCCTAGACATGGGCTACAAATGTCACATTCCTCGTGTCAAGCCACTCCTGAACCAGAGACAACGTCAGAAGCGTCTTACCTGGGCTAAGGAAAAAAAGGACTGGACTGTTGCTCAGTGGTCCAAAGTCCTCTTTTCAGATGAAAGCAAATTTAGCATTTTATTTGGAAATAAAGGTCCCAGGGTCTGGAGGAAGAGCGGAAAGGCACAGAATTCATGTTGCTTGAAGTCCAGTGTGAAGTTTCCACAGTCAGTGATAATTTGGGGAGCCATGTCATCTGCTGGTGTTGGTCCACTGTGTTTTCTGAAGTGCACAGTCAACACCGCCATCTACCAGGACATTTTAGAGCACTTCATGCTTCCTTCTGCTGACAAGCTTTATGGGGATGCCGATTTCATTTTCCAGCAGGACTTGGCACTTGCCCACACGGCCAAAGGTACCAAAAGCTGGTTCAATGACCATGGTCTTACTGTGCTTGATTGGCCAGCAAACTCACCTGATCTGAACCCCATAGAGAATCTGTGGGGTACTGTCAAGAGGAAGATGAGAGACACCAGACCCAACAATGCAGATGACCTAAAGGTTGCCATCAAAGCAACCTGGGCTTTCATTACACCTAAGCAGTGTCACACGCTGATCGCTTCCATGCCACGCCGCATTGATGCAGTAATTCATGCAAAAGGAGGCCCAACCAAGTATTGAGTGCATGGAAATGAACATACTTTTCAGAAGCCTGACATTTTTTTTTTAAATATCCTTTTTTTCATTGATCTTATATAATATTGTAATTTTCTAAGACACTGCATTTTGGGTTTTCATTATCTATAAGCCACAATCGTCAAAATTTCAAGAAATAATTGTTTGAAATGTTTCACTCTATGTGTAATGAATCTATATAATATATGGGTTTCACATTCTGAAATGAGTGACAAAAATATTAAACTTTTTCATGTTGTTGTAATTTTTTGAGATGTACCTGTAGGTGCATCTGAAAGCAGCAGGTTTATACATATACAAACACCAGTTTGGCTCTCATATCCACCCACAATTAAAACTCAGCACTTCCAGAGAGCACAATCTCCAGCTCAGAGCTGATATTTGGTTGAAATCAGGTCTGGATGTCAAAGACGAGTGTTAAAGGCCTAATTATGTTGTTTCACACAACTTTGTTTTAAAATATATACTGTATATAGCAAAATAGATGTCAGCCATGACTTCGAGTCATCTTTCAAAGACGACATTGTTGAGAAGAAAAGTTATTCAATGTCCGTTGTGTGGTGGTAGTTCAGGTTTCTCCAAAGTGACATCAAGCAATTAAGCCGATGTGCAAGGTATGTCAGTGATCAGTGCCCTCAAAAACCAGCAACACAACAGATCTGTTTGATCATTTTAAGAAGTACTTCCCCAGTGACTATGCAGAAAGCATGAAAATGCGAGCGGAGTCTGCACAGCCTGCTACTGCTGATGGCACAAGTAGCATTAGCAGTTTAGCTACAAAACCCAATTCCAATGAAGTTGGAAAATTGTGATAAACGTAAATAAAAACAGAATACAATGATTTGCAAATCCTTTTCAACCTATATTTAATTGAGTACACTACAAAGACTAAATATTTAATGTTGAAACTCATAAACTTTATTTTTTTTTTTGCAAATAATAATTGACTCAGAACGTCATGGGACAGGGGCATGTTTAGCACTGTGTTACATCACCTTTCCTTTGAAGGTGGAATTCTTTCCCATTTTTGCTTGATGTACAGCTTCAGTTGTTCAACAGTCCGGGGTCTCCGTTGTCGTATTTTACGCTTCATAATGCGCCACACATTTTCAATGGGAGACAGGTCTGGACGGCAGGCAGGCCAGTCGAGTACACGCACTCTTTTACTATGAAGCCGTGCTGTTGTAACACATGCAGAGTGTGGCTTGGCATTGTCTTGCTGAAAGAAGCAGGGGCGTCCATGAAAAAGACGTTGCTTCGATGGCAGCATATGTTGCTCCGAAACCTGTATGTACCTTTCAGCATTAATGTTGCCTTCACAGATGTGTAAGTTACCCATGCCTTAGGCACTAATGCACCCCCATACCATCACAGATGCTGGCTTTTGAACTTTGCGTCGATAACAGTCCAGATGGTTCTTTTCCTTTTTGGCCCGGAGGACACAACGTCCACTATTTCCAAAAACAATTTGAAATGTGGACTCATCAGACCACAGAACACTTTTTCACTTTGCATCAGTCCATCTTAGATGAGCTTGGGCCCAGAGAAGCTGGCGGCGTTTCTGGATGCTGTTGATAAATGGCTTTCGCTTTTCATAGTAGAGTTTTAACTTGCACTTACAGATGTAGCGACGAACTGTATTTACTGACAGTGGTTTTCTGAAGTGTTCCTGAGCCCATGTGGTGATATCCTTTAAACATTGATGTCGGTTTTTGATACAGTGCCGCCTGAGGGATCGAAGGTCAAGGGCATTCAGTGTTGATTTTTCTCCAGATTCTCTGAACCTTTTGATGATATTATGGACCGTAGATGTTGAAATCCCTAAATTCCTTGCAATTGTACTTTGAGAAACGTTGTTCTTAAACTGTTCGACTATTTGCTCATGCAGTTGTTCACAAAGTGGTGAACTCGCCTCATCCATGCTTGTGAATGACAAAGAATTTTTGGGGAAGCTGCTTTTATACCCAATCATGGCACCCACCTGTTCCCAATTAGCCTGCTCACCTGTGGGATGTTCCAAATAGGTGTTTGATGAGCATTCCTCAAATTTCTCAGTATTTTTTGCCACCTGTCCCAACTTCTTTGTCACGTGTTGCAGCCATGAAATTCTGAGTCAATTATTAGTTGCAAAAAAAAAAAAAAGTTTATGAGTTTGAACATTAAATATCTTGTCTTTCTATTGTATTCAATTAAATATAGGTTGAAGAGGATTTGCAAATCATTGTATTCTGTTTTTATTTACGTTTATCACAATTTCCCAACTTCAATAGAATTGGGTTTTGTACAGCGAGCGGTGCAGCCACTAGACCAAAGCAGCAATCAGTCATGTCATCTACATTTATATCGTCTCATGTTTACATTTTAAGACGTCTTGGGGGGCCATTTGTTTATTTCGGGTCTTGCATACCTGCAACAACACTCAGGACTGTAATCTAGTTCACTGTATTATGTAGTATTTTCTACATTTGTTGTACTGTTGAGTTAAAATGGTTTCTATATTTTTCTAAGTTTATCTATTCAATTTGCTTTGTTATTTACTTCAAACATTATTAAAATGTTGAACTATTCCCTAGTTTCTTTAGTTTTTAGTACAGATGCTTCAAAACTGGCAGTTGAAATATTTTTCTTTAAAAATTGTGATAATAATTCAGATCAGACAACATGACAAAATATAACGTGATCTTTTTTTTTTTTCCAAATCGCCCAGTCCTTCAGTGGCAGTTGACACAGTATTGATTAATACTTAACACTGCTGACAGTGAGAATTTGAAGGCTAAAGGTTAGCATGCTGCAGGATCGATTGCGATTCCTCTCTGTAATTACATGGAACCATGTAATACAAACAAATGTAGAGCTGACTTAAAAAATTATCGTCAATATGTGTGTGAACATGCACCAAATCTTGGAGCAGCAGCAGAACGTGTCCTGGTGAAATCTGGTCTAAATGTGAATGTTTAATAAAGGACAAAAACAAGATGTCAGAAAAGTCTTTAACAGAGGTCACAGACATCTCAGCATCCTTTGGGATAATAAAACACTCACTGGGATGTCCCTTTCAGTATTTGCTTTTAGTCTTAGGCCTTGTACACACGTAGCCAGGTATTTTTATAAACGAATAAAAAAAACCCTCCATTTCACAAAATAGTTACGTACACACATCATCATTTTCAAACAAGATCCCATCCACACATAACCGCATGAATACACTAATGACCGAGGTTTTAATCATGCCAGACCTGGAGTTGGTAGTACTTGCCAAAAAGTTTGACCCATTCTATCCAATCAGAGCAAGCTTCCCTTTCTCATTGTCTCTTCTCCAAACATGAAACATAGCGCAGTGTAGTTTGTTCGTGTGGACCAACAAAGACGTGGAATTGCTTTTAGGCATCGTTTTGGAATATAAAGGCAACAAGAGACAAGAGATGTGGAGGAAGGGTTATTTGGTGTAGAAGAACCGACTGCAAAGCACTCCTTCTCCTTTGCTCCTCACAAAAATAAATATTCTGTATATATCTGTGACATCCACTGCCTGACATAAACAGGGGCACAGAGTATATCACGTTTATCAATTAGTAGTTGCAGACAGTGACGTTTGGGAATTTTAAACTCCGGTTATCTATGTCCATATGCCAGCATTTTCCAAAATCTTCACTTTGGCCGCAGTTTTCCAAAAGCACCATTTTTAATGACGTAGTCCTGTGGTTTTGTGTGGATGGTAGGCCAAAACATATAAACATATATTTGTTTTAGCAAATACCTGGCTACGTGTGGACAAGGCCTAAGAGTCCAGGAAGTGTAGTGTCACTACGGGACTGAGTACTCTCCTAAAGTCACCTGAATGCATACATAAACCACCTGTGAGTACACATGAGATCATTATCTTTTAAAGACAGGAAATTGGGTTAAATTTACTGTTTGAGACAACTCTGATCACGAGATGGAGCAGTAATGCAAAAGAATCTTGAGAAGTTCATATTAAAGGTGTAAAAAAAAAAGTCCACTTTACTGTGGTATGTTTCAGGCTTTGGTGTCAGGGTTCCCTTGTTTTAATTCACAAAGCATTTCCTGGTAAAATAAAGCTTAATTTTAGCATAAATGCTCCCTGCTCTGTTAAAAAATTTCAACACAAAATGAAGTATTAAGCACAAGCTTTCGCCTCCCTGCGGTCCATAAAAATGAGCTTAAAGAAGAGTATTGTTTTACAGCTCTCTGATCAGTCTGTTTTGAGCTGGGACATACTGTGTTTGGAGTGTTGGCATGACAACTCCTCCTCTTTGTTGATTGGCCGTTTCAGATGTCACTCCAGAGCACGGCCAGCCTACTTTTATCCACACTGACGACATATTCACCAGACAGAGACCAGGCCACGGCACTGATGGATGAGCTAGAAAGAAAGGAAAAGGTCAACGCTTAAGAAAACATAGTCTTTTTCTCCTCTAGCTCACAGGGATGAGTTCCCTAGAAAATATCCTGGGGCCTTTTCTTTTTTTAATGAACCGTAAAAAGGATCTACAGAAACTCCTTACAATGACTCAACATGGTATTTAAACATCAAATCAATAAAACATCACATTAAATCTTTCTTTCTGTTTTTAATCATGAGGCATTCTTCAGGGCAACATCCTCAGGCCACTGTTCTCACCTCTGTTTTCGAGGTTTACATCAACATTGAAACGTGAGTAAATCTGTTGATCACTGAACAATCTCAGCATGTTTATTTGAAAATAAATGAAAATTGATTAGATATAATACTTACATATGCTTTGAGGGCTAATGCAGAAATGATCTCTTGTGAACTCATCACAGTAAAACATTTCACTGAAACAAACTTTAAACTTGGACTGAGTTGAAGCCAATCATTAAGTTTTATGAGGAAGGAGCAGACAAGTTTATTTATCAGACAGTGAAACAAAACACTGAAGTCCCACCTCCTGCCTGCATTCAAATGTTTACAATCTAAATTGTGTTTTTGATTTGTCAACAGCTCATCTCTGTCACTGTAAAAAAAAAACGTCCCCATAAACATGTAGTGTTTCAGTGTTTGTCTATCCTTTCAATACTATCTGTAACCATCTATAACTTCATTGTGGCACTGTGGCCTTCAGAGTTCCCCAGGGAACCATCCTGGGTCCTCTTATTGTTCTCATTAAAGAGGGGGTAGTATGCAATTTTTTCAGACTCTATACTAAGTTACTAACAAAGTAGCAAGGAGTAATGTCGGCTGTGTGGCAGTATTTTAAAATTACAAAAAAGATGTCGCAGCTGAGTGCAAAACTTGTCATGCACAAGTTTGTGCCAATATCAGATCAATATCAATATAGGCCAATACTGAAAGCTACAATATCAGTATTGTATCATAAGTAAAAAAGTTGTATCGGGACATCCCTAATTATTTCAGCCTCTGTATGAAACGCTTCATTAAAGCTGCTGTCTCTTATCCTTCAGCCACCCCCACAAGCCAACATTCCTCTGTTTGGCCACTTTCCCCTGGCCAGCTTTCAGGGGCAAAGCTTGATGACTTGGCCCCGCCCCATCTATTGTAGTCAGTCTGTAGAACGTTACCCTGCTCCGCTGTGGGTGTCTCGTGTCTTTGCGCAGTCTCCTGTTTTTGATCAGTTTACATCTATTTTCTAGGATTATGACAATGTACATTTACCATGTGATCCGAAACCGTGGAAAGCCTGATACCCCCCTTTAACTTTCAAATAATGAACAAAAAACTACTTTACAGAAACATCTTGAAAATCATTTCAATCTACATCTTCTCCCTGTCTCTACCATAACATCTGATTGTGTGGTGTGCTCCACCCATAGTACTTTTATCAGATTTTAAGTGACTTTATTAAAACCCGACCCTATGTGGTTTGCTTGTGAGTGGTTGTTTCGTGGATTGGTGTCTGATCGTCATTTGTGGTTTGTTACCTGTGTTTGTCAGGTAAGCAGGTTTCTAGGTTGCCAGTGGAGACGTTCCAAATGTAAACAACACCATCTGCTGAGCCAGCGGCAAGGAAGCAGCCATCCGGACTGCAGAGAGAAAATTTTAGGAAATATTTTATCTGTGCTTACTGTCATAAAACATGAAGAGAATTAATGACTGATGTCAGAAACTATGGTAACAATGTTGCACGTAAACAATAATTGGCTTGACAGAAAGGATTGAGTAGTATAAATGCACGTCTGAAACAAAAAGGGTTCATATGTTATCCTCGTTCCTCAAACAAAAACAGCTGTCCCAAACAAACAGCACATATATCTCTGTCTGACTCAAAAAAGTTGAAAGGTTCAGAGCATGCTGGACAGATTCAATACTTGACCTGCATCTGAGACAGAAGCCTGGTAGAAAACAGAACCTTAGTCCGCGTCATATTTTTGAGTAGCTGCACGCTAGGCAAGTGAATTGGCCTCTGCTCAAGCACAGGACTAATTTGGCTTTTTGCTAAATGCTTATAACTGCACATACCAGCCAAGTTCTATATTGTCACCCTCTAATACACCTCCAGTTTATTGTACGATAAGTCTGGAGAATAAAAACAATAAAATCCCAGTATCTCAAACACACATCATGTTAAATCAGACACTCCCCTGTTGTCTGTTGCAGCTGACACTGGTTCACTGAGATTTTCCAGGAAGTAAGCTGAGGAATCAGGAAGTAAATGTAGCTGTGAAATCAAATGATAATGAACCACCAGCAGCACTCATGATGTGAATCACAAAACAGGTCTGAATGTGCACACATGCATTTTTCAGAGCCTGGCTCACACTGGGAGTTTAGGATGACTTCGCAGCTGCACCTGATTGGTTCAGTGCGAGACCTCGGGGAGAGCTCATCAGAGAGCCTGGCTGTGTGTGTGTGTGCATGCAGAAACACCTTTATATATTTAGTGTTTTCTGTCACACAGCCTAAAGCATCCCTGTTCTGCTGTTGTCATGGAAACTGCAGAAATTAAGCACACAGCTTGTCGTTTCTGTGCGCATCTCTATTCTCTGGAGGAGAGTTGGATCAGAAAGATATCAATGTGAATCAGGTGAAAATCACACACACACACACACAGGCACGCGCGCACGCACGCACGCACGCACACACACACACACCAGGTCATTGATCCAATTATTTCAATTAAATGACCTGTCAGGAGTTTCCCCTGCAGGGTGGATTTAATATGTGTAAAATAAAAAGTAAAATGAGTTTTTTAAGTTTTTCCTCAGATTAAATGCTCATCATTTTATCAAAACTAAGTATGAAATATGTTCCTTTTTTTCTAAAGCATTTTTTAAGCTATGAGTCAGAGAAACCTTTGTCTAAACAAATTGTGAACAAGTTTGGTCTATTTACCAGCTGGTTCTGGTTAGTGTTTTCTGGGAAACAGCAAGGAGCAGTTTTTATTTGAGTGGTAAGTGGGAGCTTTAGAAACTCCTGTGTTTTAAGCAGAGTAAAGTCTTTTACTGCAGATTCACAGACAGAGAAACATGATAGCCATGAAACGTTTAGGCTCAAACGTCCCATAATGCATCACTCTGTGTGAGATTCACTCCTCGTTTAGACAGAATACCTGTAACAGTCTGATACTCCACTTTAATACAAACCACTCCTGATCGTCCACACAGGGAGAGATTCAAGGATTGAAATCTGCATTTCATGAAACTATTTTCATCAGCGGTGTAAAAAGCTGATAAAACTGAATTTGATGATTTGCAAGTCAGTGAGAGTCTGTTTAATCAAATGTAAAGCCAAGCCGACATACTGGAGGATATACAGAAGCGCACCCAAACCGTTACACTCCGGCTACACGAACTTATTGTTGATTATATGTTTTCTTCTTCATACAGTTTCTGTTTTTGTACCGCTGGTTTCGTCTCAAAGACTGACTGTGGCTTTTTCTTCTTTAAGACATGAAGCCAATTGAAAGCTATTTCAAGCGTAAAAGATAGAGTCAAGATGAAAGAAGTGAAAGTACACCACAGGTGGGATGCAAGCTTTTATCTATGGAAATATCATACAGTGTGTTGTTGGAAAACCTTGATTAAAAACCATTGTGGTGCACCTTTAAAAGTGCACAATAAAATGTAACACTGAATTTAAAACAGCACATTGTAATTTCTGCATTTATTATCTATTAATCAGTAATACAGTGAAAATTAGAGGAAATGTGAATAATTTGCCTTGCAAGTCAAGTTACAGTATGCACCCCTAAATTTTTTGCATGTGCTTCTAAAATTTTAAGTTAGGGGTTACTGTGCTCTTAGCAAAACAATTTAGTCTGGAGACCTGTATTTGCAATAAGTAACACATAGCTCATAAACCTTAGTTTGACTAGATTATTTTGAATGCACTTATCAAACACCCTGGCTCCACCCTGCACCGCCCAGCCCACCACCACAAGTAAATTCTCAACTTAGGGGAAACACTGTCCATAGTATGGTGTGCAGAAAAAGTTTTGTAAATGTAGAAAAATATTGTAAAAGCAAAAAAAAATACCTAACTTTTCAAAATTCAGTGATCATTTATATATTTTTTGGTTTACAATACTTCACTAACAATTACAATAATTGTATTTCTATTTTTGTTTACAATACCTCACTTGCATTTGCAATGCTTCCTAGTCTCCTTTTGACTATATACAAACTTACTCTGCGTTGAGCATGTGCTATGATAAAATGCTGCTTATGCAGTGACATATCAGTATTCATAATGTACTTTGTTACACATCTGATTTTCTGCAAGAAAGGACACTGTCTTTCATAACTTTAGTAAATTTAGCTGATAGCAGGATTTTGATTATAGCTGCACAGTTTTTAATAAATGAATACATTGTTATTATCATAACTGGAGCTGCAATTAATAGATAATTTATAATTTGGAGTGAATGATAATTAATAGGAAAACATTAATATAATTATTGTGAGGCTATTGTGAGATTTTTGGGAAGGATTTATACCTAAAAAATGTGTATTATTTAGTCTGTCATATATGATGTCTTATGATATGACATTTCTGCAGCATGACGTTTATTTTAACACATACTTGGCCTTAAACAAGTATTACACCTTCCTGTGAAAATTGCCGTAGACATTTGTGGTTGACTTAATTATGGAACCCTAATCAAAATGCAGGATTTCTTCCCTATTAAAGCATTTACATTGTGTCATTGACACTTTTACTTAAGTTAATTATCTGAATATTGATTGCACTACAGTTTAAATATTATATTTTAACATGGGACAACTACACCTCTTCAATACTTATGATTACTACAGCTGAATGTGTAAAATAGCCCGTGACTATTCAACTCTGACAAGTGGACACAGTCTGTTGTATGCAGTCCTATATGGACAACTAGTATAAGACAATCTATAACGTTTATTGAAGTTGTAATAACGCTATATCTAAGAGTAACGTTTGTGCCTTTGCAGCCCTGTTAATGTTCAGACTGAGAAATGTTACCATTTTATGAAAAAGCTCTGACCAGGTAAGAACAAACCAGAGAGTGAGACCAGGTAATTAATGACGCTGATGGAGCTTACCTGATCACAGCCTTGGTGCTGTCGCTACCACATTTAAAGCCGTCAGCTCTGAGGACACAGACACACACAGAGACTGTCACCGTCACTATCACCATCACCATAACCATAATCATCACAATCATCAACTGTCAACATCACATCATTACTGTCATTCCCATCATCATCATCATCATCATCATCATCATCATCATCATCATCATCATCATCATGGCATCATGATCATCATCATTATCATCATCACTGGCATCATGATCATCATCATTATCATCATCACTGTAATCAATCACTGTGATCATCATTGTCATCAACGGTGTCATCGTCATTATCATCAACTGTCATCCCCATCATCATCTTTATCATCACTATCATCATTACCACCATCACCATTATCCTCATCATCAATATTACCATCATCATCACCATCATCACCATCTTCATCATCATCACCATCCTTATCATCACAATCGAAAAGTGCCAATTTTTCTTTCCTACCTGAAGCACATGCGGTCATTGCTCTGCCATCTCAGTTCAACCAGCTGGAGGCAGTCGTCACGGCAACAGCTAAGCAGCTGACGATGGTCAGAGCTGATGTCCAACGAGGTGACTTTACCCTGCGCAGGAAGTTCCTGAACGCAGCTGACGGTCCTGAGAGGTGACAGATGAGTTTTTGTTTATGTTTCTGATTATTTGTTTGTCCTCTGAATTTTTCTGATCAAGTGATCAAATACAGAACGAGTTCAAAGAGCAGGGCAAACTGTTTAAAAGTTACCTGACTATGTAAAGGTAGATCAGAGAAAATCATACAAAATGTTTTTTCAAAAGACAGAACCAGGTGATTCCCTCCTGATCCTACCTACAGTTAATGTGGTTTGAACTTTAGCAGGATAGGTAGCTGAAATGATGAATCAGATTACCCTGATGGGTTGGATTCAGGCTGGATTACAACAACTCAGTGTCTAAAAACTGGACATCCAACAACAAGACACTTCCAAGATTAATTCTATCTTTTTAGTTTTTTCAGTCAAAGGGTCAAAGGTCAGTACTAAACCTGGACCACCTGCTTTCAGAACAACAGCCTCCATACATACAAGAGATGTGATTTATGTATCAGACTAAACCTGTACCCCTTTGCTGATTGTTTTTACAGGTTGATTGTATTTAGCTCTTGAAATGCTGTTGCTGTTGAAATGCATACGATAAAGGGGGCGCCTCCCTGTCATGTGAGCTGTGGTCATCTGAAATTGGTGGTCTTCAAAAGTCTATACTTGGATCGAGTCCTTCACCATCCAACACAAAGAAGAGTAAACTAGATTTCCTTAACCTGGTTTGATGGTGTTGATCTCCCAATCAATGTAAGACCCCTGAACTACCGAGTCCTGAATCTCAAACCAAAAGAAAATTAAGGATAGCGCTGCTGCTGCTCTCCTGTTCTCCTGTTCTCAGCTTTAGTTTCCCGATTTGAATTTTTTTTTTCGGGCTTTTCTGTATGTATTTACAGAGGATGGGACAGGGGGCAGAGCAGGAAATAGGGTATGAGAGCGAGGATGATGTGAAGGAATGAAGCCACAGGTTGGAGGTGAACCAGGGCCAGCTGTTTGAGGCATAACCACCATACATGTGGCCTGCTGTAGATCACGAGGCCAGCAGCCTCCCTAGTTTTTTTACTTAACTTCTGTGACTTGGTACGAAGGTCATCCCAAAGTTTCTCAGACATTAAATAACACCTGAGCTACTGCGGTCTGTATACTGTTGTTCAGGGCAGGGATGAGGAGAGTGTGATTGGAGCGTAGAGCTGTCACTCATCAGCTGGTTCAGACTCTGACAGAAGGAGCATGGAAAAAGATAATCTGTGGCAGTTGCTAGGTAACAAAGGGAGCAGGGAGTTGCCATGGTGATGACAGGATGAATGACAGAGAGGTGTCAAGGAGCTCTTAACTGGAGGTTAGTCAGAGATGGAAAAGGGGCTGCTGGGTTTGAACCGTTCACACACAGAATCAAGACGGTCCTAATGAGGCCACTGTGAGCAGGGCGTATGGAGGACCACTGTACACACACCTGCTGAGGGAGTGAAGGAGGGGTGTGATTGAAACTCTGAAGGGAGTACTGTTAAAGTCATGGTAGAGAAATATAAAGAGGGAACAAGAGCTGGCTGTTATCAGAAACTTGACTGCTCATCAAGGATCATCCAAGTAGCCTACAGCCAAAAGTCAGAGATAAGGTACTTCAACTGAGTCTGACATTTAATTGTTTACAGCCCAGTTAAAATTGTGAGAAGTGACGACGTGATCAGGTCAAAATGAACTCTTTCAGACGTGACTGCAAAATCAACACTGTCACTTCTCACCCCATTAAACCCCCCAGAGAAATGTCCATTTATCTGTTTATGGTGACTCTCCGTTCACCATAGATAGTTAGTTATGCAGCACCTTCACTCCTCAGCAGTAGGAATCAAACAGATTTTCTAGTGACCTTTTGTCTTTGGTTTTCGGTTATAGGTCTTCGCTTTACTGTAAACAGTTGCACAGAGCTCTCATATGAGCGTCTCCTGCAGTTAAAGGTACCTGGAGTCCCAAACTCTGATCTTACAGTCGTAGTGTCCGCTGATGATGCAGTTCTCAGAGCAAACCAGGTCGCTGCAGAATGAGGCCACATCAGCTACCTGCACACCTGCACAGGTAAGGTGTACATGATTACACAAACACTAATATTGATAATACTTAGTCATTAATCTGTCATCGATCAGTTACTCAGGCTCACAGGCAGCTCTGTGCAGGTCCCACAGTCTGATGGTTCTGTCTGCACTGCCCGTCACCACCTGATGAGGCAATGTGCTAAACCTCGCCGCCGTGACCTTCCTGCTGTGACCTGTCAGAGTCAACTGACAAACAGGTGAGATTCACAGGTAAGACACGCAGAGCTCTATGTCTGAAGTTTGTCTGGAAGTTTCCATGTTGTTTTTCACAGTTACCTTGGGAACAGAGTCATCCAGACGCCAAAGCAAGGCTGACTTATCATAAGAGGAGGCAAGGATCCTAGAGCCCTGATAACAGACACACAGAGGTCAAAGGTCAACACAACCGTCGTGTTCACAACAGGTGTGCAGATCACAGGTGTGCAGATCACAGGTGTTTCATTTACCCCAGGATCGAAGTCAATGCAGGTGATCCCCTCTGTGCTGCCATCCAGGGTCACTCTGTGGGTCAGCCCGCCTAGTGATATCATCAATGAGATCACAGAATGCCATCACAAACATACACAATGTCAGAAAAATGAAAATACAATGACATAAAGGAGTACAAAAAGAGGAGAAAAAGAAAGGAAGAATGTAAGAAAGAAAGAGTAAAAAGAAAAAAATACGAGAAAAAAAACAAAAAGAAAGAAAAAGGAAAAGGAGAAAAAGAAAGAGGGAAGGAAAAAAGGAAAGGGGGAAAGGAAAGAACAAAGAAAGAAAGAAAAAAGAAAGGTGGGAAAGAAGGAAAAGGGGAATAGCAGGGAAAAAGGAAAAATAAAGAAGATAAAGAAGGAAAAGGAGAAAAAAGGAGAACAGAAGAAAAGCACAGAAAAGGGGGAAAAGGGGGCAAAGAAGACAGAAAGAAAGACAGAAAGAAAGAAAGAAAGAAAGAAAAGGAAAATAACAGGGAAAAGGAGAAAGAGAAGGAAAAGGAGAAAACAAGGAGGAGAAAGAACGGCAGAAAAGAATGAAAAGAAGAAAAAAAGGAAAAGGAAGGCTGTAAAAGAGATTGACAAGATGGAAAGAAAGAACAACAGAAGGAATCAGAAGAAAAATGAGGGAAAAAACAAGAAGAAACAGAAGGCAATGCAAAATAAAGTTACAGTGGAAAGGATAGAAAAATGGAATAGGGGAATGTAAGAAAGAAAAGAGGGATGAAAAAGATGGATGAAGAGATAAACTTGTTGAAAAAAATTAGAAAAGAAAAAAGCTGAAATGATTAAAGTAGGAAAAACAATAAAAAGGTTTAAGGGCAGGACAAAAGAGGAGAAGAAGAAAAGTGTGATGTACCTGCTCTGACCTCCCATAGTTTGATGACTCTGTCGGTTCCTCCGGTGGCCAAAAGGTCGGAGCTGGAACTGAACCTCACAGCGTTAATGCCCTGCTCATGTGCCTCCTGGCAAAGAGAAAGGGGGGGTTGTTATTTTTTTTTGTTTGTTTAAATTTAAATTGGGTTTTTCAAATGGCGCTGAGACCCAGGGAAGAAGGAGAGAAGGAGCTTAAAACAGACATGAGGAAGATGTATAAATCAGAACAAAACTTGCTGAGAGAGATGCATCTTTGCAAAGAGAAGCAGATACAGGAGCTCTTTGTCAGACACACACAGCCGTGTGTGTGTGTGTTCATGAAGGTTGATTGAATTAAATATACTTTGATTAAATAAGCTCTCTGCATTTATTTTCGTCTTTTTTTTTTTTGGGCTCCAGTTTCAGGATACCCACCAGGCGCTGCAGTACTAAAAAAAATGTCACCACGGACCATATGAAACATGAAACACGAGGTAACCTTTAAGTCTGAGTGACGCTATCTGGTGGATATGTTGTAAAACATCAATTAAAGTGTAAAAGCCGCATAAACGTCTGATGACAACTGATGTTTGCACCACTAAAAACACATAGTGCTATTTCTGCACATAGATGAAGCCTAATGATTTGACGCATAGGTGCCCCCTGTGGACAAAGAAATACCACTTAGTCGTTAGCCTTATGTTACTGAAGAGTAAAATGTTTCATTTGATTTAAATGTTTGGCATAATAAAGTTTAAATTAACATTTTTTTTATATATACCTTGTCACTGCAGTTTTAGGCTTGTTTAAGTGTGTCAGATCACCTTGTTTCCTTTAGTGGGTCATTTAGAGGAAACAAGATGAACTTTCATCTGCTTCACAACCAAATAGAATTGCTAGAAGCCGGAGAGACTGCAGGCAAGAAATCGCCAATTGTGTAAATTACGTTTGTTCATTCATAAATTTATCGTCCCCTAATATATTGTCATGCAGTGTGTGTGATCAACATCATCACTGACCTCATTATTTCAGATGCAACAGCAGTAGGGAAAAGAGGACATGTTAGCAATTAAAAAAATTAAAACATCATATAAAACATATAAAAACATCCTTTAAAGTGTTAGCAAGTTTATTGTAAGATTTTATATGTACATATTTCGACATGTAAACAGTGATTTCCTCACACTGCTTTGATGAGGAGCATTTTTTCTTTTTTTTCCATCATCTGATGGTCACATGTCATCTGCAGACACATTTGGGGTTAAGAGGAGTTTTCTAATCTGCTTCAATAAATTCTAAATGATGACTGATATGAAGCATGAAACTGGAGCTTGGAGCTTGGCAAATATTAGTGCATTGCTGAGACTTCATGCTACGTGAATATTGATGCTGTCTGAGGAAAACATGTAATGTTCATAGAGAACTTCATCAGGTATATCAAATGGACATGAACGATCACGAATATAACGCTCTTGGCGAAGTGCTCCTCTCACTATCCCTGCACAAATGTCCACGGGATCTGGCAAAAGTGGGCAAGCCATTTTCCAAGAGATCCAATTGGTCAGTGGGCAGTCTTTTATACCTGCTGAGATCCTATCCTGAAACATAACCTGCTCTGGAGCAGGTTTGGCATTCCGCGTAAGTTACTAGGGCAATGGACCCAGATAGAAAGAAATCCACCTTTGTAGTACGGAAAACCCAGGAGTTATCCAGAAGTTATCTCGCTAAGACCAAATCCAGCTTCATAGTACAGGCCTCTGGTGGCTCAGTTGTCTTAAGTGACAGGAGGTGTTTGATGGCTCCTGTTACAATTCAGAGGAGTGTGAGCGTGGATAGTGATTTTCACTGTCTGTATTTATTACCGATCATTACCAATTATTGATTAGTAAAAAGTCTGGTATCTCTTCCAAACACAGACGGTAAAAGTTTCAGCCCTGCAGCTGTTTGTGTCAGTGTTTGTGAAAAGATTCGCCTGTATTAGAGGGGACACATGATAACTCAGGATGAACTCAGAACAGCTCATTGAAATATGTGCAAACAGCAATGCAGCACAGAGGCACCAGTCACTCTGCAGAACCGTCTCTGTTACATTCTAGGTCAAAGTTTGGATAAGTGTCTCTCTGGCTGTGAGTGAGTCCTCTGTTTTTACAGTCTGTGTCTTTCATCTGCAACAAGTGTTCTGAGTATATGTGTACACTGTGTGTGTACTTGTTTGTGTACTGTGTGTATACTGAGTGTGTACTGTGTGAATACTGTGTGTGTATAAACTGTGTGTTTACTCCATATACTGTGTGTATACTGTGTGGACATGCGTGTAAACAGAGTGTATAATTCATGTGTAGTGTGTATACTGTAGGTATGCTGTGTGTAAACTGTATGTACTGTGTGTATACTTTGTGTGTACTGTGTGTATGCTGTGTGTAAAGTGTTTGTATTTCATGCCTGTACTTTGTGTATACTGTGTGTGTATAATGATTGTGCACTGTGTGTTAATTGTGTGTATGCTGTGTGTTTGCTGTGTGTATATTGCATGTATACAGTGTTGACTGTATTTATACTGCTTATTTTGTGTATTTTGTTTGTATGCTGCGTGTGTAATGTGAATATACTGAGTGTGTAATGTCTGTGTACCGTGTGTGTACAATGTGTATAATGTGTGCCTGATATTTGTATACTATATGTTTACTGTGTACATACCGTGTGTATGCTGCGTGTATATACTGTTTGTGTACCATCTGTTTATTTGTGTGTACTGTAAAAATACTTTGGGTATAGTGAGACTGTATGAAGTGTGTGTTTACTAAGTGTGCTCTGCGTTTGTACTGTGTATACTGTGTGTGTAATGAGTGAATATTGTGTGTATACTGTATGTAAACTGTAGGTGTACTGTGTTGGTACTGTGTGTATACTGTCTGTATAATGTGTGTGTACTATGTGTATACTTGTGTGTACTCTGTGCAAACAGTGAGTACACTGTGTGTTTTCTGTTTATAGTGTGTGTTTACTGGCTTACTGTGTGTGTACTGTGTGTATTCTGTTTGTACACTGTATGTGTTCTGTGTGTATACTGTGTGTAGACTGTGTGTGTACTGTGTGTATTCTGTTTGTATCCTGTGTGTGCACTGCCTGTATACACTGTGTGTATTTCTATGTATACCGTGTGTATAGTGTGTGTGTACTCTGTTTGTTCTTTATGTCTACTGTGTACAGACTGTTTGTTTACTTTGTATGCACTGCGTGTATATTTTGGGGTGTACTGTGCATAATATGTGAGTATACTGTTTGTATATTGTGTGTGTGTGTACTGTATGTAAACTTTGTGTATAATGTATGTGTACTGTGCGTGTACTGTGTTTGTACTGTTTGTATACTCTCTGTGTATGATGTGTGTGTACTATGTGTATTACCAGAACTTGTCGAGCCCTGGCAGGGACTCGTGCAGACAGACATAATGCTGCAGGACTATTCAGATCCTCCACTAGGCTGCACACTGAGTGGCCCCGCCTTTTCCTGCTGATATCACACAGTCAAACGACTCAGCTTCCTGTTTGTACAGTTTTAGTTTAGAAAGAAGAAGAAATGATTGTCTGAAGGACTCACTGAAACAGCTCTCTGATGGAGGAGAGGATCTTCGGTGAGGTCGCTGAAGCTGATCTGAGGAAACAACAGAACAATCAGCTGATTAGACTCTCAGTGGGACTTACCATAGTCAGTTGTTAATAATCAATAATCTGTTCCAAAAAATCTATCATCAGTTTTGGAGAATAATGACCGATTAAATATTGTCTTAAGTTTGTTACTGATCTGAGAAATGTAGATGTTCGAGTTTTTCCTGTTCCACAAGGAAAACCAGGACCCTGTATGTGCGTGAGTCTGTGTGTGTCTGACCTGAAGAGTCGTGCGTGTCCTCTCTCATTGGACTCATTTTGTTTTTCAATTTTGGGAGATGTGGATCTGGTGGTTGGAGTGCTTGAGCAGCTGAAACACAAACCACTTTGTTTGTTTAACAAACAAAGAAACACAAACACACAAACACAGTTTAAAACAAAGACAAACAACAAACATATACAAATACAAACAAACACAAAAACAAACAAGCACAGAAACAAACACAAACAAACAAACAAATAAACACTAAAACAAATACAGAAATAAACACAAACAAAAACCAAAACGAACAAACACAAACAAACAAACAAACAAAAACCAAAACACAGAAATAACCACAAATAAACCAACAAACACACAAACAAATAAACACCAAACAAACAGACAAATAGACACTAAATTACCAAAAACTACCAAAATAAAAGCCTTTGACTGTTTCCAAATGACTGACAGATTTTTGAGTTGAAGTCCTCAGAGATACTGAAGACAGAGAAAGAAATCTCCAAGGAACTTACTTAACAAGAAAAGATGCAATAAATCAACAGGACACAAGATGAGATGACAAAATAAGACACACACCTCCACTTTGATTCAGCATGTCAGCGTTTTCTCCTTTCAAACTGCAGTTTCTTGACTACTATCAAAAAGTTTATTTTCCTTTTAGTCCAAAATGTTTCATTCGAAGGGAAATTTTTAAAACTACTTCCAAAAATCTGTTTTATTTTTCTCTTAAATTTCTGGATATTTTCTCTAACATTGTGGTGATTATTTTCATAAAAAAATATAGATTTACAACATGTGTATATGCAAAACTGTAAAGAGTTAAACTCAGTAATAGAGTAGCCGTTTTTGGTGTGTGTTGGGTGTTTGATGGGACTATGATGGGTGTAGGAAGGGTGTAGGATTGGTGGGGGGTGATTCTGCTAAAATTTGTAGATAGAAAAGAAAAAAATATATATATAATAAATAAACTTTTTTAAAATGTATAAAAAACCATACAAAAAGGATCAAAATAATGTTTTTTAAACAGATGGATCCTACCTGTCTATGGTCACCTTTGACTTGGCAGCTGTCTGCAGCTCCCTCTGCAGGTGAGCCTCCCGTGCTCTGAAAAAACAAATGTAGTGATGTGGAGTTCAGGTGAGATGGTGGTATGAAGTGGACCTTTAAAAACTGTGTGTCTAAACTCTGCTAGTGTTTATTCCCAGTGAGGGTCATGTGACCATGTACAGGTTTACAGCCTGGGTTCATCTAGCAAACAGTAACCAGACTTCTTTCAGAGAAGAGAAAGACTAATGTGGGCATGGCTTCTTTCTGTGGTGTACAGGTGTGTTCAGGTGTGTGTGCTGTGTTCAGGTACCTGGACCTGCGCTCGTTGCGGTTGTTCATGGAGGCTGCGGCATGTTGTTTCCGATGGATCATGTCCTCTAGCAGTCTTCCTCCTCTAACCTTCTCCTCCCTCAGTTTGGTCTCCGCTTGACTCTGTCGCTCTAGCAGGGCATCATACTCTGCCTTCAATGCTTCATTCTGCCCACGAACCTGCTCCACCCGCTCCTGCAGCTCCTGACGAGCATCAAATGCACCCGTCCACTGCCGCTCACCCTCTGACAGTCTGAGAGACAGCAAGAGAGGCCAGGGTCAGGTTATTCCCAAATGCGCTTTCAAAAGGCCCAGAGATAAATCAAACTTGGGATCATTTCAGCATCAGTTCCAAAGAGCCAAATTTTGAGGAAAAAAATGAGAAGAGACAACTTTGAGAAAGAATCAGGGTCATCATGATATAAAATTTAAGGCCTAATAATCTGAGAATAGAGTTGTGATTAAGTTCTAGTTCACAGTGAGCAGCTTTATGGACCAAACTGAGGATCATGGACAGTCTGGTGGTGAAAGAGTCCCTAATGTTTTGTCTCCTCAGATTCATATTGATATAAGGATTAGGACTCTGAAGAGACTGAACTGAAAGTTGAGACCAGTAGGATCATCTTGAAAAACAGAATTATGAGGCTGATTGTTGACTATTGACTTTATTCTTTCCACATGAAGATTTAATTCTTGTGACTTCACAGTTTTGTTCTCAGAAACTTGATTCCCCTCACTGATGAACTCATCAACTTTAGTCTCCTATTTTAAAGACAACATTCTTGTGAAACACACACTTTATTCCTGTAGCATGACCACTTAATGATTTCAACTCAAATCTTGGTTTTTCATGACTTTATTCCCCTGACTTTAAGACTTTGTACCTCATTGACTCTAATCTTATTTTTTTTTTTTAAACTTTATTCTTTTTACAGTAATAGCTTATTTCTGTAACTTCTCGACTTCATTTTTGCCATCGCAGAAACAACTTCAACTCGTTACTGAATGACTTGTTTCTTGTTAATTAACAAATCTATCAGCGTTACAGAATGACTTTGTTCCTGTCCAAAAGGAGTCTTTGTGGACAGGAACAAAGTCATTCTGTAACATTTCACGTGAATTGAAGATTTTCCCAGATTTGGACCTTTTGTGGTAAATTTATTGACCCATCCTCCTTCTCAAACATGTCAGCACTTGTGAGCACAGGTGAGTCTTAAGGTTCAGGTGTGTGTCTCACCTGGCATGTTGCTCCTCCAGAACACATTCTTTGATTTTAATCTGCTGCTGCAGCTCCACTACCTGATAGGCCAGCTGAGACAAAACAGAGAGTCTGGGTTAGACTTCACTATTTTCTCCTGACACACCCTGAAGTTACAAACCAAAATGATGTTTTGATCATTTCCAAAAAACACCCAAACTAACTAACCTCAAACCCTTCTGTATAGAGGGAAATAATCATTCCCAGGGACCACTCCTGACCCTGAGCAGGTGGTGGTTTGGAAATACTCTTGGCACAGTGTAACAGTTTTTAAATTACTGTGATGGAAAGAGTCTCTGTTGCTATTTCTGATAATGCTCCTGGTAATGTCTCACTGTGTCTTTGTGCTCCATGTCCTCAAATCTGTAAATTCGAAGTTATGCGAAAGTTTTTCACTAGCATTTAAATTTTTTGTTCAATTAAGGCCCCCTTTGCAGTTTGGTGCCCCCTGTGGACAAAGCAGGATGGTTTGAAATGTTACAGTAATATTTAGATGGAAAAAAACTGATTGTTCTGTTTTTTTATTGTTTGACATGCATTTGTTGATGAATTATTGTTTTACGATCAGTTAAATTCTCCTGCAGCCAAAATACCAAAAGTCAAATACAACCCAAACTCCAAAAAAGGAGCATAGTCTTGATTTCACTTAGACAGGGGCTTTACATGTTTTACAAACCATCACAAACCAACCAGTTCTTATTATCATATAAAACATGTCACCACAGAACTGGATTAGAAGTTGGTGTGTTTCCTCCAGAGCTCCGTCTGACTCATCTTTCAGGTTTGCTCTTCTCATGTCAGTAAAAACCCAGAAGCAGTCAGCCTGCCCAAAGACTGAGCTTTAAGCAAAGACACATTTGCCTCGTCTTTCTAAGTTTCAGTGCAGGTTTGTTTGCGATCATTTGCATCAGTAAACACAGGTGGTCTATATTTGTTCTTCCTAATCCATCAGTAAACTAAACTGCCTCCTATCTGTGTTCAATCTATCTGCTACTCCACCTTCCTCTATGCAACAAATCTCCACTACAACTTCTCCCCTTCCTCCTCCATCTCGTTCAAATGTCTCAACCACTTCAACTGCCTCCCACCTAGAACACCACCAGTACTTGTCTGTCACTGAAACAGGGGTGAGGTTGGAGCTTGGAAGACTTTGTCCTGGGAAGGCGGCTGGTCCAGATGGTGTGTGTCCAAGGCTGCTTAGAGACTGTGCTGCAGAACTGTGTCAACCTCTCCACAGGATCTTCAACCTGAGTCTACGGCTGGGGTGGGTACCTGCTCTGTGGAAAACATCCTGCTTTGTGCCAGTACCTAATAAGTTGGACTGGTCTAAAAATATAGACTTCATCTACAGAAAGGGGCAGAGCTGCCTCTTTTGCCCGAGAAGACTCCAATCAATCAATCTGTGGTGGCAAGTTTTCTGTTCTACGCTGCAGTCTGCTGGGGAGGAAGCATCAAACACAAAGATGAAAGACGTCTTAACAAACTGGTGAAAAAGGCTGGCTCTGTGGTTGGACTCAAGCTGGACTCAGTGAAGGATGTGGTGGAGAGATGTACACTGAGGAAGGTGGAGACTATTCTAAAGAACATGGATCACCCACTTCACAACACCTTGATGGACCAAAGGGCCAATGGTGGAGGACAGCTCCTCTTCGCTGCAGGACAGAAAGATTTAGAAGATCTTTTGTACCAACAGCCATCAGGCTGTATAACTCTTGTGTAAATAGTAGATAACTTTTAGAGACATGTCAAGTGGGACAACAGACAATTGAATTTCTCTTAGGGGATTAATGAAGTTCTTCTTATTCTTATTTTTAAATCATCACCAGGACTCTTCCTGAGCAAGTTGATCTTTCTTCTCCTCCATCAACTCAGTCTGGATGATCTTTCCCGCTGCTCTCAGCTGCTTCAAGCAGACCAGGTCCCAGTTTGAGGAGCTGTTAGCTCGGATCGGTACCAAGATTTCTCTGATGGACAGCAACTAGCGACACTCCGTTTCAGTGTATCTGTTTCCACTAAGTCTCTGTTACATCTGTCTCCACTGGGTCCTGGTTTCTCTGGACCTGTCTCTAATAAGCTAAGATTTGCTCTGTCTCTGTGTCTTGGTTTCTCTGTATTTGTCTCCACTGAGCCCCTGTCTTTCCTTGTTGGGTCTAAGTTTCATGATATTTGTGACTTAACTTGATTCTCCTCATTTCGTTTCTACTGTCTCATGTGATTTGTGTCTGTCCCCTCTGAGTCTCATATTCCTTGTTTCTAAAAGGCCTCTTCAGATTTAGCTGAAGTCTGTCTAACCACAGCGCTTTAGAGCCGAAACACAAACAGATTTTACTGTACTGACACATACTATGTCAGAAGACACTGAAATAACTGTGTCGGGATGCTGATTTATAAAGCAGTCAGGTCTGAGGTCTTTAAATTGCTTGCTCTTTAAATGGAGTTTGGTTCAGCCATTCCCAACGTCAGGTCAGAACAATCTACACCGCAGTCTTTGACTCCAGACCGTCACATGGTGAACAACAATTCCTCTCACACAGACATATATTCACATGTCACATGTCACCTGGTCTACATACCTGTCTGCTCTGTATCAATCATGTCGTTTAATCACAAAACTGAAAGAATCTGCAGCACTTCCGCAGTCAAAGCCACATTGATATAAAGAAGTTATCTGATGAAATGTTTAACAGAGTAGCTGCTGATCGATTCAAACCTATGTCACATGAACTGTAATCATGTGACCAGATGTGTTGGGTACCTCTCCTGTAGTCTTCTTCAGCTGGTTGTTCTGATGGAGCAGAGAGGAGAGGGAGCTGCTGCTGTCAGATGAAGGACGTCTGGGTGGAGGAAACAAACACACCCAGCTTCATCACACAGATACACACCAACACACAAATACACATAAATGAGCAGGTGTGTTCAGGTACCTCTTGGAGCAGCTCAGTATTCCTTTAGCCAGGCTGGTTTTCTCCAGAAGCTGAGTGTCTAAAACACAAAGAGTGGACAGGATCAGAGTTTCTGCACGTGTGTGTGTGTGTGTGTGTGTGTGTGTGTGTGAGAGAGCTTTCAAATGGAAAGGAAAAATCCCTCCGTACGGGGAACACCTAAAGGGACACCGAGTAGCCTTTATATATGTGAATATATCATGCAAAAGTTAGTTGAAATCAGTTTACACTGGATGGAATATTATACTATAATTGGTCCAAAAGTCTGTAATATTAAAGATATAGCAGGTCCTCGCCTCAGAGGCAGGAAACCAGGTCAATAGAGTCAACCGTGAGAAGTGAAAAGTCACTCACTGTCCTTTAACTAACTACAACACTTAGAGTTAACCAACCATCAGCTGTGTAATCCTGTTTTTAAGGAGAATCCCACAGGTCTTAGCTTGCTGCTCAGTCATTTCAGAGCCCTGATCCTTATAACAATGTGGATCTGAGGAGGCAAATCATTAGGGACACTTTCACCAGATGCTCTATGATCCTGGGTTTGTCAATACAGCTGCACACCGTGAACCAAAACTACTGCTTTATTCTCACAACATACAGACTTGATTATCGTGATTTTATGGCAGCTTTACTTACTGTAACATTATGAATTGATTTACTTCCCTCTCCTAATATGACCTTAGTACCACTTCATTCTCACAGGAAAAGGACTTTAAAAATCCTTCTTCGTGAGGCCCTAACAATGTCTTTGCTTAACAATACTTCACAAATGTCAGCTTGTTACGAAAACAATGAAATGTAAAACTGATCATTGATATCTCTGAGCTGAGCTATAAATTGTAAGTAAGTAAATAAAAACATCCCTCCCCATCACATGACAACAGTTAATTTACGAGCACCTGTTGTCGATGACACCATCTTCATCGCACACCGCCACTGTTGCCTCGGCTACGGGAGAGTTTGGCAAATCAGCATTACATTCTACAATCTTACCAACAGGTGTCGTTAAATGTCCTCATTCTACACACTGGCCCTTTAAATCTTGACAAGTGTTTGGGAGTGTTTGAGTCTCTAAATTAGCTAAATGGCCCAATCCGAATCCACCCCCTACACACTCGCCCTTCACTACCGAGTGTCACTCGTAATGAAGTTACACTCGCAGCTGTGGAGTGCGCCTCAATTTAAATGGGAGGGTATAAGCAAGATGGGCAGGTATGGGACGCCCTCCTCTCTCCACCGGAGAATGGAAAGATTAATCGCCATAGCAACACAAAGATGTGTCCTGTGCATGGCAGTGTTTCTTTTCTTAGTAAATGGGCATCATGTACAGTTCTGAGCCGCACCAGCTGTCTCTTTTTTCATTGTCACGGTAAAATCATAAATCCAGCAACCATCACAGTGACAGGAGCTAAATTATATTTCTGATTGTTAGCGATTCCACACGTCTTTGAACCCCTTCACTATTTGACATGTGCCTGCACAATCAAATCAAACCTCAGCACAGAGTAAGATTTTGTTTGATCTTTCCAAACCACATCTTCTGTGATTGTTTTTTGGCAGTGAGACAAAGGTGGACACATGCGGAACTTATATTTGTATTTTGTTTTCTTCTCCTCCATTTTTGCCGGCACACTTGCTATTTAAGGGATGAACGGTCCACTCACCCTCCACACTCTGTGTTTGGGACGGCCTTCAATGGTGGAGCCTTCGCTGTGCCGCGTAAATGGAGAGGGAGTGTGTAGGGCGAGTGTGTAGGGGGCGGTTTGGGATTGGGCTGATGTGTCAAAATTGCCCTTGTACCCTAGCTTGCTTTCCCAGTAAAGGAGCTGAGCTGACTGACATTCACTAAGTCTAAAACATTCGCAGTGACAAGTGACTCATATGGCCTCCATTAAAAAAAGTACTGAAATATCCTTTTAACGCGCTGCTCCTGAGATTTGACTCATTCCTGTTTCAGTTGCTCTCAAGTTATTTGCAATGATTTTCAACTTGTGGAAAAAATACTTTTTTTACCCTCTTTTTATTTAGTTTACACTCCAAACTGAACCCAGAGAAAAAAAGAAACTTCCTTTCCTGTATTTACATTAATCAAACATCCTTTAACTGGGTGGTTTTTCACTGTCGGACTCTCCATGTATCAGAGTCAATGTTATTGTGAAGTTACAGCCACATGTCTGTGATTTGGAGACAGCTCTGTCTATCACCAGCTCACAATGTGCAGCAGATGATGAACCAGCAGCAAACTGACATGGTCATGAATGAGTCATTTTTACATGTGGTTCTGTTTTCTGACAAAAGCCTGTTCCTGAACATGTCATAAAAAAGGAACTCTGGGGCAGCTGACACTTGAAGGTCAGTTTTACAGAGATGTAATAAAAATATGGGTTTAAATCCTGATTGTGATAAACAGATATAAGGTTTGAAGTCTAACTGAACCCATTAAAAATCCAACCTTCCTACTGGAGGAGTTTGTGCAAAATAAATTTAGACTTTGAGTCTGTAATCAAGTTTGAAGAACATCCTGAATGAAGGACAAAATTCAGTTTCAATCTCTTAAATTTGCGTGTGCATGTCTGTGTTTATATGAGTTTTTAAAAGCAGGTAGGAATCAGGAAGTATTGTGCAAAACACATTTAGGAAATCATGTTTTCTGCAGGACAACGGAACATGTCAAAGTGTAAAGACGATTCAAAGGTGTTCTTTGAGTTCACATTAAGTATTTCTCAGTAGAAATTGGTGAATAAATCTCAGCTCGATGCTGCAGCTGTGATTTCGGATCGTACCGCAGCTTTGTGGTCTGAAAAGTGTCAAATTGATAGATTTCTGAACGGAGTTTGGTCTGATTCTCCCTAAGTTAAACCCTCTGAAAATCCACTGGTCCAGAATAAAGTGATTGTTAACACACACAGCTCATGTTTAGTTTGAGTAAGTTTAGTTAAATTGTACTTGTCTTTCGTACAGAAGCGGATCAGATCCTGGTACATAACGTGCTGGTTCCGATCGCGGTGATTCAGTTGACGGACGATCTCCCTCTTCCAGGTCTCCATAGACCTGCCGCCGCCCCTGGGAGCGGAGACCCGGCCGCTGCGCTCCGTCACCCCGGCTGGATTCGTCACAGCGGCCATGATGCGCTCACCCCGGGCTGCTTCATGCCGCTTCCCCGCTGACAGACACTCACAGACCGGCCTGATGCTACAGACAGTCTCGCCTCAACATCCAGCGGTTCGGCCCGCCGCCATGTTAGTTGCTCCTCGGCCTCTTCTTCTCTGTTTGTTTTTGTTTATTTTTTTTTAACTTTTTCCTCGTGAATGTCAACCTAAAGGAGGGTAGGCGACAACTTATTCTGCCAGCTGCCGGGTCTCTCAGCCAATCACCGCCCACTTTCCGCTCTTCCTGTTTTGACAGAAACAGCCAGCAAGCCACTCCCCTTAGAGCTCACCTGTTGCATTTATAGAGCCCCTGAAGTCCCATATAATTTGATTTTGTCGGGGGAACTAAACCTGTTCTAGAAAACCTCACTTTAGTATTGGAGGAGTTCAGTTGGCCATAGGGGGTTAGAAGAATCATCTTAACTCAATTTAATAAAACATTTTTTCTAACCGAGGCAATTTCATATTAGTTCTTTTTCTTTCTCCTTTCCTTCTTTCTTTTTCTGTATTTTCAAGAGCTTGTGTGACGCTGTAATGACTGTAATTCTGAATATACTACAAACCACTGATAAGGACTGATAAAGATACAGACTCACAATCACACTATGAAAAATAACTGATATCCTCTTGATTTGACTTGTCCAGGGTGCCCCCTGCCTTTCCCCCAAGATTCTGAAATAGACTCCAGACCCCCAGCAACCCCCAACGGGATAAGCGGTAGAAAATGGATGGATGGATCTTCTTGATCATTAAATTTGCAGATTTTTTTTATCCACAGAGAAACTTTTTGTCACATTTTCAGGAAGTAAAAGCTAAAAACTCGAGCCACGGATCTAGAAACCAGATTCGAACGTCATTTTTAGTTTTCCTGTGAGAAGCTTCTTTTTTATTTTTCTGAATCTTCTCAGATTTCAAGCTCAGTTTGATTTTATTTGGTCTGTCCTAACTGAGCAGGTCAAAGGTGGGGTAGGCAGGAATTGAGGAAGTGCAAGTTTTTCAGATACAAAACCCAATTCCATTGAAGTTGGGAAACTGTGATAAACGTAAATAAAAACAGAATACAATGATTAGCAAATGCTTTATAACCTAGATTTAATTGAATACACTACAAAGACTAGATATTTAATGTTCAAACTAATAAACTTTTTTTTTTTTTTGCAAATAATTATATTTAGAATTTGCTTACAGGGTCCATAAGATCCCGAAGCATCCCCTATTGTTAATGCTGATGTTGACCCAGCGTTTCAGCTTTTGTATGGTCTACCTCCTTTTTAAGTGCCTGTTATTCCGCTAGAGTCTCCGGTATTTAATTCGTGTTACTGCTTGTGTTTTCCGTACTTTCTGGTTTGACTGTCCGATATTGTAGGCACACTTACTTTGTTTGGGCTCGTGCATGTTATTGGAGGACGTGGAGCGTGCCTCACAACATAAGGGAGCAGCGTCTGCCTCACAACCAATCAGTACTAAGGAGCAGCGTCCTCCTCGCAACCAATCAGGTTGGGGGAGGCGGAGAATGGTTTTGTTTACAGTCAGAAAGAGCAGGCCGCTCAAAGAATTAAAAATGTTGACTACACAGATATAAAAAAACACAGTGATATCATTATATTACCAAATTTTATGACTAACTAAAAGCTATTGAATGATATTAAAAGCTTTTTTGGATATACACCACAAAAAAGATGCTTCCTTAACGGAATCCTGCCTACCCCACCTTTAAGCTCTCTCGCATCATTTCCTCTGTACAGAATGCCTTTGTGCTTATTTGTCTCTAAAAACAGAAAGCTTTAAAGACTGAAGAGAGAAAAAGATCCTCTATGATAAACAATTAACTTTTATTTAAAAATATTTAAAAAATGCAGTTTCTGTACAAACAAATGTGACTGTCATCAGTTGACCTTAAAATTAAAATCCATAGGGTGCATAAAACTTTATACTGATGATTTTTAAATCAGTTTGAATAAAACCTGCCCTGCATAAAACCAGTCACTCAGACTGAGACTGAGGGCAGTCGTGTCTCTTTCATCCTCTGTACTGCCAGAGGCAGCAGGCTGGTCCTGGTTCAGGCCCGATTCAGTTTGTTCTGGGTCATCTGGACCAGCAGCTCAGAGTATTTCTCCAGCAGAAACAATGTCCCGTCGCTCTCTAGCAGACCAAAGGGGGCGCTGCAGCTCTGCTCGTCTGTGCAGTGCAGCACTGTCTGCAGCTCAGAGTGAACAGCGTCAAAGGTCTCCCGCAGTACTGACAACATCTGGGGATACTTCTCTGAGCCACCAAGCTGCAAGAGGAGAGAAAAGAGGACTTAAAACGGACAGAAATCAAGTCTTTCAGTGAAACTTCTTATTTGAACCGACAGGTTTCACACTCCACTCATCTGAAGACATAATAGCGGTTTTTAATCTTTTCTGTAAAAACTCTACTGCTGACTCTCCTGAGCAGAAATACAGTTCATTTCATCCATTTTATCGTGTATATTTGAAATATATTTTAAAATGGCTTAACATGTTTTCTCTCACTTTTAGAAAAGCACAAACCGATTAATTTCTGCTTTTCTGAAAGCTTCAGTCAGATGGACTTTTACTCTTGTTTAGAAATCTCCCCCTCCCTGTCAGCTGCCCTGTTATTATGTATTATGTAAATTCTGGGGCTCACCTGTCGATACAGGTGTACTGCTCGTCTTGTCGTCTCTCTCAGCTCGCTGGCGACCTGCTGACACTGTAGCAGACTGAGCTCTTCATCAGCAGCCGGAGCTGAAGCGAAAAACATCAGACAATTGGTCTCATCTACAATCATGGACTCATGCTGAGTTTGTCCTGAGGGAGGCGCCACAGGAGAGCTTGTTAAAATGCACGGACAGGATTTATCCTCTGAAGAGCCTGACGACCTTTAGCAGCTTTAGGACAGATTCGAGATTAAGACTGTAGGAGAGCAGTGCAGAAAAGGGGTGGGTTCTTAAGTGAAAGGGGTAGGGTCACATGTATTGTGGGTGAAGTTACCTGATGGGTGAAGCTGTAGTGTCTCTGATGGAGGAGAGGAGGAGGAGGTCGGTAGGTACACTGAAGATCTGTCTGTGACTGAGGAAAATGAAACGGATCAGAAAAACTGTTCAGTGTTTCCAGAGACTCTTGTCCTGTTTCAGACCAAATCAGCAGCTTGAACACATCATACTCAAACAGCCAGACCATGCAATCAGAGTTCTTGTGTATCTTGTGCACTGCAGACACAGTAGTTCTTCTGCCTGAGCGTCTCAGCCTGATTGCATTTCTTTTTGCTGCAGAACTCAGCTGCACTTCGTGATCGACTCATCAGGATTCCCCCACAAACAAGCAGCTGGTCTGAGCATTATTTGTGGCTGTACAGTTGCTTTTTGGTTGAGTGCGTGGCTTCTGGGACGGCTGTGTATTGCTATCGTGCAGTCTTTAAAGTTGGTATAACTAGAGAAGCAAGCAGTAGGCAAAATTCATCTCTTTAAGAGGGTCTAACTCAGTGTTACGGTGTGTTTGTCCATGGCTTAAACTTAAGCTGGAATATCCCTTTAAAGGTTGGTATATATTTAGTTATTACTGTTTTTAAAAAGTCACAAAGTCATTGTAAAGTAAATGAAATAGTAGAGTTTTTAATCTAATAGCTTACACTGTTAAAGACTTGACTATTTCACCATCTATCGGAAATAAATTATCTGTATCTGATATTTTTCTTCAGGGAGAATAAAAACTCTAGAAATATTTACAAAATAATTAAAGATATAAGTCTGACCTGAATCATTCTGGATTTTGTTCTCCGATCCCTCCTGACCCTCCTTTCTGGAGGCGTCGCATTGGATGATGTCGGATTTTGTGGGTGTGGTTCTGGTGATACTCCTCAGAGTCTCCTCAACACTGCTGATGCTCCACCTGCTGGCCCCGCCCTCTGACATCACATCTGTGGGCACGACCAATGCCTGGGAGCTCGTCTCAGGTGTGTGGTCCTGAGCCCTCTGGGATGGAGCGACACTAACAGCAAAGAAAAGACAGCAAGAAACCATCAAACTGACATTTGCATGAGGGGGTAGTTCAATATTAACCAGCTGGGTGGTAGTTAGACCAGGTCTTACCTCACAGTCTGGTCCTGACAGGGTTCAGGTTCAGGGCTGTTGAGGTCCAGACCGACAGACTGCAGAGGAGGAGGAGGAGGCTGAGGTTCTGATAGAGAGGACACATCTTTTTGCTCCTGCCCCTCCTCATGGTGAGAGTTGGAGCAAGTGTGAGAGGAGGTATTGAGGGTTGTGAGGAGGTCCTGGCTCAGTTTGGCCCTGGAGCTGGCTGTGGTTCCAAGATACCCCGAATGAAGAGCCCCCTGCTGGACTGTGCTGCTGTTCTGGGCTGCTAAAGTGTTGGAGGTGACATCTGATTGGTTGGAGAAGGAGAGAGTAAGATACGATGATCTAAAGTGAGGGTTTCAGGTGAGTGATCCCTGACCAGACTCAGATACTGAAGTGGGGTTAGGGGGTGCTTTTATAAAGGTTCTCACAGTTTGACTGAAAGTTTACATTTACTCTGTCTAACTGGGATCATCTCTCAGATCATTAATCAGTTTATATTCTGATGGCGGTCTTGCACCATTCCAGCTGGTTTTTGAATGTGATCTCCAGATTTAGCATTAAAGGGTCTGGCAGGAACCCCACCAAAACTGTCACAAACTGAAACTTCCTCACAGGGATGTAATGTTCCGGTTGGGCTGAGTAAGGTTGCATCCAAACTGTGATGAATCCCTGGTAACATGTTTGTTTTGTAGTTATTGAGGCTACAAGAACAGCTTCTTCAACAAATAGGTGATGTCTCAACACTAAACACGTCCGTATGTCATATGACCATAGAATGTAAACATACTGGTAAGCTGCTGCTGTCAGATACCCGCCAAATGTTTAAAATGGTTTATGCAAGTCTATATGCCAGTGTTTTTCTGATCATCATGCTTGTTAGTGACCTTGACACGAACACAGACCACAGACAGAACTACAGTGTTCACCCTCACTTTTTACACCTGCAGCACAATCAAATGCTTTTGAAGTAAGCTCGTCTTCTGATTGTTGCTCCTGGGAGCCATCTTAGTTTCGTGTATGAGATTTGAATGGGGTTGAGACTTCCTAAAGCATAAAGCTTAGACGTTAACATAATCTACTACCTAGCACCTCTGAAGCTAAGTAATCCAAGTCCTGCTTGTTTAACCAATAGGAAACCTGTAGTTTTAATCTCACTGTTTTAGTTGGCATGAAACTGGGCCAAAAACACCAGAACTCAAAGGAATGGTGACCAAACTTTAGAAAACCCAAAACCTAATCCAGATGAGTGTATGACAGAAAAGGGTTTGACCTCCAACCTTGTGAGATTTTATAAAACAAAAAAAAAGTCCCAAAGATGAACATAAATCACCCATGTGACTCCGCGCCTGCACACAAACCTCCAAGCTGATCTTTGCACTGGATAATAACAACAGAATTTCGTCTGCGTGAAGGACGCCGTTGGGGCTGATGGGAAATCCTGCAGGAAGCTCTTCGATGAAGAACTGACTGGGTGCGTCTTACTGTGATCACACACACAGAGAACACAGACTTCTGTCTTAGATGAAACCTGGAGTCCCTCAGGACTGTCTTGGAGCTTCTGTCATTTCAATAAATCATTCCAAAGTTTCCAAAACACACTGTAACACCCCCGCCCCCTGCATTTACATGTAGGCTGTGCAGTGTTGTTCTTAATTGTACTTCACACTGGGGTGCTATGAGAATTTATCATAGACTGTATATAAGATGGACACACTGGTTCCGCCCTCCGCCTGTATACGGATTTGAAGCCAAAAAGCTCTCTGTAATTCCGGGTTTTTCTCCACTTCCTTGAAACCAGGGCTGTGCAGTAGCGATGTGCGAATTCGGCCGCGCAGTCGCAGAGTGTCCCTGTGATGACGCTCGGCTCAAACAGCGTATCCCCCCGGGAGAGCTACGCAATCCCTGAATGCCCATAGGCTGTACCAAGTGTCAATCATAGAAAACATGAACCCCCTAATAACTTTTAAAAACGGAGCTGTACAGAAAAAAAGGACTTGGGCACAAACCAGTCTTACAATAACTACATGTCAACATCACAAGCAGGGGGGAGAACAATTTATGTTCTGTGTAATAAATTTCCAAAGTTTGTCCACAGTCCCATAAGCTTTGCTGTCGGAGGCGGGATTTATGACCTGTACTGCAGCCCATCAACAGAGGGTGCTGTTCTCGGAGTGGCTTCACCCAGCAAGGAGGCAGACTCTGTCCATCTTATATACAGTCTATGGAATTTATGTACTTTTGAAAGGTGTTGTTGGATGATCTCAGATTCGTGGCCTGATTTTACCAACAGACATGACTGACTACACGCCAACACACAATCAAGCATCACGACTGAGGCAATGACACTTGAAGGAGAAGGAGAGAAGCTTCACAACACCCTTAACTGTTATTGGCTGCTATTCCTCTCAATTTTTCTCTTCGTTAGTCTGGCTTAGTCGTCCCTCGTCAACACATCATTCAATCAGGGATGATGTTGCTGACAGAGCCCCACAATCTTTCCTCTTTCTCATAACCATCTCACTGTAACAGCTTCATTCTTCCTGTTGATGGTTGTGACTTCTGTTTGTGCATTGGTCAACGTCACTGCCGTCTCAGACCAAATCACTGACAACGGAGAGAAAATTTAAATATGGTGGACTGTCTGTCTGTAGGTTCTGAGGCCTCACAAATGTTCTAGACTGTCCATCACTTTGACACACCACACAAGATGAAATGTCCTATTTTTAGGGGCCCAGGGCTGTCGAAATTGCATCAAAATGAAGTTTGAGTAATTGTTCTAAAAATAACACATAGGTTTTAAAAAAATTGAATATCTATATTTGCACCTTTTGCCAACAGGAGGACAAACTAATACAAGGCATAACTACTCGTATAGGTATTTTTTTATTTTTATTTCAGACTACAGGAATGACAAGAAAACTACTGACACTAACACAAAACTTCAGAACAATGTTCATATTTTCACATTTTTTATCATTTTTTACACAAACTTTTAAATCTCAACAGAAGTATAGATAAAAGATTTTAATCTAAAAATAAACACCTTTTTCATAAAGTCGGGTTTTTATTCATGCATATCCTAGTTCTATTTCCCCTCCAAAGGTTTGTAAAGGATCATTTGAAACGGTCTGAACAGGTGTCTGAAATGATCACCTTTCTGTTACAAGGTTACAATTATCTTTTTAAACTGAGGAAAACAGAAGGACCAAGAGTTGACTCACCTAATCTGTTCATGTTTTCTGTCTGCGCCAAATTATTCGAGGTGACCTCACTGCTCGATTCAGCATTTACCTGAAAACAAACATTCACTGAAGTTAATGTTGCACAGAGACTCAGGTGTAATAATTGTGTCTCAGGTTTGTCTAGGTGTGATCAGTGTACCATAGGTACATTTCAGGTATGTTCAGAGTTGCTCTTATGCGTTTCAGATTTCAGATTCTTGTTTTAGAGTGTTTTAAGTGACTCAGGTAGATTTGAGGGTGTTTTGAGAGGCTCAGGTGGGTTTAAGTTTTTTTTTTTTTTTAAACTTGGTTTTTATTTAAGTTTCATTTAAAATCATGTATAGAATCATATTCATCATTGTTTTGGTAAAACAAAAGAGACTGAGACTATAATGACAAAGAAAAATACAGAATAAAATAGAAAAATAAAGAAATAGAATTATATCATTATACCCATAGCAGAGATCCACCTTTTAGTGAATATATGTTTTTGAAGTCTCAGGGAATATGTTATTTGTTCCATTTGATATATTTCCTTTATTCAGTCCACATATTGTGTGTTGGAGGGTCAGGCTTCAACCGCTTCACTGTAATGCATTTTATTGCTGTTGCTAGTAATATCTGTAAGAGATATTTTTTGGCTCTTCCTTCAATGCCTCTTGGTAATAGACCTAGTAGGGCCACTATTGGGTCCATTCTAACATTTCCACCAAATATTTTATTAGTGTTCCAAACACTTACCTCCAGAATGCTTCCAGTTTTGGGCACAGCCAGAGTATGTGGGTCTGATTACCAATGTGTGGACAGCAGTTTCTCCAGCATTTACTGGAGTGTGTAGTGCCAAATTTAGGTGTAATTTCAGGTGTCCGAAAAAACCTCATGACTACCTTACATTTAAATTCTCTCCATACATTTGAATTAGTTACCAAATGTACCCCAGCACAAAGTTCCTCCCACATATCATGTGATATGTTGGAATTATTTTCAATTTCCCATCTCTCCTTAACCTGTGCAGTGTCATTCAAATTCCTGCTCAGGAACATCTGGCAACAATAGCTTATTCATTTCTTATCTCATTTTTTGGTTTGCACTTTAATCAATATTTCTTCAATTAGTATAGGTTTAGCAACTTTGTCCCAGTCTTTGTGTTTTAATAAGAAATTCCATTACTGTAAGTATCTGAAGAAATCTGTGCTCGGTAGCTTAAATTCCTCAGACAGCTGTGTAAATGATTTAAGTGTTTTGTTTCTACTTATTTAAAGCGTGGATCATAACTGTGGAGACGTCCACACAAACATTGAATACAACCAACAAGCGAGGTGTATAGGCTGTCAAGAGATAACACAGGTAACACGGAGAGTACATCTGACCTCGCGCTGTATTTAAACACATCCCACAAATATTTTCACACCACCTGTGGTACTGTGAGTACTACCCACACACCTAATGATCAAAAAGATACCGCAAAATAAGTTCCTCTCACAACGAAAAGGTTTGTTAAATTTCCCACTCTGTGACAGCTATATTTTGGACAGGCATTTGCACGGTCACCAGTTTCCGTCTTCTTATGTTTCGTGCTTTCAGCTTAATTTTTGACCCTATAATTCCCCTTAACATGCATGTCTCAAAGGCCCTTTAAATCAGTACGATCGGGTTGACACACCGGCAAAAACACAGACGATACAACTTTCGAGTCACGACGAGCGTACAAATTAAATAATAATAACACAATCAGCCCGTGGCCCGTAATTCAACCTCAGTTTATTTGATCTATGTTAACTGATGGAATATTGGAAAACGAACAAATTTTAATTTATTTGTTTTCATTTCAAAAAGGGAAAGAGGGAAATGTTTTGTTTTTTGGTTCTTGATTGAATATCAATTGAACGAATGATACACGGATTCACTGCCCCCTATCGGCCAGAAGGGGCCAGAACGAGTGGGGTCTGTGACGTCACTTTCCGGCACCACTTGAGATTGTGAACTCAGATTGAATTATGAGGCACTTTTTGCGGGCAAGCACGGAAACGAAAAAGCATTTCTGAGTTTGGTTTTTCTTTTTAATTTGGTCACAAAATGAGCAGTCTTGAAGGAGAAAATGAAAATGCATTTTGGAATATTGCTTTTTATTTTTATTTTTGAGTCAAATAGTGCAGCCATAACTTTGAAATGAAAACACATTTCTGCTAATGCTTTTAAAATTTTCCAATTTGACATTTCAAATTTAATTTTGTTACTTTTTTTGCTGGAGAATGTTTTGAAAATTAAATGTTAAATGTGTTTTGATTTTGCTTTTTAATTTAGTCACAGAGTGAGCAGTCTTGAAGAAAATGAAATTGCATTTTGGAATATTGCTTTTTGTTTTTATTTTTGAGTCAAATAGTGCATCCAGGACTTTGAAATGAAAATGCATTTCTGCTAATGCTTTTGAATTTGAGATATGAGTCACAATTGCTTCCATAAGAATGGCAGGTCTTTTACATAAACTCTTTTCAATATTGAGCCAGCGTGTTTACAATAGGTCCTGAATCCATATTACTGGCGGTTTTAGTTGCGCAGCCAAAAAGTAGTATCTCAGATTAAGGAGTTTGAGCCTTCCCTTTAGTTTAGATAACTGTAGCACTTTTAGTCTGGTTTTTCACTTTTTCTGCCAGATACATATTGAGATTAGTTTGTCCAATTTGTCAAATGTAGTTTTGGGGATGTCAACAGGTATCTAAAAAATAAATATAGTAATTTAGGCAGCACATTCATACAGACACTCTCAATGCATCCCAGCAGTGAAAGAGGCAATATTGACTGTCTGTCTTAGTCCTTACATATATTATAAATTGAGCTTTTGTAATTGTAACTGTATAGTTTTTCAAATTAAGGTGGTATATGAACGCCTCAATATTTGATGCCACCCACCAAACATCGGACGTCAAAGATATGTGCAGATCAAGTCAGTATTGGGTCGTACTGTCAAAGACCACATCTAGACGTCAGTGCGACGTGCAAAATAGGTTCGAAATTTCGACTTCCAAATTGGACCTTTTTTAGACGTCGCTCTGACGTTTAGAATTTGGACATCATCTGAAGACCAAACCTAGACGTCAGCACAACGTGCAAAATGGATCCAAGATTTAGACGTCATTATTGGACCTCTTTTAGGCGTTAAAGTGACGTCCACATTTGTACTTTATCTGAACATGTGTAGTCCAACAAGGACCAAATCTGGACATCAGCACAACGTGCAAAATACATCCAAGATTTAGACATCATTATTGGACTTTGTTAGACGTTGAGATGACGTCCACATTTAAACGTGCTGTGGTCCGACAAGGACCTTCCTCTGGAGGTGCAGGATGAAGGTCTTATCAACGTTCAATAAGACTGCTGAAACTGCACGTCATTTGAACATCCGATTTGGAGGTCCACAAGATGTCAGAATTGAATGTCCATATGATCTCCGAAAAAGACATTAAAAAAAAACTTTCATTCTGCACCTTCAGGAGACCTGATCTATACGGCCAATTTCGACTGAAATTGCATGTCATTTGAATGTCCGATTTGGAGGTTCACAAGACGTCAGAATTGGACGTCCATATGAAGTCCGAAAAAGATGTTAAAAAAAACTTTCAATCTGCACCTTAAGGAGACCTGATTTATGACGTCAAAAAAATACATTCAATAGATGTCATTTTATTGTCGCATTGCTCAGTGGGCATCTACTGCCATTTAAACCTACTCTGCAATTTAGATGTATCTGAGATGTTGCCACCTATATATTTATGGCCATTGTTTTGTCCATGTTTAATATGTAGCCCCAGAAGTATCTGTAAGTGAAAATGAAGTCCTTTAAGTATGGCATTGTTGTTGCAGGTTTTGTAAAATACAGCAATATGTTGTCAGCATAAATTGAGATTGTATGCCGTTCCCTGTTTATCTTAATCCCTCTTATATTATCATTATCCCTAATAAGCTGTGCTAATGCTTCAATACCAATATCAAATAACAAAGGGGATATTGGACAACTTTGTCTACACCCAGTTCCAGAGTAAAGCAATCTGAGGTAAATCCGTTCATCTTTACTGTGGATTGTGGATTGTTTGAGGGTGTTTTGAGTGGCTTAGGTGGGTTTCAGGGTGTTTCGAGTGGCTCATGTTGGTTTCAGGGTGTTTTGAGTGTCTCAAGTGGGTCTGAGAGTGTTCTGACTGTCTCAAGTGGGTCTGAGAGTGTTCTGACCGGCTCAGGTGGGTTTCAGGGTGTTTTAAGTGGTTCAAGAGGGTCTGAGTGTTCTGAGCGGCCCAGGTGGGTTTAAGGGTCTTTTAAGTGGTTCAAGTAGGTCTGAGAGTGTTCTGAGCAGCTCAGGTGCGTTTCAGGGTGTTTTTGAGTGGCTCAGATGGGTTACAGGGTGTTTTGACTGGCTCGGGTGGGTTTAAGGGTGTTTTTGAGTGGCTCAGAGGGGTTAAAGGGTGTTTGGAGTGGCTCAGGTGGTGGTCACATGTGTACGTACTGATGTGTTGCTGATGTTGCTCTCCTCTGAGATCCTGCTTGGAATCGAAACCTGAGACGGGGCTTGGCTAGGCCATGCCCTAAAAAAAAGACAGGTAGGTACTAGTTTCACTATGACAACCACAAGGTGAACTGAATTGTTCATGTGCCCCTGAGGTTTGTGAGTAGACTGACCTGATCCTGTCTTGGAACCTGGACAGGAAGCGGGTGGAGATGCTAAGTCGAGGGTTCAGGAAGTGTTTTTCCTCTGGAGGCTGCAGAGTCCTCAGGTCTGTGTCAAACTTCTCTGAAAGGTCAGTGGTCACATGATTGCATCAGTATAAGAACGGTGTAGGTGTTAACAGACCAGTGGCTGCATTCAAAGATGGACCTCATGTTGTAAGGAGTAAAGCTAAAGGTTATTGTGGGTTTAAAGCGGACTCTCAGGGATGTACTCAAACGCTTCAAGACTCTTGTGTTGATTTTTGTTCAGTGTCCTCTCACCATCAGGTAAGAAGAGCTTAAATCTGACTGAGACCATTGTTCAGATTCTTTATGGAGTCCCTCAGTCGTTTGTGGGTTTTCTGTTTAATGAATGTTTCTTACCCGCACTGCTCTGCTGACAGGGTGGCTCTCTTTTACCAATGTTGTGGTTTAAAAAGTGACTGTGTTAACTGGCCACTCTCTGCAAAATGTGTCAGTGGTTGTCGTGGTTTCAATAGCTGTTAAATCCCAAAAAGAAAAAAAAACTTTGAAATGCATCCTGGGGCTTTGTGTCAAAATATGCTCATCAGTTGAACAACGGGTCTTGAGTAAAAAGGATTTTGTGAGCGATGCATTTTGCTGAAAGGTGCCCGTTAAGAACAGGGTCACCCTTTAGACCAGGGGCCTCATTTATAAAGCTTGCTTACGCACAAAACCTGGCTAGAAATTGCGTACGCCACTTCTTACGCAAGAGTTGGGATTTATAAAAGAAAAACTAGTGTAGGAATGTGCGCAACTTTAAGCAAACTCCACACCTTGCTTACGCACTTTTTGGAGACAATCGGAGCAAGGTGAGAACAGTCCGGGTGATGCGTTCAGCACAACGGATGACTCGATGCAGCCTTTCTGTCCTGAGAGCTGCAGCTGCCGTACCAGGCAGTGATGCTCGCAGAAAGCACAGACCCCACTGTGGCGGTGTAGATAGTTTGCCAATTTGAATTTACAAATGTGCAAAAAAACAAATTCCATTTACATGCATTTGTTTTAAGATTAATATGACTAAATCTTTTTGGTTTACGAACTTTCACCACATAAGCAGCGGTGGATAACGGAGCGTTTTTTTTTTTTTGAACACATGCACGAGTGTCACACGTGCTTGTTTTTTCTGATCCTCACCTGTCGCCGCCACGCTCTGATGGTGCAAAGCCACTTTTTTCTTTGCCTCCACCTTTAGATCAGACCACTTCTTGATTTCGGCACAGTTTTGTTTTCGTCATCGTCAACGAAAACAAAACTCCACGTGTGCGCGCGCGCGTGTGTGTGTGTCTGTGTGTTGGAGGAGCACAGCAGGCTGATGAGAGCTGTCAGAGCGGACAGAAGCTGCTCCTATATGTTTAGCGTTTAACTGACTGAGTTTTGCAACTCTGTTCGTCATTTTCGTCTCGTCCCATCAACGTAAACGCACTTTCGTCTCGTCACATTTTAGTCATCTCCGACTTATGTTTAGCTCGTCAACGTTACGTCTTCGTCGTGGAAGAAAAGGGAAATATTTCCGTCAACAAAAACAACCAGTGTTGTTCTCGTTGATGAAAATATTTCTTTTTGACGCTGGTGTTGACGAAAATATTTGACGAAATATGACGAAAACAACACTGTTTCGGCAACGCTGCGCTCAGTGCCAGCCGCAATTGCCACCACGGCAACGGCGTTTTTATTGGTGATGCCACTCGAATGGCCGCCGAATAAGGTCTCCCGTCTCGCCGCCATCTCATTTACAAGAACCTCCACCTCGATCTCTGAAAAGTTTCTTTTTCTACGACTTGCTGATGCCATGGTTAAGCGTGAAATGCCATGCATCCATCAGGCTTATCTACATGCAAATCACATTCATGAGGTAATTTGCATGACCATACATGGTGAATTTTGGGTGTGGAGAGGGCGGGGAAGAATCAAATCCCTGCTGAGCAACTTTCCAGCTGGTCTGTGATTTATAAAGGGAAAGTGCGTGCAGGTGTGCGTAGGCAGGGTTTTATAAATCAGATTTTTTTTTTGCCTACGCACTTTTCAGCTTTTCAACTTACGTACACTTTTAGTATGGATCCTACGCCAGGTTTTATAAATGAGGCCCCAGGTCACTGGAAGGGTGGAGGGTCAAACTTTGGTAAGTTTGTTTCACTCAAAAATCTGATTTTTATTTTATCACATTTGCTTCTCTTGTCTTTCTGTCTTGGCTCATGAGCCGCTTTTTAAGGCTGTGCAGTCCTAAAGAGAACCCAAACAACCTCACAAAAACTAAGCCAAGTGAACTGAGACCAAGCAGATGAAAGACTGAATATGATTCAAGAAAACAAGGAGGTGAACGCAGTAAAACAAGCTCAAACAGAAATACAATGAATACAGTCAAATAATGGAGAGTGTTTTACCATCTGTCAGACTGGAGGCCAGAGTATCAAAGTGGTTCTTCAGTAAGTTTCTGTCCTCGTCGTCCTCCAGGACCAGACTGCCCACAGAGCTGCCCTGACTTAGAGAGTCTGTGTCTGCAGAGGAGAGGCCACAGAGACACAACTCAATCATACAGGTTACACACTCAATATGGAAGTTTGAACAGCTCTCAGACCTGCATCCTGCAGCTGCTCCAGACTTCCTGCTGAGCCCTCAGAGCAGGCCGAGTCTGGACTTAGCTGAGTGCTCCACACAGGCTCTGTCCCCTGACCTTTGACCTCCAGCTGGGTCAGAGAGTGCTGAGGGTTGGCCATACCTTCAACATTAAAATCCCTGAAAACAGAGCAACACTCTGGTCATCATTATCCAACGAGAGGATCCAGCTATGCCGACTATAATCCTTCTGAAGCTCACCTGTCTGCTGTGGTGTTGGTGGTGTTTGGGTGAAGGATAAAGGGGCTCCTGTCCTCACCTGGATCCTGCAGCACCTGAACATCACCCACAGATTTAAACTTCAACATCATTCAAAACATAATGTCATGGTGCAGGTACTGTGGGTTGATGCTTGCACCAAGTGTGGCTGCGCTCACCCCAGGGTCTGTGCTGTGACACCCGTCCTCCCTGACACCTGCCCTCCTCCCACATGTGCAAGTTCTTGAGTATTTTTGTTGTAATGTCTTATTATGTTGCTTATGTGCTGAGGTGCTTTTTACTGATCCCACACTCTCATCTTATTTTAAACTGACTAAAAAACCTTCTGCTGACCTCCTTCTCCTCCCCCTCCTCTTCCTCTTCTTCCTCTCCCAGCAGACTCTCTAGACTCTGAGGATGGAAATCCTCCTCCTCCTCCTGCTGCTCCTCCTCCTCCTGACTCTTAGTAGGGCTTGGGGAGAAGTTGGAGCAGATGACCAGAGGGTTCAGCTGCTCCGTCCATCGACACCGTGCCTGACTGGGCTCACCATCTAAATGGACGGCAGAGGAGGCTCCATCCTGCCCCTGCTGAACACTCAAACACAGCTACAGTTAATAAAAGTACAAAAACAAACATATCAGTTATAAGTAAGGCAATCAGTGAATAACAGACTGACCAGTTTCCTGAACCACATGGGCAGCTTCCCATTGGTCTGCAGCAGCTGAGTGTCTGAAACACAAAACAACACACAGTGGCCCTCATTTATCAAGCTTGCATATGGCAGAAAACTTGACGTGAGAATCAGCATTTATCAATCTGCACGTGAGCGTACGCTACGACCAAATCTCACAACAGGTCTGAAATCGTGTACGCAAGTTTGAGTCAGTGTGGATCTGCGGTGCAGCAAATATCTGTCTCGCAATAATTGATAAACAAACCTCAAATCATTTATCACAATCAGCCAGATTTCATTAAAGATTAAGATGTAAATAAAATAAAATAAAATAAAGTTGTTACGTCCTTGGTGGTCCTTAGGCCTATTTGATAATTCTGCCCAGAAACACTGCCACAGAGCAGGAGCGCCGTTTTAACACTGCGCACACATGCACACTCGCCACTGTGGAGCGCTGCATTTGACTCCTAAAAGGCAGGTGTCTCTGTCTTGGCCCAGCAGCGGGGACATTGTTGTACACTCCTGAAAGGGTGTGGGACATCATTTGTGCCAGTACAGTTTTGCACAATGTTGCTCTGGTGAATGGAGTGCCGTTGGCTGTGCCGGTGCAACGTGAGGACCCGATGCCTGTAGAACAATAACGAGGAGAGACTCCACAAAGGTGACAGGACCTTATCCATGGACTCTGACATGTAAAGTATAATTTTAGAAAGTGCTTTTGCTATTTAATCAGTGATAAAAATAAAATAGAAATCCATAAAAATGTGCCGCAGGGGCAGCAACACACCGTTTGGTGACGTTAATGATTATTTTTGTTCAGCCTCTGTCAGACTCTCCAGTCTGCTCTACATTACAAAGATGCAACAAATTAAAACTAAATACTTTCAATAATGGAAGCAACGTACCCTATGTCATGGCAATAAAAAATATGAGGCATGTATGAGATATTAATTTATTATCATGAGCAACTTATTGACTAATTATTTATTCAAACTTCAGCCACTGTCCGCTATTCCGCAGCAGCGCTGTTCACCGCCACCATAATCCTGCTCCAGCTTTTATACCGGTTTTGATGTTTCCAAAGAGAAAATCCGTGTTAGTTTCCACCACAGACGTGAGGATATCCACTTTCATTTGGAAAAGTTTTGCATCTTTCTAATATTTCTCCTCTTTCATGTTTGACCTCAGTGGGCGAGGCTTCTGAGCCACGAATATTCAAGGGCGTAAACATGTTAATGACGATCGATTTCAGCCGCCGCATTTATCAAGACCCGATCATACGTACGCTGGGATTGGTCAGATACAAACCCTTTCATAAATCTCATGTGTGTCCTATCGTAGGATGAATCCTGCACTCAGATCTGCGCAAGATTGATAAATGAGGGCCACTGTCTTCAACTGCACAGGACCTTTACAGATCAGCTGTAACTCCATGTGTGCAGAGAGGGTCTGACTCTGGTGAGGTCATCTCATCATGAAAACAGCATTCTTCATTTGAAGCTGTCCGTTTGAAATCTTGTCTGTTCTTCTGATAATGTCCCGATTAAACCACATGATAAAAAAAGGCCCTTTGTAGAAGCTGAGCTATGACTGTGGTATTTTCTGAATCATGTACAGCCTGTGCACCACTGTGAACAGAGCAAAGAAAGCATCACATACTAAGAAATGTGACTGTTTAGGGAAAAATGTCTGATCATTTCAAACGCACTAACATGTTTGTAAAAGGTTGTTAGGGGAACAACTGCATTAAAAACAGACAGGACTCTGGAGTGGAGATCACCACATGGGCTCAGACTCACTTCAAAAACCATCATCTGTGAACACAGTTCATCACTGCATCCACAAATGAGGTTCAAACTGAACCATGTAGAGACAACCACATAGAAACAGGGTCCAGAAACACCAGAGACTTCTGTGGACCTAAGCCCATTTAAAGTGGACTGGGGTGGAGAGGAAAACTGTCCTGTCGTCTGATGGATCAAAATCTGACTTTTTGGAAAAGTGATGTTCATCCTTGAAGAGGGGCTACTCATCTGCTAAACTCCTGATCATGGATCATGTCAGCACCAGAAGTACAGCTGAGATGTTAGACAACGGTGAAAAAGAGGACAGTAAAGTCAAAGCTGAAATGGAGCTCAAGTCAAACTTTTTAAGGACTTCATCAGCCTGTAAGTAATAATGTATCCTGACCATCCCCCACCTCCCCTTCCTCACCCTGAGCAGAGTCTAGTCTGGTAGGAGTACTGGAGTCAGCCTCTTCCTCTTCCAGGTGAGGCATGTGAGAGGAGGGGACAGTGATGAAGGTCTCCCTCCTGAAACAAGAAGAACAAACCTCAGCAGACTGAAGACCTGGACCGCCTCATCTCTCAAGATCACCTTCAGCTGCCACTCACCTGATGTGCTGTTGCTTCACTCTGCAGGTTTCAGGTGCGGTGGTCAGTTTGAAGCCCCGTCTCTTCCTCATGGTGTTGGTCATCTGGGAATCCAACCTCCACACAAACACGCAACTACACTCAAGAAAACACAGGTAGAACACACAACCATGAACATCAAGTTGTTTGAGTGGACAGATGTAACTACTGCAGTTAAAACAGCTGTTTTATGGTACCATGGTACTACTGGCTCAGGTCTACCAGGGTGTGACCAGATTTACAAAGTCTGGGGAAACGTGGCTCATATGAGGCAAACACTTAAAGCAGCTAGACAGAGTTTTCATTTTCTTTTGATTTTGGAGGCCACTATAGACAAAAGCGGTCATGTTTTAGCGCCTTTTGTCGTACAGACCCTTATCTGGCTCGAACATTGGGGTTCCAGAAACTAATGTTTTTGTAAGCAGTTTAAGGCAACTTTGTAAATGTATTTAAAATGGGAAGCGAGTCTGGGTCAGCCTGCCGCAGAGTGTGAGACAGACGTGGAGCAGCAGGACAACTGAAGTATGTGACACAGAGCTGCTCTGCCTGTCTGTCTCTGTGTGGAGGAGCTTCTCACTCTGTGGCTGCAGCTGATTGGTCTACCCACACCCAACCTCACAGAACTGAACAACAGGTCCATCACACGCATAGCAAGCTCCATAGCACAAGACACCACTCGCCCACTCAAAAAATACTTATAAATAATAAATAAATAAATAAATAAATAAATAAATAAATAAATAATAATAAATAATAATAATAAATAACACAGATTCCATGACCCCTGACAGCAGCACCACCTTTTAGAGGAAGCTCTGTTTAACAGATTGAAGCTTGACCAGACCAAGCCATAACAGTTATTCAGTAGCTCCTCACTTTGTCATTATGACACTGGAGGGGGGAATCGCTGTGATTAACCCTCTGTGTCCCACAGCTCCAGCAGTTAAAGAGCCCTGTTACATCACAGCCCTGAGTATGTCCAATAATAGAATAATTATTATTCAGGGGTGGGGGACTCGAGCCACATGACTTGACTCAAGTCAGACTCAAGTCGCAAATTTGAGGACCTGAGACTAGCTTGACGTACACTAATAAAAGACTAGACTTGACTTTGTCTTCATGACTTGAGACTTGGCACAGATAACTCAAAAGGACTTTACTTTTTCATTTACATACTTGTGTTTTCTAAGATTACGTTAGAAATGATGTTTTATTTGAAACATGACCGGCTAAGCATGCAGTGCCGAAAGCAGAAAACATACAAGATCCGTATTGAGCACGTTCCGTATTTGCTCGAGCAGCATCAGGTATCGCACACAGGATGCGTATTCGGAGCTTAGCAGCAGCGTAGTGCAGTCCTGGTCAGCTGAGCTCAGTAACATGCTCACAACAGGTTGTTTTTCCTTTCTGTGGTCTATTTCCCGGTAATTTGGATAAAATTTAGTGGCCGTTGAGCCTCTACTACATGTGAAAAAGCAACGTGATTTTACAGTTTCAGTTTTTGCAGGTTCACTCGTGTTTAATAAAGTAAACTATGGTCCTTTATGCTGTGCCGTTACCTTCAGACAGAGTTAGCAGTTCAAAGTCCTGTCAGGGTCCACATGGATCAGGGACTGACCATCGGATTGTTCTGTGTTACTGATAAATCCATAACTAGGAAGTATTTCTTATCTACACGGTCTGATATACAATCAGATGTTCGCATACAGTGTTTTATTTTGAAATACCGGATGACATGCACACTTTTCGTGCTTGACTTCCTGTCAAGAACGATCTTCTCTGTGTGGATTGATGCGCATTGGAAGCATAGAACAGCAAAGATAGACTCGCCGCACATCTTTAGCAGTGCTGCTCTCGATACAATGCTCCGACAGAGCAGATACACATCCTGTATGCTTTGCTGCATTGATTAGAATGGTAACGTATTTGCTGCGTGATATGCAACACTGCTGCCACGCTCCCAATATGCATCCTGTATGTTTCAGCCCTAACAGTTGTCTGCAGATCAACACAGGCCCAGCAGCCATGGAAGCAGCTAGACCAAAATTTATACAATTTGGGTTCAAGGATTATGTTGTTGTCAATGCTGGTACGAAGAAGAGAACAGCAGCATGTTAGGTCTGCAGCTCAAAAATAAGCGACACGATCACCACAAAAATCAACATAAATAGTAGCTTTACGGGTGGATGCATTTTTCAGCTATTTTTCTGTCTGCTGAAAAATGCATCCTCCCATAAAGTTATTATTCTGATTCTTTGGAGTCCCAAACTGTTGTTAGTTCACTTTGTGAGGTTTCCTTCATAAATATGTACAGATACGTGACTTTTAGTAGTTTACTAAGCTGAATAACAGATGAATGCATATCTAAACAAATGTGGAAAATGGGGTAGGTGATCAGATTTTTGTATGACTTGACTAATGATTTGTTTAACCTGAGCAATGACTTGACTTGCTTGATTCTCACCATGGTGACTTGGGACTTGCTCGAGGCTTGAGGGTTATGACTTGAGACTTGCATATGAGTGACTTACTCCCACCTCAGTTATTATTTTTATTATTATTACATTAAAAGGTGATCACCTGAGTGTTACACACTCATCAATGATGTGAAATCAGCTTAGGCCCTCCACTGCTGTTAGAATTACTCATGAGTTTTCGTGTCCAGCCAATTTATGTTGAGCTATAACAGATGACAACTACAGCTACAAGATGATAACTGGTTAGATCTGACTCTAAAAATCCACATTAGGGTCCATCATGATGGACTGAGACCTGAGGTGTGGTTACCTGTCTCCTGACACAGTGATGAGGTGTCTGCAGTCCTGACTGAACCTCATACAGGTGACGATCTCTGAGGGAGAGTCAAACAAAGCAGCTGAATGACCAAGAAGACTCACAGGTAAAGTAACAAACATAAACAGACACACCTGGACCTCCTCACCTGAGTGTCCAAACAGGGTGGCCACACACTCTCCAGACTCATAGTCAAAGATGGAGATGTTTTTGTCAGAGCAGCTGGTGGCAAAGAATGACCCCGAAGGATCCATTTCAACCTGCACAGTATCAGCCAATCACAACAGAGAACATCACACAGCAGTACATGATGACAAATTCCACAGAAACTGTTGGAAATCCAGAAAATTATTAGGTGCACCCTGCTTCTACTGCAGGTGAGCACTCCAGTCTAAACCTGCAGATCAATACAGACAATAACAATCAAACCCAGAGAGACTGAACCGTACTGACCTTCAGCAGAGCGCCTTCATCACTAGACGAGCCTTTCAAACACTTCTTCAGCTTCCCTGTTTCTACGTTGTACACCCTGAAAAAAAAACACCTACGTCAGCACAGGTGAAACAATACACACACACACACACACACACACACACACACACACAATGCGGGAGTCTCTGACCTGACGTTTCGGTCCTGACAGGCGATGGCGACGTGAGTCCTTGAGGAGTCCAGGTCCATGTCATACAGCGTTGTCTTCTCCACCACATGGTGACTCCTAGAGAATGAAATATTGTCCACTGTCTGCAACGACACACATGCACACGCACGCACACACACACACACACACACACACACACACACACACACACACACACACACACGCTCTGGACTGTTATAATACTGTGAATGTAAGAGTGTGTAAGAGTGTGTAAGTGTGTGTTCAGACCTGTTCCGCTGTCTGGAAGTAGATGCTCTTGTCGGCACCACAGCTCACCATTCGAACCTCTGGACTCTTACCTAGACCACAGGAACAGGTAAGAGTCAGATCATGAAGAGACAAACACAGCGCTGTCTGTGTCCTCTGTCCACATTAAGCCCAGTCTGTATAAAGACAGAACCCGGACCATAACGGGATAATATTCCTTTACCTGAAAGTCATTTTTTTCTATTTTACACCTCCAAACAAAGATTACAAATCCATGCAAACTCTTTCAGACTTCATGAAAAGTTCTAAAAATCAAGAGACTGCATCATCTTCATCATCACATACACCAGCCTGAACATCGAAGCGGCCCTACTTTATCTGAGTATCTGTGATGGCATATCTGCAACCTGATGTGTGAGAGGAGGGAAACTGGTGGCAGACAGAAACAGCCTCAAAATAAAGGAGTTTGTTGAATCTAAAGAGCTGGGTCTTTAGCTGTCTTTTGAAAGTCAAGAGGGACTCTGCGGATCAAATGGAGTTGGGTAATTCATTCCACCATTTTGGAACAACAGAAGAGAAGAGTCAGGCTCTCTGTGACTGAGTGTAGTGGGTGAGAAGGGGTGTAGACCTGGATGAGGGTTTCCAGGTAAACAGGAGCCGTTCTGGTTACTGCTTTGTAAGCAATGATTAGAGTTTTGTATTTGATGCGAGCTACAAATGAAAGAGTAGAGAAATGAACAGAGGAGTAAGATGAGCTATCTTGGGCTGGTTGAAGACCAAACGTATGTTCTGGATCATTTGCAGAGGTTTGACTGTGTTTGACAAGCAGGGAGGCCTGCCAGTAAAGAGTTGCAGAAGTCAATGAGTGAAATTACAAGAGCATGTACCAGGAGCTGTGTTGCATGCTCTGTCAGGTAGGGTCCGATCCTCCTGATGTTATAGAGGGCGAATTTGCAGGACTGAGCAATCAAGGCAACATAAACTGTTACGGTTCATGTTGCCTGAGTGAGTTAAACCTGAATCAGACTCCACCTGTGAACTTGACGGCAGTGATAGATGCCGAGTGGTCGCTCAGCGTCTGTTCCAGGCTGTAGTTTTTCTGCAGGTTGAAGACATGGATCAGTCGATCCCTGCCAGCCGACGCCAACAGCTGCACGCCTAAAACGACAACACCACATATAACACGAATCAACCACCCTATCTTCCAGCCAGGTGAGTCTGTAATGTTGGTTTTACTCTAAATGCTTAAAAATAGAAAATTATCTGGACTTAACAATAAATTCATACCCTCCAAAAACTTTTGAACCATCTAGATAAAACTGAAGACACTCTCAGCAAATACGTAAAAACCATGTGATGAGGAGGAATGACATTGTAAAAGTTCTGTTTGTTAAAGCATGTAGCTTTTGATCAATTCATGTACCCCACACCAGAGTTACACTGTAAAGCTGCAGCAGCTCAGTCATCCCCCTCTAAGGTCAAAGGAAGGTCCAGGGGATGGCCTTTGACCTGAGGACATACCTGTGGATGTGGGCGAGAACTCCAAACACAAAACCTCTGAGTCATGAGCCTCAATCTTCACCAGCTGGTCCAGAAACTTCAGACCAAAGATACTGAACACACACACACACACACACACACACACACACACACACACACACACACACACACACACACACACACACACACACACACACACACACACACACAAGTCAGGAGGTGCCCCACACACCTGTGAGGAGTTTTTCATCAATTTTCAAGCAAACTGAGTCATTTCTGTTATCAGCAGCATATTCAGTATCAAACCCTCACATGGAAACTACAACCTGCGCTCTATGTCTCTAATTCATCCAGGCCTGCGCTGCGCCCTGCCGGATCAACATGAAACCCCAGCCCTGCCTGGTTGTTAGGTTCCTGCTGTTCTTTGATCTGGATCAGAAAGATCTGGATTTGGAAATCCACTCTTACTCTGCTGGATAAGGTTACATATTTAGCTTCAGTCTCAAGTTTTTACCCGACAAACTGGATCATCAGGTCCAAATACCAAAAATCTGCATAGGTCCACACGCTACACACTTCCTCCACAAGGGGGCACTGAACTCAGCACACTGACAGATCCCAGCTGCTTTGTGTCAAACATTTGTTTATTTTGATGCTGGTTATTAGTGATTTTTTTCAGAGACACAGACTGTTTTTTCTATGGCTCCAGTCTGAACATTATTCTGTCACTGCAGAGAATAAGAATAACAAGAACTTTTTTTGATCCCCGAAGGGAAATTCAATCGTCTGTAGTCTCAGTTGTCATGTGTCAAAAAGTCATCTACTATTTACAGAAGAGTTGTGAAAAAAAAAAAGATTCATCTATTAAAAAAAAAAGTCAAGTTTGAGTTTAATCATCATCTCTGAAAAAAAACTTTTTATGTTTGACCTTCTGTCATCTATAGCTTTGGCAACCAACCACTGTGTGAGTGTGTGTGTTTCTCACTGCAGGTTTCCACAGCGGTCTCCAGCTGCCAAGTGTTGTCCATCAGGACTGATACCCAGCACTCTGATCCCTGCCTTCCCATCAGCCCCTGTTGCCTCCCCCTTCTCCCCCTCTGCTTGCAGATGCTGTGTGTTCTCCCCCACATACAGGATCCTCAGCAGGTCCTGAAAACAAACAAAAGCGTTGGTGAAAGAGACTTTTCTCCTTCTATCTGTGAACTTGTGTGCTGTATTTGTTCTCATGCACTCCTGCAGACCCGTCTGTTGGTCTTACGTTGCTGTAAGAGTTTCTGGGTCCTGTGAAGGCGTCGGCATGCCACAGTCTAATGGTGTTATCAGAGGAACAGGTGAAGAAGGAGGATGGAGGCAGACAGGCCAGAGATAACTCTGACAGCTCTGGATACACCTGAAGACAGAAACACAAACTGTTTTCATGGAGCTCTGATTTGAAAAAAAAAAAATCTGATTCACGGTTGCAACAATTCATGATGTGATTGAATCTTTTCAGGCATTTTCTGGAGTGAGATATCTCCATGTATAGATGTTGGCAGTTGTGATTGTGCCACATCTCTTCCAGCCCGTGTTCAGGACTTTTCACAATCACAAGTTATTCACACCAGATGAGTTTTTAACTGAGAAAGGTCCGTTTTTTTTTTTAATAAAAACATCCACATGAGTTGCTGTGTTGGGAGAAAGTGTTTTTTTTTTAAACTGTAGTATCTTTATTAGTCATGTCAGTGTATTTCGCAGTATGAAGTACTTTTGCTTATCAAAGTATTCCTCTGAGTACTCACTTGGATGTTCCACACACAGCCACTGTGGTACAGAGCAGAGTACAGTTTCACAGCACTCCTCACATCTGTAACGTTCCACACATACACGCTGTGGTCGTTGTAGACACAGGTCAGGTGTTTGGTGGTAGGGTCATAGGTCAGAGCCAAAGTGTCGGGGTACTGAGCACCTGGACTGGCAGGTGAGCAGCTTCTGTGTGGACAGGTATATGGTCAGTGATTGGAGTATCCAGCAGGTGTGTGTATGTGTCTTTGCAGCGTGTGTACCTGAGCTGCGTGCTCTGTAACAGTTCAACTCCCAGCCTGTGGGGGCGCTGCAGTGTGCTGATGTACTGCAGGCTGCAGGGACTGAACACTCTGACCACTCCATTAGCACAGCCACAGAAGATAAAGTCCTCACTGACTGCCAGACAGCTCGCTGAGGACGTCTACAAATGACAGCGAAAATATGACAACCACCTGACACAAAAATAATAAAACACAAAACACTCATATTTTGAAATGCAGGCTGTGGCACAACCATGATCAACAACATCAAACATATTGTTTACACTTAACAGGAGTTCTTTTTGCCTACTCTGACTTTACATGTTTTCCTGAATACTTCTTTCTCTTGTCCAGTTGAAATATTAACTTGTACAGGTATGTCAATCACTTGTACAGGTTTGTTATTAACATGTCCAGGTGTGTTATTAACTTGTACAGGTGTATTACTAACATGTACAGGTGCATTATTAATATGTGCATGTGTTATTAACTTGTACATGTGTATTAATTATATGTACAGGTGTATTGTTAACTTGTACAGGTGTATTATTAACATGAGCAGGTGTGTTTTTTTAGTTTTTGGTACAGGTCCACAGAGAGAGAAACTGGTGCAAAAACTCCGAGCTCTAGCTTTTAATCCATTTAATTCAAACTTCAGTTTCGAGCCACATATACAAGATGCGCCAGTTTCCCTCTCAAGCCAATGAAGAGACTCTTATTCATGCTTTTATCATCTGTAGAATTGACTACTGCAATGCTCTCCTCTCTGGTCTTCCTAAAAGGAACATTTCACGGCTTCAAAAAAATTCAGCTGCACGCATGCTGACAAAGACCAGGAAGAGAGCCCACTTCACACCAGTTTTAAAATCTCTGCATTGGCTACCTACGAAGCCCCTCAGGGGACATGAAGGGAAAAAAAAATTATAGGAATTTTCTCAAGATTTTTTTGCGTGATCTCGCAAAACTATTGCAAGGCCCCGCAAAACTATTGCGAGATCTTGCAAATGTTTATCTCAGAAGCTATTGGTTTGCATATTATCTCCAGGTCAATTCAATCATACCGAATGCAAGGTTGTAATCACACAAAATACAGCTTCATCAAGATGTTTACAAAGACACCAGGTAGAAAGCTGGCTTGCTTCACACAAAACCCATATCCAAATGTATTCCGCTAAAATATATTGTTAGTTCTTTTTAGTTAACTGGGTGTAATTTGTAGTATTCATGTAAACAACCCTGTTAGTAATAGCGCATTTAATAAATGCTACTTGAAGAATGTGCTCATTTTAAATCAGAGTTCTTAAGTCGTGGTCCTGGAGAGCCACCTGCCTGCAGGTCTTAGGCATCTCTGCATCTCAGCTGATTTGGGTGATCTGCTCGTTGTCAATCAACTGAGACACGACAGGACAGTCGGTTGATAACAAGCAGATAACTCAAAACAGTTGGGTTAGGATACAGAAACACCGATACAGAGAGACTTGTTGAAAAGTTGTTTTTAAATAAAAATAAATGAAATGCTTATGTGTTATATGTTGTCCCCATAGCAAAATCATGAAAAACAAACTAGGAACACAAGCACAACTGTGCACCTTTAAGACAGACACCACATTAATAACTCCATCATTTCTGTATTGGTATCACAAACACATGGCATCACATCAATTCATTCATTCGATTCAAAGCTTTGTGCGCCAAAGCCTTGGGGTGTCTTTGATAATCACTGTTTTACATTTATTGTCCACTTGATGGCACAGTAGTGCAAATAAAGCACAATAATGAAGCTTTGGCCCAGGAGTCAAGTAATTGGATGGAAAGCTTCAATGCTTCAAGAGGCTTTCATCTCACCATCACTAGCATCGAACCTCTACCTCGTGCGCGTGCATTCCATCATTTGAGTTGACTTGACACGGAAGAAATACACTGACCTATAACCTTTTGACCAATACACCTTGGACAACTATGCGAAGGCTTGCAAATCTTTAGCAGATCTCGCAATAGTTCAAAATTCAATTTCTTTTTTTCCTTCATGCCCCCTCAGGGGCTCCGTAGCTGTGTGTGTCTCTTAGAGTAGATTTTAAGGTTCTTTTTTTAGTTTTTAAAGCTCTTAATGGTCTTGGTCTTTCTCTTTTGTCTGATTTGCTTTTACTGTATGAGCCTAGTAGAGTGCTCAGGTCTTCAGGTAGTGGTCTTTTAATTGTTCACAAAGTAAAAACTAAAACATATGGTGAATCATCATTCCAATATTAAGGTCCCCATCTGTGGAACAGCCTACCTGCAGACCTGAGAGCAACATCTAATGTGTTATATTTTTAAAAGTGAACTAAAGACCTACCTTTTTAGTCTGGCTATTAGTTGTATTTTGTTTTAATCTTTTAATATGAATTGTGATTTTACGCTATTTTAGTCCTAGAGTTACTATTTGTGTTTCATTACCTCTTTATCAATTTACTATTTGTTATTCTTTGATTTTAAGACTGTTTTATTCAATTAACTTTTAACTCATCATTTTTATTATATCTTATCATGGTTTTATTGCTTTAGTCCTAGGTCCAGTGTTTCTTCATTTTTTTAACTCAAGATAGTGTTTCCTCAGTCATCTGTGGCAAGTTGAAGAGTCCTCACCTGGGGCCTTATTGATCAAACGTGCGTAGAAAAGGTCCTAAATTCTGGCATAGGAATGAAATTTAGAATGTGCGTAAGTACAGAAAAATCTGTATTTATCAAACAAGCGGACACAGGTCATACATGTGAGTAACTGGTGATGATAAATCCCACCTGTTCTTTACTACCGTGCTCATGCATGGTTAGGGTCATTTGCATTCAGAAATGCCTCCAATTGACCATATTTGGTATCAACCATCCCTTTAAAAATGCATGAATGGATTTTTCCCCCTTGACAAAATCATGGAGGTGCACACTCACAGAGCTGTTCTGCAGAATGAATGAGTCGTGGGTTCCTCCAGGCCAACGGGCAACAATGTTTAACAGATACATATGTGCATCGCAGATTATTTGTGCATTGATTGAATAAAAATCCTTATCTTTTGACGTAACTAAATTTATATTGTGAAGATGCTTTTATTGCGACGTGGGTGCAATCTATGGCCCCAATTATGTTTGGGAATCCGGCGATGGCATGAAATCCGCATCCAACTCTGCCGGCATGTTTCTGCTTAGCGTTAGCTGCAAAATGTTGTTTATGTCTCCAATCTTACGCTGAAATATTCTGGTGGCCAAAAATCCGAGGGTGGACATAAACTGGATGTGCAATGGGATGGCTTTGGTGCGTTTTGTCTCTCGCTCCAACACGGGTAGTAAATCCCGGCATAAATCCATTAAAATGTTTTTGGAGAAGCGGTACCTGCTGAGAGTCCACTCTGTGTTCTCAGTGAACAGATCAGCACAGTCTTTAAAAACACGCTCCCTGCGGAGCATACGTTCTCCAAGTCCTCCAGCAGGCAAAATAAGCCGTGATTCTTGTATTTGTACTTGTAAGACTTAATTTGAGGTTGTCCTGCTGATTTTTAAAGCTTGTCACACCAATCATTCAAAATGTCTGCTAAATAACTAATTGATAAATTTTGTACAGAGGCAACGGAGAACATGTGTGTATTTTGAGATTGCTGAACGCTGTTTCTCCTTTAATGGGTTCCAGTTGTAGTTTCACTGTTCTACCACTAGATTTTGTGTGTACGGATGGTCAGAGTTGTGCTTAAATTTACGCACGTTCCTAAGCACAAGTACATGTTGATAAATTCCATACTTTGCGTGGGAATGTTCGTACGTATTCATTACACACACATCTGTACGTACGCACAGTTGATAAATGAGGCCCCTGGTCTTTTGTGTGTGCATCTGTGTGCATGTGTGTGTGTGTGAGTGAGTGGTGTATGTGTTGATTGTGGGTGTGGAGGGTGGGTGGGGTTTGGTATTTGTATTTTTATTTATTCTATTTCATTTTTTTTAACATCTTGCTTGAATGGACAGCACTTTGTGCAAAAATTAAAGTTTGATTAATTGATTGATTGATTGATACCAAAGTAAAGTTTTGCCCTTATCATAGAGATCATTTACAGACTCCCGTACATTATGACCAGTTAGTCTTGTAGAGTTTCTCCCATGTTCCAGAGTAACTCAATAAAAGAAAAGAAAAAGAACATTACTAACTTTGTAGATATGAACTAGAGTTCTTTTCGTTCTCAAATTAAATTTGACCTAACTGGTTTTATGTACTCCATCCAATTTTCCAAAGATCTTTAAAATCTATCTGCCTCCAGTCTCACGAAGAAAGATAACTTTTCCATCACATATATTGTGTAAAACCTTAACCCAGTCCTCAGCCTTAGGTACCTTACCTCATTCTTCATCCATTTTCTGGTCATTGCTTTTTTGCTTGCTATCAACTTAATTCTATAAACATATTTGTCACCTAATCTTGTGAAATCTATGTCCAGGTTTCTTAGTATAATACCTCAAATGTAAGTGGTAGGTCTACCTTCACTATTTTTTCCATACATTTCTTAAGCTCCTGCCAGTAACTGCTGATAGAGGGCTTTATCAGCTCCACATAGTCGCCAAAACTTTGTGTCATGATACTTTGTCGGTGTTCTAAAGAATCTTATGAAGTTCTTCCACCCATGTTCTCTCCAAAACACGGAGCAGGTGTCTTCTCCACTGCTGTTCATTTATCTCTTTCATTTCATCTACTGATAGAACAATATTTGCCTCCCTCTCCCACCTCCCTTTAATAAACCCAGTGTCATTTCCCTTTAAGTCTTTCACTCCCTTATTTAGTCTTGAAACTATCTTTTTTCCCAGTTTTGATTCATATGCTGGAATTAACATCTCAATAACTGCTGACCCCCTCCCCTCTGTTGTTCCCCTTAGTGTTTGCGCTAAATAATGCTTTAATTGCAAGTACCTGTATTGATTCACAGAATCATATCCAATCCATTTTAATAATCTACTTTGTCTTCTTAAATCATTTTTTGTGATTAATTCAAACCAAAGTTTCAGTGATATATTCAACCACGGGTTAGTGTCCCTTCCTTAATATGTTTTGTCAAGTTGTTGTCCCTTATTATGGCCTTTTTAGGAACCCCAAATTTCTGGCTTCAATTTCTTTCCAACTCACTGAGTAGGAAGGATTGTATACACTAAGCAATATTTTTATTTGTGCAGCTTGATAGTAGCTCTTGAGGCAAAGAAGCACAAGCACTCCTTTGTTTTTAGAGAACTGCAGCATTCTGTATCTAATCCTCGGTCTCCTGCCAGATTTATCTGGAGATAATTTTATCCCATGCCCTGAATTCATGATCTGTTACCTCCACCAGTAGACTCTTGAATAGGTATATAAGCCTTGGCAGTACATTAATTTTTATCACCTCTACTCTTAGCATAATGCCCATATAAGGTAACAGGTTCCATCTGCTGATACCAGATTTAATTCTATTGAACAACGGATCATAGTTGATGGATATTAATTGTCTTAATTCCTGAGGTAGATTAACTGCTAAATATTTTACTGATTTTGATTCCCAGTTAAACTTGAACTTGTCCCTAATTGCTTGGTCTAACCTATAGTTGAAAGTAATAACCTAAGTTTTTTGTATATTTATTTTATAGCCTGATAGGTGACCGTAATCCAGGGGTGTCAAAGTCAAATGGACGGAGGGCCAAATAAAAAATTTTGCTACAAGCCGAGGGCCGGACTGATCGAATGTTCATTGAAAATTTTTTAAATGACGCATATAGTCTAGTGAACCTAATTGAACCTACTGAAAACCTAACAAATATATTCCAATATGATCAGATAAATAAAGCAATATTTTCTTATGGCTCTGTCAGTAATCTTTAATTTTCAACAGACACAAAAGACAAATTTCCTTTATATAAAAATCCCCATAACATGAACATTAAATGAAAGAAACCGGTATTATTCAAGGCACCATCAGTAGCCTATATTTTCTATTTTAGCAAAAGTGGGCTAAATTTACTTCAAAGAAAAAAATAATAATAGCAATTTTCTATCATCCACTCAACTGAAATATTTTTAAAATATAATTGGATTGAAATACAATAAAATAAAGTGCAAAAATCTATTAATCAAAAACAACACTTTCTTCAAGGAGAAGTAACATGCATTTTTGATGGGTATCTGAAAGTTAATTTTACTGTTATGCTGACGACTGCTGTGCTAATAAGCCTACTGCTCGGTGCGTCACCGTTGCATTGTGGGAAATGTAGTATTGGTGCGTGTAAAAGATCTGCGGGCTGCCGGCTTGCTGCGGTCTGCGGGCCGGTTCTAATAATAAATCAAGATCATCCCAGGGGCCGTAAAAAACCTTCTCGCGGGCCGGATTTGGCCCGCGGGCCTTGACTCTGACATATGTGCCGTAATCTGTGAGGGTTGTCATAAGTGTAGGGAGGGATGTGTTTGGATTCAATTAATATATTAATACATCATCTGCTAATAAAGTAATTTATTGTATCCCTCCCCCCGTGTCCATACCTGTTACATTTTTATTCTGTTTTATCCCTGAAAAATGGCAAAAAGAAAAGGACTCGTTGAGCAACCCTGATGACATCCTTGTTCTAAGATGATAAACTCTGAAGGACTCCCATTGATACTGGCCGTTAGTTTATTATACAGGGCCTGTATGACCTTAATAAATGACTCATGGAAGCAAAACCGCTCCAGCAATCAATACAGGAAATCCCACCAAATGGAGTCAAATGCCTTTCCCGCATCTAGTCCCACTATTACCATCTCTATCTGAATTTTGATTACATGTTGCACTACATGTAGGGTGCGCCTGCTGTTGTCCTGTGTCTGTTTGTTTTATAAATCCTGTCACACTAGTAGATAAAGTATAAATCCAGGACACTAGTAGATCTATAACTGGAGCATTCCTGCTGGTCCTTTCCCTCTTTAGGAATTACAGAGATAATGGCTTCTCTCCATGAATGAGGAATTTCTCTTTCTGTCAACACCCAGTTAAATGACCTCTGCAGAAGTGGGATTAATGTTGCCTTAGGTGATCTGTACCATTCTGCGGCGTACCCTTCTGCACCCAGGGACTTACCAGCCTTAGATTTGAGATTGCCTTACTTATTTCCTCGTTTGTAATGTCTGCGGTTAAAGCTTGTTTCTGTTCTTCTGTTACTCTTAGTAAATTTAAGTTCTCTAAAAATTGATCCATATGGGTTTTATTACTAGCTTCTGTTTGAGAGTATAGAGTTCTGTAATAAGTTTCAAAGCACTGTTAAATTTCCTGTTTTGTCCACTTTTAATCTTGTTTGCGATTTCTCATACTGTAGACAAGGTTTTTTGCCTGCTGCCAACAATTTTGTTGATTTGCCCCCAACTTCATCATATCTTTGTTTTATGAACTATATTTTTTGGGATGTCCTGCATATAAATCCAATGTATCTCTGCTCTTTTTTTCCATTTCCTTATTTGTTTGTTCTTCCAATTTATTTATCTTTATATTCTCTTTCTAGCTTGTTCAGATCAGATTTAAGTGTTTCTAGTTTTAACTGTTTTATCTCCTTAAATACACTGATTTGGCTATTGTTTTTCCTTTCACTACAGCCTTTAACGCATCCCACAGCACAGACAGGAACACCTCGCCATTATAATTATCCTCTATATAATTCTTGAGTTCCTTTACTGATCATAAATGTTCTTTCTTGAGCTGCACTGCAATCTCCAGCGCTGGACTCGTCTGAGGCCTCTGTACAAACAAGTGGCTGCTGGAAAAGAGTAGGTGAGTTGTGTTTGGTCTCTTTGCCAAAGAAACCAGGCTAAAAGCTAAAAGCTAAAAAGATGTTTGGTAGCTAGTGCTATGGCTGGGACCCTATATGTACTGTTGATGAAGTAAGCGTTCTGCAACATTCATCCCTCAAGGGGGTGTCTAACTCGATGTAATAGTGTGTTTGACCCAAACTTAATTTTATGCCTTGTGAGGATGTCATCCTCACATCCTTTCTGTCCATACAGGTGTGTAACTTAAGGTACAATTGTATTTCTTGGCGTGGTGTGTTTCCTTGCAGTTGATGTGTGTTTTCATCCTATAAAAGGTGTGTTTTTTTTATATTGGTGTTTTTTTCTTAATCCACAGATGTGTTTCCCATCTATAGAGGTGTGTGTGTTTTATTTTTTTTGTAGAGGTGAGTTTTTGTCTTATTAACGTGTCTTTTTTTTTTTTCTTCAAATCTACAGGCGTATTTCCCAGTGGCAAAGGTGAGTATTTTACTTGTTAGTGTGTGTTTTTGTCTTGCACAGGTATTTTCTGACCTTCAGGTTGACCCAGGCCTCCAGCTGTCGGCTGCTGTTGAACAGACACAGCAGACCTGAACTTGTGATGCAGTAGGTGCTGGATGCCATGAGGCCACGCCCACATGCTACTCCACTGAAGACACTGTTCTTATGGTCTCCTAGTAACCCTGACCGACCGACCAGAGGCACTGTGCTGTTTACCTGGATCGAGAGAGATGAAGGTAATTCTGTTGGCTTAGACTTCTGTAAAATATACTATATAGACTTCAAAGCAGTGAGCGCTGAGCTGTGATTGGCTGATAGGAGATCACGTGTACCCGCTTTTCTTTGGAGGCATCAAGGTACCAGAACTTGACGTGTCTATTTCCTGCTGTGACAAAGTAGCTGTTGTCTTGAGAGAAGGAGACAGCAAAGACTCTGCTGGACACTTTGTTTGAGGCGATGACAGAACCTTTCTGAATAATAAGCAAAGAAAACCATTTAGAGTAAAACATCATGACAGTTATTGGTTTTAGAAATGTACATTACAACAGAGCAGCAAGACTGTGTGTGTGTGTGTGTGTGTGTGGACACCCACCCTCCAGTCCCACACACTGACGGTCATGTCATGTTGGTATCCCACGGAGACGATGTAACGGCTGTTGGTGGAGAACGCCACACAGGAAACTCCATATTTATGAGACTGAACCTTGGCAGCCTGTTCTCCACCCACCTCCCACACCCGCACACAGGGCATGTGACCACTCTGAAACACACATAAACACACCATTTACAACCCCATTTTAAAAAAAAAAACGTTTTATCTGTTTGTTTGTTCCTCTTTAAAGCCCCACCCCGATGAAAATCATGTTTTTCTTTTTGTCTACATGTTCATATGGCATTTTTCTGATACTACAGGACATATCATGAGAAGACTAAGTGCAAAATTGCATTTCTGAGTATTTCTGCATTCAAATCACTGTGAAACTCTGGCAGACCCAAATGGCAGGTTCAGACACAGCAGGATTTTGTATGTCACAACTCTATGCTCCGCCCCTGGCGCCCCACTATGCAGGCCAGACTTCAAGAGGTAGAGAGGACAATGGCGGAACAAGTGTTTGCGGTAGTAGATTGCAGTTGCAAGAAAACTAAATATGATATAGACTTTCATCGTGTCCCTAAAGACATTAGTGTACATGAGTTGAATAGCTCCTATGTCACCTGTCACTTCTACTACACCGGCAATGTTAGGTTGCAAGATAGCATGAAGAGGAGTGTGCAGAGCAGCGCTGTCTTCACCCACGACTCGGAGGCAAATTGCTAATGAGCTACTGGAGCTCTGCAGAAGAAAAGCCCTGAAAAAGGCACAGGTAATGTGATTTTGGCAAAAAAACTTTATAATCACAACTTAAAGACCGCTGAGAACACTAAGTAGAAAATAGAAAAGATCGGAACGGGACATGCTGCTGCCATCAGGTTTTACTATATGTTTTGTCTCAATATCCGTTTTTTTTTTCACCAGTGTTACAACTTTAAATGTTTGGGATAACTCTGGCTTCCCCTCTTGTGCTTAAGTGTGTGCAAATCAGCACTTACCTCACCAGTGACCAGGTGTTTCCCATCATGGGAGAAAGCCAGAGCGCTGAAGGGTTTCCTGACACACAAACACAGTGACACATGTGAAAGTACTGATAGGTGTTTGAAGGATTTTAATCATTGTTAAGGACGTACCTGCATGTGTTGATGATGTGACTCTGTTTGTTCTTTTTTGAATGAAGCAGCACAATGACACACCTGACATACAAGCAAACACAGACAGGTTATTTGACAACAATCACAGCGGACTTTTGGTCTGCACATATGTAACAAGACTGATGCAGAAAACATGTTGGAAACACATCAACTATTGGTTCTGAAGCACTTTTTCAAATCCAGACAGGATTTATCATTATCTTACCCTGCAGGATAGGCAATGAGCCCAGAGTTGGGGTCAGAGGTCACACCACTGCTGCTGGCTGTGCAGATACCCAGAACCTTCTCCAGACGCACCTAAAGAAAACACACATATAGTCGGGCTGTCAATTAATATTCTGAATCCAAATATATATTCAAAAATCTTTAAAAAGACGAGATTCAAATGTGAAAATTAATATTCAAATATTAAATAAACAGCAGGAAAAAAAACTGGGTGGGAAAAAAAAGCGAAAACAAAAAACAAACAAAAAAACAAAACGAAAAAAACTGCAGCTGCTTTGTGAGTGGGCGCACTGTAAAGACGGGTCAGGGACAGGTAACAGAAGCTGCACCTGCAGTGAGACTCGACAAAAAATGTCCATGGCACATGCAGAGAGAGATGGCGGGATGTTTGGAGCCAAACCTGGAAAGAGTGGGCTGTACTTGAACAAACTTTCGAAGTTCCATTTAGAAATTCTTCGGGTTTTGGGCAGACACGTTGGAAATAAAAAAATGCTGAGTGAGATAAAGTTATATGCAAGCTGTGTAAGCTAGTTATTCGAATATGTTCAAACCTATTTTATTTCTAAAAAGAATATTCAAATGTAATTTTGGAGCAATTTTGAGAGCCCTAACACATACTAGGGATGTGCACGGTTATTCGGATATTCGTGTAAACAGGGCTGTCCTTACTATCGGGTTAGTAAATAATATTCGTTTATTCTATAAAATAAAAAAAGAGAAAAGGGGGGGGAAAAAAGAAAAAAGCGAAAAAAAGTTTCTTTTTTTTAAAATTACGTTTTTACCGTCATGTCTTAATAAGTGTGCGTTAAACTAGCTAAAATGTGTGGATCATCACTCTTTCTGCCTGGCTCGCTGCTCTGGGCTCGCAGCGCTGGCCTGCAGCATGCATCGCATCGTGGGTTAACTTCAACACATGTGAATCAACACATGCGATCAGCCAGAGCGATGTAGGTGAGAATAAAGAGCAAAGATTGGGAGAATTTTGATTTAGATAAAGGTGGCACACTTCATTTTGTGCTTATGGTGTGAGGCAGGCCGATGACGCAGCAGGCTGCTTGGCTTCCGCGCAGCGGAGTGGAGCTTAATTGCTCTGATCTTTCACATACTTTATGTCATTCTCCAGCGCTAAAATAAGATTCTGTAACATATTTTAATATTATAAGCATGACTTTCACTTAATACTCTTAATATCTATTTCAGATATCTGGCCATATAGATCGAGATGTGCTCAATTTGGGCTATTTTCTGGGAGTTAATTAATTTTCGTGTATTCGAATATTCAGTTTCAAAATGGTCGTGTAACTGTCAGTAAAAATTAACCGCTGGGAACATCCCTAACACATACACACACACACACACACTTGCTCTTTCAGTTCAAACAGGGTTTTTGCTGCACATAAAAGTCAGAGGTGGCGACTCAGCCTGATTGTCACTTTGCCTCAGACTTCTGTTGGTAAAACCATCCATCTCATAAGCAACAGTGTTTCCCAAGGACAGCACCTGAGGCATCATATAACGGTGTGTAGGAAAGATCACTACAGGTGGCGTACGCCAAAAACACAGGTAATGCGTGCGCACAACAACTTCCAGATTTATCACAGGGTGCGCACGCACATCGTACGCCTGTTTCCATTTATAAATCACAGTCAACTGTAATGTTGTCGCATGTGAGGGAATGCTTTGCCCCGCCAACAGGATGCCGATAAAAAGGGCAAGTGTACACCCTTAATGAATATTGAATGATACCATTTTCACGATGGACCAAGACGGGAAACAAGCGAGAAAGGGAAATTAGACTTAATGTGAGATTGAGAATAGGTAAGGTAGATAAGTGTCTTCTTTGATAGGCACAGTCTGAGAATCACTAATGCCAGAAAGGCAAAACTGTGGAGGCATGTGGCTGATGTTGTGAATAAGGTTGCCTCATAAAGAAATAAAAGGGAAGAAATACAAGAAACGGTCCAACATTAAAGTGTAGGCAAAAAGGCGTATTGTCCTCCACAGAAAAAGAGTGTCTGTGTGACAGGTGGGGGAAAGGGCACACTGGAGCTCACCCCCACAGAGGAAAAGCTGGTGGGGATCATTAGGGAATCCCTCCTGATGTGGTGACAGAGGGGCAGAGGGGGACACGGATGCACCAAATTGCGCCAGAAGCACCGAATGAAGGTAACTATTCTCTTGTTTGAAATATTAAAAATGACAATGTACAAACATTTGGTACGCAATCCACAATAGTTAACTTTATTTAAAGTTATATAATGTTTTTTTTTCAATCCTTGGGTGTTTCAGCTGGGTTGGTGGTGCTGAAGCTGTGGTTGGAGCACCATCAACTGATGAGGCTGGTGACTCCACAGCACCTTGTGCACCCTCCCGCAGCAGCCACGTCCTCACAAACCCAGTCCTGCAAGCCCAGAGGGACACAATCACATCAATGGCCAAGGAGTTGTGGGAAATCAAAAGTGTATCAACAGTAAGAGTTGGGGGAAAAAAATCAATTCTTAGATGCATCCCAATTCAGGTGTGGATGATTCTGAATCAGATTATTTAAATGTTAAATAATCAGAAGGGGTTTTATTGCCATTGCCACTGAACAGGATTCACAGACTAGGAATTTGTTTTGGCATGATGGTGCAACAATAAACAGAGAGAAATATAAAATACTAGAATAAAAACTAATAAGAGCATGCAAGAAATATATAAAGTATAAAAGTATAAAAATATAGAAGTATAAAAGGTTATGTACAATGCTATGTGCAATAAGTATAAAAGGCTATGTACAACTAAACAATCTAGAACAACAGTGTAGTGGGAGGAGTGCAATTAAAAAATCCAAAGTACATTAAACTAAAGTGACCAGTGATAAAGTGACGGAGTTAAAGTGACTGAGTTATAAAGTGTTCATGAGTCTAACGGCAGAGGGGAAGAAACTGTTCTTATGGCGGGAGGTTCTGGTCCAAATGGACCGTAGCCTTCTGCCTGAGGGGAGTGTCTCAAATAGTCCATGTGCAGGTTGAGAAGGGTCAGCTGCGATCCAACCTGCTCGGCCCCGAGTCCTGGAGACGTACAGGTCATGGAGAGATGGAAGGCTACGGCCAATCACCTTCTCAGCAGAGCCCACAATGCGCTGCAGTCTGTGTCTGTCCCTGGCAGTGGCCCCGGCGTACCACACCGTGATGGAGGAGCTGAGGACAGACTCGATGATGGCCGTGTAGAACTGCACCGTCAGCTGGACCGGCAGCTTGGCTTTCCTCAGCTGCCGCAGGAAGTACATCCTCTGCTGGGCCTTCTTGATGAGGGAGCTGATGGTTGGCTCCCACTTGAGGTCCTGGGTGATGGTGGTGCTGAGGAAGCAGTAACAGTCCACAGTGGTGATGGGAGAGTCGATGAGGTCGAGAGAGGGCAGGGGGGCTGTGGCTTTCCTGAAGTCCACAATCATCTCCACTGTCTTCTGGGCGTTGAGCTCTAGATTGTTGCTGCTGCACCAGGTCACCAGCCTGTCCACCTCCATCCTGCAGGCAGACTCATCTCCATCCGAAATGAGTCCGATGAGGGTGGTGTCATCCGCAAACTTGATGAGCTTTACAGAGTCATGTAAAATAATGTAAAATAGGCGGAACAAAATCGCAGAACTCAGTAGTGCAGCACATAGTCATCTGTACACTTTACAGGGAGCTCATAACAAATAAGCATGGCTGACCGTGAGATCCAACCAGCTCCATCTGGATTAAAAGCCAGTGTGTGGAAGCACTTTGTAATAGGGCTAGGGCTGAACGATTTGGGAAAATAACCTTATCGCTTATCTTATTTTTTTCCTCAATATTGCGATTGCGATTAAATATGCAATTATTTTTTCAAGGTTCTCCTCTAATGTGTTTTTCAACACAACAATAAATCAATCTGTATTACAGTAAGCAATATCAGATTAATTATAAGTAAGTTGTTCTTTCTGGCAATTATCATATGATTGCACATTAAATTGCAATTGCAATATTAAGGAAAAAAATCGCGATAAGATTATTTTCCAAAATCGTTCGGCCCTACTTTGGATTCCACAAAGTTGACGGCAAAACTGAACTAGACAAGAGCCCAGCTATATGTAAGCTGTGTCACACTAAAATAAAATATTTTTGCACCACAAATATTAGAAGGCAAACCACATATTTCCACCAGAAGAAGGAGGGAAGATGCCTGCCTCCATTGACCAGAGAACAATTGAGCAAGTAATTCCAAAGCTGTCACTCTCCTCTGAAAAGGCAAAACGAATCACAAAGTCTATTGTATCATTTACTGCCAAGGACTTATGTCTGTATTAGGGTTGCAAAGGGGCGGAAAATTTTCAGTAATTTCTGATAAATTTCCAGGAACTTTCCATGGGAAGTAAAGCTGGGGAATTTTGGAAATATTCCAAATTGGAAATTTTCCTTGGGAATTTATGGGAATTAACTGGAAATTGGGGGTAATTTAAACAAACTGTATCATATCCAAACATAAATGTAAATGTTTTTGTTTTGTCATAAGCAGACATCCATACAAAATAATACAATTAATGGTAATGAATAATGGCAGAATAGAAATATAGTTGGCTAAACAAATGGAATGGTCTTCAAAATATTGGACAATTGATGTATAAAATTATTGTATGGTTACAAAAAAACGTCTTGCAGTAGTTAGAAGAAACAGCATCACATTTGAGGTAGCTACCACCACCATAATAAGCTAGCCCCTTAAATGGTCAGTGAAATGAAAAATAGCTTACATTTAGCACCTATTTTTATTTAATTTTTAAATAAAATATTAATTCTATTATAGATCAAATATATTTACCCCATAATATTATCAAAACTTACTTAACTTTATGTAGTCCATGGACTCAAAAGTGTGTCCTCCAGGGTTCAAGAAATCATCTGTGCATGTGATGGAGGAATGTACAGTACATGTAGGGGATGTGACCTCAATAGCCCCGCAGTAAGCATTGTGCTGTGTGCATGTGATTGAGGAGTGTACTTGCATGAAATATGGTTGTTTTAGCCAAGATTAAACTACAATGTATTTTCCCCAACTATATTTAAGTTCCCTGTTGAGAGCCAACCTTTAATTTAGTAAGTTTTAGATTTATTCCCATATATTCACATTAATTCCTGTGGAAAGTTTCCAATTTTGAAAATTCCCAGAATTTTGCAACCCTAGTCTGTATTTAGTAGTGGATGAAAATAATTTGATAATCATTTTAAATCAAATGGTTGCCCCTGAATCATAATTGAATCAAGAGGTGCCTGAAGATTGGCATTGGCAGGGCTTGAGGCAGAAAAAAATCCTGTGCCTGAATTTTTTTGTGTGTGTGTGTGTGTGTGTGGGGGGGGTGGGTGGGGGGTTACAGTATATGACAGTGGAGCTATTGATTAATATTGGATATTAATGATTCATAAATCATTAATATCATAAACAAAATATATGATAAATATATAATATAATATATCATAAATAAAAACAGAATACAATGATTTGCAAATCCTTTTAACCCACATTCAATTGAATGCAACAGAAAGACAAGATATTTTATGTTCAAACTCATAAACTTTTTTTTTTGCAAATAATAATTAACTCAGAATTTGATGGCAGCAACATGTGCAAAAGAAGTTGGGAAAGGTGGCAAAATATACTGAGAAATTTGAGGAATGCTCATCAAACACCTATTTGAAACATCCCACAGGTGAGCAGGCTAATTGGGAACAGGTGGGTGCCATGATTGGGTATAAAAGCAGTTTCCCCAAAAATTCTCAGTCATTCACAAGCAAGGATGGGGCGAGGTTCACCACTTTGTGAACAACTGCGTGAGCAAATAGTCAAACACTTTAAGAACAATGTTTCTCAAAGTACAATTGCAAGGAATTGAGGGATTTAAACATCTACGGTCCATAATATCATCAAAAGGTTCAGAAAATCTGGAGAAATCACTGCACGTAAGCGGCACGGCCGGAAACCAACACTGAATGCCCATGACCTTCGATCCCTCAGGTGGCACTGTATCAAAAACCGACATCAATGTGTGAAGGATATCACCACATGGGCTCAGGAAAACTTCAAAAAAACACTGTGAGTAAATACAGTTCGTCGCTACATCTGTAAGTGCAAGTTAAAACTGTACTATGCAAAGTGAAAGCCATTTATCAACAACATCCAGAAACGCTGCTGGCTTCTCTGGGCCAGAGCTCATCTAAGATGGACTGATGCAAAGAGAACTAGAAAAGCACTCGGAGAGCGCAGACCTCCGCCAAGCAGCTCATGTCCCCCCTTATATTGTGATTCACACCAAAACTTTTAATGTTACGTGTCTTTTATTAACTTTTATTTGTGTTTAAACTGGTATGTTCACTGTTCATAATGTTCCTAAAACAAGAAATGCCCTGACCCGGATTCGAACCCAGGACCTTCTTGCTGTGAGGCGACAGTGCTAACCACCACACCACTGTGCCGCCTATTAGTTATCTTTCAGCATTGAAAATTCCAACGACACCCTTATTTTTGTGTGTTCTGGATCACAGTATCCGGAAATTTGTCTGGATCAGGATCAACCTTTGACACCTCATAAAACTCATTGAGATCCTTTTGAGTAATTTTTTACTAAAGACTCTGGCCATTTTTATAGAGTTAAATGCAATAATTCCAAAATTTGCCCTATCTCACAATGATAAAGAATCCTTCAAAAAATTCCTGGATCCAGAAATGTAATGGGATCCTCCTGGGGCTGAGACGCACCTCTGTTGAAAATTTCAGGTCAATCCGTCTGTAACTTTCTCCGTAAAGTTGTTCACAGACAAACAAACTCACAAACAAACCAACCAACCAACAAACCAACGCTACCGAAAACATAACCTCCTTGGCGGAGGTAAAAAAAGTGTTCTGTGGTCTAACGAGTCCACATTTCAAATTGTTTTTGGAAATAGTGGACGTTGTGTCCTCGGGCCAAAGAATAAAAGAGCCATCCGGACTGTTATTGGCGCAAAGTTCAAAAGCCAGCATCTGTGAAGGTATGGGGGTGCATTAGTGCCCAAGGCATGGGTAACTTACACATCTGTGAAGGCAACATTAATGCTGAAGGGTACACACAGGTGTTGGAGCAACTTATGCTTCCATCGAAGCAACCTCTTTTTCATGGACGCCCCTGCTTATTTCAGCAAGACAATGTCAAGCCACATCCTGCACATGTTGCAACAGCGTGGCCTGCCTGCAGTCCAGACCTGTCTCCCATTGAAAATGTGTGGTGCATTATGAAGCGTAAAATACGACAATGGAGACCCAGGACTGTTGAACAACTGAAGCTATGCATCAAGGAAGGATGGGAAAGAATTCCACCTTCAAAGCTTCAACAATTAGTCTCCTCAGTTCCCAAACAGTTATTGAGTGTTGTTTAAAGTAAAGGTGATGTAACACAGTGGTAAACATGCCCCTGTCCCAACTACTTTGGCATGTGTTGCAACCATGAAATTCTGAATTAATTATTAGTTGCAAAAAAAATTCAAGTTTATGAGTTTGAACATTAAATATCTTGTCTTTGTAGTGTACTCAATTTAATATAGGTTGAAAAAGATTTGCAAATCATTGTATTCTGTTTTTATTTACGTTTATCCCAATTTCCCAACTTCAATGGAATTGGGTTTTGTAGTACGAAGAGTCCCTTGGTGTGTGTGGTGATTTTGGGGTCACTCCTGTATAACAGTGGAGCTATTGATTTTTGTTTGCAGCGTCTTGCTCTTGTAATGTAATTTGCAGACAATCCCTATGCACTCGCCCGGCTACTGGCTGTGCATAGCGATCAGTATTATTCATCCAGCTCAAAGAACGATTTGTTTTTGTAAAACAAATCGTTTTTTGATTCTTGTAGCTAGTAGTCTGTGCTATTACAACAGGACAGAGGCATCATTTGTGTTTGGACAACGTTCGTCTCAGAGTTATTGATCCCGGAAGTCCGAAACTGTGTATATCTTTCCAACTTTACCAGACTTTCTCCCACTGCTGACATAAATAAACTTTCTGGCACACAACACACAAAAACAAGCACCTGGCTCTTTCATTTGTCGGCACCAGCCACCATGGGGCTTTCCATCTTTTACAGCCTCTTCCGCCCAAGCCCAGCTTCCAATATCACCGTTTCTTCTCCTGGATTGATGTACCTGACATCCATCGTTTGAAATTTGCAGTTCGCCGCTCACTGATGCGTCCTTTTCTTCCGCTTCTTCTTCATCTTTTTCTCCGGCAGGATGTAGGCTATTAAACGTATTGCTGTCCTCTATAGGTGATATCCAGTTCCAACTAGGATTTTATTTTTTTCGTTGACATGATTTAGAAAAAAAAATCCCGAGTGGGATTTCCGGCACCATGCCGGAGGTCTTCAAGCCCTGCATCGGTGCAAGACTGACACAGTTTGTGAACATACAACCGCAGCACAGCAGCAGCATTTGCTTCAGAGGATGGGGGGTCGACATCTTGAGCAACACTGAAATCAGGTGGTGGCACATTCTCCACTCCCCCCAGAGTCTCCCGTTTACCACATCCTCCAGCTGTGATGGATAAGCCATCGTCTGTCTTTACACATTATGAGTGCGTGCCTTTCGATATCCAACCACCACTTAATTTCCTGAACAACTACAGATTTTGTAGCGTACTTGATTAGCAGTATTGCGCTACAATCATGTCAAACCTTTATCTGTATGGCACATTTAAGGGACACAGTTATTGCTGCATTATTGAAAATCTGAATGATGCATGAGGTTGCTGTAAGTCTGGTCTGCAGCTATCGAATAAATTAATAATTGAGTATTCTACTGGAAATTCTATTGAATAATTGGATTAAAGGTGTGGAGGGGCTGACTCGTGTTTACGGCTGTGTATGATCAATTTGAAGGGGGGGCAGTCATCCAATTGTAGGCTACAGACGACAACTCAGCGCACACATATTATGGTCTAGGACATGTCTGCTACGCTAAATTTTACCTTGTCTCAGGTCCTCCGCTCTTGGAGTAAACAAAGTGCCTTTGGTGGAGATGCTGCAGCATTGATAACATACTGTTGTGTTATGCAAGGACTGTCTTCTGTGAATACATGTAATAACAGTACTATGTATACATCCCACCTAAGTCAATGGCTGAAATTCTGTGCAATCATTTGTAAAATGGTGTTGCTAGGCTACACACTCAACACCCTGAGGCACTAATAATACTACTAATATCAGGAGACATGTTAGCACTGAACTGCCCCAAATGTTCAACACTCCATTAGACAAATATCTGCGTTCTTCAAAATGAGGGTAGGTAGTAATGTGGACGCTGCACATTCTCTTGGATGCTAGCTTATGCATCTCTCCTAGCCTGAAAACAGCGCTGGCTCAACTTCTGCCACCCCGTATGACGTAGATGTACGTCATAAGTATGTCTGCGTATGCCTTCGACTTTTCAAGTGCATTCAACAACATCCAACTCACCATACTCAAAGACAAGCTCACAGAGATGGGAGTGGATCCTTCCTGTGTTTCCTGGATCGCAGATTACCTGACAGGAAGGCTACAGTTTGTCAGGCTGGGGAATTGTGTTTCTGGGACATTATTAAGCAGTACAGGGGCTCCACAAGGGACAGTGCTGGCTGCATTCCTGTTCATACTTTAATTTCTCTTTTGTATTTGTATCTATGCTGCTGTAATTTATGGAATTTTCCCCTGTGGGTATATATAGAGGTATATAATAGAGGTATATCTTATCTTATACATCAGACTTCAAATACAGCACTGAGTCCTGCCACATCCAGAAATACTCAGATGACACAGCTATTGTGGCATGTATCAGAAATGAACAAGAAGCTGAATACAGAGATCTGGTAAGAGCCTTCAGTGAATGGAGTCACAAAAACTGCCTCCGCCTCAACACCTCAAAGACAAAGGAGATGGTCATAGACTTCCGTAGATCCAAACCCCCTCCTTAGCCAGTGAGCACCTGTGGAGTGGACATTGAAGTGGTGACATCATATAAATACATAGGTGTACATCTGAATAATAAGTTGGACTGGTCTAAGAACATAGACTTAATCTACAGAAAGGGGCAGAGCTGCCTCTTTTGCCTGAGAAGACTCTGATCAATAGACATCTGTAGTTAGATGCTGCAGATGTTTTATTAGTCTGTGGTGGCAAGTGTTCTGTTCTACGCTGCAGTCTGCTGTGGGGGAAGCATCAAACACAAAGATGCAAGACGTCTTAACAAACTGTTGAAAAAGGCTGGCTCTGTAGTAGGACTCAAGCTGGACTCAGTGGAGGATGTGGTGGAGAGATCTACACTGACGAAGGTGGAGACTATTCTTAAGAACATGGATCACCCACTTCATAATAAGGATTGACAAATATTTGGCACAGCTGATAATATCGGCCACTATTCAGCATTTTTATAATAATCGATATTGCACCTTTTTTTCCCAGCTGAAAAAATAAGTCTATCTTAAAACGAGCTAATTTGGCTCTTACACAGCTGCCTCTCTCTGCCTGAAGTCACCACTCTTCTGCTGTGCAACAATAACCCACCTACAGTCCCCATTGATTGGCTACACTGACAGCCAATCAATACTCAAGCTTCTAGGTGCAGGAAGGGAGAGAGAGAGAGGAAAGTGCATCGTGAAGCAGTGGTGTGATTGGATGTCAGACTTTAATGATGTTTGTTAACACTGTAGAACTAAAATTTCAAGTAAACAAAATAAAAGCCAACACCAGCTATTGTAATCATTACAGAAATAGCACTGCTGAGCACTGTAGCCAATATAGATAAAGAATACGCAAAGTAATATGAGATACGCGACTAGGGCTGTCAATGAATATTCTAAATTCGAATATATATTTAAATAGAAAAAAATAAAAGATTTATATTTACTGTGTAAATCGAATTTTTACCATGATTTCGATTTTGGCTTCTCACTTCCATAAAAATATTATAATTGAAGAAAAACTATTACTGGCTGCACGGCGCAGCGTGTATGTAAGTTCCCGGGAAACAGTGGAAACACAGTCACTGATTGGCCCGGTTATTTTCTGATCGCTAATACACGCTCCCAATGGGCCAAAGTCCAGACTGTTGTGCGAAGGAACGGCAAGTGATTCACGCAACAGGATGGCCCAGCCAGGCTACCCTTGTTACGTGCAGCTGCCGCAAGATGCATGATGTGTGAATCAATAATATGAGGGATTGAAAACATGACAGAACGGCAGCCTTTGGTTGAGAAGAAAGGTAGGGCAACTTCAGTTATCTGAAAACATTTTTGCTTCGAGTTGACAGACATCGAGCAAAAGGAAATTGTTTGCAATGTTTGTCGTTTGTAGGAGGCAAACTGCAGGAAGGTCGGCTGAGGGAGTAAAGCACTTTGTGGCCAGTCCTTTTTGTTTGTTTTTTACAAAAAGGTTTTAGAAATACCTTAGAAGAGCCTTTTGTTTTGGGGCTGTGTTATTAGTGGGTTTTTTGGGGGTCATGTTGCAAGTTTTGCGGAACTGCATGTAGATCAGGTAATTATTTTTATTTTTTATTGCTATCACTATTGTACGACGGAGTATTAGGACCACATTAAAAAATGAAAAAAATTTAGACCTCAGAATTACTTAAAAGAATAAAGTCACAGTAAAATCATTACTTACGAGACTAAAGTCATAATTATATCATTTCATACGAGAATAATGTCGTAATAAATAATTACTCAAGAGAATAAAGTCATAATAAAATCTTTACTTACAAGAATAAAGTCATTGCTAATAGATATTCTAGCCTGTTGTTAGTTGTTTAAATGAGCGCCATGGAGCATTTAGATGAACTGAACTTCAGTAGATAGGTTTCACAAACAAGGAGATAAATCCTTTGGCGTTTCAGCATCACATTGTTATAAGTATTAGGACATATGCAAGAAATGCATCTTTTCCACAGAAAGAACCAGGCAGACTTGTAGGGAATTGCTGTTTTTGAGGAGGGGGAAATGGCTGTGCAGAGGCTAAATCCCTCTAGCAATAGCAATAGCATATGGCTTTAGTTTATCGCATGAATCTATATGCCATAAAGTGTTCATGATGCGATACGATAATCATTTAGTTCAAATCAATGTGATCCGATACGATATGATGCAATTTGTTGCGATATGATGCAATTCAACATGATGCCAATAAGCAAAGAAAAAAAAGAAACAAAAATAAAAGATGGAATTCAGTATGGTACTACAAAAATGATTTGGCTTTTTTCCTTAAAGGCACTTGGCAGTAAATTCAACAAAAGTGCTTTTTGTCTTTTTTCTATGCTCCTTTGGGTTCCATTTTGTACAGTTACACAGATTAAACAGACCTCCTGCAACTGTTAAGGAATCTGAATCAATAAAATAAAAAAATAATAAAAAAAAGGATTCCAATCCCAACCCTACATCACACAAGTGCTCTATACTTGTTGGGTAATATTACAGTGCACATTATTAAACAACTAATGCACTGCCTAACATGGTGCAAATAAACCATTCAATGGCCATACTACTGTCTGCCAAACCAATGTGCTAGAGTTGACTTTCTAACTGGCCACTGAAAATCAGTGACTTGAGTAAGTTCTGCAATAATAAAAGAGTAAAACAATTACACAATAATTACTGTTGTAAAAAGTACAGTCAGCAACAACAAAACACTCTCAATGAGTAACCTAAAGTGACACTTTCAACAGTGCAATCAATGTTAAGGGAGGGGAGGTGGCGTTAGACTTGTCGGTGATGTGGTGTTCTCTTTTTAAGTGGGTCTGCATGTTTGTCGTGCTGCCGTTGTACGGCTTCTTAACACGACATTCTTTGCAAATGACGGACGTTTTGTCGAGCTTTCCGTCTTTCTTGCAAATCCGTAGTGTTTCCAAACATATGATTTAAACGTAGCCGATGCATTACATATAAACTCTTCCTCGCTGCTGCTCACTTGAACGTGGTCCATGCTGTTTTACTAGTAGTGCATTGTATGTCCCTCACGGCTTCCGTCCGTATTCAATACAAAACGCGAAATAATGATGGTGCATTCATTGCGCCTGGGGAACAGCCGATGGGGTGAAGTTTAACCTGAATAAAACGGCGCTTGCATCGGATTTTACCAATACCCACCAACACATCTAGATGAATCTAGATTTAACCCGTCAATTGCATCAATACCCAGTGAATGAGCCGACGCAGTCACATCGCGCACATGCGCATCCATGCATCGATTAATTTAGATTATTTTCCACACCCTTACTCTGCAGGTGTAGGTTGTTGCCGGTGTTGTGCCGGCATCAGAGACAGACGTGGTGATCGTCGGAGCTCGACTCCCTCTGAATCGCAAATGTTGATCATCAGTTGGATTGTTTTTTGAGAGACCACAAAAGCCCTCTGCATGGCCCACTGATGCACCCACAGATAACTCTGCAGTTAACCAGTTCCAGACATTACCTCCTCCACAAAAGCAGCTTAAAGACTTCATTTACTTTACAACTTTATTCTCGTCAGTAATCATTTAATTATGACTTTACTCTCATCAGTAATGATTTTATTACATCGTTATTCTCATAAGAAATGATTTTGTTACAACTTTATTCTCGTACATAATTATTTTACTATGACTTTATTCTCGTAAGTAATTCCGAGGTCTAAAACTTTTTCTTTTCTTAATGTGGCCCTAATGCACTGTCATATCATTGTAATTTACTATTGTTATTATTTTCATACTTATAACTAATTTATTTCTCTGTTCTTTTGAGTTATATTTAAAGTTAGGTTTTGTTAGTTCAATTAAGTGTTGTTAATTCAATAAAGATAAGTTAGTTCAATAAATTCATTGATTTCAAAAAAGTTTTGAAATCAATGCATTATCATGTTTATTAATTGTGATTTCAATATCGTCAAAATAATCGGAATTGTTATGTTTGCCATAATCGACCTACCCCTCGTATGACTTCATCAATTCAGAGTTTAATAAAAGCTGCCTGAAATCATTATTTTAACTTTTATCTCTTTTATTTTCAATCATTACATCTATCTCTGCTGTTTGTTTACATTTCGTCTTGTATCAGGATTTTGGCTCTATGTAAAAACGGTTTTTCTGTCTAGTTTACTTTATTAAGGGTCTAAAATAAATGTGAAAATCTAATCAGACGCTAATACTGCGAGGGGTCGCGAATTTGACTGAAACACTGGTGGTCTGGAACTTTTTGTGTGTTGTGTAAGCATTAGCCTGTTGCTGAGTTAGCAGACTATACCCTCGCACAGATTTATCGGTCGTCTTTCAGGAGGTAAAACTAATAAAAACGTAACAATTTTGATTTAAAAAGCCCTCTGTACATTTTTATGTGCTATTGGTTTAGTTTAAGTTTTCCCCGTAAACTTTTGTCTCCTCAATAAAACTCCCTCGGACAGCGGACAGCTAACCGTTAGCTGTGAGCCCTCATAGAAGACCGTACCCTGCCGCTGGAGCTCTTCCTGTGCTGGCTCTGTCTGCTCTTCCTCCCGGCGGGCTGCCTCCTCTTCGCGGTGCCGACGGAGCCGCAGTCCGCTCCCTCTGCCATCATGGCCGCCTTACTTTAACTCCAGGAAAATCAGAACAGCCAAAACACTGAGGATAAAAGATGGGGTCTACAGACCACGGCGCTCGTCCGTATACTGCCGGGATAAGTGACGAGGGGGGCGGGTAAGTTCGTCTGGACTCTCCGGTGATCGCAGTGATGGAGGACCAGCTGGGCTCCAGGCTAACTGTCGTCAACAGAAACCTGAGACATCTGCGTGCGCCGGAATGCGGCTGTTTTTGAATTCGCCAACTTCTTCTTCATTGAATTTATTGGCATAATGTAAATCAACTTTAGGTGCATACCGCCACCTACTGTACCGGAGTATATTGAATGATGAAAGTTTTATCTTAATCAGTCATCAATAAAGACTGTAAAGTAAGTGTACAGATAAATAAGGAAAAAAAAAACACCCAGGCACACACAAAAAACTATTTTGTGTTGTATTCTGTTAAATAACCCAGTGTCCCTCAAAAACTTAAACAGTTCCCTTGTGTTGATCTCCCTTTTGCACCTAAAATCTCTTCTGACTCAAATTCTCAGCCAGCCCCTCTCACCCTCTGCTGTTGTCTTTCCCTTTCTTCCTGATACTTGGCGCATTCCATGGGCTACATTTTCTGTCATATTACAGTGATCACATTTGTGTATTTTTCCCATTAAATTTTGTTTTTTATTTAATCCAATGTGGCCAAATCTCAACCTTGTTAAGACTACTTTTTCTCTTCTTCTTTTTCCTTTAACCCTCTTTGGTATAGTGTTGCCTTGAGGCAACATTTAATTGTTGACCTTGTCGAAAGAAAGTGAGGCCTCCCTGAATATGTTAGGTGCCTTTTTGTGAAGTATAAATTATGTTGTGTTCTGGGAACTAAATAGATCTCTTAGTTTAAGTTTTTGATCAAAGAAATACATGTTGTAAAGAAATAAGGTTATTTTTTCTGTTGATGACATTAAATGTTATATTTTTTTCTATTTTGGAACATGTTCCCGAAAGGCAATAATTTTTTTTTAAAACTTATTGTTTTTTAAATTGTATTGATTTTGTTAAAATGTCATATCTTAGGCTGGAAAAACAGCACAAATATATGTTTTTAACCCATTAGGATCGTAATGCATACCATATAGGGTTAATACTTAGTACACTGATTGATTTTTGTACTCTGGAGTATGTTCTACCCTTGTTATCTTCATCCCACATCCTTTACCAAAGTTCTGATACTTTCCTTGTAATCAGTGCTTTACCTTCTCTTTTGCCAAATGCTACATTAATTATATGCCCCATATTTAATGCTTTCTTGGCCATCCTATCTGCAGCTTCATTGCAACTTCACTGCAGCTTCCAGTTCTTGTCTGTCACCGAAATAGGGATGAGGATTGAGCTTGGAAGACTTTGTCCTGGTCCAGAGAGTGCGTTTCCAAAGCTGCTTAGAGACTGTGCTGCAGAACTGTGTCAACCTCTCCACAAGATCTTCAACCTGAGTCTACAGCTGGGGCGGGTGCCTACTCTGTGGAAAACATCCTGCATTGTGCCAGTACCAAAAACAAAATGTCCTGCTGAACTCAATGACTACAGACCAGTGTCCCTCACTTCACACATTATGAAAACCCTGGAGCGGCTGATTCTATGCCTTCTAAGGTCTGAGGTCAAAGACAAACTGGATTCCCTGCAGTTTGCATACAGAAAACACATTGGAGTGGATGATGCTGTCCTCGACATGCTTCACTGTGCCCTGTCTCATCTGGAGGAACCTGGGGTTTATGTGAGGATCATGTTCTTTGACTTTTCAAGTGCATTTAACACCATCCAACCCACCATACTCAAAGACAAGCTCACAGAGATGGGAAAGGATCCTTCCTGTGTTTCCTGGATTGCAGATTACCTGACAGGAAGGCCACAGTTTGTCAGGCTGGGGAACTGTGTTTCTGGGAAATTAATTACCAGTACAGGGGCTCTACAAGGGACAGAGCTGGCGCCATTCCTGTTCACACTGTATACGTCAGACATCAAATACAGCACTGAGTCCTGCCACATCCAGAAATACTCAGATGACTCTGCTATCGTGGCATGTATCAGAAATGAACAAGAAGCTGAATACAGAGATCTGATAAGAGCCTTCAGTGACTGGAGTCACAAAAACTGCCTCCTCCTCAACACCTCAAAGACAAAGGAGATGGTCATAGACTTCCGTAGATCCAAACCTAGGGTTCCCAACCGTACTGTAAAAAACGGGATCGTATTGTATTTGAAAACAAAAAGACATGTCCCGTAATGAACTAAAATGGGACGCTCCTTTTCCCGTATTTTCTGACAGCGTCTCTCTGCCTAACACACTGTCACAAGCTCACATCAGCAGCTTGGCAGCTGAGCTATGGGACAAGTCATTCTCATGTCCTCTCTGGTTCCATAGGCAGTTTTAGGATTTGCCAACAGGGGGTGCAACTTGCTAGAGAAGTTAGTCTTTGTTTTTTGGTTTGTTTTTTGCAAGGCCAAACCTGGAAAACTCATCTTTACTGATTTACAATAGGATGTGATGTTTTAGTTTGTCATATTTTAAGGAGGTTATATAATTAAGGTTAACTGTACACAAAAAATCTTCAATGATCGATGATAATGTTTCTTGTGTAGTCTGTCTATAAATTAAATACAAATTAAGGTTTAATTTATGGTTATAAATTAATGTTTGTGTACATGCCTTGGGCTCACTTATTCTAGTTGCATTTACTTTATCTAATTGCATTTACTTGGTATATGAATAGGACTTGGTGTATCATATTAGGCATGATGTTTGTTTTTTATAAGGGACACCAAAAATTTTTCAGATTAACTGTCCCTTATTTCAATCTCTTGGAGTTGGCAACCCTATCCAAACCCCCTCTTCAGCCAGTGAACACCTGTGGAGTGGACATCGAAGTGGTGACATCATCTAAAAACCTAGGTCTACAACTGAATAATAAGTTGGACTGGTCTAAGAATATAGACTTCATCTACAGAAAGGGGCAGAGCCGCCTCTTTTGCCTGAGAAGACTCCGATCAATAGACATCTGTAGTAAGATGTTGCAGATGCTCCTCTTTCTGCAGGACAGAAAGATTCAGAAGATCTTTTGTACCAACAGCCATCAGACTGTACAACTCTTCTGTAAATAGTAGATGACTTTTAGAGACATGACAAAATGAGATGACAGACAGTTGAATTTCACTTCGGGGATCAATAAAGTTCTTTTTATTCTTATTCTAATTATTTACCATCGTAGTCACATCTAAAGGATGGAGCATAAAGCTTAAAACTGCCATTTTTGTGGTAGGAGTTTTAGATGTGACCCTGCAAATGCGATTGACATCGGGCATGGACATCTTTGGGAGGTCTTGGAGGCATCTTGAGTAAAACAAAGATATTTTCAACATTTAATTAATATTTTAAGTGCTTTGTCCCAGTCTCCCATCACAGGTTTCCGCTAAAGATCTGAACCGGAAGGAAGTGCTTCGTACGGTTTTGCTGAATGCGGAAGTTTGTTGTGTATAACCCATAGACTGTATAAAGAATGGACAGAGTCTGCCTCCTTGCAGGGTGACGCCACTCCAAGAACAGCACCCTCTGTTGATGGGCTGCAGTATAGGTCATAAATCCCACCTCCGCCAGCAAAGCTTATGGAGCTGTGGACAAACTCTAGAAATGTATTACAAAGAGCATAAATTTTTCTCCCCCCTGCTTGTGATGTTGACATGTAGTTACAGTAAGACTGGTTTGTGCTCAAGTCCTCTTTTTTCTGTGAAGCTCTGTTTTTAAAAGTTATTAGGGGGTTCATGTTTTCTATGATTGACACCTGATACAGCCTATTAACGTTCAGGGATTGCGTAGCTCTCCCGGAGGATACGCTGTTTGAGCCGAGCGTCATCACAGCGACTCTCGGCGACTGTGCGGCCGAATGCGCACATCGCTACTGCGCAGCGCTGGTTTCAGGAAATGAAGAAAAATCCCGGAAATACCGAGAGCTTTTTGGCTTCAAATCCGTATACAGGCTGGAGGCGGAACCAAGTTGTCCATAGTATATACAGTCTATGGTATAACCCCTATTGAGTGGTGCCTTCCGTGGTTGGTTAGATTTAGGCGCAAAGGACTGATAGATTGGTCTGGGATTGGTTATCTTGGTCATTTAATTAGAGTTACTCAAACTACGGCAAGCCAAGTTTATTATCTTGAAAAAATTAAATACAGAGTATTGTTTGAGAAATGTCAAGTGTGGCGTGTGGTATGAGAATGGGTCAAATTGCGTGATTGTCACACTCAAAGCGTGATGCTTGGCAGCTCTGTGATTTGTACGCAAGTCTGCATACAGAATGCAGTTCATCATCTGACGCAATTGCGCAGTGAATTTCAGGTTATGCTCATGATGGGAATAATAAAGTCTGTATCTATATATGTCATTTTACGGCCATAATTCAGTCTAAATAAACTTATCAATTTCAATATCACTTACATGCAGGCTGAGGTAAGCTACTCACTATTTCCAACTGTCCAGCATTCAGTACAGACAGTAGCCTGTTTTTAATATTTCGTTTCATAATTATCGTTAAGTGAGAAAATACTTTGTCTTTAAATGTAAGTAATGAATAAATATTTCATTTATTCAAAGCATTTAAGCTGTAAAGTTTTTCTTGCTCTTATTTAAGAGCAAGAAAGAGAGAAATCTAAAGACTTCAGGCAATGATGCTAACCATCATGTCATTGAACGCAGTTGCTCACCTTCATCACTGGGACACGGAGGGGTGCAAGCTAACAGGCGGGTCTGCCTGATAAATCGCAAACTAATCAACCAGTGGCGGCTGCTGGTCTTTCAAGGAGGGGAAGCTAATTTTTCTGGCCTACATCATAATTGTGTTTGTTTATTTGTATGTAACAGAACAGAGTCGCCAAACACAACGGCAGTTGTTTTTAACAAAGACAAAAGTCGCTGAGGATCGGTAAAGTCTCTGGAGCAGTTAAGAACAACGGAATGAATAACTTTGGTAGACGTTTTATTCTTCAAGATCGCTGATTGGCTTGTTTAGCTGTCAATCAAAAAAGGATTTCGCCTCAGACAGCTCATCCAATCATGGATGCAGAAGCTCGGAGTCCGGGAGAAAGTCGGGACCGCCCCCTCGCCATAGAACTCCAGAGACGCCGAGCGTCCGATGGGCGGGACAAAGCCCAGCATTTATCCAATGAGCGTCTAGTTTCGCTGCTGATACAACCCACTTTGAGCTTTCCACATTGAAGTCAGCAGAAGCCGAGCGTCCGGCTGTTTAAAGCGCTGAGGCGCTGCGAGGATGAATGAGAACGAAGTTGTGCAGAATCAGCTTATTATCACACTGTGATAAGAAGCTGATTCTGAACAAAAGATGAAGACTTTCTAGCGCGTATTTAGTTAATGAAATGTACACAGAGCAGTACGCATTTCACTACTTTTTCTTTTTTTGGGGGGTGACATTTTAAGGGAAGCTGAGCTTCCCTCGCAGTCTTAGAGCAATCGCCACTGTGATCAACTCTATGATTGAGTGTTTACTATAAAAGAATAATCTTCATTTAGCAAATATGAAAATACTCTATTACCAATGTTCTGTCTCTCAGCATCTGCACTCATCTGTTGGATGAAGGCCTGGGTGAACGGTGCTGCTTTCACAGTATTTCACAGTACTCATGAGCCGCAGCGTGGTAAGGAATTCTCACTCCATTTAACTTTACTGTTTTCTCCCCACAGATTTTATTTATTGGTTTATTTTTTTATTTTATTAACCAGCACGTGCTACTGTTGATTTTGTTGTTTAAGTTTGGTCTGGAGACCTCCTGTAGTCCAATTTTTGCTCTTTTGTCTATTTTAAGTAATTCATTTAAGTTCTAGTGTTAGTTTAGTTAGGGGGGAGGTAACATGACAGTTTATTGCTTGGCTGGGTAAGCACCTGTCCTTTTTGTATTTCTTTGGCCGGTGTCTCCAGCTCTTTTTAGTTTGGCAGTGTTTATTGGTTACAACTTCTGGGGGGGAAAAAGCCTGTGGAGTTAACCATTTAGTCATTTTTTTCTTTTGTTTTTCTTGTTCATGAGGTACAACAGTTTTAGGGAGAAAAAAAAAAAAGAAAAGATTCCAATACAATTTGTAACACATGCTTTTAGTCAGCTTTTCAAAAACGCATTAATACAGTGTAGCTATTATGCAAAACTCCTTACTTTTTAGCTATCCGTTTTTCTCTGAACCCTGTTTCTTCTTCTTTCGGCTGAACAAACTCAACAATAACTAAAAAGCGCCTCCCTCTGAACGAACTATAACATTGCATGAACATTACACAACATTCATATGTTTTGGCCGTAAATATACAGTACAGGCCAAAAGTTTGGACACACCTTCTCATCCAATGTCTTTTCTTTATTTTTTTATATGACTATTTACATTGTAGATTATTACTGAAGGCATTAAAACTATGAATGAACACACATAGAATTTTGTACTTATAAAAAAAGTGTGAAATAACCGAAAACATGTTTTATATTCTAGTTTCTTTAAAATAGCCACCCTTTGCTCTTGATGACAGAAGTACCTTGTCAGGGTTACTTCAGGCACTCCTGTGAAGTAAAAACCATTTCAGGTGACTACCTCATGAAGCTCATTGAGAGAACAGCTAAAGTTTGCAGCGCTATCAAAAAAGCAAAGGGTGGCTACTTTGAGAAATCTAAAATACAAAACATGTTTTCAGTTATTTCACACTTTTTTCTTAAGCACATGATTCCACGTGTTCATTTATAGTTTTGAGAATCTACAATTTAAATAGTAATGAAAACAAAGAAAATGCATTGAATGAGAAGGTGTGTCCAAACTTTTGGCCTGTACTGTACATGTCTACATGCAACTGGATTTTTTTGGATTAAGGTGGCGGTAACATGCTGTTAAATACAGCTGTAACCGTCTGTTAGTATCACTGTGACAGTGATGATTAAAAAGAGGAGCTGGGCTGAAGGAAGCAGAAGAGTCAGTAGGATAAAGCATTTCAACAGATTGACCATTTTGACATTTAACAGGTGAACCAAAGAAGGTGATCAGCTGAACTGTCCGCTGATTTAGGCTGGGGTTAGACTCAGTAAATGGACTTTGGGTTGAGCCCTATACTGCAGCCCATCTGAACCAACACTACCCTTATTTTGGAGAAAGACTGAACAGGACTGAGAGACAAACAGTTTTATTCAAAGTTTTCAGCAAAGTTTACACAGAATTTTTTTTTTCAATGTTCAAATATTTATTTATAGAAAGATTCAAGTGATGTCTTAACATCATCACAAAGTGTCTGGAGTGACGTTTAAGTAAGGCGTTTAACAAAACTGAACATTCAACGTTTCTTATTGAGCAGTAGTTCTAAACCTGTACCTGTAGGTCAGGACCTCTTAATCAGGTTGAAAGTGAACATTTAAACATGGAGCACAAAATCAGAAATCCTATTTTAGAGACTTGACTCAGCTGACGGTAGTTTTTCTTCTCAGACTACCTAACTATTTTTAAATAACACAATCCGAGAACCTGCAAAGTGGAGATGCCGCCTCCAAGTAAAAGGAGGAAAATTCAGCGACTCTGAGAAACTTGTGGCTCAAACTGGACCATCTTTTTTCTCCGATGAGTCCACAATTTTGAGAACCACAGCAGTAAATACAAAATCACCTGGATGCTGTCATATCAACTCCCAGCTGTGTTGATCTTATTCAGAGACTGTGTATAAAAAGTGAGCGTAGCCTATGGGTCTTTACCGGGTTGCCTTGAACCTAAGTTATTGCACACAGCCAGCACGGGGCGACTCCGACTGGCAGAAAAAAGTCAGAGATTGACCACGAGTTTATTAGAAAATGGTCCTACTTCTCAGCCAATTTGTTCCTTCAGTAGATATGGTGTAGATGAGTATTAGCTTGGCTGGGCCATCCAGTTGCGTGAATCACTTGCCATTCCTTCCCACAACAACACACATAAATGTTGTGGGAAGGAACGGCAAGTGATTCACGCAACTGGATGGCCCAGCCAGGCTAGATGAGTATATGGTCCCAATATCTAGTTTACAGTCTTCTCCAGTACTGCTTGATGTTCATTCAGAGTCACAGAGAGCAGAGGGGGAACTCCTGGGGGTACTAAGCTCCTGAGGTTCAAGACAACTGCCAACATCAGCTTTGTCCAGTTTTTAAGAACAGTCCGTGATCACAGCGGTTTAATGTGCTTCTTCCTAACCCAAGAGTGGTGACATGACATTGATCAAAACATCAGGTGTTGTGTTTTGAAAGAGAAATCAGAGATTTACTTGAAGTAGAACAGCTGAGTCATCACAATCCAAAAATATGATAGAAAAATAGTTTTTACAGATAAAATGTTTGATCAAACCCAAAACAACAAAAATCAACCATGAAAATATCACAAGAACATAAACTGGAGGAAAATATAATAAAAAGTCTCAGCACATTTTTTTCTCACCAAATCAACAAAAGAGGATGAAAATAATTCACTGTTAAAAAATTAGTGCAATCAGAGTTCAAACAAGACACCAAGGCAACTTCAAACCAAAGAGTCCACCAATGAGGAGATGGACTGCTGGTCAAGACTCAAACACCACCTGGTCCTGGTCATTCATAACCTGTGGAGTTCCTCAGGGAGGCTTCCTGGGTCCTCTCAATTTTCTATTTGAGGGTTTGAGTCTGAACATTTGGTTAATCCTCTTCTTTTTCAGTCTCATGAGCAACATGAAGTCCAGTACAGGTAAGCTGATCCATTAAGTGAGTCTTTGAATTCCACTCAAAGAGCATTAAAATAGAAAATTGCTGTAGGTTTTTCAAATGCCCCCCATGCTGACTGGACCTTCCTTATTGCTTTTCAATGACTAGGGGAGCCTCAAACCCAGAAAACAACACCACCAAAAAATTACAGCACAAATCCTACAACCAAAATCATTCATCATCTTCCTTTTAAGTTGACTTTCCCCAAAAAACGAACCAAAAAAAAAAATGCTGGGGACTGTAAAGCCCGGGTCCACGTTGGCTTACAGCCATTGTTACTGAGCACAATTGTAAAATGATACCTCTCTTAAGTTTAGCACGGATTTGAAACCTCTAAAAAAATAAGTGTGGGGTCTGATGAGGCCCTGAGCGCGAAGGTTAGCAGTTTCTGTCTAAATGTGATCACCTGTCAAAAATATAATGCCAACCTTTTTTAAGGCAGAAACACTCACGGCATGATATGGTGTGTTTAGAACAGAAACTAACTGGATACAACTTCATCATCTACAGCCCCTGATAGTACCAAGACACGACAATGCCGCCAAATGAAAAATTAAGCAGTACAGTGAGCATTTAAACAGACTTCATGGTCACTCCTAAGGGCAGCAAAAGTGCTGCAGGACAATTTTTAAACATGGTAACACTAAGAGCAGGTAAGAAGTGCTTTCAGATAAAGGTTTTGGGGCCTTGCCATGGCAAAGAATTAAGTTGATGGACACTGATGTCCCAAATCTAAGATCTTTTACTCTTCAATATGACCCAACTATCTTTTTCAACATATAGGAAATCAGCATTCATTTTCTAAAAAAAGGGAAGGGGTTTTCCTAAGTGAAAATATTTCTTAGGAAATATCTGAATATAAGTCTTACCTTCACAACAAATACTTCAGGATTTCTGTTGAAGTATTTTCTGTCATTGTTTTTGCTGAGGTCTCTTTGCTTGCTTTGGTGCAGAAACATAAGTGCATTAAGTCCCTGTTACTGCTGCAGGCTGCAAGAACCTGCTAAAGCGACACTTTCTTTAAAATTGTTTTCTCATTTCAATCCTGTAACAAGTAAAAAAAAAAAGGGCCCATATTTAGATCTTGTAGTGAAGGTCAAAGGGTTAAAATTAAGAAGCCTTTATTCCTTCGTAGTTAAATGAAAAATAAATCTGAAGCTCTGTGAGAGTGATAAAGAAAATAACAAAATGACGGCTTGGAACGCTGAACAAACTAATCATGATCTTTATGATCAGAGATTCAAGGAACCTATACATGTAAAAAAATAATGATCAGTTTGTGGCTGAGCCAGACTTTGTTGGCTGGGGGGGGGGGCAAACTGGGGCCCTCACCTTTGTTGGGGTGGCAGGGTGAGGTAGAAGGGCTGTCTGAACTTTACAGCTACTTTACTTAAAATGTAGCATTATCTACAGAGTGCCATATTCTTAAATAACATTTTTCGACTTTAGAGAACAGCTTTGTTGGTTTTACAATGTAAACTGGTTTCAGGCTGTAAACTAAGTGGAGACTGTGAAAAGAGCTGTCTATCAGCTGAGTTGTCAAGGTGTGATGGTGTTAAAAGTGGACCCATGAGTCACTTTGGTGGACTTAAAGCTTCTTTAGGATTCAGGAGTCTGTCAGGATCCGGGACTTGCTGCAGGGTTGTCTTCTTGCTGAACTAGACAGACAAGCTGCTGAAGGCACGGGGGAATCTGTTGATGAGTTTTCAGTTTGTCATCCAGAGATATGGTCCACAGTGACTCTTTTTTTGGAATTTCAAACAGTAGCTCTGCAGGCCAAGGGTTGGATAAGGTCACTTCTTACATTCTTCACTCGGTCATACTGCACGTCCTATATACACTAGAAAAATAGAGTTCACAGAAAAAAATTTCCTGTCCCTGCAGAGGGTCCCTTCAGGAGGATTTCCATTTGTTGCTTTGGAGGCAGTCAGTCCTTTAGAGAAGAGGGGGAAAGAGGAAGAAGAGGAAAAATGTCAGTGTGATAAAGAGGTTGAAGCAAAATACAGCAGCAGAAAAGACTCAACCCTGCTTATTGTGCCATCATTTCTTTCACTATTTTCAAATACTTCTGATACTAAAGCAAAAAAAGTGACATGGGTCAAAAATTATACATTTTTTTTACTTTTAGAATCAGCAACATGATCCAAAACAAGCTCAAAATCTGATCCAAATAAGACGAGATGAGACGTGACAAGATGGGATGGGACAGGACGAGAAGAATCCACGCGCACACCTCAACCAAAAGGCCTTAGTGTCCCAGTCTGATTGCATTTCCATGAAGAAATGATCATAAAAGATGTTTGGTGGCTAGTACTATGGCTGGGGCCCTATACAGTGGATATAAAAAGTCTACTACTGTTCAACTGTGAGGTAATAGAAATCTTTCAGGGAGGTGAAGTAAAAATAAACAACTGAGATCATGGGGTTGCACATGTGTGCACACCCTTTAATAACTGGGGATGTGGCTGTGTTCAGATTTAACCAATAACATTCAAACTCAGGTTAAATTGGAGTCAGCACACACCATTTACCAAAAGTGCCTCTGATCAACGTTTAAGTTCAGCTGTTCTAGTAGGCTTTTCCTGACATTTTTGCAGCCACATCCTCCAGCACAAGCCATGGTCTGCAGAGAGCTTCCAAAGCATCAGAGGGATCTTATTCTTCTAAGATATCAGTCAGCTGAGAGCTACAAAAGAATTTCCAAGGAAGTGAATATACCATGGAACACAGTAAAGACCGTCATCATCAAGTGGAAAAAATATGGCACAACGGTGACATTACCAAGAACAGGATATCCATCCAAAATTGATGATAAGACAAGAAGAAAACTGGTCAGGGAGGCTGCCAAGAGGTCGACACCAACACTGAAGGAGCTGCAGGAATTTCTGGCAAGTACTGGCTGTGTAGTAGATGTGACAACAATCTCCTGCTGTCTTCATATGTCTGGGCTATGGGGTAGGGCGGCAAGATGGAAGCCTTATCTTACAAAGAAAAACATCAAAGCCTGGCTTAATTTTGCAAAAGACATCTGAAATCTCCCAAACACATCTGAGAAAATGTGTTATGGTCTGATGAAACCAAAGTTGAACTTTTTGGGCATCATTGCAAAAGGTATAGTTGGCACAAAATCAGCACTGCTCATCACCAAAAGAACACCATACCTACAGTTAAGCATGGTGGTGGCAGCATCATGCTTTGGGGCTGTTTTTCTTCAGCTGGAACTGGTGCCTTAGTCAGGGTGGAGGGAATTATGAACAGTTCCAAATACCAGTCAGTGTTAGCACAAAACCTTTGGCCCTCTGCTAGAATGCTGAAGATGAAGAGGAACGTCATCTTTCAGCACGACAATGACCTAAAGCACACATCTAAATCAACAAAAAAATGGCTTCACCGGAATAAGATTGAGACTTTGGAATTGGCCAGCCAGAGCACAGACCTGACTCCCATCGAACATTTGTGGGGTGATCTGAAGAGGGCTGTGCATAGGAGATGCCCTCACAATCTGTCAGATTTGGAGCGGTTTTACAAAGAGGAGTGGGCAAATATTGCCACATCAAGATGTGCCACGCTGATAGACTCCTACACAAAAAGACTGAGTGCTGTAATAAAAGCCAAAGGTGCTGCAACAAAGTATTAGTTTAAGGGTGTGTATATTTATGCAACAAGGTTATTTTAACATTTCTATTTTTATTTTTCCCCTTAAAGGTTTCAGTTTGTTTTTCCAATTGCATTGTACAGGTTATAGGTCACATTAAAAGGTGGAAAAAGTTGTGAAAATATTTATCTTGCTGTCATTTTCTTACATCACGAAAACCTGGAAGTTGAACAGGGGTGTGTAGACTTTTTATATCCACTGTATGTACTGTTGATGAAGTTAGGTGCCGTTCTGAACATTATTTGTGGCTATAGAGTGGCTTTTTGGTTGAGGTTCGCGCATGGAGACATAGACCACTGTGTATTGCTATCGTGGGGTCATTACTAAAGTTGGTATAACTAGAGAAGCAAGCGGTCAGCAACATTTATCTCTCAAGGGGGTGTCTAACTCGATGTTATGGCATGTTTGACCCTAAGTTAATTTTACGCCGGAATATCCCTTTAATGTTGCACAGTTCCTTCATTGATACCTTCCTCTTAGTCTCACAACAGGAAGTCAGCGAGAAGGACAACTGGGGAAGAAATCATGGTGAACAGACAACAGGAAATGCAAAGTAATTTCTGCTTTTTAACCTCCAGCTCAGAGCCTGAATGAACTGAGCATGCTCACAACGCTTCATTCAGGTTCAGTTTGAGTGAGCAAATACAAGGAGGAGAAAATCAATCTGCATGGTCCAGGTATGTCAGTCGGACTATGAGAAGATTGATTTAATGTGATTTCAGTCAAACATGTTCAGTTGACATGTATTTTTAAAAGTCCAGTTTCACTCAGACTGAAGCAATAATCGATTTTTTGAACAACATGTTAAGTTACTGACTGAATAAAGCCTACCAAACCTCCAGGTTCAAGGTCCACCATGTCCCAGGACAAAGTAGCTGCAATCAGTCTACATCAATTATTATCCTGATTAATGTGAAACCCTTTTGTCTTTTGTATTTAGAGGCACCTGAGAGAAATCTTAAGAAATCAGGTGGTTGATAAGCTCCCATCTGGGGTTCAGTACCTTGATGAATTTCTTTAGTCCCTCATTTACCAAAGAGCTGATAGGAAGTCTTCTGCAGAGACACGAGCAGCGACTCTCTCTAAAGGATTAAAGTTGAGACTCAATGTTGACTCTGAGTCTTCCTCGGTGTTCCTGTCAATCTTTTAAGCCGTTTCTAGTCAGCTTCACGTTAATATGAGGTGGTAACTCTTGTTGAAGGCTCTGTATACCCTAGCCTTGGTGAATACTCAACTCTGATTGGCGGGAGGTTACCACATGACCTCTGATTATGGGACACCTCAGACAGCATGTCCCCTAACTTAGCACCCTCCCTTTCCAGGGTTTGGGTGATGTTATTACAGGTTGGAATCTAGTGAACTCTTTTCAAACAGTAACTGTGTGTATCTAACAAGGGAATATATTTCAGGTTATCGTTTTCTTGTTCGGGCCCTCTATGTCCCCTCAGGTGTCTGTCATATGATGCTCAGAAATGGAGATGATGTAGGTTTCCCAGAGTCTGCTGAGATTCAGTGGAGGACTTTGTTTCTGTGAAAACCACAGTAAAATAATGACAAACATACAGTAAGCTCTGACTGTCAGTCTGACTCTGAGTCAGTCCTTGTCAAAACATTCATATGGCAGCACTTTTCATTATATCGTCACCAACTCAGGAGCCCATCAGCCATCATAACATTAATTCATAAAGTCTGCTGGGCTCAAGGCACGGTGAGCTGATACCTGAAACAACAAAAATGAAATCAAACAGATGTCATTTTCTCTTCCTGTGCTGGCCACTGTTCACAGTCTGACCAAGGAACTTAAAACAGGAGCTGAGTCAGCTCTCAGTCAGGCTACCTGCACTCTCATCTGCACTCTCTGTGGTTAACTGAGGCTGGGCAGGTTGGACTGGATGTGGGTTACCTTCGGTCGGGTTGGTTTGGTTCGCTTATGATCGGAAGACGTGGACAGCTCGGACGACGTACTGTCTGCAGATGGGACATTCGCTCATCCTCTTGCCACACTTGGTGCAGGTGACCATGTGCCCACACTCCAGGAGGACACAGTCAATGGGTGAGTCCATGCAGATCTTACAGAGGTTCTCCTCCGGACTGGCAGCACCGCCTCCTCCACCCGACTCTACAGGGACACAGAGACATACCAGACCCCGCAAGGGCCAATTTTAAAACTAGGAGGAAACTTTAAAGGGTTAAAAAACTGAAATAATTTAAGACTTTATTCCTGTTTGAGGTGGTATCAGCAGCAGCTTGTTGTGTCTTTTATCCTCTTTTCTTTCCTCTGACAGTTTCATTTCCTTATACCTTTGGAGGGTTGTAGTTTTTACCTTGTTTAGTTGGGGTCAGAGGTGGAACAAAAATTTGGCCCTGGACTTTTTGTCCAGACCGGCCCACTACAACCCACGTACAGATACTGTGCCAAATCGCCATGGATCCACATACAAACACACAAGCCCTAATAACACCACTATCCTGAACAATATCCATTTATATTCTGGAGCGGTTCAAATAAATGATAACTATGCAGACACTGGAGTAAGGATTTAGGATTCAAGACTGTTTATTTGTCACTTACTCATACAGTCTCATCTGATCACATCTTATTTTAGAACAGACAGTAAAGATCAACGTGATGAATAGACAATACAGCTGCATATTATGTATGCAGATGTTTTATTGTAACATTATCTAATCTGTGTTTTATTAATTTTAACTGTTTAATGAGAAACGGCCGAAAGAACGATAAACCATAAGTGAAATAAAAATAATAATAAAATGACACATCATTTAAGTTGGTAGATCAATGTCCTTCATGGACAAAACTTGACTGTGGGTAGAAAAAAACGACATTGGTGGTGGTGGTGGTCATTATAGGTTACAAGTTACAGTGTCATTCAGCAGACGCTTTTATCCAAAGCAGCATACATACAAATCACACACCCGCAGAAGTCATACACTGGAGGGTTAAGTGTCTTGTTCAAAGACACAATGGACAGATTAGGGATAGGGGGGATTTGAGCCGCCAATCTTCCAGTTGGTGAATGACCGCTCTACCTCCTAAGCTACTGCTGCCCAAGGTAAAATAGAAATGGTCAAAATCTGTGAAAACTGCAGATCTACAGGCTCAAAACACATCAAATGTGAGTTGTAATCTTGCAGATTTGAGCCATCCGCTGATGAAAGCATGAAAGAGGGCTTCAATGGTTTATAAAAACAACTGACCAATTAGTCACTATAGTATGGTTATTGTTTTCCAACACTTTTGATAACTAGATTTAGTTGAAACAAACCACAAGAAGTTTGCTGTTATTAGGCACGCCTGCTTACCACGGTATCACCTCCTTCACTTAATGAGTCTTCCCTTGTATCATCCACCTCCTCAATCTCCTCCTGCACTGTGGGCAGACCTGCATGACCCGACAGCATCTGCTGCTGTAAGGGACCCACTAAAGCAGCAGTATCAGTGTTGTTAGCTGCCGTCCCCCTAGCAAACATTTCTGACAGTTTCCTGCTCTTAACAGCCTGTGTCACTAGAGCTTATCTTTTTGTCCCTCAATGTCTTCACACTGCCTTTCTGTTTTTTTACTTGCATTCTCCATTTTTTTGGCCAGTGTTGCCACAGTGTTGTCGTCACTGTTTCGCTGTCTCTCGTCATCGACCGTTCATCATCATTAAAGATGACTGGGTGAGGAGGGGCGACCACATGCGTGGGTGGGACATCGGGGCCTCTGTAGCCTCTCATATAGGACCATTGGGCCAGGCAGAATTGACCATATATGAACAGTAGATACGACGTGCCCCTTTGGGCAGCATGCATACGTGGCAGCCATCTTGGCAGGGGCATTGTTCCCATTTAATGCATTAGATGTACATGGAAAATAAATCATATCTTGCTCATTTCACAACCAATTGTACTGCAGCTTACTATATTTTCATCGCCAAAAGATGTGTTTTATTAATACAGAACATTTGATTTAACATTTGTTTGATTTAGTTTTTCAATTCAAATGATCTGTATTAATATCTCATGTTTTGGTGTTGAAAACAAAGTTAACCACATGAAAATAGATTGAGAAATGAGCTAAGTATGGCTGCCATGTAGGCACATCGCTAAGCAGGCTCCAGTCTTCTATATCTATATATCTGTGGCCTTGACAGACAAGCCACTGACTGAGCCAACCAATTGTCACCTCTGTGACTCTCTCTGTTGTGTTGTGTGTGCAGCGGCAGCATGTCCTTGGGCTGATTGGAGAGCTGAGGAGTTACCATAGTTACAGAGGCGAGGCGCAGCAATGAATGAATTAACAGCCCACCACCAGCCCATTTATTGATCGGCCCACTGGGAAAACTCCCAGTACTCCTGATGAACAGTCCACCCCTGGTTGGGGTCTAGGGTTTTGGTGGATCTTTAATTGACTCCTGGGGGAGCTTTGACATGTACCGGGCCCACCTGAGACACTTTTGACCATTTATCAACAGCTTGTCAGAGGAGACTTGTTTGCAAGGAGATTAAGAGAAACCAGAAAACTCACCTGAAGAGTTCACAGTGTTGGCCGCTGAAAGGCAAACAGAACACAGAGTGACTTTTCTCTGATGGTGTAATACTGGACAAAGCTCAGACAACATCTACAGGATCTGAAGGCTCATCCAGACCTCTCCTGAAACATCAGGGCTTTCTCCAGCTTTACAAATGACTGTCTTTACATGGTCCGCAGTATGCTGGGGTTGATCATATTAAGGATATGTTGTTCATGAGCACACAGAAAAACCTGGTTAATCAAATCCCAGTTTACATGACAAACACTATGATTCTGGTTTCTGATGGTGTACTGACTTATTTTTGTTATATCATTTACCAGAAACAATTCTATTGACCTAGTCAGGACTGAATAATTCCTCACAGATGAGTCTACAGGTTTGGTCACAGATAAGTGAGACGGCTGCTTTGTACTAAAAGACAAAGACGTGCAGTTCTGTCCTTGTCTTTTATTATCTGTGAAATTTCATGAAAAATACTTACACAAAGAACTTCTCAGATGTTTTGGCATCAAGATTGTCTGCCGCTCATCACATCGCTGCATTTATTTACTGAAGTCAAAAATACCATTCAATGGTCATTTAACAAAGACAGCACAACGTCAGATGGCCTGATGTGCTGTTACAAACAGAAACTGTAATTTAAGATGGATCTATACAGACATTTGTCAGGTCCTAACTGTCTGAGCTGTAGACTCAAACAGTCACTGATATCATCAGAATTTACTGTATCGTGTAAAACCCTGCTGAGGTGATGACCCCACTTTATTATGGGAAACTCCGAATGCATTAAAACTCTTGATAGCCCTTCAGTCTGCCTCTCCTCCTGTTGGTTATGGAATTGAAACTCAAACTGAGACTGTCTGGTTCTGGTACTCACCCAGCAGGTTCTGCTGGTCCTGGTACAGCCGAGTCACCCTCTCCATCAGCTCCCACTTCTCACAGCAGCCTTTATAGTTGACAAAGTTTCTGGCCAGGATTTCTTTCAGCTGCCGGACACTCAGGGCCTCAATGTCGTCCACAGAGCTCAGGTCGGACAGAGATGCCCTGCGACCAGGAACAGGGGCCTCCTCAGGGTCCCAGATCTGGAGCAGACAAACAAGAGAGTCTGGGTCAGAGTCCACAGTCTGGACTGAAACCTCAATTTAATGAAGAACTTTCATCTAAAACACCTGTTTAGTATTCACAAAGTATCCTAGTCCTAAGAGTCACTCCTGGTGAGGACATTCAGAGAAAGTTCAGAGAACAACTTTCCCCTTAAAGTTGAGACTAAGTCTTTGTCAAGACAAAAGTATTTTAGTTTGTAAGAGAGAGCTTAAGGTGAGTACCTCTTAAGAGGAGTGAGGGGGACTTTAAGAGGGCTCAGAATGTCTGGAGCTGAGGAGGACATGGTGGAAAGAGTAACTGTCTCTACACACCAAGGGCAAATAAAATCATTTGCGCAAATGAATTACATGTTAAGTCAATGCAACGATGCGATTAGACACTCCTACTACTCTGGCGGCACGAATGACGCGAACCGGGCGGGAGCTAGGCATGTGCCAATGTGAAAATTTGATATCACGATATTGGTGGCCCAAAATATCACGATTCACAATATTATCATGATATAAGTGCATTGCTTTTAACGTTATTAAAGATGGCAAAAAACTGCAATATCACTTTTCTGTGCACAGCATGGCACATACAAACAATATGAGCAAGAGGCAGCCAACGCGACGTTAGGAGCATTAGCTTTTTGGAGCTAAATTTAGCAGAAACGTCACTAACGTTGTCAATAATAAGCAGTAGAGTAGACCAAACTTGTTGCGGTCATGTTGTTTTTACTTTGATTTGGGCGAATGGTGCTGGATGGTGTTCATGGAGGTGGGCATGTAGGTTTGAAGTGTTAGACAACGGCTCTGCAACTTCCTTACGGCATAACCTGCAGATTGGTGTCAGGTTTACCTGCTCCGTATGTTTTGCGAAGCTGTAAAACGTCCATATTGCCGACGAAACTTAATAGGAGGATACAGCGGAGGCGTTTTGTCATTCTCAGTCTCCGACTGTTCTTGGTCCGGTGTTATGCCGTAGAATGCACCCCTGACGGGAGCGTGGTTGAAAGTACATAACAAGGCAAAATAATCCAAGTTTTCCTTACCGTTGGGTGGATTCAAAAGCGTGTGCCTTTAATGATTTCATTCAGACTATTCAGATAAGCCGACAACAATAGCCCTCTGATTCGGAATATTTGCCGTCCCATAAATATAATGCTCTCTACCTTGACAGCTTACTGCCCAGTTTATGTATCCAAGTACATCTCTATATGTGCATTTTTGGGACACATAAAAACAGAACGAAAGTTTGCTGCTCCATTTGACATGTTGTCATAATCCAATACTCGTGTTTTTTAAAATATCAGATCATATCTCCTCCACATCCCTAGCGGGAGCTGAAAATGTCTCAACTTGGGCATCGTGATAACCAGTCAGCACAAAGGTTGACGGGTATGAAAATGGACAGTCGTTCACTGGTATGGAGGACAAATTGATTGTGTCTGTGTGTGGGTGCCCCGAGTTATATGATACCTTTTCTTTCAATTATCATAACCGGAATAAAAAGGAGCTCGCCTGGAGGCAAGTGAGTGAGGAGGTCAGATTACCTGGTAGGTTGTAGGTAGGTCACTTGATCCCGCCGGTTGAATTGACAGGGATTACCGTTGAAATTACCATTGACGTATGAATGAAGCAAGCAAATAGTATTCATTCACGAGTCTAGATTCGTGCTAATTAAGCTGGTTGATTTTACTCGCGCTTGGTTTGAGCGCCCCATGAGAAAGTGATCACCAGATATTTCATATTTTTAACATTTTCCCTCTTTTCAGTGATGAGCCAATTCCAGCGATTGAGCGTACCACCGCTATCAGTGGGGCCGACTGCGCCTGCCTCTTAGTAGATCTAAGAATGTTCGGTCAGAACTCCTTGCCGTCAGTTTTTGAGCTCCTCGAGAATCCTCTCACTGTTTGTAAATGCCAACTCTGGAATTTCACATAAATGTAGAAATACAAACACTGATATTTACTTCCAGATTTTCCAGGACCTCACAGTGGTTTTACCTGGTCTTCATCCTGAGTGTCCTCCTCTTCAGGAGCGGTCTCCGCGGGCAGAGGCAGGGCTTCAGGTTGTGCAGCAGGAGGTTCAGGGGTCGGCGTGGGCGGGTCAGGAATTAAGGTGGGGGTGTTAGGGGTCTGCTCAGAAAGGTCAGAGGTCACAGAGGTGGGGATGGTATCAGGGGTCTCTAGACTGGACTCAGTGGATGGTGAAGGCTGCTGACCCAGGACCAGTTCCACTAGCTCCTCCTGAAGAACAGGAAACACATGAGGAGTCAGGGGTCAGGGGTCAGGGGTCAGGGTCAGAGGTCAGGGTCAGACAGCGTGTGTAATTACTAACCTTTTCCCTGCACAGGTGAGTGGAGACCTCATGCAGGTGCAGGTAGTCCCTGAGCTCCTTCACTTTCAGCTTCATAAGCTCTGCCCGCTCCAATAAGTTTCCATAGAAACGTTGGCAGGTGTGACAGAGGCGGGGGCGGGGCTCCAGCTGGGCAGAGCATCGGCTGCAGTAGTGCTTCTTACAGTCCACACACAAATGCTGGGAGAGAGACAGTTGAGAGAGTGAGACAGAGGCAGGGCTGTTGGGTCACCTGAGCTGTCAATCAAAAATAGCCTCAATCATGTCCCAAACTGAGCGCTAAAGCAGACAGGTGGTAATCATGGAGGACACTGTGACACACAAAAAGACAGGTTGATTAAGAGACAATAAGAACTCATTTTAGTCCCAACAAGCAGCATAAGATCTCTTCTTATATGAGGACTGTCCTGATCATGTATGTCGTCTGTCACTGAGCACCATTTGGACCAAACGCAAACCTGAGTGAGTTAGATAGTGTAAACAAGCTTTCTGGGTTTGTCCTCTTATACTCAGTGATAAAACAATGCACCATCAACTCCAGACACAGCTTAAGGTGAAGCTTCAAAGGTGAAGGCAAAGCTGAATGCTAGGAGGTGGCGATATAAACCCTTTCTTCCATCAATCATCACAGGAAACGTCAACTCTCTGCCCAACAAAAGCGATGAGCTAGAGATATTGGTGAAGACTGAGAAAGCATACCATGAGTGCAGTCTCCTGTGTTTTACTGAAACCTGGTTGAATCAAAACAACTCAGACTCCAGTGTGGATCTACCTGGCTTCACTCTCATAAGGTCAGACAGAGATGCTCAAGCTAGTGGCAAGAAGAAAGGAGGTGGTCAGGCTTTATTTGTCAACCAGAGATGGTGTAACCCTTCACACATAACTGTCAAGGAGAAGTTGTGTTAGCCTGGCTGGGCCATCCTGTTGTGTGAATCACTTGCCGTTCCTTCACACAACAGTCTGGACTTCGGCCCATTGGGAGCGTGTATTAGCGAATTAGCTGGAAAGAACTGATGAACTCAACCTGTTCTTCAACAGATTTGACACTGCTGTCACTCCCACTTCCACTGCTCCTCCACCTTCCTCTCCGCAACAAATTACCACTTCAACTTCTCCCCTTCCTCCTCCGTCTAATTCAAATGTCTCAACCACTTCAACTGCCTCCCTCCTAGAACACCAGTCCTTGTCTGTCACCGACACAGGGGTGAGGATAGAGCTTGGAAGACTTTGTCCTGGGAAGGCAGCTGGTCCAGATGGTGTGTGTCCAAGGCTGCTAAGAGACTGTGCTGCAGAACTGTGTCAACCTCTCCACAAGATCTTCAACCTGAGTCTACAGCTGGGGCGGGTACCTACTCTGTGAAAAACATCCTGCATTGTGCCAGTACCAAAAACAAAATGTCCTGCTGAACTCAATGACTACAGACCAGTGGCCCTCACTTCACACATCATGAAAACCCTGGAGCAGCTGATTCTACGCCTTCTGAGGTCTGAGGTCAAAGACAAACCGAACTCCCTGCAGTTTGAATACAAAGAACACATTGGCGTGGATGATGCTGTCCACTACATGCTTCACCGTGCCCTGTCTCATCTGGAGGAACCTGGGGTTTATGTGAGGATCATGTTCTTCGACTTTTCAAGTGCATTTAACACCATCCAACCCACCATACTCAAAGTCAAGGTCACAGAGATGGGAGTGGATCCTTCCTGTGTTTCCTGGATCACAGATTACCTGACAGGAAGGCCACAGTTTGTCAGGCTGGGGAATTGTGTTTCTGGGACATCAATGACCAGTACAGGGTCTCCACAAGGGACAGTGCTGGCGCCATTCCTGTTCACACTGTATACGTCAGACTTCAAATACAGTACTGAGTCCTGCCACATCCAGAAATACTCAGATGACACAGCTATTGTGGCATGTATCAGAAATGGACAAGAAGCTGAGTACAGAGATCTAATAAGAGCCTTCAGTGACTGGAGTCACAAAAACTGCCTCCTCCTCAACACCTCAAAGACAAAGGAGATGGTCATAGACTTCCGTAGATCCAACCCCCCTCTTCAGCCACTGAACACCTGTGGAGTGGACATTGAAGTGATTACATCATATAAATACATAGGTCTACATCTGGATAATAAGTTGGATTGGTCTAAGAATATAGACTACATCTACAGAAAGGGGCAGAGCCGCCTCTTTTGCCTGAGAAGACTCCGATCAATGGACATCTGTAGTAAGATGCTGCAGATGTTTTATTAGTCTGTGGTGGCAAGTGTTCTGTTCTACGCTGCAGTCTGCTGGGGAAGAAGCATCAAACACAAAGATGCAAGACGTCTTAACAAATTGGTGAAAAAGGCTGGCTCTGTGGTAGGTATCAAGCTGGACTCAGTGGAGAATGTGGTGGAGAGATCTACACTGAGGAAGGTGAAGACTATTTTCAAGAACATGGATCACCCACTTCACTAACACCTTGATGGATGGCTCCTCTCTGTTCCCTGCAGGACAGAAAGATTTAGAAGATCTTTTGTACCAACAGCCATCAGGCTTTATAACTCTTATGTAAATAATAGATAACTCTAATGTAAATAATAGATAACTCTAATAGGCATATTACGTGAGACAACAGACATGTACATTAAAGTGGTGAAATCATCAGGAGCCACTAAAGCTGACTAGATCATCCCTTAGTCCATATGTGACTGATAATCTGTCTGTGAGCTTTTTTAGACTCACAGACCTCTGAGAAGGTGTATTAGTGATGGACAGGGCATGAGTCAGGGATGATGTTTGCTCCAAAGAGAAGAAGGGAATGGTAATGATGGGAGGATGATTTTAAGTTTGATGATTCGTGTCATTTACAGGCTGGAGTTACCTTCTTGGCAGGTGTGTCAAAGCCTCCCCCACAGGCCTTACAGGTGGGTTCAGGAGGAGACGATGGCTGAGTGCTGAAGGCTGAGTTAGTGTAGGACTGATGACGCCGCTCGCTCTCAGCAGATTCATCCGCTGAGTCCTCACAAAACCAGCCACAGCAGGATGCAAACATACCTGAAAAAAACACAAATACACAAACTTCACAAACAAACAAACCCAGGCCAACAAAAACACACATTTCATGCACAAACACACCTGAAAATACACTCCCTGTGATGTTCAGATGTTTACAGTAGTACCTGTTCTGAACACCTCATATTTCTGTAAAGTAGTTGGATAATTATTTGAAAATTAGGGCACAGTGTGACTCGGTTAGGAGGTGTCCCGATACAACTTTTTTTAATTCCGATACAATACAGATACTGTATCCTTTGGTATTGGTCCAATATTGGCACAAACTTTTTCATAATAAGTTTTGCAATCAGCTGCGATGTCTTTTTTGGAATTCAACAAAAAATACTGCAATATGGCCCACATCACTCCTACTTCTTACTACTTTGTTCGTAACTTAGTACACAATTTTGTTGTGATCATGTGGGCTCTGTATGCTGGATCAGGGCGCTGCTAGATAGAGGTGCTGGAGCAGAGTCTGGAGTGGACTGCTTGTATCGGAGTGCTGATAATCGCGAGTTTAGATGCAGGTCAATCCGATATCTGTTTTTTTTTTTTTGCTGATTTGGGACCGATATCCGATATTAATCTTGGATCGGGACATCCCTAGAATCTAAAAATAAAACTTAATGAGAGCTACACTGATGCATGGGGTGCCTTAGGGCTCAATTGGACCTCCCATTGTAATTTCAGTACAGAAACTAAAGCACACGTACATAATCAAAGAACACCTGATCAGGATATTTTCTTTATTTAAGTTTATATGAAAGTAAATGAACAGTTTCGATTCCAATATACAGGTGTCTGTATTCCAATGCAGGTAAAACTCTGACACATGCCGGAGCACCTTTAGACTGATGACCTTTTATGAGTTAACTGGATTGTCAAGGACTTTGGACCTTAACAACAGGATCTGGTATAGGTTTGTTCCAAGTAACTTGATCACACTTTACTAATTTTACTTTTTATCTAACTGTAGGCTGCTCTGAGGAACTTTTGGTTTGTTTCAGTTTTGGCATCCCCTGACCAAGTGGTTCCTTTTGTGCTTTGTTCTGGGCATGCTAGAGTAAGAAATGTTGCGTTCACACTAAACCTGAAAATAACATATGAATTACATGTAGACTCAATGTAAAGATGACATTGACTTTCCCCCTGATTTGAGGCTTTAAAAGGTTTCAGAGACGCTTCAGGACCCATTCAAACTCCCCACAAAAGTTTCATCTCACAGTAGGATCTCAACAGCTTACTGAAGTTTTAAATATGTGCCATACTCGAAGGTAAAAACTGACACTTTTGTGTCCCTGTCTTCTCAGCAAATGTTTGAAGTAGATGAACCTGAACCTCTTTTCACATGGTGGTGTATCTATAATCAGAGGCAGAATTTTTAAGTAAAAGTCTTTGGGACATAAAGTCAAGAAGGAGTTGATTATTTAGTGCTGACATGTCAGATGTCAACTCTGAGCTGTGTCAAGTGAAGCAGCTTTCACTGAAACAACAAACTGTTAACCTGACAAACGGAGGGTCACCTCATAACAAGAGGCAGCTGTTGTGGAACAACAGAGACTTTTCTGGATTTATTGTGTTCACTTGTCCCTAATTTAACTCTCCGCTGTTTTTATTTTTACTTTGGCCCAGTTACTACTCACTTAAAACAACCTTAATTCTTTTCCCACAAACTTTGGTTTGCACTAAGACGTCCACGTAACAAACTACAGTGCAGGACAACTAGGTTTGTGTCTATTCAATCATATTCAATCAGTAGACTTTGATGATGTAGAACGCCAAAAGTTTCACATCTGTTCGGCGTTAACGCATCGTCTGGTGCATTCGTCGTTGTATTTTAAGGAGCCAGTATCTTACCTTACGAATCGTATGAGCTACAGGTGAAACGGCGCTCCCTGCTACGGTACAAGTAGCGGGTAATGCCAACCAAACTTTACCAAACTAAAGTTATATATCATTAAAGATGGCGATGTTTTAAGGTGAATGAAAAGCCGAATGATAACCTGTCCACGGATATTTCCATAAAGTGTATTTAGTCATGTTACATCATAATTATATGTTACCTGAGAGACATTATCCGTGAAATTCACCTTAATGTTGAGGGAGATTGGCGTGAGGAGTCCCGCAGCTGTTAGCATGCTAAATGTTAGGCTAACATTATGCTAGTTGGTGAAGTGGATCGGTTTAAAGTTTAAACAAACTCCCCGGTCGAACAAACACAAACTAACACAAGTGACAACAGGCCTACTAGTTAACTCAGATTACACAAATCCCGTCAGAAATTTAATCGACACCCAACCAGGAACTTTTTATACCATAACGAACCGTCTTACCTGTTACTGACCCGGGCTGCTACAGCTAGCACACAGCTAACCAACTAAGTAACCAACGAGAGGCTGCCACTCGACAAAAAGTCAGTTAACTCGCAGTTTAACCTCCCAGGTGTTCGTTTGTCGGCATGACTACCGAGTCAAAACGGTCAGACTTGAAAGGTACAGGTCCAAGTGGATTCCGAGATAACAACAGAAAACCAGGAAGAGTTCCACACACACACACACACACACACACACACACACACACACACACACACACACACACACACACACACACACACACACACACACACACACACACACACACACGTCTAAATAACCTGTAAGAAAAGCTCAGATAAGGAGCTCATAATATGCACATATGCACTTTGCCTGAGGTGGTGCCTGAGCCAAACACTTTGTCCGACCTGGATCATATCGGGCCGGAGCCAAAATCTCAAAGGTGAGCAATAAAATCATAACTGATCATGAAGTGTGCCTGGCAGCTGCCAGTCTTTTCTGCGATTCTCCAGAACGTCGAGAAATCCATCCGGAAAAATGTGTGGATGCATGTCTACTCAGGGCCTCCGTACAGAAAACTGAAAACTGTAAAAAGTCAAGAAAATGAGAGCAAGAGCCGAGATAATATCTGATTTTATTGATCACACAATACTTGCTCCGGTTCATGCGGGTATCCCATGTTTCAGGGACAATTGTAACCCTATCACTAAAACTTCAAAAAACAGCATTTAAAAAAAAAAAAAACAGAAAATCAAACGCGTTTAACCCTTCCTGAGATTACAGGTTTCTACCATGTGACATTATGACTTTTTTTACTTCTAAAACTTCCTTAATTTTTATTTCCATTTACTACATCGCTGAAGTGTAACCTCCTATCTGAAGAGGTGACGCCAATATTTAACTGCAGTTCCTCAATTGACCACTAGAGGCTGTCTGCAAAAGCACCAGAGGTCACATGCACACCTATTCAAAGGCTTCCTGTCAGGTTAACCCAGGGGTCGACAACCTGAAACACTGAAAGAGCCATTTGGACCAGTTTTCCACAGAAAAGAAAACACAGGGAGCCACAAAACCCCCTTGGCATCTAAAATGAAGATAACATTTGCATATATCGTTTTTTTTACCTTTATAAAAAATTGTAGTGAGTTGCATTTATGAAATAAATGAACTGCTGCAGAGAAAAAGAAATGTTATATCTGCAGGCAAACAAAAATATTTTAACAGTTTGAAATAATCTTAAAGACCCACTTTGATGAAAATCATGTTATTCTTGTTGTCTACATGCTCATACATCATTCATACATCCAGATGCTACAGGACATATAAGTAATACAAGAGCGAAATTGCATTTCTGAGTATTTCTACATTCAAATCACTGTGAATCTCTGGCAGACCCAAACGGTAGTCTCAGACGCAGGGAGATTTCCTACTTTACAACTGCACGCTCCACCCTTGGAGCCCTGCATGCAGGCCACACTCAGAGGAGTTGAAAGGAAGATCGCACAACAAGCGTGTGCGTTAAATAAGAAACACAATTTCACTGAACAATGTAAGATACTATATATTTGCAAAATAATAGCCAATTAAAATGTGAAATTTACTTGCTTAAAGTGACTTTCGCTCCTGAACCTAAGCGCACAGCGTCTCCACATCCAGGCTGTGTGACATCACATTCATCTTCACACAGGTTTTCAGTTTTCCCTAGTCCACAGTTATGATGCATATTTTGAGCGATACAATTTTTTTTAACATGGTTTATTTAATGTTACAAGAGCATTATAAACTTTAATTTAGAATTACACAAAAAATTAAACTAAAATAAATTCAAATTAAATATTTGTTATTTATTTTCCAAATCCACAGGGAGCCGCAGCTTAGGGAAGAAAGAGCCGCGGGTTGCCAACCCCTGGGTTAACCCAAAGTTAAATTGAGTCAGGATCCCCAATTTGACGTTTGCTGCTGATCAGCTTCAAAACTTCAGAAAGCAGCGGCTGTCACAGAGAGACCTGCATCTGTCCATGTTGTCTTGGACTAGCTTAATTATTCTCCTGATTTTACAGCTTTAATCCTGTAATATTAGCACTCAAGATTTGCCTTGTACTTCAGCTACCTTACTCTATATTTTTAATACAACTATTTTCTAGCTTTATTCTGGTGAAGTTACAACTTTATTTCATAAAACTTTAACTTCATGCTCTTACAGCTTTACATTTTTTATACTTACAACTTTTTTTGTGTAATGTTAGGACTTCATATTCATATGTAATAATAGAGTAAGTTTTGACCTTACTGTACCTGTATTTTTGTAATAATTCACCATCTCTCACTTAAGTGATAACAAGAATTCATCACTTTTAGTCTGTAATCATATGACAAATTTAATCATATATTGTTATTCTTTAACAGCTTTATTTATAGGTTTGTAGTTTTATTTTACAATCTTAATATTATAACTTTTTTCTAATATTACAATTCAAAATGCCATTTTGAGACTTTCTACTGGCATTATTTTTTTCCCCTAACTTTACATTTATAAGAAAACTTATCTGCAATGTCTTTATGCTCTTATTCCATCAATAATTAACTCTCTCTTTTGCAACAGAATTCTTCCTCATATTTTATTTTTATTGTCATCAGACTTAATCTGACAACAGGGTTTGGGCTCTTTTGGGGTAAAAGGAAAAGAAAAAAAATGGAGGTTCACAGAAAAAACTTTCAACAAAATCATAATTCTACAGGAGAAGAAAAAAGTCAAACATTTATGCTGACAATTAGTTCACAAAAGAAAGTAAAGTTATGAGGGAAACAGTTAAAGTTCAGTAAATTAGGTCATAACATTTAGGAAATTAAACTGACCAAAAATAAACTTCATTGAGACTGGAATGAACTCTGGAGAACAGATTTTCACACATTTAAAGTTATTAATTTGTAAAATAATTAATGTAAAATAACATAGGTAGAGTTGTATAGCAAGAAAAAGTCCTACATTTACAATGAGGATATAGAAAAAATATTTTTAAAAAGTAAGTTTATGGGAACAAAGTTTGGAAAAATAAGTTATGTATTTATGAATAAAGGGAAGAAGATTTACAAGAAAATAGTTGTGAATTATGCATATTGAATTGTAAATTAACTGATTACAGACAATAGTTTATACCTGTGAAGCAGCATGAGTAAAGTTACCAGAAAAAAAGTTTGAAAGAGAAACAATCTCTTATTATGGGGAATAAAACAGAAAGATGTCATCAGTATGATTAATCTGGATTTAATCAGACTCCAAAGGACGAGGAAGACCTTAGAGCAGTGTTTTAAAGAATTGCAGCTTTCTCAGCTGATTGAAAGTCCACATAAACTATGACCCAGAGCAGTCAGCCACTTGTTTTCTCGAATATTTATTTTAAAAATCTATATTTTTCTGTAAGGTGTTTTTGAACTCCATAAACATTACGACTTAATTCTTATAACTTTTCCTAGAGTTGTCAGGTTTTTCATTGTCAAGATCAAAGCTTCACTATTAAAAAAAAATCCCTCCACCCCAGAGAGAAAAAGGAGGCCTTTAAGAACGAGCTTTATTCTTTATTCTTTCATTATGAAGAAGAAAAAAAAATCCACCCCCCACCCTGAAATCAAAAACATTCTGGTTGACATATGGCGATGATGATGATGATGGTTTTATTGCCATAAACAGTGTAGGAAAAATTTAACAACAAAAAAGTTAAAACAGCTGTTTTTATTCTATAGTACAGTGAAGCAAATCAAACTGTTTATCAGTGACACAGATGACCAAAAACCAGCGACTGAAGGCTTAAACACTGTTCACCCGATCCACTCTGAGCGATCACCTGGACCAGTTGTTCACCTTCTACAGGTACAAGAGCAGGAACTTCAAGTTGGTCAAAGTTAAAGCACAAACTGAAAAGACTTCATGGACTTTTGGACTTTGTAGGGCAGAATCAATTTTACAAAAATGAATGGATGAAAAAAAAAAAACAGCACAAAAACCTTTAAGTTTCTTCTTTACTGTTGGCGACGCGACGTGTTAGCGCCACCCTCTGGTCAGGAGTGTGTGGCTGCTGATTTAAATGAATCAGGGCTGCAAACAAAGACAGATGGAAGAAGGGAAGAAGTGGAGAACAGGAAGAGGTGAAGGAAAAAGGAGGCAGAAGAGAGGGAAAACTTAAAATTGCGCCAAACAGGGAAGAAAAACATTTCTTGCCCTGTCTTTCTTCTCTTTTTATTTCACACACATCGTTTCTTTCCCTCTGTTATCCCTTCTTTTTCTTCAGGAAAATTAATTTCTCTCTGAACATCTTTTCAATTGGCAAAAAAAAACAGTTGCTGAAAAACAAACATGACAGCAAGTTAATCAAGGGAGCCTGAGAGAGGAAAAAGAAAAGATGGAGAAAAGAAATGAGAAAATAAAGGAGAAAGATGGAGAGACTTTGGGTGTTTCTTCACCTCCTTTTTTCAATCCACCACAACTGTCAAACTTCCTGTTTCTGATAAAACAGACAAAGAACATAAGCAAGACAAGAAGATAAAAAAAATCTTAGAAGAGGAAAAATGAATGGGCAAAATCTTTTCAAAAAATGTTTCTTCTTGTTTAAAAAATGCATCAGTTCTTTCTCTCCATGATCTATTGTTCCTGTTTAGGCCATTTCCAATGAAAAAAACTAGTGTGAATAACAGTTTAATACTCCTCTCTGAACCCTTCGCTCTGTTTCCAGGTGTCAGGTGTCAGCAGATTGACGAACCAATGAGAGAGAAGAAGGAGCTTACGAAGACAGACTTAGCCCTAGAACAAAGAGCAGATCAAATCAAACACTAGCTGTGTTTACACGGGCACAAATAATTTGAATAAATGCCCTTTCGGAATAAAAATGCGTCATGTAAACATGTGGATCAGAAGATTCTGATCCAATTCGGCTCAATCGGAAAGAAATTGTATTCCGATTGAGAGGGTTGGTTTATGCCAATGGTTATTCCGAAACACGTTATATCCATGTAAACACTTATTCCAATCGTGACTCTTTTACCTGACTCAATCTTCACTCTTTAGCCTTTGGCTTATTTATTGAGGCAGGTTTCATTATTAACACTCTGGCATAAAACACGACCACAGGTGCTGTGTCTGCTCCTCCAGTAACATGACAAGGCATACATAGCCTACAGCGTAATGATGTCACATCTGCACGCACAATGCAACCTTTGACAGAACAGTAAAATAAGTACCCAAGGCCGCCATCTGGTGTCAACATTTAACAGGGTGAAAAATCCTGAATTGGATGAAGCGAGCCACTACCGCGTTTGTTGACAGCACAGGCGTCAATACAACTCTTCTTCTGCAGTTGTTTTAGCAAAATCAGACAACTCTGCGCATGTCCAAATGCTTCTAATCTAAATAAAGCTCGGTACATGTATACGCATGTCATGATCAGATTATTTGATTTTGCACCCATATAAACAGTGGATTTAGATTACCCGATCCCTCAAATTTTTAATCGGATCCAGAAATTTTGCCCATGTAAACGTGGCTAGTGAGAGGATCTTGAAACATCATCTGAAAATACTTTTTAGATCAAAGTCTGATTGATGAGTCACCATGGCAACAAGCAAGAGCAGAAAAAGGAGGAAATTATTAACTCTGACTCCACCAATCAGCATGAGGGGGCATGGCTAAATCTAAACTACAAAATACAAAACCAAAACATCCTGACAGGTTCAACAATTGGGCATCATTCTGTTTGAGAGTAAATGGTGGGTGACCTTCGACCCAGCGGTAGAGAAAGGGCAGGGCTACAGGACAAAGCAGGTATGACATCACAGTAAGCAGAGGTGACCGTGAGGGGGCGGGACTTAGAAATCCAGAGTTTGGACATGCATTCACAAGCTGCTCGTTGTGTTTGTGTTACAGATTTATTATTCATCAGAGTGTCAGAGTGTGTTTCATTTCGTTCTGACTAAGAATAAATATTCTGCTCAAACTGAACTCAAACAGGAATAAGAAGAAGACGAAGAAGAAGAAGAAGAAGAAGCAGAAGGAGAAGAAGAAGAAGAAGAGGAGGAGGGCGGCATCCACTTGATCACTGTCAGTCAGGAAGGAATGCTAACTATGCCATTTAAACTCATCCAGTTTCTTTCTTTCTCTTTTATTTTTCCTCATTAAAGTTCTCAATCTGTTCACTCTTGTCCCCTCCCCCCTCCCTCCGCCCTTCCCTCCCTCCCCCCTGACCTTCCGCTTCCCCCTCCCTCTGGCCTTCATGGCCTTCAGTCTCTTATGGTTTGTCCTTAGAGATCACCTCCTCTCGCGGCTTAGCTCCACCGAAGATGGCGGAATTTGGGTTGGCGACCTGGTTCAATGGCTCAGAGACGGTCCGAGGCTTCAGCTGCAGCCGAGGCCGCTGTGCACGCTCCTCTGTGCAGCACAAACAAACAGACAAACAGAAAAGAAAAGAACCAATTTCATTTCACTTTGTTTTCTTTACTTTTTTTTCTCGACACTTGCAGTTTGTCCACCTGCTGATATGAAGATGTAAAAAAAAAAAAAAAACTATCAGAGTTAAAGTGAAAATTAAATAACACTCATTTGCAATTCTGTATTTTACTTTTGAAAAAGGATAAAGTACAGAAAATGTACCAGAAAATCCAGAACATAAGTCTTTCCGGTGTACAGGAGTCAGTCTGTTTAAGTGTTCAACTGTCAAACTGCATACAGACTCGGTGTGCAGTTTCTATGCATCTGTGTATCTGCTGATGGCACCCTGGGTGAGCTCAGTGTGAAGCAGCATTGGCAGCTGTTAACTTTGGATGGTAGGGCTATGAATCATTTGTCGCTCAGAAATCAGTTTGATTTGGATTCTCAGGGCCACAGTTTGACTAAAAGTCGATTCCTCACTTTCTTGTTGTGACTCAAAATTCAAAATATTTTTCTTAGTCTTTCTATTATGTTCACACACTAAGGCAAAATTGAGACAGAACGAAGCTTTTTTAGAACATCACTATATTGTGTGAGTTTAAATTTTTTTTTTCGTTTATTCTATTGAGTTTTGGATGATTACTCAATAAAGCTGATGTACCTGTCAGGGATTTCTGTGCGCTCTCAACTGTCTTTTACAAAAATAAGTGATCCACGAAGCTGGTCCTACAGGGTGAATGCAGGACATTAAAACCCTTTTTTAAACTTGATTTACATATTTTAAGCCCTGAAAGCTACTTTGAGCTGTAACTGGTTATGTCAGCTGAAAAAACTCACATTACTGAACTGCAATATGTTACAGTAGATTTTAATGACAGGCTTCAAAGATTTCAAAGCTTAACCATTTGACATTTGTGAAAACTTGAGTTATCTAGTCAGTTTAGGGCACGTTTTCATGTCTGTTTTATTACTCAGGATAAATCCCTCTAATCTAAACAAAACACAAAGCATGGAATAAAATCAAACGTTTACTTTGAAACTCTTGGTCATGGTAAAATTAATTTCAAATAATTTTTAAAAGCCTTTATAGTTGCTAAATTGATTTAGGCACAATACTTTTAAGATCCTGCAGACACTCTGTAGTTATTGGGAAACTTTCACTGTCAGCTTTGGGAACTGCCTACCTCTAATGCTCGCTTGTATTTGTGTGTTACACTCTTCCTGGTGTCTTGTCTTCCCTGCAGGTTAGGAAGTGGGGTTTGCCACACCAACAGTGTGTACTTAGTTACTTACAAAGTAAAAAAGAGTAGGAGTGATATAGGCCGTATGGCAGTTTTTCGTTTAAGTCTGAACAAGACTTTGCAGATGAGTGCAAAACCTGTCATGCATAAGTTTGTGCCATTATCGGATCAAAATTGGTATCAGCCAATACGGAAGGCTACAATATCGGTATTGTATCGGGAGTAAAAAAGTTGTTTCAGGACACCTCTAGTAAAAGTTAGAGGTAAGGTGTCAGATTCAGTGTACTTTTCTCTTGTCCCCCTCGCGCTTTCGCAGGAAGAGTTGAGATTGGAGCTGTGTGCAGATTCCTCTCTAGAGGGTTTGTTTGACATGGTGTGACATTGGGTGCCTTACGGAGATGATTTGGTTGGAGACCCCATTTTCTAAATTGTTGTGCCTGCTAAATTCCATGAGTCTGTGTTGGAACTTGCTCATAATAACACAGAGTGGGCAGGGGTGGGGGGGACTTATAACCTGGTCCTCAGGCACTTCTTTTGGCCTTCCTTGAAGAGGGATATAGCAACTCATATTAAACCATGTCACACCTGTCAACTCACAGGCAAACCAAACCAGAGCATTAAGCCTGCTCCTTTGCTCCCGATTGATTGCTGCCATAAGTTAACTGTTCAACGAACATTTGGCACCCCCAAATGTGATTTATTAAACCCTCAAACTGATTGTGGTCAGTGTTTTAGCGTCTTAATTTAGCATGTCAGAAAGGCGGGTACAAACTGGAACAGAGTTACGCACAAATGGCTGAGGTCATTGTGGAAAGATGGAGGCATAGGAGCAATGACAGACAACACAAAGAGAGAATGTTCTGTGCACATCCCAACATATTTGGACTATCAGAAATAAAAACAGTACAGACATATTGTCCATCCACCAATGCCATTTTTGAGCTGCTGGAAGGCCTAAGGCAGGGGTGCCCAACCTTTTTTAAACCAAGATCTATTTCAAACATTTGAAGTCTGTTGCAATCTACTTTTATTAACACAGACATTCATAGTGCTTGCCGACACCTATCAGTAACATATTTGGAGTGTTTACACTGCTGCACACAAGAAATCAACACATTACACGTTACATTTAAATGATTTTCTACCTTAGTGGGACCTCTGGCACTGGGAGGAGGAAGCAAGTTGCTCATAGTCAGGGTAGTAAGAGCTGGTTGCAAGTCTCAGGCAGGCCACCAGGTGGTCATCTGTCATTGTGGACCTGTACTTGGACTTGATGATCTTCATGTGAGAGAATGCAGCCTCACACGAATAGGTCGATCCAAAAAGTGCGGTCAGGTTGAGGGCACATCTTCTGAGGTTGGGATACTTTTGCTCCAGTAGTAAGTGCCAGAAGTCTCCTTTAGTGCCAGATGTTGCCCTGGATTTGACCTCAATGTCACTTTGCAGTGTGAGAACCTCATTCTTAACTGCAGCTGTATCCAGGTGAAACAGTGATGCTACTTTGGAGGCAATGCAATCCACATCAATATCCTCCACAAAAGGAAAACACAGATAACTGGCGACAGGCTCAATGGATACAAAGTCAGTAAAACGCCTCTCAAATTCTGACAGGATGCTCTGAACCTGCTCTCCATCATGGGCTCCATCAAGCTGTGCAGAGTTTTTACCCTGACGCTGAAGTTCTGCTTGCATGTGAGGAAAGTTTCGCAGGTCACAGCGTTGCAGCCGATTTAAAAGCAGCTACAGCTTGCTTTTGAATGTGTTTACTGAACTGATTATGTTGATAACATGTTTATCCTTACCCTGGAGCTCTAAATTCAGATCATTAAGCATGTCAGTAATGTCTGTCAGAAATGTTAAATCCAAAAGCCACTGGGAGTCCTCCAGCTGAATGTGCTCTGTGTGCTGAGACAGTTTCAGGAAATCTTTCATTTCTGGCAGTAATTCAGTGACCCTGGCCAAAAATTTACTTCTGCTTAGCCACCTCACATCTGTGTGGAGCAGCAGGTCAGTGTGTTCTGCGCCAGTCTCCTCCAAATGAGCGCGGAATAATCTTCTCTGTACACTCCTGGCCCAGGCAGAGCACACAATCTTCATAACAACATCCATCACTTCTTTCATGTTTAAAATCTTCCCACACAATGCTTGCTGATGTATAATACAGTGGTAATTAAGGATGTCAGGGAAAGATTCACTCTGTTTGCACAATGCAATGAACCCACTTGTGCGGCCCACCATGGCTGGCGCACCATCAGTTGTGATGGAGATCAGCTTGAGAAGGGGCAGTTTGTTCGTTTTAACAAAGTCCATTAAAGTGTTAAAAATATCTTCACTTCTTGTGTGTCCTTTCAAAGGCAAAACTGTCAGTAGTTCTTTTGCCGACATGTCTCCAAAAACCATCCTGATGAAAACACATAACTGTGGCACATCCACCACGTCAGTTGACTCGTCAAACTGGAGGGAGAAACACTCACATCCATCGATGTCCTTCAACTGTGTTTCAACATCCTCTGCCATTCCCTCGCACCATCGTGTGACAGTATTCCGTGTTAACTGCATGTCCTTTATAGTGGAGACGATCTCCGTTTTGTTCTTTAAGTCACCAAAAAGTGCGTCCGCGGCTTCAATGAAGGCTTCCTTAACAACTTCACCGTCCTTGAAAGACTTCTTGTGTTTAGCAAGCACGCGAGAAACACGGTAAGATGCTATGGTAGCAGCCTTACCCTTGGTGTTGGGTCTGGTAAAAAAAGACTGCTGGGCTGCAAGCTGCGTCTTCAACTCCTGCACTTCCTGCAAGCGTAGCTCGGATTTGGCAGGGAAGTCTGTCTCATATTTTTGGTGCAGTGACTTAAAATGCTTTTCCAGATTTCCCTTCTTTGGTATAGCCACGCTGGCTTTGCAGATGAGACAGATGGTCTTCGAGTTTGAGTGGACAAAAAAAAAAATCCTCATCCCACTCTGGGTTGAAAATGATAAGTTTTCGGTCTTTTTTCCCCGGCCATTTCTCTATCGCTGCTAGCTTAGTAAACAACGGCTGCAGCACACACATGTTGTGACCTGACCTTACAGCTGCAACGGAGTGGGGGCATGGTACTGGCAAGGCAACAGCCATGAGAAAAATAGCCAATTAAAATTACCAAAAACACTTTTTTTTTACGCTGTCAAGGCTACTTTTCGCAATCGACTGAGAATTAGTCCGTGATCTACCAGTCGATCGCGATCGACTGGTTGGGCACCCCAGGCCTAAGGGTTGATTTCTGCCGGTCTCCCACTGGTTTCATTTGTGAAGGTTTTATTCAGAGAAAGTTTTTCATGTGTTCTTCTGTGGATATTTTTCCTTTTTCTTTTTATTTAAACAGCAGATCATCTGGTTTTCTCACAGCATTCACTTTTTCACGAAGATGTCTCTGCTGAAGTTCAACAGTGCATTCATTTGCCTCCTCCACCAAGACCTCCAACTCCATGACTTCAAACTTTTTCATCTATGACCACTCTGCTTCCAAAACTCTTTATCATGAAAGCTGGTAGCGCATGCAAAATCCTCATTTTAATAGGGCAATGTGCACCAGCTGTCATGTATTGCGCATGCAATCATAGTAGATCACCCGAAACATGCCCACTGACAACACATGCAACTTTTTAGTTTGCAAATGCAACTTTGCGCTTGTTATTAAGGATCTTAGTAGATCAGGATCTTGATGTTTATCTTGGATCTGGTGTTGTACCTGTGGTGGTCTTCACCAATCACAACCCTCTTGTTTTTCATAATTTATTAGTGTTCTTATCAAAGATTGGTGGGATGGCCACTATTTCTTCAGTCTCACTGGCTTGATATTGAACACATGATGACAGAAGCTCTGCCCTCTGACAGGAAATGGTCTCACCTTCAGATGGTTCCCTGAAGTCTGTCGGTCCTCCGCGTCCGTCCCTGAAGCGACCCGCTCCGGGACCTCCCCCCCTTCTGTCACCAGGACGACCGCCGCCACCTCGACCCCGCCCTCCTGCGAAGTCATCATAACCTGTGGAGACATACAGGTAGGCAGACAGGTGGACGGAAAGGTAAGTCAGCAGACAGACATGTCCACAGGTGTCCCACAGCGCCTCCAACCTGTAAGGTGACCAATGGACATGAGATGGTCCAGGTGAAAGGCATGATGGGGAAAAAAAAAGGGGCATGGTCCAGCAGCTCTTTGAGGCGGAGCCAAGCTATGAGGAGGTTCAAAGGTCAATGGTGCCCGTTTTTGTTTCTTCTAAATATATGTGCCCCATCTTATCTCTGTTCTTGAGTGAGTGTGGAGTCTCAGAGTCACTGTAGATAGAGTTGGAAATAGTTGCACAGAGGCTTCACTCTGGCTCGCTTCAGGGGTATGAATCTAAAAATACACGGATTTTCTTTAGAGTGAATCCAACAACGAACTCTAAAATTACTTTGCATGAGTTAAAAATTAAACAGTGAATCACCTGATAGAGAGCAGGACGATATCAAACTATCGCATGTGTAACGATGCTATCGATGCTACCAAACACATGCTATCAAACGATAGCATGTGTAATGATAATAATGAAAAAATTAACATGCTTTCAGATCCACTCAGTCATCAAAATAAAACAAACAATGTTCCTAAAAAAAATAATTACACAAATATTAATTCTTAATAAAATAGAGAAGAATGAATTACAACAATTATATTAATTCTTGAGATTTTGAAGTTTTACTTAATCATTTAAAGGTTTATTTAAGCAATTTATACTGTACTTTGTTTTGTTTACACCTTCTAAGTCTTAGAGCTTGTTTCCTGTTTTTTTCTCCTTCATTTTTGTTGGTTTAACATTCAATATTTCAAACATTTCTCCTCTGACGAAGCTGTCCACAGCTGAACTTCAGTTTATGGGAAATTTGTGTCACTTTTTTTTTCTTCGTTTTTACAGATTTTTGTACGTTAGTTCAGGGAAACTGCTCTGCTTTCTGATTGGCTGCAGCTCAGCAGTGTTCTGATTGGTCCGCTGCCGCCCAATCTGAGCTGCTGAACTCTCTGACCGCACCTCCTCCTTGGTGGTCGAAGTCTTCACGGCTGTCACGTCCTCCTCCTCCTCCTCCTCTGTGACCTCCTCTCTGACCTCCTCGTCCTGCAGAGGACAGGGGGAATTTAACAACCAAAGGTGGTGGTGGGGGGGGGCTGAAACAAAAAGCGGAGGAGAGGGAGAGAGAGAGACAGGCAGGTGGAGAGAGGAGAGGAGGGAGAGAAAAATAGAGGAGAAAGTGGAGTACTACAAGGACATGTGGATAGAGGGCAATAAACGGAGAGGGAAAGAAGGAAGGAGAAATAGAAAGAAAATGGGAGGCAACAGAAACAAGAGCGGAAAAAAGAGAATGAGAAACAAAGAGAGACCAGAAAAGAAAAAAACTGGAGGAGACAAGGAATGAAATAAAATGGGGAAAAGAGGGAGAAGGAAAGAGAAGAAACAGGGGAAAACAGGGGACAAGAAAGGAGAACAAGATGGAGAGAAACTAAGGAGAAGAGTACAAGAAGAACAAGCAAAGAAAACAAGAGGGGAGGAGAGAGGAGGGGTTGGGGAGGGACAGAGAAAGAGGAGAGAAGAAAAAAGGGAAGGAAAAAAGGAGGAAAGGAAAAAAGAGGAGAAAAGAGAGAAGAGGAGGGAACAGGGAAGACGGAGGTGGCACCTCCTTTTGGAAGAAGTAGGAAGCACAGCACTGAAGAGGTGGAGCTTGTTAGTTGCTCATCAACCAATCAGAGAGGAGATGTTAGGAGCTACGCTGACTGAAGGAGGTGAAATCTAACACACTAGTTTCAGTTCATTTTCTCTGTCTGTGTGTCTGGACCAATCAAAGAAAGAGAAAATTAAAATGAGGCAGGGCTTGAGGTGAAGATGAGCTGATGGCAGGATGAAGAGTGACATGCAACTCTATGCACAGTGAGTCAGCGCGCAAACTTTACCTCTCCCATCGTCTTTCTTGAAGCCGAAGCCCCCTCCTCGCTCTTGTCTCCGTCCCTCTGCGATGTCCACCCTCAGTGACCTTTGATCTAACAACTGCAGGGGTCAAAGGTCACATTAGATCACATCAGACCGTAGATAAATTGATAAAGTTTAAGAGATCAGACTGAATACTGACACTGATATGGTATGAATGAAGTCAAGAAAAGGGCCAAAGAAAATACAGAATGACTCGTTGGATGTGCAGCCTGTGATCAACTGTTACCAGCAAGAGCTCTCATCAGTTTTTATGAGTGTAAAAATACCTCACTACTTTATGGCCTGTCAGTCATACATATGACTTTAAAAGTTTCATATTCTTAAATTAGACAGACATGCTTTAGTAAATAAAAAAAATGGGGCTAAACACCCTCTTACTGGTATTTTCAGAGTTTAAAGATTTACAGGTTGAAACCTGCCAAAATGAGTGAGATGCAGACATTACTTAGGGGCAACCATTTTACTTATCATGATATTAATATCAATCAAAATAAGTGATTTTGAGTGGTGACATTGTGGAGGTCAGGTCACATCTTTCTTTTTTCCTGTCCACTCATTAGGGTTGGGCATCGAGTCTCAAGCATTGATGGGAACCGGGATCCAACATTCCGATTCTCCCGGCACCGTTCAAGTTTTTAAATTTTGATTCCAAGTTTTGATGCCTGCGTCCACTGACCAGGAGAAATAGCCGCCGAACACTAAGGAAGAAGAAGCCACTAAACACGAACAAAGAGGAAGCTACTGAATGAAGGGTTTTTGCAGGTTTCAGTAAGTTAAATTTAAGACTAGGGCTGGGCCGATTTATCGATGTAGTCCACGTAATGGACTACAAAAATTCGTTGACGCAAAAAACATGCATCGAAGTGTTGCATAATGATGTAGACAAAGGCTACTTCAGGTAATGGTGGAAGCATGGACGGCAAACAAGCTCCTCCTAATGGGGTCGATTTAAAACCTACTTTAGCATGATCTATGAGCATTGCCTCTCAATCAATAGATGTGTTCTTCCTGGATTCCTCACTCACATTTCCAAGACTGCGCTGCTTTCATTCAAGGAGATATGCAGTGACCTGTCAATCATACTTAACCGCAGTGAACGCTGCATTATACGCCCTGCATCTCATATCTAATTCATTCACTTCAAGCAGTTACATCCCATCTAGTCAATTCACTTTAAGCAGTTAGCTCGGAGTTAAAGCATCACTTTTGTGCTTTTATCTGTCCAATAACTCGCTAATTAATCAGCAGTGTGATCGCCAATGATATCTCCCTAATGCTTCTACTTGGCGCACTCGAGTTCAGCCACAAAAATGTATACTGATACGTATGAGTCCGAGGTAGATCTACTTAAGAAAATAACTCATTTTTAAGGTGTGGCTGCTTTTATTTAACCGTGGCAGTGCGCCTCGATCGATTGCATGTGGGGAAACCCTGTTATCTAGCGCTGTGTCTTACTCAGCAATGTAAACAAACACTGTTGCCAGCATAATGCCCACCGTGGCCCACAATGCATTGCGACATAATGTGCCTTTTCGAGCCCTATTATTTCTATTATTATCATTATTTTTGTTTTTTTTTACTATAGCCATCGTTGTTACATAACATATTTTACAACAAAACATATTTGCTGTCCTAGAATCATATCCAGGGTTTCTAGGAAATGAAAGGGAAACAATTAAATATACATATATATATAATAATAATTAAAATAATTTCGAGCCCTATAATTCCCAGCCAGGAATTTCACTTATGCAATATTGTAATACATTTTATGGTACAAATTATTTTTTTTGCAAATTATTTTTTCCAAATATTTTTTATTGCAATAGTATCACAACTGGTTGTGTGGCACTGACTTTCTTGCTATTAAATGAAAGATGGTATGAAAGTTATTTATTGTTACTTGACAGTCATTGTAACTATGAGTAAGATAAGCATGCATCTGGTAAGGGAGTCTACAAAGCAACAATAACCTATTAGGCTGGTGCATCCACAGGCTGGTTATCCGAAAATGGTATACCGCGGTTCACAGTATGTCGCCCAGCACAAAGTTCAAGCTTTTGGCTGAGTGTTACTTACAGATGACTTTAAATAAGCTAAAAAGCAATGTTAAGTGCTTTGTGAATTCAAAAAAGCATTGATAAAAATTCACTGCTTTTTCTTTTGTTTCATTTCAAGAGATTCTTGAATAAATCAGTGAACTGAATACTAATCGGACACGTTTTTGATTTTATTAATCGGTTAATAAAAAATAATCGTTAGGTGCAGCCCTATTAGAGACCCTCCAAGACCATTATGAACACATTTTTCACGTTTTATTTTTTACGAGTTTATAAACACTTTTTGTCAACTGGCGTTTATTTAAGGTATGAAATAGTTGTATTTTACTCTCTCTATTGCTGAGCTCATAGCAGAATACAGACTTGGAATTGTGACCGCAGCTCAGTTAGCAAGAAAGACAGACAGACAAGAGAGATAAGTGCAAGCTAAAATGTCAACAATAACATTACCGTAAACTCTGGAAAAATGGCACCGGTTAACAATGTGCACTCTATGTTTGAAGGTCACTTAGTGGTTTAAAAAAGTCTAAACTGTCTTCTAGCATAGCAGTGTCTATTGTGATCAGAAATGTCTACAATGTGCTGTTTCTGTGCAGCTGTGTTGCTCTTTTTGTTTTCACCATAGGAAGTTTGCACTGCTACTAGCTATAGTATAGCAATTGAGCTCTCAGCCTGCAGTGAAAGTTTTGAGGCACAGACCCCCTTTCTGCCCGACCAGTGTTGCCAGATTAGACGGTTTTCTTGTACCGTTAGAATAATTTTCCAGGACACTTCCCTTTTTCTCCCATTTTCCAGGTGTTTTCCAGTACTGGAAAAGTGGTTAGCTTTTTCCAGATTTTCCAGGACACGTGGGAACCCTGATTAATTTATGCAATTGTAACACGAGTTTTGAGTTTTTGAGTCAGTGTTTGTTGCTGCATATTCTGTGTGGTTTACACCTCTTGATGGCACCTGAGAGACAGGGGCAAAAACTTCTTGGAGGAGAAGTGCTGTGATAAGCAGCAGAGATGAGGCTAGAAGAGGTAGCATCACTGTTTTCTTTCAAGCAGCTGAGAGCAGGAGCTGAGCATGAGTTTGCGTGGAATGTTGATCTATGTTTAAGTTATGAATCAAAGGTGAGAAGAAGTGAAACTTCCCCCAATGCCCACGTGTGTATTTGGCCTCAACATCTACCATAGACGGAGTGCTCAGAGGGGTCTTCCTGTTCTGTGCCGCGTGCTTCTCATATTCAGAATGATGATCGGGATGTTTGGATTTTAAATTAAACCTCATATGAAAAAACAGTTTGCAGATGCACCCCCTTTTGAGAATTTGGCACTACACGCTATGCTAATCGCTATCCGTAGTTCTCAGATATACTGAAATATGTCCCCACTACAGAGATGTTGGCCATTATCCAGACAAGTGTGTGCTGGTCACAGATTTTGCTTGCATCATCACAACATCTGTTTCGTCCGTGTTGTTTTGGTGAGAAAAGAGTTTGGGACAAAAAACGAAAATGCTAATTTGCTAATTTTGGCTGGAAATTTTCAGTGGTCACATTATATGGCGAGCTGGTGTTTCTCTGCCTTTGAGTGAGACCATAGCACTTTCACACCGAAGGTCCCTAACTGGATGGTCCTCCAGCAAAGTTTACAGTGAGCCTGGTGTTAATTGTTTGGGACCACTTACAACTAACATCAAAAATCACAGATTTTAAGCCAAGACTCCTTGAAAAAACACTTGCCCCTGTTTTCTATGGAAAGCAGCAGACGTGACTCTGAACACACAGGGGTCAAAAACATGCTGCAAATATTATAAACTGGAATGTAGTTATCAGGGGATTTGTAGTTGAATGACCATCCACCCACACCAGTAGCTATTTGAGCCCCTAAGAAAGACAGACTACACAAAATGGATTTCTGATTACGGCATCTTACTCAATGTATTTTCTGCAGCCAACGCTTTTCAGGAACAAACAAAACTAAAAAATTAAGACCAGACTAAACTAAATTTAAGACCTTGGATAAAAATTTGGGTGTTTTTAAGACTTATCAAGGCCTTGAATTTTAAGTTCTGATTTTTGAACATTTTTAAACTTTTTAAGACCTTGTGGGAACCCTACGAATACCAACGAAGACGAAGCACATAAGATGAAGCCACAAAGAGAGAGAGAGAGAGAGAGAGAGAGAGAAAGAGAGCGCACATTGTAACCCACAGCGGCAGCAGTAAAAAGTTTTGCTAAACTCTACCCAAAAGAATGAACTGTCATCTCACTACACAATTTGCAACACAGTTGTATCGTACTATGGAGGCTGCAGTGTTGTTTTCATTGACGATTATGTTGGCAACATAATCGTCAACGAAAACAACACTGGTGTGTGTGTGTGTTGGAGGAGCACAGCGGGCTGATGACAGCAGTCAGAGTGGACTGAAGCTGCTCCTATATGTTTAGCGTTTGACCGACAAAATGCTCATGAATTTTGCAACTCTGTTTGTCATCCACCACTAACGTTTTCGTCTAGTCTCGTCAACGTAAATGCACATTCGTCTCATCACATTTTAGTAATCTAAGACTGATGTTTAGCTCGTCAATGTCACGTCTTTGTTGTGGAAAAAAATGTGCGGCGACGAAATATTTTTGTCACAAAAATATTTTCGTCAACGTCATTGTCAACGAAAACAACACTAGGAGGCTGCACGACCAACATGATGAAACACCTCTGGATTCATGGAGCAGAAATACTTGAGTAAAACAATAATTTACATCTGTCTTCTGCTAACATTGAAGTGGCAAACAAATTGTACTGTGTATGGTGAGTCAACTTAAATATCCTATAGCTCTGTAAATAATTCATAGTAAAGTTCATATGATTGAAAAATTCATGGAGAAGTTCAGACATTTCATCAAAAAAGAACTCTGGTTAACGCCCTCATTTAAACCATGCATTTTCTTTATACTGCCTGGGGCTGGGCAATTTGGGTTAGGGTTTATCACGATTTATTTTTTTCGTATCAGTTGATATCACAATACAAAAAATGGAATTTAACAGTGCTTATTGGTAGAGTGTCTTTTGCAATAAAATAAGCTACTGCATCCGTGAGGTCTTTGTGTCTCTTCAACATTTTGTTGTAAGGCATTGCACTAGAGAAGGCAGACTGAATGGTCGGCTGTTTTGGCTGCACAGGCGCTATGGGCTCCCTATTTTGCTCAGGGTTTGTGACAGTTTGTGTTGCATGTGCTCTGCCGCATGGCACTGCTTCAGGTGGGAAAAAAATTTGAGGTATTCTCCAACTTTGTGAGAACATGTACACGACATAATTTGCAGTGCACATTACTCTGCTTCATGTCTGACCTCAAAAAACATAAATACCTCCAAACCATTGACAATGTCATCATCTATTGAGCCTTCATCTGCATTTCTGCCGGGGGTAGCACTCATTTTCTTTTTTTCTCAACAACAGTGCTGTTGGCTTTAAATGTTAAAGTGCTATGGTAGCATGGAGCTGCTGCAACACAGTTGTTTGCTACTTGGTTCTATTTCAGCACGATTGGTTCAGCGCAAAGTGGACCGGAGCAACTCCCCTTTTCATTGCCTATTGGTATAGTCTACCAAAACATGGCAGAATGCCGACTATCGAAAATGATATTGACCATGTTTTATATTAATATTTAGGGAAATCAATTTTCGATATACACTACAGGCCAAAAGTTTGGAAGCAAGGCCATTACAGGCCGAACAGTTAGGAGTAACTTCAAGTTTTTGTTCACAATGCTTTTTAAAAAATCCAGCATGAGTTGTATGTATTTTGGGATGTATTTACTCCATGATCAGATGTTGCTTTCATGGAAATGCACCATTTTACTCCATTTACTTTTAGATATAGATTGATGTTAACAGACCATTGCTAAATATATGTCAGCAAAAGATAGTAAGGGCTTAGTTTTAGGGTTGAAAACATTTGCAAGAGTCACAACTTCAGTGCAAAGCAAAAAAACAAATCAAATTTGGATTATTCACTTCAACTTTTTGGCTTTTGAGAGTCTGCATACAAAAATCCTGATAAATCTCAACTGCGTTCAAACTACAGCAAAAATGGCTAGAAAGAAGCAACTGAGTAAAGAAACAAAAGTAAAGATTTGTACATTGAGGAAAGAAGGATACATAGAAAGAGAAATTGCAAAACGTCTAAAGGTGTTTAACAACAGAGTGCACTACACTCTGAAGAGACCAGAGGAACCTGGAAATTATGATGCTAGAAAAAGACCTGGACAAAAGAGAGTTACTACAAAAGCAGAGGATAAACATGGTATTGTCACCAGTGAGAGAGATCAGCAAAAGACAGCACCACAAATAAGGGAGGAAATCAACACGACAAGGTAGAAACCCATATCTCTGACAACCGTGAAATGATGTTTGAGAAAGGCTGGTCTGAAGGGTTGTGTATCTGCAAAAAAACACTACTTCTTCCACAGAACCTTGAAAAAGAGATATGAGTGGGCAAAAGCTCACAAAAATTGGACTTATGGTAACTAGAAACAAGTTTGCACTGTTTGGTTCAAAACGCAGAGTCTATGTCTGCAGACAAACTGGTGAACGTCTGAAAGCACCATGTGTTACACCCACAATTCAGCATGGAGGTGGTAGTTCCATGGTATGGGAATGTTTTGCAGGTGATGGAGTAGGAGATTTGTTTGAAGTAAAGGGTATCATGAGGAAGGAACAGTACCACTCCATCCTCCAGCACCATGCTGTTCCACCTGCACTCAGACTTGTGGCTCATAAGTTTGTTTTGCAGCAAAACAATAACTTTAAGCACTCTGCCAAGCTCTTTCAGGGTTACCAAGACAAAAAAGAAGAGGAAGGTATTCTTCAAAAGATGGTTTGGCCCCCTCAGTCTCCAGACCTTTCTCCAATTGAGCTTGTGCGGGATGAATTGGATCAATCGGTCAGAAAAATTAATAGTCAAAGAAAAATTATAGTCAAAATGTCTTCTGATAAGTTACTCTTTACACAATAGTCATGTTTATTGTGTTGCAAATTATTTATATGAAACTATGATCTTTTTTTGTACAAATCTGATCTTGCTTCCAAACTTTTGGCCTGTAGTGTATATCGTTATAGTTTTACTGCCCAGCCCTAATACTGCCTTTTAAATTAATCGAATTAGAGAATCATTAGGAACCAGATTGGTTAAATTTCAAATGATGCCCAACCCTACTGGTCATATCTGTCTGCTCCTCTGACTATGTTCACATGCAAATCATTGAATTCAGAAATTACAAGACATAACAGAGTGTTGAAAAAAGGCGGTATCAATATCAACATAAAGAGCGGGCTCATACATAATCTATGCAGAGCAAGGCTCAAATGACCTAATGTGGAACTAACAAAACTGAACAGAAAAGTTTTTCAGACTCTCAGAGTTCAGGTCTCTTAAAGGTCCAAAAGTCCAGAAAAACAACTTCACTGTGACAATGTTTTACCAGGATGGTAAGGAGTGAACACATCAACTTCCTCATACTTAAGTTCTTCACGTTCTCTGGAGCTTGATACTGCTCTAATTAGAAAGAAATCGGGACTCAGAGTGAGAAGTAAAGCCTGTGACTGATACTCACAGCACCGTCGTATGTCAAAGCTTCTTTTAGAGATTCCAAATCTTCAAACTCCACGTAACAAAAACCTAAAAACAAAGATGTGCAGATGAGGTTAATAACGTCACTGATGAGGAAACTGTGTTTAATGAGGATCAATTATTCAATGAAGACAAGTCTCATCTGACAGACACCTGAGAAGATCAGCACCTGTGACAACACCAACCTGGTAAACTGGGGCAGATAAAGCTATACTCTGGTGTGTTTAAACCCTGATGGATTTTTAAATTAGGACCACTTGAAGCTCAGGAACTTTCTTAGGATGTGTTTTGATCAGTCAGACAAATTTCAGTCGTCCCAGCCTGTGTAGCTGTAGGCTGGATGATGACTTTTGTACCGTCAATCATTTGACCCTGGAAGTCGGTATTTTCATCTTAAAACAGGTTTTTAAACTGACTAACTCTTTGACCATGGATCTCATCCTGATCCTGTTTCAGCTGGAGAAGAGTCTGTCTCCTCTGATTGATTCTAAATCAATCCTGTAGTCTGACCATGACAGAGAATGAAATCCTCTGACCTTTGAACTTGTCTGTCTCTTTGTCTCTGACCAATCGGACGCTGCGGATGTTGAGCTCTTTGAAGATGATGTCGATGTCTCCCTGCACCGTGTTGAACGGCAGGTTTCCCACGTACGCTGTGAAGGGGGGCTCTGAAGGCAACTCCTTCTGCCTCCTGGGACCTCCGGAGCCACCACCGCCTCCACGGGGCCTGACAGAGGGGGGCAGACAGAGAGCATCATGGGATTTAAGGCACACACTGGTTACAGATCCTGGTTTGCTTAACAGAAAGCGAGTGGGGTTACAGAGAAACTCAACCAAACAGTATTTTTTAAGTCAGTTTGTCTGATTTAGTACCCAAGTTATTTCTTGCTCTCTCTGTACACTGCAGTGATCCTCCTCCTTTCCTCTTGTCTCGGCAGAAAGAACTGGAAAACCTCTTACTTTTTTTTTTGTTTTAAAGCAACAATTTCTTCCTGTTCCTTTCACAGCCTTTCAACACCCCAATGTCACTGCTTCTTCTGAAGCTAGTTCACTGCACTATAGTCGCTCTCCTTCTCATCACCAGCACCACAAACAGGAGTCATAAAGTGATGACACTGTGTGTCAAATTTAGGAGAAAATCTGTTAACAGCACCTTGATGATTCAGTTCAAGTTTCAGTTTTTAGCCCCGGCACACAGAAAACTGTGATAGTAAAGGATGGCGCAATAGTGGTGCCTGAATACTGATCCACATCAACTAACATTCAAACTGAGGGTTTTTTAAGACCAACAACCTTGTCTTGTATGGTAAACCTCAGAGCTACCCAAAAAACCAAGTCAGGACTGCATCAGTCCAGTTCATCAGCAGGACCCTTTTTTTTTCTAACATTTTTTTGGGGCGATTTTAGCCTTTATCGACAGGACAGGGTGAAGTGTGGCGAGATGGTGGGGCATGCAACACATGGTCGGGGCCAGATTCGGTCCGCGACTGTTGCGGGGACTGTGGTCCCCATGTATGGGAAGCGTGCTAACCTGCTGGACCATCTGCAAGCTCCAGCAGCAGGACTCTTCTCCTGCAGAGCCATGCTGTTGAACTCCCTGTTGTCAGAATGTGGTTTGTCATTGTCCTGCTGATATATGAAGGTCTTCCCTGAAAAAGTCTTTGTCTGGATGGCAGCAAATGTTGCTCTTAAACCTGTAGATATTATTCAGTATTAATTGAGTCCATGCAGTGGTTTTTACTCCAAAGTTCGGTCTGTTATTAATGTAGTACTGTGTGAGGGCCTGAAGATCTGGACCATCCAGTCTTGGTTCTGGTCCTTGTCCCTTTTGTCCAGAGATTTCTACAGATTCTCTGAATCTTTGAATGATATTATGTTCTGAAGATGATCAAATCCACTCATTCTTTTACATTTGACACACGGGAACATTACTCTGAAACTGTTTAACTATTATAATAATAATTATTATTATTATTATAAATAATAAATTTTATTTATAATATTATTTTATTTAACGTGCTTTTACAGGTGCTCAAAGATGCCTTAGAAAGAAAAAGAAGAAAATAAACTGAAAAAAAATAAATAAATACAGAAAACTATGAGAAATAAAATCAATGATGTAAAAGAGACACAATAAAAGAATAGATTCACGGGTTAAAAGCCAATTTAAAAAGGTGGCGTTTTTAAGAGTGATTTAAAAGTGTGGGGGTCAGTACAGTCTCAGGTGGGTTTGGGGAGTGAATTCTGGGGGGTGGGGGCGGCAACGGAGAAGGCTCTGACCCCCAAGTTTGGTGCTTGGTCCGAGGGGGTAGGGCAAGAAGATTTCCCTCTGAGGATTGGAGGGTATGGGCGGGGGTGTAGTGGTGGAGCAGGTCTGTGAGGTAGGTGGGGGCCAGGTTGTTATTAGCTGGTTATTAATGGAATTAGAGACAGCAGCTCTTCCTTGAAATCTTTCCCATCAAAATATCTCACATAGAAGCAGGGCTACATCTGTGTTGTCAGTGCTTTCATCAATGGCTAAGGAAAGGTAGTTTGCATGACTGACACCGTCGATAATTACACCCTGCACCGCATCAGACAGCGCTTCTATGCGGCGGTCAGCTGATCTGGCAGAGAGCAACATCTGTTTCACTGACTCGATCACACCATCCATCAACTTGCTGGCAGCAAGTGCCACCAAAACCGTCACAATCATCTCCTTGAAGACCTCTGCATCAGTGAATGGCTTGTTGTGCTTTGCGAGCACCCAGGACACTTTTAGAGATGCGCTAGTTGCCTTCTGTTGGGACGTAAGACCTTGCACATTATTTCTGTTGCTGTATGCATAAGCACCTTTCAGGACTTCGATCTTGCGCTTTCGTGCCTCTGTCTTCTGAGGGAACAAAACTTTGAAGTTAGCATGCTTCGTTTCGTGGTGCCATCTTATATTGTATTCTTTGAATACCGAGTAGGACTGGGCGATTATATGATCGTGATCGATGATTGTGATCAGCTGTGAGCTTATTTACTCGATCAAACATGGTGGAAATATGCGTCACAACAGCCAATCAGAGTCGAGCTTTTCCTGCTCACTTCTGAAAGTTACTGGAGAAGTAAACAGAATGATTGAACGTGGAGCTAAACGCGGAGCTGAGGCAGTAAAATAGATGTCCGCCATGACTTTGAGTCATTCTCCAAAGATGTTATTGTTGAGAAGTTATTCAACGTCTCTCCAAAGTGACGTTGAGCAATTAAGCCAATAAACCGGCAACATAACAAATCTGTTTAATCATTTGAAGAAGTTCTCCAAGTGATTACGCAGGAAGCATGAAAATGCGAGCGAAGTCTGCACAGCCCGTCACTGCTGACGGCAGGAGTAGCATTAGCAGTTAAGCCACAACTAGCGGTGCATCCACCAGACCAAAGCAATCAATCATCCATACCTGTTTCGGTGCCAAGTTTCGGTACCCTGAGATTAATCACGTGATGAAGACCTGATACTGCTGCCGGTGATTGGCTTTAACATTACGCATAATTGCGGCATGCAAGAAAAATAGTGGTGGAAACATCTTGTGGTTCCGCCCACAGACGGGGTTCACGTGTCTGTGTTGTGACTGAGAGCTGTAGTTGTGTGTGTCTCGAACCGGGTAAAAAAATATCTCAGACTCCGAGGTCAAAAGTGTGGCACCATTTTAACAAGATTGATGCCAGTAGTGTGCGACGCAATTTATGCAAAAAAGTGCTAATTACCAAGAATGCCAATACAGTGAATTTGATGAATCACCTGACCATGCACAGAATCAATTTAAGAGCATAACGTTGCTCCGTGTTTCACTGCAAGAAGAGCAGACTGCAGCTATCCTCCTCTCAGCATTCAAGTCCGCCTGTGGACATTACAGAGCCCGAGCGGCTTGGTTCAAAATGTCCACCACCACCGGACTCCGCTTCATCTGAGAGTACCAATGAGAGCACTGGTAAATTTACTTAATTTCACTACAATTTAATACGTGCATCGTGAAGCGAGTTAAACTGTGGCGATGCTAACTTATGTTATTAGTGTTAGCATTGTGGCTAAATCAAAATCTAACAAGAGATTGACAGTAACAGATTAAGCTTAGCTCAAAAAGTGCTTATCAATTTATCAAACTGATCTTCTCACAGTAGCCTCTGACTGTGGTGTGAGGGGGACAAGGCCAACTGTGAATACATTCACCCTGGCAGAAAAAGGAAAGATGACAATAGAAAAACAAGATGAGTGCCACAGGGTAGTCACAAACTTTGTTGTTAAAGGCTTGCTGCCTTTTTCAACAGTGGAGACTCCATGGTGGAGGTAAGTAAAGGAAATTGTTGATCAGTTAAGATTTTATCTCTCAGTGTAGATAATGTTTTGTTGATTTTTTGTGTTTTAATGTCAATTAGGGAGATGATAAGAGCCCTAAACCCCAGATATCAGCCCCCCAGCAGAGACACGCTGTCAAATACACTCATACCTGCATGGTATGCAGTAGAGAAGGGAAATGTTAAAGGAGAATTGCAAGACGTCAGAGATGTGGCTGTCACAGCGGATAGGTGAACCAGTGTGGCACAAGACCACTACTTGACTGTTTCAGTCCACTTTGTGAGAGAGGGTACCATGAAAGGAGAAAGTCCTCCATACCAGGGCAGTCTACACATCACAGACAGGGAATGTAATAGCTAAGGAGATAGGGGATATTCTTGATGAATTCAACATAAAAGAAAAAGTTGTTGCAATCACTGTCGACAATGCAGCTAATATGGATGCAGCAGTAAAAAAGATGAGCATTAGAAAAATTTGCTGCTTTGCTCATGCACTAAACATTGCTGCTCAAAAGCTGTACATCATACCTGTCATCTCAAAGTGGGCAGGAAGAATCAGCGCTATGGTGGTGTGGTTAAACCTGTCCTTAAAGAGAAGCAGCGTCTTCTCGGTAAGTGTAAATCAAACTTAGTGCAATGTTCCTGGGCTGGCTGAATCAACTTTTGAACTATTACTACTAGGGATGCACGATATTTATGGGACCGATAAAATATCGGCCGATTTGGGGGGAAATTACGTCATTTTTTATCGGCCCGATAGGTGCATTTTTCCGATAGAAAGATCCGATATATTAATGAAATTACGAGTAACGTTTGCAGGCGGAGTAGCCGCCCGTCCGAGACGCGCTGGTTACGTCATCTATCGCGCCTTACTCGCAGGTCCCAAGCCTGACCCCGTCACTACCTGACAGATAATAAAATGTCTTCACCAGCATGGTCGTTTCTCTCAGTGGCAGAAGATGACAACAGCTGTTATATGCAAAACCTGTTCAGCGAGGATTCCGAGAGGAGGAAAGAAGACGTCAAGTTTTAACACAGCGAATCTGATAGCTCATCTGAAAAGTCGCCATCGCGGCGAAGCAGTATTAAAAGACTATGAGGCAGCCGCCGAAGCTGCTAGCGGTACTAAAGCTAAGACAACAACACTACGGAGGATCGATGTCCCCATTCAGCGGGCGTTTAAAAACTGCAAAAGCTTCTCAAGAGACAGCGAAAAGGCTAAAGCCATTAACGACAAAGTGATGGAGTTCATAGCGGTCGACGACCAGCCTTTTTCCGTCGTTGAGAACCCGGGTTTTCGCAAGTTAATAGCACACTTGGAGCCACGTTACACTCTCCCAAGCCGCCGCTTCTTCTCGGACGTGTCTCTTCCTGCACTCTATGATATTGTCGCCACATACATTCACAACCTGATCGACAAGAACGGACTACACGTGAGTTTTACCACAGACATATGGACGTCAGATGTTAGTCCGGTCAGCATGCTAATCCTAACGTCTCATAATAGCTCCTTTACAGTTTACAGTTCTGTTGAACAGTTCAGGTGATCAAATGAAGTTCTGCTTTTTGCTCTGTTATTGTTATTTATAGCAAATGACCACATTTGAAGAGCCAAAAACTTTTGTTTGTTGTTCTAGATAGGCCAGAGCAACAAAAACATCAGTTTTCAATCACTGCATCCTGCACAAACTGCAGATTATATGACGATTATAATAAATGTAAAAATATGAGAAGAGGAAATTATCGGTTATCGGTATCGGTTGAAATTTTTCATATCGTGCATCACTAATTACTACAGATAACCACTTTGACAATCACATGCACACTGTCTCTCTCAAGGTCTTCCTGAGCATGCTGTCATTTTGGATGTGAGGAACAGGTGGAACAGCCTGTTCCTGATGGTGGAGCGATTTCTGGAGCAGTTTCCTGCCATCCAGGGAGCCTACACGGACCCTCGGCTAAAAAAAAATCAACGGAGAAGGACAGGTATAGATATGGATGGGCATTGTTATTCTTAACTCATTCTTTCATCAATGTGAACTAATGCGCTGGCCTGTGGTCTAGCTAATAAAAAAATGGAAAGACTTTCTGATAATGACTATAGAAAAGCAGAACAGTTCATCAGAGTAATGAAGATACTCTATACTTCAACCATCTGCATCTCTGCTGAAAGGAGTCCAACTTTGGGCCAGATTCTGCCCATCTTGGGGTAACTCCAGCATCACTTCACAATCACTGATGAGGACTCCTTCTTTACACGGACCATCAAGGACAAGATCTGGGGTGACCTCTCAAAACGATACCAAGTATGTACAGTAGCATGTAGATTTTTAAGTTGTTTTTATTAGGTATACTCAGAGATTTGACTACTATGCTATTTTTTGTCTTGCAGGATGAGAGCATCAGGCAGTTCTTGGAGGAGGGCACAGCCTTAGACCCAAGATTCAAAACGAAAGTGGCCGATGAAGCGTGGATAAGACTGCAAGAGGAGCTGGTTACTAGGATGTCAGAACAGGTGTTTTTGTTATTGATATCTTATTTCTCTTCCATTGTAGATCAGTTGACTCCTATAATCTATTGAATACAGAATAAAGGTGTGACTCAGGCCCAGCATATGGAGCAGGAGCTTGAAGAAACAGCTGGTGACCATGACAATTCTCCTGATGAAGGCTGTACAGCTGCAGTAACAACACTGGTAAAGACATCTCGCCCCCATTTCATTTTCCGAACAAAATTAACTTGTTGTTGGCATCTATTGTCGTTCTTCTTCTTGTTTCCAGAAGAAGCCAAAGCTTTCTGCCCTTTAGGAGCTATTTGCCGATGAGAACATGGCAGCTGAAATATGACAAGAGAAGACTTTGAGCACCACAGAGAAGATTGAGGAAGAGATACAGTGGTAAAGAGGTCTGCTATCTACCCTAATCTCAGTGAATCCAGTAACCTGGTGGTGGAATGCAAGGGACAATATGCCAATGCTATCAGACTTGGCAACCAGGTATGTCTGTGTCCAAGCATCATCCACACCCTCAGAGCGCACTGCTGGGGACACCATCAGCCAGGAGCGGGCCTGTCTGTGTCCTGAGAGAGCAGACATGTTGATTTTTCTAAAGAAAAACTTATAAGTGAAAAATATGTAGCTGTGAATATCAGACTGATTTGTCACTTGTGTGCAAGTGTTTTTTTGCACTGGAAATTGTTCATTTGTATTTTTCTTAAACTGCCAAAGCTGAAAAATAAAACTCAAGATTTGTGCAATACGTAATGTAATTTTCTTTTTGTTAGAATGGATAATAAAAAATTGGTATTGAAAAAAGTATTGAACAGGAACTGGTATTGAAGTGGAGGTATTGGTATTGGTACCGGTATTGAAAATTTTCAAACCAGCCCTACCCGCAGCCAAACTTAATTAACCCCTGGCTTACGTGTTTGTAGTAATGATGAAAAATAATGTCATGTTTATGTTTGATGGTTCTATAGTTTTCCATGTTAAATGCCTTGCCAGAGTGAAATTTGTGTTTAAAATTATTTGTTTTTTGATACCATTTTCTGTTTTGTATTTTATTTTATTACTATTTCATAGTTAGTTTATAGCAAAGTTATAAATAAGGTTAAAATGAACTACTGTCTTAATTGTTTTCTTTGTTAGTACGCACAAACTCTAACATTTTCAGATGGAGGTTATTAAATGGTGGTAAAACAATCTGCAATCTGCAATAATCTGCAACATACACACACACATACATTAATGCTGTCAAAATTATCGTGTTTTTAATGCGTTAATGCAAGCTGAAATTAACGGAAATTAACGATGATTAACACTCAGAGTGACCAAATAAATATTTGTAGTTTTTAATACAACCCCGTCGCTGTAAGAAACCCTGAGAAGAACTACAGTTCCACCTTCAACCGAAAACAAAATAGTAGCTTGCGCACAGGGTCACACGTGTTGTCTTGCCCGCCGGTCAGCTCATAACAAATAACACAGTCGGCTCGCCGGGTTGTTGTGCGAGGTATATTCGGCGGTGAGATGGATCTTCTCTATAAATAGGTTTAGGTTCAAGGACCTGAAATGTCTTAGTAATCCTGAGAGGGCTCAGGTGTGGGTTTCAGTTTGCGCCTTGCTTCAGCAGATGCAGAGGGAGACGTCTGCACAGCGGAACAATCAAGTTACATCTGAGCTGGCTACGAAGAAACCTGCTCTCATGCTTACACAGGATTCCTCATCTGATGAAGAGGAGGACAGCATTGAACCATGTCTGCAGCGCTACCAGGCAGAGCTTCTTCTTGGCATGGATGACTCTCCCCAGGAATAGTGGAGCACTCATGGAGCGTCACACAGTGAGATGGCTCACCTTGCACGCAAGTACTTGGCGACACCTGCGACCTCAGTACCTTCTGAGAGGCTTTTTTCACTGTCTGGACATATTGTTCAGAAAAAGAGAGCTTCCCTCCTATCTGAAAATGTCAATAGGCTTGTCTGTTTGAGTAACTGGCTTTAAGCGAAGTAAAAGACTAGCTTAGGAGTTCATTCTGTTTTTATGTTCATTTTCTATGGAAACAAATGAGATGCTGAGTTGTTTGACAGAAAAGCACTATAGCCTATAGACTGCTAGTACTGTATACAGTACAGGCCAAAAGTTTGGAAGCAAGATCAGATTTGTACAAAAAAAGATCATAGTTTCATATATATAATTTGCAACACAATAAACATGACTATTGTGTAAAGAGTAACTTATCAGAAGACATTTTGATTATAATTATTAGGTATTTGAGATATTGTTGCTTAGACTTTGCTTTCTTTAAAGTAACCTCCTCTGGCTTTAACAACAGCTTGGCATATACCAAGCATTCGTTCCACAAGTTTTTCAAAGTATTCTCCAGAGATTGCATTCCAAGCTTTCTTAAGTTCATTAAAAAGAAACTGCTGATTCGTGGGATGCGTTTTTCTGACCAATCTATCCAATTCATCCCACACAAGCTCAATTGGAGAAAGGTCTGGAGACTGAGGGGGCCAAACCATCTTTTGAAGAACACCTTCCTCTTCTTTTTTGTCTAGGTAACCCTGAAAGAGCTTGGCAGAGTGCTTAGGGTTGTTGTCTTGCTGCAAAACAAACTTATGAGCCACAAGTCTGAGTGCAGATGGAGCAGCATGGTGCTGGAAGATGGAGTGGTACTGGAGGATGGAGTGGTACTGTTCCTTCTTCATGATACTCTTTACTTCAAACAAATCTCCTACTCCATCACCTGCAAAACATCCCCATACCATGGAACTACCACCTCCATGCTGATTTGTGGGTGTAACACATGGTGCTTTCAGACATTTACCAGTTTGTCTGAGGACACAGACTCTGCGTTTTGAACCAAACAGTGCAAACTTGTTTCTAGTCATCATAAGTCCAATTTTGTGAGCTTTTGCCCACTCATATCCTTTTTTCTTGTTCTGTGGACAAAGTAGTGTTTTTTTTCAGATACACAACCCTTCAGACCAGCCTTTCTCAAACATCATTTCACGGTTGTCAGAGATATGGGTTTCGACCATAGACTGTATAAAGAATGGACAGAGTCTGCCTCCTCGCTGGGTGAAGCCACTCCGAGAACAGCACCCTCTGATGGTGGGCTGCAGTACAGGTCATAAATCCCGCCTCCGCCAGCAAAGCTTATGGGACTGTGGACAAACTTTAGAAATTTATTACACAGAACATACATTTTTCTCCCCCCTGCTTGTGATGTTGACATGTAGTTATTGTAAGACTGGTTTGTGCCCAAGTCCTTTTTTTTCTGTACAGCTCCGTTTTTAAAAGTTATTAGGGGGTTCATGTTTTCTATGATTGACACCTGGTACAGCCTATGGGTGTTCAGGGATTACGTAGCTCACCCGGGGGGGATACGCTGTTTGAGCCGTCATCACAGGGACCTTCAGCAACTGCGCGGCCGAATGCGCGCAGCGCTACTGCGCAGCTCTGGTTTCAAGGAAGTGGAGAAAAACCTGGAATTACCGAGAGCTTTTTGGCTTCAAATCCGTATACAGGCGGTAGGCGGAACCAGGTTGTCCATAGTATATACAGTCTATGGTTTCGACATTGTCGTGTTGATTTCCTCCCTTATTTGTGGTGCTGTCTTTCGCCAATCTCTCTTACTGGTGACAATGCTATGTTTATCCTCTGCTTTTGTAGTAACTCTCTTTCGTCCAGGTCTTTTTCTATCATCATAACTTCCAGTTTCCTCTCGTCTCTTCAGAGTGTAGTGCACTCTGTTGTTAAACACCTTTAGACGTTTTGCAATTTCTCTTTCTATGTATCCTTCTATCCTCAATGTACAAATCTGTACTTTTGTTTCTTTACTCAGTGACTTCTTTCAAGCCATTTTTGGGGTAGTTTGAACGCAGTTGAGATTTATTAGGATTTTTGTATGCAGACTCTCAAAAGCCAAAAAGTTGAAATAAATAATCCAACTGTGATTTGTTTTTTTGCTTTTCCACTGAAGTTGTGACTCTTGCAAATGTTTTCAACCCTGAAACTAAGCCCTTACTATCTTTTGCTGACATATATTTAGCAATGGTCTGTTAACATCAATCTATATCTAAAAGTAAATGGAGTAAAATGGTGCATTTCCATGAAAGCAACATCTGATCATGGAGTAAATACATCCCAAAATACATACAACTCATGCTGGATTTTTTAAAAAGCATTGTGAACAAAAACTTGAAGTTCGCACCAGCATGCAGCTGCCGTTTTACCACCATTAAATAACCTTATCTAAACACACACACACACACACACACACACATATATATATACATATATATACATATACATATATACACATATATACACATAGATATATACATATACATATATATACACATATATACACATAGATATATACATATACATATATATACACATATATACACATAGATATATACATATACATATATACACATATATACACATACATATATACATATACACATATATACATATATACACATATATATATACATATATACACATATATATATATACATATATACACATATATATATACATATATACACATATATATACATATATATACTAAGGGTGTGGAAAATAATCGATATCAATCGATGCGCATGTGCGCGATGCGACTGCGTCGGCTCATTCACTGGGTATCGATGCAATTGACGGGTTAAATCTAGATTCATCTAGATGCGTTTGTGGGTATCGGTAAAATCCGATGCAAGCGCCGTTTTATTCATGTTAAACTTCACCCAATCTGCTGTTTCCCAGGCGCATTGAATGCACCATCATTTTTTCACGTTTTGTATTGAATACGGACGGAAGCCGTGAGGGACATACAATGCACTACTACTAAAACAGCATGGACCACATTCAAGTGAGCAGCAGCGAGGAAGAGTTTATATGTAATGCATCGGCTACGTTTAAATCATATGTTTGGAAACACTACGGATTTGCAAGAAAGACGGAAAGCTCGACAAAACGTCCGTCATTTGCAAAGAATGTCGCGTTAAGAAGCCGTACAACGGCAGCACGACAAACATGCAGACCCACTTAAAAAGAGTACACCACATCACCGACAAGTCTAACGCCACCTCCCCTCCCTTAACATTGATTGCACTGATGAAAGTGTCACTTTAGGTTACTCATTGAGAGTGTTTTGTTGTTGCTGTTTACTGTACTTTTTACAGAAGTAATTATTGTGTAATTGTTTTACTCTTTTATTATTGCAGAACTTACTCAAATCACTGATTTTGTGGCCAGTTAGAAAGTCAACTCTAGCACATTGGTTTGGCAGACAGTAGTATGGCCATTGAATGGTTTATTTGCACCATGTTAGGCAGTGCATTAGTTGTTTAATAATGTGTACTGTAATATTACCCAACAAGTATAGAGCACTTGTGTGATGTAGGGTTGGGGTCGGAATCCTTTTTTTTTTTTTTTTTTTTTGATTTTATTGATTCAGATTCCTTAACAGTTGCAGGAGGTCTGTCTAATCTGTGTAACTGTACAAAATGAAGGAGCATAGAAAAAAGACAAAAAGCACTTTTGTTGAATTAACTGCTAAGTGCCTTTAAGGAATAAAGCCAAATCCTTTTTGTAGTACCATACTGAATTCCATCTTTTATTTTTATTTCTTTTTTTTTCTTTGCTTATTTGCATCATGTTGAATTGCATCATATTGCAACAAATTGCATCATATCGTATCGGTTCGCATTGATTTGAACTAAATGATTATTGTATCGTATCGCATCGTGAAGAGGGTGAATCATATCGCATCGTATCGCCAGAAAATTCCATGTATCGTTAAAGTATCGTATCGCTGGCAGTGCATCGAGATGCGTATCGAATCGTCCTCAGTGCTGAGATTCACATCCCTAATATATACACATATACATATACATATACACTCACCGGCCACTTTATTAGGTACACCTGTCCAACTGTTCGTTAACACTAAATTTCTAATCAGCCAATCACATGGCGGCAACTTAGTGCATTCAGGCATGTAGACATGGTCAAGACAATCTCCTGCAGTTCAAACCGAGCAACAGTATGGGGAAGAAAGGTGATTTGAGTGACTTTGAACGTGGCATGGTTGTTGGTGCCAGAAGGACTGGTCTGAGTATTTCAGAAACTGCTGATCTACTGGGATTTTCACGCACAACCATCTCTAGGGTTTACAGAGAATGGTCCGAAAAAGAAAAAATATCCAGTGAGCGGCAGTTCTGTGGGCGGAAATGCCTTGTTGATGCCAGAGGTCAGAGGAGAATGGCCAGACTGGTTCGAGCTGATAGAAAGGCAACAGTGACTCAAATAACCACCCGTTACAACCAAGGTAGGCAGAAGAGCATCTCTGAACGCACAGTACGTCGAACTTTGAGGCAGATGGGCTACAGCAGCAGAAGACCACGCCGGGTGCCACTCCTTTCAGCTAAGAACAGGAAACTGAGGCTACAATTTGCACAAGCTCATCGAAATTGGACAATAGAAGATTGGAAAAACGTTGCCTGGTCTGATGAGTCTCGATTTCTGCTGCGACATTCGGATGGTAGGGTCAGAATTTGGCGTCAACAACATGAAAGCATGGATCCATCCTGCCTTGTATCAACGGTTCAGGCTGGTGGTGGTGGTGTCATGGTGTGGGGAATATTTTCTTGGCACTCTTTGGGCCCCTTGGTACCAATTGAGCATTGTTGCAACGCCACAGCCTACCTGAGTATTGTTGCTGACCATGTCCATCCCTTTATGACCACAATGTACCCAACTTCTGATGGCTACTTTCAGCAGGATAATGCGCCATGTCATAAAGCTGGAATCATCTCAGACTGGTTTCTTGAACATGACAATGAGTTCACTGTACTCAAATGGCCTCCACAGTCACCAGATCTCAATCCAATAGAGCATCTTTGGGATGTGGTGGAACGGGAGATTCGCATCATGGATGTGCAGCCGACAAATCTGCGGCAACTGTGTGATGCCATCATGTCAATATGGACCAAGCTCTCTGAGGATTGCTTCCAGCACCTTGTTGAATCTATGCCACGAAGAATTGAGGCAGTTCTGAAGGCAAAAGGGGGTCCAACCCGTTACTAGCATGGTGTACCTAATAAAGTGGCCGGTGAGTGTATACACATACATATATATATATATACATATATATATAAATTCACATTTATACACACACATACATATATGTATATATATATATATATACATATATACACACATACATATATATGGGTCAATGACGTGACGCCTCAATATTCTGTCCGGCTGTATTTTCTTTATGTTACAAAGAGTTTTAAATGTAAAAAATATACTATCTATGTGTAGTATCTCTCTAATATATGGAGCCACTTCAACTTTTCAAAAATCAGGAGTTTTTTGTAATTTTTCTGAACTTCAAAGGGTCAAAATATCATGTGGTGCGACCGTCCGGCCATGACTTCTGTTTTAAAAACTTCTTTGAAATTACTCTAAATCTTTTACAATTTAGTTTCTGCAATATTCGGCATAATTTTGAAAGTGTTTTTTATTCCTGTACAAAATTGCAGAGCTCTTGCAGTTATATTTTTTTCATAATATATAAACGAATTTTGTCCGATTGTGTCTATTTCATTAAATATCATGTTGTGCGACCATCAAAAAATGACAATTTTTTACACTTTTATGCTGAAATCTACTCAAGGACAGGATGTTGGATCATTCACCATTTTGTCATAGAGCTATGGAAGCAGAAAGAGGGTTGGTGGTTCTCTCATTTCTTTAAAAAAAAAAAAAAAAAAAAGACCTTTTCAACTGCTGTAGTGGTGTTGCCACTTTTGGATATCATGTGGTATGACCTAAAAAAAAACAATTAATTTAAGTTTTTTCCACAAACGTGTTTTGATTATAAATTTCATAGTGACCTTTTGTGGGAAGCTAGTGAGCTTTGTTTATGTGAGTAACCCTGTATCAGTAAGATTTGACTGAATTTGAAAATGTCATGCGGTGCGACCAATTATCATGTGGTGCGACCACTGCAGATTGTTTTCCATCATAAATATATGCCCTAGATTGGCAGTATTTACGCTATTTATATTCAATTGATGATTGATAAACACTAAGTACTTAATTTTTAGTATTATTTTGATTTTTTTTTTTGTTATTTGATGAGTCATTTTGCTAATATATCTGAAATAATGGTTAGGTCATCTCTGTACAAAATAAGAAAAAAAAATATTAAAAGCATGCCATTTCACTTAAGGTATTTATGCCGTTGTTAGCAATTTATTAACTTTCATGTATCAATTTAAGTCATTTTAATTTATTTTACCAGATGCCACTGCTGAGCAAAGTTCAAAGCGCTCGCTATAGGAAGCGTGTCAACTCTAACCCTGCAGCATGTTGTTCATGCCAGGGCTGGTCAAAGATTGGGCCAAGATTGTTGACATCGTTGCACAGATGGTGAGAGGAGCGCTTCTCCGAGAGCGTTATATTCATGATCGTTCAAATCCGTTTGATTTACCTGATGCCGTTCTCTATGAACGTTAGAAGTTTTCCTCGGACGGCCTCAATAGTCAGGTAACATGAAGTCGAAGCAATACACTAATATTTACCAAGCTCCAAGTTCAAGTTTCATGCAGCATATCAGTCATCATTCAGAATTTATTGAAGCAGATTTGAAAACTCCTCTTAACCCCAAATGTGTCTGCAGATGACATGTGACTATCAGATGATGGAGAAAAAAGAAAAAAAGGCGGTGTGAGGAAATCACTGTTTACGCGTTGAAATATGTACAAATAAAATCTTCCAGTAAACCAGCTAACCACTTTGACAGATTTTTTTAGATTTAGTTTTATTTGCTCCCACTTACTCTTTTCCCCACTGCTGTTGTATCTGAAATAATGAGGTCAATGATGGAGGTAATCACACACGCTGCATGACAACATATAAGGGGGCCATAAATTTATGAACACACAAATGTAATTTACACAATCGCTGATTTTTTTTGCCAGCAGTCCCTCCGGCTTTTAGCTGCTGCAGCTGTCCTGCTCCTCACTGATATAATGTTGCGGTACTTTTCGTATTAGCGTAAAATAATGCTCTGTTCCTCGGCTGTGAAATATGACATGCAGCCTTCTCCTTTGTGGAGATTGGTCCGGTGGCACTGACCCCACCCCTTTTACGCGTGCGTGCACAGATCTAGACTGACCACAACTGAATTTAGTTAGCGAGTTGATATCCTGCCTCGTAGTACAGCTGATCGGGATTACGGAGATCTGGTGAAGTTGAGCGAGTTGTGGCAGAGTTAACCTGGGTGTATTAATCCAGCTTCAAAGTGCAGGCCTCTGGACCACATACACAAACACACACAGAGTTAAATTTTTGTCAAAAAGGGAAATAAAATGTTCATGTTCATGTTTGAAATGTTAATAAAATTTGGTTTGAATATAAAATTTGCTTGAAATTAATTGTTCATAGGTCTCTTTAAATTGATTTTTAATGATACAAGGTCTTCAGGTCATTTGGCGCGACCACCAATCATGTGGTGCAACCAATAATAACATTAATTGTATCAAATACAAACTAAAATATCTCATTTCTGTAACTGAGACATTAATACCTGATACAATATGCTTACATGAAAGGTAGTTTCAAAACATTTTTATCAGTATTATGCAATTTAAAGAAAAAAAAAGTCAGTGAACTACATTTGATATAGCGACTGTGACATTATAGAGCTTATATATGAGATCATTATTTACAAAAACTCAAATAAAATGCAAACACTTTGTTCCTATGTGCTTGATATTACCGAAAATTTGTGAAAAACTATGGAGTATGTTGACAAAATGTAATAATTTTGAGATAAATGATGGTCACACCACATGACATTTTTTAAGGCCACAGGCAATTCATCTATATGAAAAAACACTAAAATTGCCTAATTTAAAAATTAAACTTTAATTTTTGTATACATAACATCCTTAGTGTTTGAACTGTTGCAAAAGACAGGGTTTTTCCTGCGTTCAAAATTGCGTGGCGGCCGCCTCCACCTAATTTTGTGCCGCCCCCAGCCAGAGCGATTGATTTCGCTCAACACAGCGTAAAGCTCCAGCTGTGTTGATTGAGCGATTGATGTCCCTCTGCAGCAGCAACGTATTTTAACTGCAGTTGCAGCGTTGCGCCACTATAGAGGCGCTATATCAACAGCAGTGCACCGGAAAGACCTGAAGCATCTACCGAAGAAGAAACGGATCGAATCATGTTTTTTCAAGTTTTTTTCCCGCTAGTTGGTGCTATCGGCGTCCTGATTTTCCCTGGCGGATGGTACAAACAGGTAAATACTGCTTCTCTTTTTTTGCATCCAAGCATGTCGTGTTTATTTAAAAAAAAAAGTTTTCTCCGTTTTTAGCGTTGCAGTTATGACAGGCAAAATCAGACAGTACTTTAAAAAGCGACCTTGCGAGGAGGAAAGTCAAGAGTCCAGGTGAAACACAGCAGAGAAAAAACGTAACAGGCAGTTAAAATGCTATAATTCATGTTGGTGACAACGTGGAAATTTGTGTCAGGTCTGAAAGTACTTCACAAGGGACTGGTGATCGCGAGGGTCAGAATGCAGGACAGGACGAGTCGGCGAGGCGAGGGTAATTAATTAATTAGTTTCCAATTAGGAGCATAACAACGCAAAGCCGACGTGTACGTGGTTTTTATTCCTCTTTCCAGATCTTCTCAAAAACACAGAGCCAGTGGCTTTGACAAGCAGTGGCTCAATCAATTTACCTGGCTCAGGCATACTGAGGAAGGCATGCACTGCTATTTATGCCAAAAGCACTGTGCCCCAACACAGCAGGCAATTGCTGCCTCCTTAGTGAGACAGCCATCAACCAACTATAGGCTGGACACATTAAAGAGACATGAGGTGACAGCCATTCACAAAGCAGCAGAAGAGAAGGAGAAGTATATTAAAGATGGTAGTACCTAAAAACACTCAACTAATAAAGTTACAAAAACTAAAATAACATAGTTTAGATAGTTTAAGAAATAATTGGTTGTCGTTTTTTTTTAGGGAGGACACTGCAACGTATACATATATATGATTGAAAACACTATCACTCTTCATGTCTGTATCAGAATAAAAACAAAAATACTTAATACATGATGAATTGTTTTGTTTAAGGTGAAGACACCTCTGCGGAACAGACTGAAGGAGAGGCACTTGGATGTCTGTTGTAAGGTGGCCGTTGATGGACCAGACCAGGAGGCCTTGGACTACAAGGAGTGCATGAGGAGGTTCTACAGAATGAAAAAGAGGAGGCTGAAATGTTCTGTCTGGTTGCGAGATGTGTGGATGAAGTGTACTTTCAATTTAAAGTTGCCAGCTGATTTGTGTATGTATATAGTTTTAATAAATGAATGCTTTAACATGATAATGGTCACACTCTTTTTTGAACTCTTAACTTAAAGTATGTTGCCTGTAAAAGTAAGTGAATCGGTTGAATTTACAAATACATGCACGTCGTGGCGCATGGTCAGGATGGTGCCACCTCTGCCTCAATTTGAGCCAGGAAAAACCCTGGCAAAAGATATTCTTATTTTTGGTATTTTAAAATTGGCATGTTGAAAAACCTTATACGTCTATACATATATACATGTACATATATATACATATATACATACATATACACATATATATACATATACACACATATATATACATGTACACACACACACACACACACATACATATATATATATATATATATATATATACAGACACACATATATACATATATACACATATACTGTATGTATACACGTATATATATATATACATATATACATACATATACATATATATTTATATACATATACACACATATACATATATACACACACACATATACATATGTACACACACATATATACACACACACAAATATACATATATACACACACACAAATATACATATATACACACACACATATATACATATTAGTGCTGCAACTAACGATTATTTTTTTGTCGACTAATCTATCGACTAGTCGTCCGATTAATCACGATTAATCATTATCTTCTTTATTTAAAAACACCTATTTCCGGGGTGTCGGCATTTCAGGTGTTCAAGCATCGCCGTGGTGCTGCCATGGTAGGAAAGCTGAGCTTTGATCACCATGTTTTTTTGGTTTGTTCTCCGTAAAACTTTCCCGAAGTTTTGGGTCAGAATTTTGGAGCGTCTTTTTCAGTTTGTTCTGCCATAATGTGTGCACTCTTCTTCTGTGTTTGCTCGCGGGATGTAAACAGCGAGCGCTACTGCCCCCAGCACATCCTGTAGTGCACTGCAGTTATAGATGAGCATGAGGCGCCGGCATGTGATTCTTAACAATAACACGACACGTCGACGCTTAATTTTCGTGTCGATGAATTTGTCGTGTCGACGTAATCGATTACGTCGACTAATCGTTGCAGCCCTAATACATATATACACACACACACATACATATATATGCACACACACATATACACACACACACACACAAATATATATACACACACACATACACACACACACACACACACATACACACACACACATATAAACACAGTCATGTTTATTGTGTTGCAAATATGAAACTATGATTTTTTTTTGTACAAATCTGATCTTGCTTTAAAACTTTTGGCCTGTAGTGTATATATGTATGTATATACATATGTTTTTAAACTGTGATTTAACCAGTTTGGTCCCATTGAGATTAAAAATGCTAATGCAAAAATTGAAAATATACGATCTGATTAACTGATTGAAAAAAAAAAAAAAAATCGCCGTCATGTCGATTATTAGAATAATCGTTTGTGGCAGCCCTAGTGTGTTGTAGCAATGCAGTGACTATCACCATGCAGAAGCATTTTGACATTTTACAAGAGGAGTGATACCAAACCAGTGAACTTCTGTAGAAGTCAGAAAAATTAAAAAACAAAGAAAGTAAGATGAAGTGTGTTGTGGGACCATTTTGAGGGAAAAACTAATGCAAACATTGCGATGCAGTGAACAAGTTCAACATGACAATGACCCCAATGATGTACCACTTGAACCTTATTTTCTGCCATTCACATAAAAAAAAGGGCAAATCACTGATTGATTATTAATTTTTATGATTAATTGATCGATGGACTTCCTTAAAATGCCCATTCCTAGTCACCACATTAGAACAGCAGTTGCCTGCAGTTTGTCAATTGTTTAGCAGCTGTGACATTAAGATTGTAACTTTTTATGTGATGATGAATATGTTTTTTTTAAACCAGGTCTAACATCATCCTGATAATCCTTATTGTGCCGCTGAAACCATCAGCTCAGGACTGACCAGAATAACCAGAAAGTCCAGTCACAACGTTTTCCACTTGAGGCTCTGAGAGATCAACCAATCATAGCCAAAGTGAGGAGAAACCATCAGCCATGAAACTGTTACTGGAAGAGAGGAATGTCACTGCCCTCTGCTGGGCTTGGAGAGTATTACAGCAGCTTCAGGTTCTCAGCAAATCTCCTGAACTCAAACATTATGTCCATTTTATGAGCAATTAAAGTTGTAACCAATTACTTTTTCATTGATACATCCAACAGTCATTTCTGACTGTGACGATGAACAGAACCTGACCAGTATTTTTAAAAAGGTCCAACAAGGTATCCTACAAGAGATTACAATCAAACACTTACCAAGCAAAAAAAATACTGAATAATTCACTTAGGGGACTATTAAATGATGTAGTTGGTGACTAATTGGTTAAGCAGCGGTGCCTGCAGCTAACTGATTCATACTTTAGTTTACAAGCTGCCATAAAAACAAAGTGGTATTAATTTAGATGTGCCCGGTATCTGACTATCTAGATTATTAAGTAACTGACTAATTATCTTATTACTTTGTTTACTTGCTAGTGTGCCCTTGCAGAATTGCAATGGAGAATTTCTTCAAATGAAGTGTCATCTGTTGCTCTGACTGTTAGCTTACCAATCAAACGCTGGTCTGCTGGAAGAGGGCAGCAAGAAGAGAAACTGTTTTAAGTAAATGATACAACCCACATCCCCAAAAAGTGAGTGAGCTGTAAAATGATTAAAAATATATTCTGACTTCAGTTTAGGCCTAAATTTAACTGAAACTAGTATAAAAGCAAAATGTTGACTGTTGAAATTAATTTGATTGTTTACTGGGAAATGTATCACAGTAAAAAAAACAAAAAGGTTAATGTTAACAGCTGTGAGGTAGTGGAAATCACTGCATTGGCTCAAAAATCATTGTCTGTGAACACACAGATAGTTCATCACTGCATCCACAAATGAGGTTAAAACTTCATATTTCAGCAAGACAATAACAAACCACAGTCTGACTACAGGGATTACAACAGCATGGCTCTGTAGGAGAAGAGTCCAGCTGAGAAACTGGTCTGCCTGCGGTCCTGGGTACACTAATGTCTACAAAGAGTTGGTGACAGAAGAGCTGAGGACACACAATGAGAAATATGAGCCTGGAACTACATTTTATGAGAAATGTTTTGGAATTCAGATTTAAAATGAGGACATTCTTTGTTAAAAATGTTTCTGCTTCAACATTTGATTACATTTTACAGATCGGGTAGCGATCTGTCCCGGAACTGGCACAGTCCATAAGCTAAGTTAGCGTATCTGCCAGCCAGGGTTATCATTGTTAATTAAAACTAACAAAATGACGAAAACTACAATTAAACAAACCTTTATGTTAACTGAAATAAATAAAAACTACAGTCAAAAGAAAAAACTGTATTGTGCGTTTACAAAACTGACTAAAACGTATCAAAATTATAGATAAAAATCCCTTCGTTTTCATTTTTGTCAATTACGAATTGATATGAAAAAAAAGTTTTATTTTGCTTGAGCAATTTTACGTGAGCTAGCAGCACTGTACGGTTCCCCTCAGTTCATCACTTCTTGTTTACAGTCGGCTTGTCATCACCATTCTACCTGGCAAAATGGCGACAAAACTCTGGAGAAAGTGACAGAGTCCTATATGAAATTTCTTTAAATACGACAGCAACAAAGATAAAAGCAAGTGACTTGTAGTGGAAATTGGTGATAAAGAATGTGAAATACTTCTTAAGGGGTAAAACCTCAAAAATCTGAGAGTCCATTTGAGAAGCTCACGCCTCAACAAAGTGGCCCCTCTGAGTAGCTCCCCTGAAAAAGAAGCAACATCTTGGCCAGGAGTTCGCAGCAGGAAGCAGGAGACGACTGCAATGGACTGCTTTCACCGACGACCAAAGAGCTGCTTGTTAGTAAACACGAAGAAACACCACAAGTGGGAAGATGCACTCATAAATATGTTTATCAAGACTGATATATCTACAAGACTGTGTGAGCTGATTGCCTTTGAAAAGTTCAGCTTTTCATTCGAGCCAAAATTCAAATCAGCCAGTGCTGCACGTGTAAATAAACTTATTACAAAGTATGAAAACCTTAAACTTATAAAAACTAAACTAAAATTAATCATTTAGAAATATATAAAAATTAGTAAAAACTGACAAACACGCTCTCAAAAACTAATTAAGACTAAATTAATTAGAGAGAAAAAAAGTCCAAACAAAATAAAACTAAACTATAATGAAAAATCCAAAACTATTATAACCTTGCTGCCTGCATGACTGAAGTTACTAATGAGTGAACACACAATAGCAGACTCTGGACTTTTGAGGGGCTCTGATTTAACTGCTGGACGAGGAGGTGGATTGGTTTCTAAAAGGTGAATATTTCCAAGAGGACTAATCAAAGTCATATTATATTATCTTATACTGTATTATATGAAATTATATTACATTATATTATATATTATATTATTTTTTATTATTATTAAAGACTAATAAGGAAATAATTGAGTTGGACCAAGCCAAGACCTTGACAAAGATATTTCTGCTTTTTGTTCTGCTGCTCTGTGTTGAACATAGATAGTTTAAAACAAACAAACAAACATCCAGCAACTACTGGTGCAACAGAACCAATCACAAAATACCTTGACTCTCCTCCACACTGAGAGGTTTCAGTGCAGTATGGTGGGATCATAGACTGTATAAAGAATGGACAGAGTCCGCCTCCTTGCTGGGTGAAGCCACTCCGCGAACAGCACCCTCTGTTGACGGGCTGCAGTATAGGTCATAAATCCCGCCTCCGCCAGCAAAGCTTATGGGGCTGTGGACAAACTTTAGAAATTTACTACACAGAACATAAATTTTCTCCCCCGGCTTGTGATGTTGACATGTAGTTACAGTAAGACTGGTTTGTGCTCAAGTCCTCGTTTTTCTGTGCAGCTCCGTTTTTAAAAGTTATTAGGGGGTTATATTGTCTATGATTGACACCTGATACAGCCTATGGGCATTCAGGGATTGCATAGCTCTCCCAGGGGGATACGCTGTTTGAGCCGAGCGTCATCACAGCGACTCTCGGCGACTGCGCACCTGAATGCGCGCATCGCTACTGCGCAGCGCTGGTTTCAGGAAATGAAGAAAAATCCTGGAAATACTGAGAGCTTTTTGGCTTCAAATCCGTATACAGGCGGTAGGCAGAACCAAGTTGTCCATAGTATATACAGTCTATGGGTGGGATTCAAGGGCTTAAAGACATTAGGCTTTACCATTTAATGGGTTTGACCATTCCTGTCCTGTCCAAGTCCTGTATGAGTGCTCTCTGTTTCAGAGTTACAGCACATGGTTCACCTGAATACACCCACTTCAAAGATTTCAGGAGTAGGGGTGCAGAGAGCTAATATTTTACTGATCTATTATTCTATTGATTATTGTAGTGATTCATCGAGTGATCCAATGAGATTGTTTCTGTCATCACTGCTGTAACAATGCTAATGTCCTTGTGATAAAAATAGCTGGTCTTATAACAAGACCAAAAAAAATTTACTTTAAGATTATTAGACTGGCTAGCAAACATTGACCTGTACTATATTATTAACCTCCAATTACACACAGTAATGTAATATCTCCATGTCACCCAAGTGATAGTCGTTCACAGAGACGGTGAATGCTAATAATTTGTATGTGCAGATACCCTGGCCACCTCAGTTGTGCCACCCCAGTTTATGAGTCTCCACACTGAGACAGAGAGGACTCTGCTGCTCGGGCTGCTTTGTAGATGGAAATAAATGTGGAAATAACAATAAAAAATAAGGTTATAATGACTCACAGGATATTTACAGTATGGTATGTGCATTTTAACAAATAAAACCTACACTGTAATGTTCAGACAGCTCCTCAGCTCTATAGAAATAGAAAGTCATGAAATGATAATAGAAATGATTATAGGAAAAGTGGTCTCTTTTCCCTCTCCATCCCAGGGCAGCCAGTCAGCACTGACGTCTCTCAGTGCACAATCCTAGAAATAAACAGATTACTCTAGAAATGTAAATTCAATTTGTTTGTGATGATTATGGTTTGTTTTTGCTGGGGAAAAAGGTTACATTTAAGGCTATTCAGAGCTTATGTTATTGCTTACTGTCCAATAGTTATTCTACTCAGTACAGGCTGTGAAACACTAAAGCTGTATAGTCTAAATGTAAACAAAGGCTGGAGATGAATCATTTGTCCCAAGGCCCCTAAATTGAATAACTGTTTATTCGAAGATAATTTCAGCTTTATTATAGACGCTCAAGATAAACAAGAACATTTATGTCCAAAAACTATCTGCTTAGTATTCATTGTTGCTGAAACAAATACTTAATGCATACACAGTTTTTTAGAACACCAAGCCTCTCTTACACTAAAGTCACATCTTCCTCTTGTTCTACTTGTAGATTTATGATTCTGTGTTGCTAAACTTTTTTCAGGCAGAGATGCTCAGAAATACAGTCCCCCCTCTAAGCTTAGCTGAATTACTGACGAGGCTGCTGGCCTTTTCACTGGTGCAAATCTTGCTTTTCAAAAACTTATAGTGGAGATGCTTCAGATGCAGTTACACTGAGTTTCAGATGTTTTGCAAGCTTCTTTAACAACATGCGTTGTCACTTCATAATACTTCCCCACATATTGAGAATTGTTGTTGGGGTTTGTAAGCCTTTATGAACAATAACATGTGTAATATAAGCTGAGATGTTAACACCTGCTGATACCAATTATAAACATTTCAGGATATCAGTGGCTGATACTCAACAACAACGTGCATCTCTATACATGTGATGCATAAATAAAATAAGTTAGGAATCCTGTCTTGTAATTGTGGTTTTATTATTTATGAAAAACGTTTGCCAGTAAGATTTTGACACAATCAGACCACTCTAACTGCTCAGGGTGGATCAATGTCAACTGTGTGGACATAACAGATTTAGGTACAGTGTCCTGGGATGACTTTTGGCTTGTGGATATAGATATTTAACCTCTCGTCTGTCTCTGTTCCTGTCGAAAAAAAATGAATCAATCTGAAGCTTTCATACTTCCATCAAGAGCTGCAGACATCCTGGAAAAACCGATGAACACATTTTTAGATTCATCAAACCCCAGCTCAAAAACAAATCAACACCAGCGCAGAAAACCTGCCGACAACCATAGAAATCACACCCAATCAATAAACAATACTGCAGATCGATATCCAGTCACATACAAGGGAGCTGTGAGGATGAATATGAATCTGCAGACACATGATGCAGCCATGCGGGCAGTCTGCAGCCGCAGCACCGCCACCACCTCCACCTGCTGCGGCCTCCAGTTCCGCTGCATCCTACCCGTCAGCGGGACGACTGGCGCACCACCAACACCGTACATACAAAGGTTATTTTGCTACCAAACACCTATGTGACACCCGCCACATGGGTCCATTACTGCCGTTAGCACCATGCTAATACTTAGCATGTCTGCTCGGGGACCGCGGTGTTTCCCAGCCGCTGTAACCGCTCCACCTCTCGCTCCTGCCCCATCAGCTAGGCAAGCACCGAGCAGGACGAGCTCCGGGGCCTGGTCGCCAGCACCGCGGCTCAGAGCGGCCAGCGGCGTGGAACACGGCGACAGTCCAGCCGGGGTTTGTATTTGAGACACACCACATAACAGCCGTGCGAAGCGGAGACTCACCCTCTGCCGCCGCCGAAGCTGCCGTAGGCCCGGTCCCGGTCTTCATAGTCGTATTCCGCCATTACTGCTGCTGTGTGTCGGAAGAGGAGGTCCTACACGTCACACACTGACCGAGTTTAGCTGTCTTCAGACCGCCTGATCGCGAATACTCCGATTTTTAAAAATAACACTGATTTTACTTGAAAAACTAAGTGTGAAGGTATATAAATGTAACATCTAATCAATTAATTCAAGAACGAACACGTGTTAAACATCAGAGAAAGAGACCAAATACAGAAAATCAGCATGTAGCCTACCTATCAGAGCAATGGATTAAACAATCTTTTAATTAATCTTTTAAATGTTTTAATCTACTGCTCTGCTACCTATGTTTTTGAAAAAAAAAAAATTACAGGATAAAATGATTGGGATTCAGGATATAAATACATTCTTATCGTTATTGAACAGGGTGGGGGGAAAAAACTATTTTTAATCTCTGTTTAAAAAATTCAAAATACGTTTACATTGGGAAACCAAACTGAGAGCTCAAAACCATAAAAGCAAAATAAATAAAAAAATTTAAATGGTCCATTGATTATCATTCAAACAAAGCAATGTAAAATCCTCAGAGTAAATCACCAACTATCTAGCCCATCCTAAAGGGGATTTGTTTCCAAGGAAACCTCAATTTTGGGGCAGTTATGGTGCTAATCAGCATTTTTCAAATATTTATTCTGACAAAAGCTCACATTTATTGAGCATTTGCAAACTTACATAAAAAAAAATGTGACAACAAAGTATAAAATCACACCCTTCTAAGACTGATTTTATGAAATTGTTTTTAAGTTGGAGTTCAAATCAAATCAAAGTCGGAGTCGGAGAACAGTTAAAATTCAAATCTCTCTCGTTATTCCTCTCAGTATATCAGAAATGGACATAGAGTGATCTGACTGAATCAAAACACTGACCCAGAATAAATAAATAAATAAATGAATGATTAATAGATGTTTTCTGCAGCAGACAAGCCAAGAAAATATCAGTTACAGTCCACGATAGTTTATTCTCCTGATAACAGTCTAAAAACAGAGCAGAACTTTAGTTCTGTAATTTCTATTCCACAATTGTTAAAAAAGGGCTCTAAAATTAGGAAGATGAAGCCAGTGAACATATACATCTGAGACCTGAAAGACATTTATTTACAAAAAAATGACAAACCTTTTCCAGAAAATAATTGCCCATCAGAAATGAAATATTTTCTACATTTCTGCTATAATAAACATACTTCTACAAATCTATCAAAAATATAAAAATATGAACAACATTATATTCTTCTCTTTTAGCTCTATGTGGTTTGCCACACGGAAAATGCTGTTATAAAGTTATAGTCAATCAAAAGTTCAAACTTTGTCCATCAGTGACTCATGGTTCATCATTCATTCAAATGATTAATCAAACTGAGCTCCACTTTCCTGAACAAAACCTTAATCAGTGATGATACACTCTCTCAACATAAACATTCAAATATGTTAATTTTTAGCCAACAAAAACCTTACACTTATGACTAAATATCAATGTGATACCAAATGGGAGTAAAAAAAAAAGTCGCTTTAACGGCCTCACTTCATGGTCATCACAGGTCCTGTTGTCAATACTGCATTTACACCAAGCATAAATAAAAGGTTTCACATAAGTGAAGTGCAATGTAAAGTCAATGTAAAGATGTGATGTGATAAGGTGAAAGTTCTTATCAGACGACATAAATGACGCAAATGTGGCAGAGCAAATCCTATGAATTCAGTGGATTATACCCGTAAATGACCTTGTTTCATGACCTGTTTAATGCGCTACTCACTTCATTCCCTTGAAGAGTTGAAAAATCTGAACTAATGTACTGCGATAGCCAATCAGCATGGAGATAACCTGGGGACAAATATCAACAATGGGTGAGTGGAGGGTCATTGTATGAAAAATGGAGGAAAGATTGATGATGACAGTGTGAGGCTTTTTGTCTCTATGAAAAAGTTACTGTTTCACATTATGCCAGCCTGACAGCAAAAATGTCTTCAGGGTTCTGTTTTTAGGATCTACAACAGATGAGATTAACTTCCACACACTCTACAGTATTTTTATGGACCTCCACAAGGACATCCTTACAAAAGCTCCTCCTGTTTTTCTTCAAGAAGTGAAGGCCCAAAGAATACCAGAGCTCTGTGACTTGTGGGAAATCTACAATGGCAGCTCCAAGATTTCAATGAGGCCTTGACTTTAAGTTCGTGACTTGCTGGACTTTGACATGACTTGCAGGAGCTCCTCACCAACAGAAGGCCTCATGAGAAACATTAAAAAGCAAACCAACCTTTAGAAAACTACATAAACCCCTACATCAAATGCTCTCAATGAGGCTTGCTGGATCTCAAAAGAACAACAGAGTAAAATTTGATGTTGTATTCACACCAGACACAGAAAAAAATGATTAATCCACTTGATTAAGTCATATTTTAATGCCTGAATATGGATATGCCTGTATTGAGTCAATTGATTCTGAATAACCTGCTTCATTCACATGTCAGATCCTGTCTTTGCCAGTGTCCAAACATGGATTCATGCCAGAGAGGAGGAGTTTCCTTCAACCTTAACCATGTCTGATGTTTTCATCAGACATGGTAAAGGTTGACCTCACTGAGGGGGTTTGTTGTGTTTTCACAATTTACCAGATAATCAGCCCTCCTCTTTCTCTTTTTATTCCTGTTTCCATGGAAACAAAAGATCTTATCAAATAGTTCAAGGTGGCCGAATACTGTCAAAGTCAGTTTGCCCTCCATTTTCCAGATAAAGGAACATCCACCAGTCCATTCTTGATATACATAACCTGAAGATCTCTGAGCTGATTGGCTACTGCAGCAAAAGTGATTTGCTGAGTTCAGATTTTTCAACTCTCGTAAGCAAATACAGTGAGTTGCATGCTGGTTGCGTCACGAATTTGCATCATTCAGGCATAAGTTTACATATTCAGATTATCCACGTTGCCTGAAAAAAACTTGCATCTTGACATTTAAAACATTCACACAAATAATTTTATGGTGGTGAACACAACACAGTGGTTAGGAAGTCTTGGAGGCATCATCCTGTTTTTTTACAACAGTCTTATAGTACAGAGCTCTTGTAAATCTTGCTTATCCCGTTAATCCTGTTATTCTTAATGATAAAAAATAATGCATCAGATTTTATAGCACTTTATATACGAAACCCTCAAACACTTTACATTGGGTACATCATTCATTCGTTCACACAGTCACACTTTGGTGGTGGTAAACTACCTTAGTAGTCACAGCTGTCCTGGGGCAGACTGGCGGAAACATGGCTGCCAGTTTGCGCCTACGGCCTCTCCAACCACCACACAACACTCACAATCATACACCAGTAGAGGACACACACTGGGAGCAAGGTGGGTTAAGTATCTTCCCCAAGGACATAATGGACAGACTCAGGATAGAGGGGTATTGAACCGCCAACCTTTCAGTTATTGGACGACCGCTCTACCTCCTGAGCTACTGCCAACCCTTGTAGGGTCTGTATCCAGCCCAGTTCGAGTAGATCTAGTAGATGAGATAAGCAAGGCCTCCGAAGTAGAGGCCTTGCAGATCTGTCAGAGAAGCTAATTGGGGTTGTGGTTCAGTCCTGTAGATGTGGACTCTGAGGTATTTGGAGGACAGCACAGTTTTTTGTTTCAGCAACTTCATGGTATTTCATGCTCTTCAGGGATTTCTTTCAGGTTTGGGGAAGGGTAGTCGCTCTGGGGGGGTGAGGCTCTACGTTGTCTCAGATCCTTAGACCGCACATCCTTCTCATCAGGAATCGCAGCTTTCCCCAAAGACTGGAATCACAAAACACAAGAACAAATGATTAATGTGTAGGGCTCAGCTACAGTTGGAGTAAAAACAGGAGAGTCAACTTTGAGTTCAGTGTTACCTGGTTTTCAGCTAGGGCTTCTTTAGCCATGTAATGCTCTCTCTTTATCTTCATCTCCACCTCCTCTGGGATGTCAGGGACCATAAGGTCGATCAGTCGACCAACAAAGAAGACCACATGCTGAAGAAAAGAAAAAGAGCGTTAACCAGCTCAAAGAAAAAAACAAGCTGGGTGACTTGATGGCTTCTTAAAAGTGCTTATAAAGTAAACGTTTACAAGCTCAACTCTGAACGCTATAAAATGTTAAAGCCCATATTTGTTTAAAAAGGGCATTCAGAGAGGCTGAGTCTCCCAGAAGTAAAGATGGAAAAAGGTTCACCACTCTGTGAGAGACTGTGAGAGGAAATAGTTGAACAGTTTCAGAATAATGCTCCTAAGTGTCAAATGTGAAAGAATGAGTGGATTTGATCATATACTAAATATATTATCATTAAAAGATCCAGAGAGTCTGGAGAAATCTCTGTACTAAAGGGACAATGACCAAAACCGAGACTGGATGGTCTTGGTTCTGGCCCTCAGGCAGCACTGCATTTAAAATAGATAGAACTCTGGAGTGGAAATCACTACATGGGATTCATTAATGCTGAACAATATCTATAGGTTTAGGAGCAACACCTGCTGCCATCCAGACAAAGACTTTTTCAGGGAGGACCTTCATATTTCAGCAAGACACTAACAAACCACATTTTGACATCAGGGATTACAACAGCATGGCTCTGTAGAAGAAGAGTCCTGCTGATAAACTGGTCTGTCTGCATTCCTGACATGTCCCCCATTAAAAAACATTTGGAGCATCATGACACTGTTAACTTAACCTTTACGGAGGGTTGGTAAAAAAAAAAAAAAAAAAAAAAAAGTTGATGACACAGGATGAGAAATATGAACCTGACATGACTTTTCTAAGATGTATTGCTGGCATCAGATTTAAAGCAGCATATAATGTCATAGAGCAACACCAACAATGAAGGATTCAGAGTCCAAAGTCCCGGCATGGCCATATTTGAACTGATCAGAGAGATCTTTGCCAGAATCATTATACTGTGGACTTTTTGTTATCCTGTTATTAACCCATCATGGGATTTTGATTTATGTTTGGTCTGATCATTAATAAAAATAAAACATATCTCACCGATTGAGTGAGATAAACTGACCTCAAACACAATGACAAAGGTGAGTCTAATGGCGAGGAGGTGATAGTACTCAGGAAGGTATTCTCCGTCCGCGTCCCTGAAACCCCGGTACCTGCAACCCACAGCAAAGTGAAAGCCTGTTCAGCTCCTGCTTTTAATGACTGTTGTTTTGGTGCTGTTGCAAACCTGCAGGTCATGTGCTGCTGGCTGTAGTTGCGCGGTGATGTTGCCAGAGTGAAGTTGATATAGCCGCTCAGTGTGCTGTCCCTGGTGTAACGATAGTACAGACGAGGGACGAAGGAGGAGGTGAAGGCAATGAGGAAGGCCTGAGAAGATGGGTTCAAGAGTTCTGATTATACCAGTATCTGGTCAACAGCCTGTTAGAAAAATACAAAGACAAACCTACAAGCAGGTAGGGACAGAACAGTCTTACATTGCTCAGAACAGCTATGTGTGAGATAAACTGAAGGATGGAAAACCAGATGCCAATGTCCTGAGCTCGCTCCACCACCGGGCGGCGATATTCAGTCACAAACTTCTGAGCATCCAGACGAATCTCCACCCAGTTGTTGATCAGAGCGAAGAGAGGAGCGAGAGGACACGCCGCCACAAAGATGGTGATGAAACCAAACTGCAGCACTGCATGATGAAAAATATACCAATAAAACTTCTCTATTCAGTCTGACATCACTCTCTGAGGCAGCCAATCAGAGTACAGAACCTTGACCTCTGTATCAATCACACCTTCACATTAAGGCACACAGAGCTTACCCATCTCCAGGTATTCACTGAAGAGTCCTTCACAGACCAGCAGCTGGTAGTCTGCCTCCCATGGAGACATTTCCTCCTCTTCCTTCCCCTGAGTCTCCCCGTGAGTCTCCTCTCCTTCCCCCTTCTTCTCCTCTTTCACTCGAGGTTTTATTTTTCTCTTCTGCCACCATGACCTCAGCTTCCTGCCAAATAACCTCTGTCAGTCTGAGTGTTAGTTTGAAAAGACTCACCCTCAGAGTTTTTGCTGTGTTTTTTTAATTCTGTGAGGACAATATCTTCTTGTTATCCATCCTCATAAATAATCAAATTCAAAACAAATCTCTCCAACAGCCAGCCAGTGGGTTTTGACAATCAAACTGTCTAAGCTGAACAATCACAGACCAGTTTCAAACCTAATGTCTTTCAGTGAAACTTCAGAGAAGCTTGCTTTTAATCAGTTAAATGATATTATGAAGTCTCTTGTATTTGTGAACTAGATCAGTCTGGTTTCAGGACCAATCAGTCTTTTCTCACTGACAAGAATCTTATGTCAGCATGACTGACTGCTCATCTAGACACCATGAAATAAAATGCGGTGTCCCCTGGGGTTCAATTTGAAGTCCTACACCTTTTAACCTTTATGTTATCGATGGGAAATGTCATCAGGAGGTACAGTATCAACTTCCATAACCATGCAGATGACACAGCTCTGTGTTGCTGTGTCTCTTGATTTGACTGTATTTTAGATATCAGGTCATGGATGGCAGAGAACTTTTAATGGCTTAACAAGGACAAAACTCGGGTTATAGGTCCTGAAGCTAAGGTGTGTTTGCACCACATATCTTAATCTCAAAAGTGAGTGTGATGTTTTGCCAAATGTCATATTTTCTACATTAAGTATCCTGTTTGCAGCCATAAATGCTGTTCTCTAATGTAAGAGTTTGGTTTCCACTTTGACTGCCATGTTATGATGAGATTTTCCTTATGTAATTATATTTCAATAACCCTGTAACCCCAGTGTGTTTGTCATAGTGTGTGTGTGTGTCTGTGTGCGCTTGTGTGTGTTATTTACGGTAGGACAAACTCCTGCACATTGTTGATCAGCTGTTTTCCCACCATAATGACCAGCAGCTCCTGAGCCAGTTCAATCAGACACCCTCCAGCCCCACACTTTAAAGCAAACACATAGAAACAGGCTGAATGGTCCCACTCGTCTCAGACACAACCATTTTAACATTACATGTCTTTACCCTAATACAACAGTAAGTTACCCCATAAACAGTGTTAACATGTCTTTGTCTATTACTGCTCTCTGTGGATGAAAACCTTCTTTATGATTTCTTTATCATCAACATTTTCCTCATCATCATTATCGTCATTATCATCATCATCACAATCATCATTATTATCATCATAATGAGACAGACTCACGTCTTCATTGCGAACTCCAAACAATGTGTTGTAGTTTCCAGGGTAACCAACAAACCTGCACAGACACAGATGATCTCTTGGAGCGTTTGACTTATTCAAGTGTAGATTTGTAAATGTTTCTGCATCTTTAACAGCCAATGAGAACTTCGGTAGAAGGTGAAAATAAAGATCAGCTGATGTTTTAACAATCAGGCTGCAGGGGGCATTACAGCATCTTCTCTGATAGTACAGCGGCTGCATCTGTCTTCAGACGCCTGGCATCCTGATTCCAGCTCTTCATTTAATCAGTTTGATTTTGAAAAAATAATGAAGAGAATCTAATTTTACTTATATAGCATGTATTATTTATTTATGATGAAAAAAGCATGATAATATTGAAGGGGAGGAAAAAAGTAAAGAGGAGGATTGATGTTGGAGAAAAAAAGAACTTATAGATATTTACACAATTTTAAAAATCTGTTCAGGTGAACCTGAGAGTTTAGTCCTGATTGGTTGCAGCGTCACTTACCTGCCTTTGAAGAAGGCGATGTACACTGGAGACGAGTAGAAGTTGACAAACTGGAAGACGAAAACTTTGAGGATAAACATGTCTTCATATTTAGTCTGAGTGCGATGCATCTCTGACAAAAAAACAGAAAACACAACATCACCTGAGTGAGCACCCAGACTGCTAACACCTCAAAAAACAGTATTTAAACTTTACAGTCCGGTATTCTAAACAATCTGATCCACACAGAGACTTTTAAAGACTACCAAGCCTAGATTACCAGACCTCTAAAAAGAGAGCACATGCTACATACTATGCCCATAGAGGTCGCCAAAGCCCACACAACCAGCTGATGTAGACCAAATACATATTTTGGGACAAATTGAGATGAGTTTGTTTTTATTATTTCACAAAGATGAAACTCTTTGTTCCCCGAGACTGTATATAGAATGGACGTCATATGCCTCCTTGCTGGGTAGAGCCTCAGTGAGAACAGCACCCTCTGGTGACAGGCTGCAGTATAGGTCCTAAATCCCACCTCCTCCAGCAAACATAATTGAGCTGTGGTCAAACTTTAGAAATTTATTACACGGAGTATAATTTTTTCTCTCCCCTGCTTGTGATGTTGATATGTAGTTATTGTAAGATTGGTTCGTACTCAAGTCCTCTTATTTCTGTGCAGCTCCATTTTCATGTTATTAGGGGCTCATGTTTTCTATGATTGACACTTGATACAGCCTATGGGCGTATGAAGATTGTGTAGCTTGTCTAGGGGATACGCTGTTTGTGCAGAGCGTCATCACAGCGACTCTTCTGCTGAACGTGTACAACACTACTGCGCAAGTGATGGTTCCAAGGAGTGGAGAAAATCCTGGAGACACCGAGAGCAATTCAGCTTCAAATTCGTACAATGACAGAAGGTGGGGTCAAGTTGTGCACAGTATGTACAGTCTATGTTTGTTTCTTTACCACCCTAGTAATGTCACACTGACTGTCTTTAATATTTGCTGTCAGCAGTGGCGGCTGCTGGTCTTTCAAGGAGGGGAAGCTCATTTTTCTGGCCTACATCATTATTGTGTTTGTTTATTTGTATGTAACAGAAAAGAGTTGCCAAACACAACGGCAGTCGTTTTTAACAAAGACAAAAGTCGCTGAGGATCGGTAAAGTCTCTGGAGCAGTTAAGAACAACAGAATGAATAACTTGGAAAATGCTCTGGTAGATTCTTCAAGATCGCTGATTGGCTTGTTTAGCTGTCAATCAAAAAAGGATTTCGCCTCAGACAGCTCATCCAATCATGGATGCAGAAGCTCGGAGTCCGGGAGAAAGTCGGGACCGCCCCCTCGCCATAGAACTCCAGAGAAGCTGAGCATCCGATGGGTGGGACAAAGCCCAGCATTTATCCAATGAGCGTCTAGTTTCGCTGCTGGAACAACCCACTTTGAGCTTTCCACATTGAAGTCAGCAGAAGCCCAGCGTCCGGCTGTTTAAAGCGCTGAGGCGCTGCGAGGATGAATGAGAACGAAGTTGTGCAGAATCAGCTTCTTACCACACTGTGATATGAAGCTGATTCTGAACAAAAGATGAAGACTTTCTAGCGCGTATTTAGTTAATGAAATGTACACACAGCAGTACGTATTTCACTACTTTTTCTTTTTTTTGGGGGGGGGTGACATTTTAAGGGAAGCTGAGCTTCCCTTGCAGTCTTAGAGCAATCGCCACTGGCTGTCAGCCTTATTCTGGCCCTTATGTTAGATCAGGATAATCCTGAATTTACATTATAACGTCATCCCAATCTTCCCAACATTTCAAACAATCTGAACTAAAGGTTCAGGATGAAAACAAATACTGCATCTGATTTCAAATTCTTTTCATTACTTTAAGACTGATTTTCAATATTCAATCCAACTTGGTGGGTTACATCGAATCAGATTATTCTTGAAAGAAACTGAGCCGTGGATGAGGAGAGGAAGGACAAATCTGTGACTCACCCCAGCGGGTGAGGATGTGGGCCAACGAAGTGTAGACTCTGGACAGCATGAGGATAACCAGCAGGTTCAACACGGATCCTGAAATACTGGCTATCCTGCCAGCCTGGACACAACAAACACACAAACATGTGAAGTCAACAAATTGAGGGGTTGCTCCTGAAGTCTCTTTTCTTTCAATTTAACATCACAAAGATTAAAAACATAACTCCAGTTATGTTGTGCTGTACTTACAGAGAGACTGACAAATTTATTGCCGGACCTGTAGATGATGATCCTGAGGATGCTGCGATACAGAATGATGCCCATGAGAAACATCAGCACCACAATAATCTGCAAACAGAAATTTGATGCTTACTTTTTGAACTCTGAAACATTTTCATCAAAGACTAAAACATTTTGTAAATAGGTTTCTTGCAGGGTCACTTAAATCATTTCCCTTTAAGCTCCTGTTAGTATAGGATTACAGGAACCAAAACAGAGACAGCTTTTGTCTACAGCTGCTCTTGTGTGTATGTCTGTCTAATCTAGAGATTAGTTTAATAATTTATAAACTTTTTATAACAGCACGCAAGCTAGGCTACAGTTTTCTGCAGACGGGGTCAACTTCGACATGTTACTTAGCTAATTTTGAGAGACTTGAGAGAGAATGCTCTACTGAGAAATTTTTCCAGCACTTTGCCATCAAAAAATGTGTTCATTTTTGCTCTGTTTGCAGATGCAAAACACAGATGTGTTCCTCCACCTGCAGCACCCTGATCACCTGTCAGAGAGACAAAAATATGACCAAATTAATTAATGAGTGATTCTGACTGTGAGGAAAACATGCTGTTATTTGTGGACACATGTGGACACCTTTATGAGCCAGAGTTTATGAGGAAAAGCCAACTCCATGCACTGAAGTGGAAAAACTTCTTAACAAACTGGAGAGAGGGAGAGATTTACCAGGTAGTTACCTGGTGGTTCAGGTGTGTAAACTAACACCCATAACAGAGGAAACTCCGGTCTGTCAGCACTGAGACCTGGTATGAACAGCACTTCTGGATGTTTGGGAATACAAATCCAGCAGCAGTTCACATACTGCTACAGTCTGAGACCATCACTAACCAGAATCCACTGCTGTACTGAAGACTTAATGCTGTTTGTTGCCCATTTTCTTCAACATTCAGCAGTTGAGCCAGAAAAGCATAAAAGCTGAATGTTGGAGCATCTTTAGAGTTTAGCTCTCAGTGTTTTTACGGCTTATACGAGGATCTGTTGACCTGATCTACAGTAAATACACTAGGTTAGCTGCTAAAGGGGAAATAACAAAAACTACACAGATGACTCCCAGTGGCAAAGTGCTGAAAATTTCTCAGGAAAGAGTACACTAAAATCAAGAAAAGAACTTCAGTTGTAATCTATGAAAATTTGTTGAATTACTACATTGCAAAGTCAACCCCCATCTGCAGGTAACTGTAGCCTAGCTTGCTTGCATGTTCTCCAGGCAGTTTCCTCAGAAAGAGGTCAAGTCGAACAACATCCCGTGGATAAAGCAAACCCTGCCCTTATTAGACAGGAAACCTTAGAGCTTCAAGTTCCTGCAAGGAACTTCCTGTTTGTGTCGATTCTGGCTTTTATCTAGACCTCTTCCATTTTTGTTAATCTCGCTCTGTACATGCGTATATTATGTTGTCTGACTGTGAACCTTTCAATGGAAAAGGTTAAAAAAGGTGTTTTTTTTCAGGATGCTCTTAGTGCCTGTGAGTGACCTCAGGCATTGACAATTACAGGACACAAATGATCAAACTGGTTTCTGATGGTTGTGTTTGCTTTTAAAGCTCAGTAGCAAACATGATTACTGATTTCAGTCTGTTTGTAGCCACAAAAATGCACCTCACAGGAGCTTTAACTTGGGCTGCTCTCTGTGGAGCATGTCAAATCCCTCCATCTATTCTCTTTAAAAGTCTCTTTTTAAAATTTGATCTGTTTTTCTTTACCATTGATTGTATGCCTTTTATTCTATCACCTTTTCATTGTCTCCATTGTCTTTGCTATTGAACACTTCATCCTGCAGACTTGCCTGTTAATCCAGATCTTGTTCAAAGGAATCTCTGTACTTAATGATCGTCATCATTGTATGTGTTAAAAGTTTAATGTTGAATATGCAAAATAAATCACTGACAAATACATGCTGGATGGGTCAAAGGTCAGGAGACTCACCATGACAATGATGACCATGCAGCCAGTCAGAGTTCTGTTAAACCGTGTCTTCTCAGGGAAGTAGGGCTCCTCAGCCCCTGTCACTGGGTTCTTCATGGTCATCGGCGCCATGGCGGTAAACTCTGGGCGGGGTCGTTCCTATGTAGAACAGATAGACAGCATTTATGAACGTGATTGTAACATCAACTTTCACAGTAAAACAAGTTAACCACGCCTTTTCTCTGATGGTGGTCAGATATTCATAAAGTGGACCTCAATGTCCTGAAATTCAGCACAGTCCCAGCGATGAGACAGAACCGAACATGTCCTCTTCCAGTACTCCAGAAAAGTGACTGCCCACAGGGACATGAAGACACTGAGAAACACCGTCCCTCCATTGTCAAACAGGAGACCTGCCTACAGAGAGAGAGAGAGAGAGAGACGACAGAATGGATGGAGACTCAGACATGTGGACACATTGTGGAGAAAATTTAAGAGATTACAGCAAAACCAATCACAAAGTGAAGGTTCAAGGTTTTTTATTAGTACTTGGGTGGGTACTGATAAAGAACCTTGAACCTTAAAGTGAAGAGGTGTCAAAGGGAACAGTTAGGTACCTTATAAGTGACACATATGCTGGAGTAGTTCCAGTGGGAGCAGATGTTACAGAGAGGACACATGATGAAGTTGTTGTCACTGTCACACACCTCCATCCTAAACACACACACACACACACACACACACACACACACACACACACACACACACACACACACACACGAGTTATTCAACAGAAATTTCACCCCCATTAAAAAAAAATAAAAAAAATAAAAAACAATAAAAAAGGAGTTTGGACAAACAAACAAACAAAAAATAATAATAAAATAATCAGGATTCAACTGTCTCGCTCTGCCTTTGTGATGAAGACTCTCAAGCCGAAAACCCACAGGATCTGTGTTGGAAGTGTTTCGTCACCATCATGTTCCAGCTCCGTTGGACAGCACATGTTATCATCAGATGGAAGCATGTTTGGAACGTAGCAGCAGCGTAGTGCAGCCCTGATCAACTGGGCTCAGTATAGAGGAAACAACATACTCAAAACAGGTTGTTTTGCCTTTCTGTGATCGATTTCCTGCTAATTCCTGCTTTTTTTCTGTGACTGTTTAGCTTCTACTGTATGTGAACAAGAAACTTGATTTTAAAGTTTGGATTTTTGCAGGTTTACTTGTGTTTAATAAAGTAAACTATGTTCCACTTTGCTGTGCTGTTACCTTCAGACAGTTAGCAGTTAAAAATCCTGTTGGGGTCCACATGGATCAGGGATTGGCCATAGGGTTGTTCTGTGTCAATGATAAACCCATAACCAGGGAGTATTTCTCATCTACACTAACAGATACACAGTCAGGGGTCACCATATGGTGCTTTATTCTGAAATTTACCACTTATCACTATATCCTTTCACTATATCCTTCTTGTGCTTGACTTCCTGTCTGATGATATCTGTTCTGTGTAGGTGACGTGTTGGAAGCATAGAGCATTGAAAATACACCCGGCACGTATCTTTAGCAGAGCAGCACATCAGGACACTTCTGCCACAGATTGCAGACAGAGCGGAGACAGACCTGCAACGCTTCCTCTGTGCGATGCGACATTGATTAGAGTGGGAACGTATTTGCTGCGCAGCAAGTGATGCTAATGGAACACACTCAACACGGATCCTGTGAGTTATGGATTACAGCCTTATCTACATGTCATAAAATTCTAATAATCTGTTAAATGTAATTTCATGACATGTAGACAAAGCTCAGAGTTGTCATCATAGATGCAGAGCAAGACAATTTAATCCAGATTATTTTACTTCTCAGTTTCTTCATCAAAACTTTAAAGAAAAAAGGGTTTTACTTTAGAGTGTTGTTTTGGTATTTTGGGAGGTTTGCGCTGTTTCTTTTTCAAATGTACAAATCTCAAGGAGTCCAAAATTTGGAGTTTTTGCAAATGATTCTCACAGCAGTAGCAATGACTTTGTTGTTATCTTTGCAGAAAGAGGTAGGAAGGCGGATTGCATAAAAAAGTTTCTTCTTGATCGTGACAGGCCTAAAGTATAAGTCAAAAGTCTGACAAGAATTCAAAAGGACAGACTTTTTTATTTCAGAGAAGAAGTAGATCTTCAATCTATTAACAGCTGTTACATCAGTCTTTACAATGTTCCAGACTTCATGGACAAAACGATAAATTTTTTGTTGCAGAACGCAGGAGTTGCTGATCCACCATTGTCTTTACTTAGTCTGTCAAAGTTATGAGACCTTATTACAAAACCCAATTCCAATGACGTTGGGAAGATGTGTAAATCATAAATAAAAACGGAATACAATGATTTGCAAATCCTTTTCAACCCATATTCAATTGAATATACCAAAGACAACATATTTAATGTTCAAACTGATAAACTTTTTTATTTTTTTGCAAATAATAATTAACTTTAGAATTTGATGGCAGCAACACCTGACAAAGAAGTTGGGAAAGGTGGCAAAAAATACTGAGAAATTTGAGGAACGCTCATCAAACACCTATTTGGAACATCCCACAGGTGGGCAGGCTAATTGGGAACAGGTGGGTGCCATGATTGGGTATAAAAGCAGCTTCTCCAAAAATTCTCAGTCATTCACAAGCAAGGATGGGGCGAGGTTCACCACTTTGTGAACAACTGCATGAGCAAATAGTCGAACAGTTTAAGAACAATGTTTCTCAAAGTACAATTGCAAGGAATTTAGGGATTTCAACATCTACGGTCCATAATATCATCAAAAGGTTCAGAGAATCTGGAGAAATCACTGCACGTAAGCGGCACGGCCGGAAACCAACACTGAATGCCCGTGACCTTTGATCCCTCAGGCTGCATTGTATCAAAAACCGACATCAATGTTTAAAGGATATCACCTCATGGGCTCAATAACACTTCAGAAAACCACTGTCAGTAAATACAGTTCATCGTTACATCTGTAAGTGCAAATTAAAACTCTACTATGAAAAGCGAAAGCCATTTATCAACAACATCCAGAAACGTTGCCGGCTTCTCTGGGCCCAAGCTCATCTAAGATGGACTGATGCAAAGTGGGACAGTGTTCTGTGGTCTGACGAGTCCACATTTCAAATTGTTTTTGGAAATAGTGGACGTTGTGTCCTGCGGGCCAAAGAAGAAAAGAGCCATCCAGACTGTTATCAACGCAAAGTTCAAAAGCCTCTGTGATGGTATGGGGGTGCATTAGTGCCCAAGGCATGGGTAACGTACACATCTGTGAAGGCAACATTAATGCTGAAAGGTACATACAGGTTTTGGAGCAACATATGCTGCCATGCAAGCAACGTCTTTTTCATGGACGCCCCTGCTTATTTCAGCGAGACAATGCCAAGCCACATTCTGCACGTGTTACAACAGTGTGGCTTCGTAGTTCGAGTGCAGGTACTCGACTGGCCTGCCTGCAGTCCAGACCTGTCTCCCATTGAAAATGTGTGGCACGTTATGAAGCGTAAAATACGACAACGGTCCCTGGGCTGTTGAACAACTGAAGCTATGCATCAAGCAAGAATTCCACCTTCAAAGCTTAAACAATTAGTCTCCTCAGTTCCCAAATGTTTATTGAGTGTTGTTCAAAGGAAAGATGATGTAACACAGTGGTAAACATGCCCCTCTCCCAACTACTTTGGCACGTGTTGCAGCCATGAAATTTAGAGGTAGTTATTATTTGCAAAAAAATAAAAAATAAAGTTTATGAGTTTGAACATTAAATATCTTGTCTTTGTAGTGTATTCAGTTGAATATAGGTTGAAAGGGATTTGCAAATCCTTGTATTCTGTTTTTATTTACGTTTATCACAATTTCCCAACTTCAATGGAGTTGGGTTTTGTATTTGAATGGCTTGGTCACCCAGTCAAAAAGGTCTTGCTCTAGTACGGCCCTGAAATATTTTGAAGTAGATCAAGTGTTCAAAAGTACCTTGTCAAAGTAAGAGCTCTACAGAGTTTTAACTTACGCTGGCACATCAGTGGCCATGAGCCAAAACCCAACAAGGAAGATCACAGTTCCAACAATGGATGCTGGCACCAACCAGCCAGTGTAGAAACCTGCAGTCAGACATAGTCACTGTTAGGGCATAGGTAGCAGCCAGCAGCCTGTAATTTAGTAAAAAGCTTGCTGAAATTACCAAGCCAGGCAAAATAAAGTGCTATCTTTTCTCCAAAATACGCCCTGATGTGATCCAAAGGCTGGTAGCGTCTCCAGCAGGACCATTTTGCCCAGTATGCATACAGGATCTGTCTCAGACTCAAGGCCTCAAGAGATACAGGAGGAGTGGGTAGCTTGAAATCACCCTGTGAACACACAGCAAAACAGAAAAATCCCCCAAAAGTTTCATTTAAATGAAACAGGACTATTGATGATGCTAAATACTATGGCTCAGCATTACATTTAAATGGTAAGCATTTCTTTGTTTGGTAGAGTCTCAGTGCAGATAGAAACAGGGAAAAAAGTACCTCAGCCAGGCCTCAGGGCATGGGTGTAAGGCTCTACCTTTAGCCAGACACTGACCCCAATCCTCCAACTTTAGGGACTGGAGATGTGTTTTGGGGACATTGGGGATTGGGGTTCTAGGTTTTGGGTTTTGGTTTTGTGGTCTAGGATTTAGGATTGGGAAATTTGGGTCGGGCATTGGGATTTTGGGGATTTGAATCAATATCATGGTTTTGGGGACAGGGATTTGGGGTTAGGGGCTTGTGGCTTGAGGACTGGATTTCAATCACCTCATGTAGTGGGTAGGCAGCAGTGAAGATCTGCTCATTCAGCAGTCGGTCTATTCCCACCTCCCCTTGTTTCACTGAACCATAGGGAGTCCTGGCCAAGATCTCATAGAGCTGCAGGGACAGAAGAAAAACCATCACTGCAGGAGAGTTAAGTTTTATTTGAAGAGGAAAGAAATTAAACATCAGGACATTTTTCAAAAGCAGAAACTGAAAGTTCCTCCTGTAATCTTTGACTCTTGTTCTGGGTCTGACCTCCATATGTTATAGATTACATGGTCCAAAAACATAAGATGACATTACACCACAGATCTGGAAATAAATGTTTGATTTTAGACAAAATAAGATCTTTAAGCTTCTTCCTGTCTGTGTAATTCAGATCAAGAGACTCCTTAGAAACCCCCTCAGTCTCTAAACTCAGTACAGAGTTTTCATGAAGAACTTGAGTTTGGGTCACCTATGAGCTCAGCATACAGGTGCAGTTCTCCAGACTGACGTCAGTGGGAAGCCCCATCACAAAAGCTGACAAAGGTCCATTTAGAAGAAGAACCACAGACCATGTTGAAGAAGTTCACCACAGTGCTGCTAAAAGGCTGGGAACTGACCACAACCCTGAGGAAGAGTGGGATTTCCTTAGGTCTGCATGAATGTGTGTATACCGATACAGTGTATAGTTCAATTAAAGCTCTCATAAGGAACTTCTGGGTTTAGTGCACCCTATAAAAAAGGCAGAATGCTGTCTTTGCTTAATTTGTCCTGCAGAATGATTTCTGACAAAAATCTGATCACTGATAGAGAATCTTTGCAGGTGAAATGTGAAAAATTGAAGTTTCTGCAGACCCGTTAGAGATTCAGTTTGACACTAACCTCTGGTAGCAGTTTCAGGCTCTGAAAATTGCTAAAGCCACAGCTGATGTCACAACTAAGGGTCCTGTTTGTTTTCATAACTCATAAAGATGCAAATGATGTACTCCAGTCTTTGGAATAACTCTATCAAAACTCCTCACAGGAGCTTAAAATTGATTCATGATGATAAATTCATCTCACTGAGAATGTTTCAGAGCAAACATCTCATCAGTGTCATGTGTTCCTCTGTTTATGTGCCTTTTAAAAACATGCTAATCCGCTTTCCTGCGTGTGTATCTGTGGGTGTATGTGGGGCTCTCATTTTCTTCTTTGTGTGTTTGTAGCTGTGTGTATTTGCAGATGTGTGTGTGTTAGTAAATGGTGTTTGAGGAGGAGGCGTAGCTGTTCGTAGGATCCGTCTACTGAATGAAACATCCTGGAATCTGAGAGCTGAGTGGGTCTACCTGTCCAACCCAATTAGATGAGTCTATGAGGGCCAGCCAAAAACATGATCGCAAATGCTATTCAGCCATAACTGTGGTGAGAGTGCAGTTTAAAGAGGGCTCACAGGGTTTATTGGATGAATAAATGTTGAGAGTCAGGGATCAGAAAGATTACAAATGGACGGGTGTAGATTCCGAAGATTATTATGGATACATGTGCACTGATTTCCAAGTTCAATATCATGATGACATAGGCCAAAAACTGACACGGCGTATCGATTAGTCCAATTGTTACTGAATGATTATGTAATTGAATCAAAGGTGGATGACATGTTGACCTGCTAAGGATTTTTCCTTCACCTTTGGGCTGTTTGTTTGCAGAAAGGTAAATAAAGAGCTGTTACAGGTTTCTATTTGAGCACCATGTTGACTGAATGGGAGGAACAGACCCCCGGGGGCCCTGAAGTCCATGTTCTGAGAGTTATCATACCACTGAAGAACTGCATGAATAAAGATGGAGTTCATACTCTTATCTCATCTGTCATTTGTACATGAACATGTTCTGGATCAGATGACAGAAACCTAAAAAGTTTTTGTTTGTTCTCTGGGTATGAAAGCTCATAAATCATCTGGAATAAACACATAAGACGCCAAACTGAGGTTGCCTCCATCTGTGTGTTTGTGTTGTTTGTTTGTTTGTTTGTGCTGCTGTGTGACTTCTGTGTTTAAATGGTTACTGAGAAATAGAAGTCAGTTTTTCACTGGATCATGCTGCTGATTACCTAGCAGGCCAGCTGATGGCTGGACTCCCATAAGGCCCAAACAGAGACCCAGACTGATCACCTCCATGACACATTGGAGGTGATGAAACTTTCCAGAAGGTCAATAAATTCTGTTATTCTACAAATGATAATGGAGTATTAAACCTACACTTATCTGAAACTGTAAGATTTGATCTGCTGTCATTTAGGCCGGAGACAGCATTGAATCTTTTTAGTGAATTTAAACACTGCAGGACAGCAGCCGCGCTGATGAGGCTGCCTACGGGGTCTGCATACATGATTTGGCCTTTTAATCCTTTTAATTGAGCCCAGATACTGGCTGATGCTGATGGTATCAAAATGCCATTAATAAGCTTCATTAATCCGCCCAACCAGTCAATTGGTCTATCTCCAGTGAGGACCCAACTCAATGATCTCAATGATCCTGAAGCACAAAATAACAGCAAAAAATAATAAAATCCAGGCAGCATTAGACCAACAGCTCCAGTCTGTAAGACTCCAGTTTCTCTCAGTGTAGTTTGGAGTGTTTCTCTTTAAAATAAAAATCTCTGTAGGGAACTTTTCTCCTTTTGTTGTCAAAAGATGACAATTTTAACCTGTCAGTAACAAAAAAAACAAGAACTTAATGAGCTGTACCATGCCCAAGCAGACTCCGGGTTGTTTGGTTAGTGTGAGTTAGTGCTCAAGCATATAAATATATATATATATGTGTGTGTGTGTGTGTGTGTGTGTGTGTGTGTGTGTGTGTGTGTGTGTGTGTGTGTGTGTGTGTGTGTGTGTGTGTGTGTGTGTGTGTATATAGTCATCTTCAGCACAGTACTGGGCCTGAAAATAATCCTGCCAACAATAAAACCGGTTTACCACCTCAAGCTAAAGCAATGTACTGCAGCCATTCAAAACTTTGTCACTTTAAATTGTCACACAAAGAAAATTAGTCCTTTAAACTCACATGATTCTTTGTTCAAGTTTCTTACTGCCGAAAAACAAAAAAGAAACTGAACATTTCTTTGACTTTGCTTAAATGCGAACGATGCTCAGCTCCACTTACATGCCGTTCAATACTTAGGCTTCAGTCAGTTTGCATCCTATCAGGAGTGAAACATCTGTTAAATATCTACAGGTGTCTGTGTTTGTATGTGTGTGTGTATAGTCTGTGTGTTAGTGCTGCTGCAGGCTGAAGCATCTCTGAACCTGAAAGCTTTTGAACATCTTCATTTCAGCGAAGAGTATACCTGAATAACTCTTTATTTGGAGCATCTGTACTCACCACCTGGTGTCTCTGAGTTGTTCTGAAGAAGTTTTCCTTGTCCTCGCTGCCCAGAAACCTGCAGACAATCAAAAAGGAGGCCCACAAAGCACTCATAGCCTGTATGTTTTAGATTCTTCAAGTTCTTGTTATGCTACTCACACAGGCTTCTGGGTTGACAAATCTAAACAGACACTTTGTCTCAGTTGAAAGAAACAGGTGGGAGTTTTTGTTGTAATTCTTCTTTAATTGTAATTACATATTGACAATATAACCTGCCAAATCAGTCAACAATCTGTGTGTCTCTGTTATCATCACCTCTCCAGCTTGTTGGTCCTGAACTGACAGGTGTAGTAGTCAGGTGGAGGGTTGGGCACATCATGAGACATAGGACTGCTGAGGGACAGACGGGACAAAACCTGTTCAGACCAGTTAATGACTGGAGCAGTGACCACCTGCAGGGATACAGAGGACTTAATGAGGATAATACAGCTCACTGAAGAAATACACTGAGCATACAATACTGACATACTGAGAGAATCTTGATACCAAACAGCCACTGGCAAATGATGGGATCTTCATCTTGGAATGTCAGTGTATCCAGCAGCAAGTAATAAACACCTAAAAGCCAAGAGCTCCTTCTTCACATTGTTGACCACATTGTTTTCAGTCCAGATAATAACTCTGAGGACTGTTTGTTTTCATCACAAGAGGACAGAAATTTGTTGGCCGTTCATCTGTCTTTAGAGAGTCTCAGCTTCTCTGTAAATACCCTCTCAGAGGTTTTGATATGGTTTACTGTTCATTTGTCTGTGGAGAGTCAGACCCCCCCCCCCCCGCATTTACATGGGGCACTTGATATGATTCTAAATCAGAGCCCTGAGCATCTACCATTGTCCAGATATTCGTTTGTAGAGAGACTTAATGTCCCCAGATTACCAACCATGGGATCTGGGATGTTTTCCAGTGGATTGTGTTCTGCCTTTTTCTGCAGACACCAAAGTCTGCTGATTGGTCAGTGCAACGTAGACACAATCATACTGCAAATACTGAAAAAATTCTATGTTAAGATCTATGAAAAGTGGTCATGCTAAGGTGCTGACTGATTTAATATTAACTATTTATTTGAATGAGGAAGCATTGAAAGTACAAATGGTTACAGATAAATGAACTACACTGCAACCTCTAGGAGTCAAAGGCAGAGGTTTTACCTGCAGAGGTGCTCTCAGGCTGATCTCCTCAGCGTAGTAACAAAGGGTGCTCCATGGAGCACTAAGGAGGATGAAACAGATCCTTGTCTTTGGCTGAAGGACTTCCCTCTGTAGAGACACAAAGACCCTGCATTACAGCTCTCAGTCCTTCACTGCTCATGGGATTGTTTTAAGGAGTTCCCCTGGGCTGAGCTCTGGGTCCCCTCTTGTTTTATATTTACTGAATACCAAATAACAATTACTGATCAGTATCCTAATTATTGTTCTCCTTCATCCATAACAATGTTAATTTCCATTCTTTTGACTCACCAGTTCCTGCAGCAGACCAGATTGTTTCAGTTTGTTCAGAAACTTCTGCCTCCACTTCCTGTGGTCCTGACCAGCACCTGTACTCTCCTCGTTCTGTGAGCACCGAGGCTCCTCCCACACCAACACGAAATCTGATAAACAGGAGCTCCAGAGTCAAAGCAGCACTCATGCTACGTCATCACTGCTGATGCTAACTGAGAAAGAACCTCCAGGGCTGAATAAAGAGGCCAAAGTGAAAGTCCCAAAAACTGCACTTCTATGAGTGTCCCCGAGAGTCTGTGTCCTGCAGTGAGTTAGCCCCCTAGGGTCCATTTTAAAACTCTATAGCAGAAATAAACCTGTTTACAGCCTAGAACAGAAACAGTTGGGGTCTCAGTAGCTCATTTCTCTGGGATTTCTCAGGACAGCTGTACAGATTGAATTTATAAAGAACTCACCCATTTACCTGTTGTACAAGTGTCAAGCTAATCGGATTAGGGTATTAGCTAACCCCAATCTTGGGTGCTACCTCAGCTAACTTAGTCTCTTGAATTAATCTGCTGGCTGTGTTTGTGTTTCAGCCTTTTAATGATTTTTAAAGGAAAGATTGGGAAATGAATACAGCTTTGCAATTTAACTACTTTTCTGTAACCCCACCCACTGATCCAAATAAGATCACTTCTGGCTCCAGCACTTCTGACAGCAGTTATCCGGACTGGACCAAACCAAGACTTGAAGGGTGGTATGTGTAGAAAGGGTATTTGTGATAACTAGCTGTTAGATTACAGACTGGAATGCCCCCTTATCTGTCTTTGATTGACCTGCTGATTATTTCCAATATTAGGTCTGTAAATCCAAAACGTCTGAACCCCTAAAATGTCTTCAAATGTCCATCAGACTGTCCTACACTCAGAGACAGTGAGTCCAGTCTATCAGCAGCAGTGACTGCAGACACCTCTGCTTTCTTATTCTGCTGGCTCAGCCTCTGAACTAATATTGACTCTGCAGGGCGTTTGTTTTACTCACCAACTCGACTTGATCCGTCACTGAACACGTTTCTGTCCGGGGGCTGAATAGGTGCACCCTGGGAAATAAGAGCAGGCAATGTCTTAGATGACTTTTTAAGGAGTAACATATTACATCCAGTTTCAACCCTTTTCTAGCCCTGGTATTGGTAACCACCCATGTTTCCTAACTTTGGTGAAGGCTATAGATTCAGGGGGACATCATAAAAAATGGCCAACAGAAGTTGCAAATATCCCACCAACTTTGCTGTACTAAAAATCCAAATGCATGTGCAGAAAAAGTTTTTGTTAACTGTGGAAGTAGTGATGAAGCTACAGTAATATCTGCAGAAAAAACTGAGTGTCTGAGGTTTGAATGTCCTCACAGGTACAATGTAATACATGTCTCTCTCTTGAGGGCGTTTCTGGCTTATGTTTGTGTGCTAAACTAACTGAAGATCACCTCCTGTTTGAAGACGACTAAACTGAAGTCATTCAAACTACAAGTCTAAGAACTACAGAGTAAAAACCCCTGACACCAACTATAGTGCTGCAGGAGCCTCATTGGTCGACAAATCGGTCAATCACAGCTTTTTATGCCAAATAACTCATTCAAACAGAAGATGTCAGAAAAATGAACACCAGCATGTTAAGGGCTTAATATAAGACAGAGCTGGGCGAATAAGTGGGAGTTTGCCCATTTGATCTTCATGTATTTTGTGGACTTGGAGAGGGCTTCCAACCCTTGCCATCAGGGGGTCTATGGTGGGAGTATGGGGTTCGGGGCTGTGGCTGGGATCCCTTCAATCCCTGTATGGCCAAATTGAAACAGAAGGGAGGAGACCCTGGGATATGCCTCAAGCTCAGTGGAGGGATTACATATCTTGACTGGTTTAGGAACCCCTTGGGAACCCAGGGGAGGAGCAAGAAAGTGTTGCTGGGGGGAGTGTTGCTGGGGAGAGGGAGACTTGGGTGGACTTGTTTAGACTGCTACCCCACAACCCAACCCAAGATAGTGGAAGAAAATGGATGGGTGGATGAAAAATTTACAGTTTATTTGAATATAAAAAAATATCAGTATCCATCTCATTATCTGTGCCTTCCTGAACTCATATTTGGATTCAGGCTCATTCTCAGTAGATTCAGGATTTTGGGAGCGTTTGGCTGGGTCACCCTTGAAAGAGATTTCCGTGACTTTCCTGGTTAAACAAATTTGAAATAAACAATAAAAAATCTGTAAAGTTGTTCAGTTTTCAGGGAGGGTTGCAGTACTTTGGTCTGAAAATGCGGTAAAATGAATTTAAACACACAGGCCCTCATTTATCAAGCTTGCGAACAGCAGAAAACTTGCGTACACCTTGCGTACGACAATTTTGACGTTGAGGATTGGCATTTATCAATCTGCACGTGAGCGTACGCTACGACCAAATCTCACTACAGGTCTGACATTGTGTACGCAAGTTTGAGTCAGTGTGGATCTACAGTGCAGCAAATGTCTGTCTCAAAATAATTGATATACAAACCTCAAACCTGTCATTAAGTACAATCAGCCAGATTTCATTAAAGATTAAGATGTAAATAAAATAAAATAAAATAAATGTGTTATGTCCTTAGTGAATAGGCCTATTTGATAATTCTGCCTAGAAACACTGCCACAGAGCAGGAGCGCCGTTTTAACATTACGCACACACGCACCACTGTGGAGCGCTGCGTTTGACTCCTAAGAGGCAGGTGTCTCTGTCTTGGCCCAGCAGCGGGGACGTTGTTGTACACTCCTAAAAGGGTGTGGGACATCATTTGGGCCAGTACAGTTTTGCACAATGTTGCTCAGGTGAATGGAGTGCCGTTGGCTGTGCCGGTGCAACGGGAGGACCCGATGCCCGGAGAACAATAACGAGGAGAGACTCCACAAAGGTGCTGTACAGGGGAGACAGGACCTTATCGATGGATTCTGACATGTAAAGTAGAAGTTTAGAAAGTGCTCTTGCTATTAAATCAGTAATAAAAATCCAATAGAAATCCATAAAAATGTGCCTCAGGAGCAGCAACACACCGTTTGGTGAGGTTAATAATTATTTTTGTTCATCCTCTGTCAGACTATCCAGTCTGCTCTACATTACAAAGACGCAACAAATTAAAACTAAATACTTTCAATAATAGGAGCAACGTACCCTATGTCATGGCAATAAAAAATATCAGGCATGTATGAGATATTAATTCTTCATCATATTGACTAATGATTTATTCAAACTTCAGCCACTGTCCACTATTCCGCGGCAGCACTGTTCACCGCCACCATAATCCTGCTCCAGAAAAGGAATTTTCTGGACTGCTTTTAGACCAGTTTTGATGCTTCCAAAGAGAAAATCCTTGTTAGTTTCCATCACAGATGTGAGAATATCCACTTTCAGCTCGGAAAAGTTTTGAATCTTTCTCATGTTTGACCTCAGTGGGCGAGGCTTCTGAACCACAAATATTTAAGGGCGTAAACATGTTAATGACGATCGATTTCAGCCACCGCATTTATCAAGACCCGATTATACGAACGCTGGGATTGGTCAGATACGAACCCTTTCATAAATCTCACGTGTGTTCTATCGGACGACGAATCCTGCGCTCAGATCTGCGCAAGCTTGATAAATGAGGGCCACAGTGTCCACAAGTGTTACTGAGAAGCTTTGAGTCACGGACAGCTGAAACTCCAGAGTTGAAATCTTTGAATTGGTGCTTGATGAATGATGGGGGTTATTTCCTCCTCTTCATCAACACTGTGTACTGTTTGATGACCAGCCTACATGAGTTTGATTCAGCTAGTAAGTGCAGATCTGACTTCCTGCTGTTTCATGTCTTTACTGTTTTAATGAGAGTGAAGACAAACATTGAGGACAGGGCAGGACAGACCTCCATTGTGCTTCCCAGTGTTTTACTGCTTCATCACTCAGTCAGTGTTAAACAAAAGTAGAGCCACTCTCTCATTTCCAAACACCCTTCCTGTTTCCTGCTTTAGCAGCATGAACACAAACACACGCTGAGTTTCACCAAAAACTTGCTTAAAGCCTGAACCATCAGGGTCTGACTTTGAGAGGCTTTAAGCTTCTGTTCCCTTCACCACTGGGGTTCAAAAAGTTTCATCTGAATCTGAATGGTGCAACTTTAAAAGTGCACTTTTTCTCTTCAAGGTCAGAGAGTCCACTTGACTTTTGACTTGAGTTTTAAAGGAACAACATGATCCAGACTCAGACTTTTAAGATGACCAAACCCAGATTAGCAGAGCTGTAAATAGAGCTATGCTCCCAACTTTAAAATGATGTTACTGACATCAAATTTGAAAATGAGCATTTATTTTTCACCTTCAACCTTTGTCTCTACACCATTTTTGATTAGATATAGGATTTTATTGTTCACAAACCTTCAGAACCATTAAACAGTACCCCTGCTGGTATTAACATTAGACGTGTTATTTATGGCTTAATGACCAGAAAGAAAAAAAGATCCAGAGCGTTGCCCTGAGGAACTCCACCTGATGTTTATCTCACTGCTCAGACATTTTACCTCTTCCTCAAAAAATTTTAAACACATGCATACTGACAGCTGTTACCGTGACGATGCTGCCATAGTTGTCTTCCGGCTTGGCATCCATGGAGATGAGTGTGGTGCTATCCTCACGTTGCTCCCCTCTCTTCCTCATCTTTCCTCTGCTCCCTCCGCCTCCTTAAAACACACAGATACACACTTAAATTCAGAAATAAAATACACCATCAAAAAAATCTACAAATCTGCACTCAACAACAACCACTCTGTCCTCATCCTCCAACTGCTGCATTTCATGCAGTTGCTTACTAAACACAAAAACACATTTGTCACTAGTTTGTCCGTTCTGTGCTTCTGTAGAAACATGGCATTAAATGATTGCGCTCTTTGCATAGGGGGACCCTAAAAAAAAAAAAGGCGCATTTAAAGTTGTAAAAAGAAAATGATTTTTACATTTCGGTTATTAAAAACTTATTTAAACAGACTGATACATATTCTGTACCATGTGTAGCAAATAGAATTTATAATAAATGTCCTAAGATTAATAATAACAGCCTCAGTGTGGCCCACCACATGTCTTTTAGACCCTCATTCATAAGTTTTTTTTATGATTCTTTCAGAAACGAACTTTTAAACATGATGAATTGCTCTCTTCAGATGGGGGTATTTCCCGCTGCCTTTAAAGCGGCAAGTGGTGAGGCCCCTGCTGAAGAAGAGCAATTTGGATTTTAACGATTTTAACAATTACAGGACAGTGTCTAACTTACCATTTTTAAGCAAAATTTTAGAAAAACGTCTATGTTTTTATCCAACTTAGAGAATTTTTAGATAACCATAATATTCTTAAGAAGTGTCAATCTGGTTATAGGGTGAACCACAACACAGAGACCGCCTTGGTTAAGATTTTAAACGATACTAGATCCAATTATGATGCACAAAAGGTGACAGTGTTGGTTCTGCTGGATCTTAGTGCTGCCTTCGATACAGTAGACCGCACTATTCTTTTAAACCGCCTAAAACACCTCGGCCTCTCAGGTGCTGTTGACAAATGGTTCATCTCCTACCCAATAGACAGGACATTCATGGTAAGTGTAGACACATGTTCCTCCAAAGTCTATATAATCATATGTGGTGTACCCCAGGGTTCGATTTTAGGCCCTGTGCTTTTTAACCTGTACATGCTCCCTCTTGGCGGTGTCATCAAGAGACACAGAATCAACTTCCACAGCTATGCTGATGATACACAGCTCTACATCTCTGTGTCTCCTGATGACACCAGGCCAATGGATGCTCTTTTTAACTGAATTTTAGATATCAAATCCTGGATGGCAGAAAACTTTCTCCGGCTTAACCAAGACAAAACTGAAGTTTTAGTCATCGGTCCTGAGGCCCAGAGAGAGAAACTTTTACCCAAACTACAAGCACTGTCTCTTAACCCATCACCACAAGTAAAAAACCTGGGCATCATTTTTGACTCTAAGCTGACTTTTAGTCCACACATTAAGAACATAACAAAAATAGGTTTTAATCACTTAAAGAACATCGCCAGAGTCTGCCCCATTCTCTAGTCGTATAGCCCTATTGTAATGCCCTGCTTTCTGGTCTTCCCAAAAATAATATTTCAGGTCTACAATTATTACAAAATTCAGCAACACGTGTCCTGACTAAGACCAGGAGGCGGGCCCACATTACACAGGTTTTAGAATCATTGCATTGGCTCCCTGTGTGTTTTAGGATCGATTTAAAGGTTCTTTCACTTGTTTTTAAAGAGGACATGAAACACACCACATTGGCATCCTCACGTGGTAAAATAAATCAATTAGGAGAGAGTCTGAGATATTTTGTGTAAAAAATCAGCTGTTTAATAGGAAAACCGCTTTCAATCTTGAGTTTACGACAATTGTGACGTCACGGTCACGTCAATCGCTTAGCGGTAAGATGTCGGAGGACAAATTTGAGATGGATGTGGTGGAGGTCTATCCTTCCGACCCGATGGCGTATGCTTTTGGGCCGGTCAGAAAGAGACCATGTAAGCGAGAAGGAGAAGCGGAGGAGGAGGCAGTAGCAACATTACACACACACACACACACACACATACACACACACACACACACACACACACACACACACACACACACACACACACACACACACACAAACAGAGAGAGAGAGTAGCGATCTGAAGTAAACATCAGTATTAACTGTATAAACTTCATCACCAGAGACTCCCTCATCTACACACTTGTCTCCTCTCATCCACACAAACCCACTTGTGTTCACAAAGCTACAGCTTTCACAGGAGCTTATCACACCACACCACTGTTTGACGGAGATCTGATTTAAAATAATGGAGGAAACGTGACCTCAAAAAATATAAAACGTCCTAAACTCTGTCCACCACACATCCGAGCAGTGGCAGCTGGTGAGAAAAATAATAGGTGGGGCTGAGGGTTTGGAAACCAGAGCCCTGTAGGCCCTTAAATGTCTTAATGGTCTTGGGCCTTCTTATCTTTCAGAACTGCTTTTATCTTATGAACCCTCGTGGACCCTGCACTCCTCTGGCAGCAGGCTCCTAGCCATTCCCAAAGTCAGGACACACTCTCATGGGAAGGCGTCTTTTCAATATTACGGCCCTCGTCTATGGAACAGCCTGCCAGAGGACCTCAGGACCGCAGAGAACATTCATATTTTTAAGAGCAGGCTCAAGACCTATCTTTTTAGCTAAGCTTTTAATTGATAATTATTTGTTTTATCTTCATTTATGCTGGTTAGCCTTGGTTTATTTTAGGTCTGTGTTTTATTCATATTTTAGTTTTTACTTGTTTTCATCCTTTTATCATTTTTATGACCCCCAGTGTTTCCTCTGTGGTTGCAGGGGCCAGCCATGGGGTTCCTGGTGGAGGTTGCTGTCTGACACATCCTTCTACTGGCCATGTGTTGGTGTCCTGTGGCTGCGGGCGGCTCTCTGCTCCTGGTGCTGATGGCGCCTTCTCAACTGGTTCATCTGCACTCATCCTCATGCCCATTATCCTAGTGTGTGTGTGTGTGTGTGTGTGTGTGTGTGTGTGTCTGTGTGTATGTGGGGGGTAAGGGGGCATTCGGGATAGTTTTTTGTTTTTGTTTTTAACTTGTAAAGCACTTTGAGTCACATTCCTGTAGGAAAAGTGCCTTATAAATAAAGTATTGATTTTTTTTGATTTGATAATAATCTTAAATTATGACATTTATGAACTCGTTGATAGGGGCACCGCCCAACTTTAATGGTGGGAAAATAAAAAAAATAAAGAGTCAGAAATCAAACATCAAAGGGGACCTGCCATCAAAATGTAATTTTGTGTGTTTTTTGTGTCAGATAAGGTCCATATTATGTTCGTCTTATGTTGTAAATGTGAAAACAAACCGTTATGTCGTTTGCATTCTGTAAATATTTAAAATTAAGAAACGGGTAAACCAGGCCGATTGAAAAAGCAGGTCCCTCTGATGTTGCGCTGACCTTGCTCATTATTATTCACGAGCGCGTCCTCGGTGAGCCGCGCCCACTCTCTCGTTCTCGTACTCATTCACAGTCAACATCACTCTCCAGCCAGGACACCACTGTATACGCTATGGGTCTCTTCCAAATGACCAGTGTTTCCTTGGGTTCACTGCCGGGAAAATGAACTTAAAGCTGGGCAGAATGAATGAAAACACCGCTGGAGATCTCCGGCTTCTTCTTTAACTTCCACCTCCTCTTCGGACTCGGGGTCTAAAATGGTTTAATACCTGCCATTTTTAGCCTTTAGCATAAGGTGACCAGACGTCTCCGATTTCCGGGGACAGTCCCCGTAGTGGATGACCTGTCCCCGGCAAAAGCTGTCCCCGAAAATGTCCACGATTTAAGCGTTTCATGAATGAGAGCAAAAATGTTGCGTGTGGGCTCGAACAACGGTTATTACAGTAGCCGAATGGGTAGGAAGCACAAGTAAGCAGCACTGAACAACAGTTTTTAAGGGGGTTATTACAAGGGGCATGCACTGCTACTAAATAGTACCGAGATTTTGTCTGTGATCACACAGCCCCTGCACCCGCTGCCGCCGCACCGAATATCCCCGGATATCATTACAGACATCTGGGCACCTTACTTTAGCACACATTAGCAAAATGGATAAACCGAAATCCGAACCTCCACTGCTGAGCTAATCAGAGCACAGCAGGCTTCACAGCAGCGATCCAATCAGAGCAAAGCTCATTACCATAAATGTTAATGAGCCAAAATCTGTTGGTTTTCCTGTAAGGTTTTTTAGGCATACTAAAACAAACCATCAAATAACTTTTCAGCTAAAATTATGTTGCAAACATGATCAGAGGACATCAAGGATTATGAAAAAATGATAAAAATGGGTACGAAATTTTGATGGCAGGTCCCCTTTAAGTTAATCTTAAATCAATCAATGTCATATCTCAAGCCAAAATCTGATATCAGGGACTCAACTTCTGGAAGAACACTAACAGATATGAACTTAGAAAAACAAATGATCTGTATTACAGGATAAATGAATTAGGATAAGATAATGAGGATGAATAAGATGAGTTAAGGTGAGGTAAAGACTCTGAGTCAGGCTAGGACTACAAAAGTTAATGATATTGAGTGAATATGCTCTAACATATCAACCTACACAAACTCTGGTGTAAAGATAAATTTGGATGTGGATTTGGATGAATTTAGGATTACTCAAATAAGTGATGGTTTGAATCATGAATGCATGAGAAGGCATCAGCCCTGTTTGGAGCTCTGGAGGTTTGGATAATTAAATGAGACTGGTCCTGGGAGAGGATGGAGCAGGTTTACCGAAAGTCCAGGCAACCAGCCTTTTAAGAGGTTTGATTCAAAGGAGGACCAAATTCAGACAAAAGATGGGCCAGGAATCACAGCACACAGGCCTGAATTCAAAAACCAGCACCTTATTTATCCTTTGGATGCTCCTTTGGTCTCACCACGTAACTGGCACAGAAAATGACTTTGGTCCTTTGGGCTTTGTGTGGCATTCAGTAGCAACTTTGAAGTAATGCAGATAACTAAGAGAAAGAGGCTCAATGGCCAGTCGAAACTGTTTCAAAAATGACTGAAATTAAAGAAAAATAAGTTAAGACTTAATCTTGGATTGCTATGCATACAACACATAGTTGAAGTTTAAAAACTTGAACTAAGATGATGTTAAAGAAAAAGAGAAAAAGAGTAGGGGAGAGGAAGGAAATAAGAGCACAGTAAGAGAAGACTAAAGGTCCTTACACACCAGGCGCGAATTCGCCAGGCGAATGATTCGCCTTTTTAAAAACAGCATAAAGTCAAAGCTTCCACACCAGCTGCGATTTTTCCGCAGGGCGAGAAGCGACTTTTATTTTTTCGCTCTTGTGTCGAATTTCTCGGATATTCGCAGGCCTTTGCCTGGTAGACCTCTGGCCAATCAAAAGTCATGTTGTTGATGACGTCACAGACCCATGCGGCTGCAGTTCACAAGACACACACCACCGACAGCAACGATGGGAGAGAGGCTGGTAATTGCGGTACAGGACCACTGGATGGTGGTGTGGAACTCGCCCATCTCCTTCCCCAAAGTCAATATGGGATGTACCCAAACACTCCTTTGTTTATTCTTCTGTGTTCTTTTTTTTTTAGAATAGAATAGAATAGAATATTCCTTTATTGATCCCCCATGGGGGAAATCTTTTTGTCACAGCAGCATCACAGACAAAGAGTGCAAAAATGCAGTTATAAAAATAAAGATCCTAATATTAAGAACTTAAATAAATGTAATAATTAAGAAAAATTTTAGAAAAAGGAAAAAGGGAGAAGCAAAATAAAACTATATACAATATACACAATTTAAATGCCAGAAAAAAGTGGTGGTTTAAATCCAGTTATTATTACAGTTCGTTGTAAAGTCTTATTGCAGAGGGGAGGAATGACCTGCGGTAGCACTCCGTCCTGCAAGGTGGAAGTCTCAGTCTGCTGCTGAAGGAGCTGTTTAAAGCCCCCACAGTCTGATGCAGTGGGTGAGAAGGATTGTCCATGATGGATATAAGCTTTGCTAACATCCTCCTCTCACCCACCTCCTCCAGGGAGTCCAAAGAACAGTCCAGGACAGAACTGGTCCTCCTGACCAGTCTATTCAGTCTCTTCCTGTCCCTCTCGGTGCTCCCTTCCCCCCAGCAGACCACCGCATAGAAAAGTGCAGATGCTACCACAGAGTCACAGAAAGTCCTGAGCAGAGTCCTGCACACTCCAAAGGACCTCAGTCTCCTCAGGAGGTGGAGACGACTTTGGTCCTTCTTGTACAGTACGTCTGTGTTGGTTGACCAGTCCAGTTTGTTGTTGAGGTGGACACCCAGGAATCTGTAGGACTCCACCATCTCGATGTCCAGACCCTGGATGTTCACTGGGACAGTCTGAGGTGTCCTCCTCCTGCGGAAATCCACAACCATCTCCTTTGTCTTACTGGCATTGAGCTGGAGGTGGTTTGTGCCACACCAGTTGACAAAGTCACTGATGACAGTCCTGTATTCCCGCTCATCCCCTGACGATACACATCCGACGATGGCTGTGTCATCAGAGAACTTCTGGAGGTGACAGCTCCCAGAGTTGTAGCTGAAGTCTGAGGTGTACAGGGTGAAGAGGAAGGGGGAGAGCACTGTCCCCTGTGGAGCCCCTGTGCTGCAGACCACCATGTCCGATACACAGTTCTGAAGCCTCACAAACTGTGGTCTGTCGGTGAGGTAGTCCACGGTCCATGCGGCTAGGTGACAGTCCACTCGAGTTTCCCCCTGAGCAGTGAAGGCTGGATGGTGTTGAAAGCACTGGAGAAGTCAAAAAACATGACCCTCACAGTGCTGCCGGTATTCTCCAAGTGGGCCATGGACCTCTGCAGCAGGTAGATGACTGCGTCGTCCACCCCGATGTTTGGCTGGTACACAAACTGCAGAGGATCCAGATGAGAGCTCACCAGGGGGCGGAGGTTCCTCAGCACAAGTGTGAGGGCCACAGGTCTGAAGTGGTTGGGCTCCCTGGGGTGTGCTGTCTTGGGGACAGGACTCACGAAGGAAGTCTTCCACAGTGTTGGGACCCTCTCCAGACTCAGTCTCAAGCTGAAGATGTGCAGTAGCACCTCACAGAGCTGGTCTGCACAGTCCCTCAGGAGTCTGGAGCTGATGCCATCAGGACCCGTGGCTTTCCTTGGCTTCATCTTCCTCAGCTCACTTCTCACCTGGTCAGCTGTTATGGAGAGGCTGGGGGTGGTGCTGGAGGGGGTGGTGGTGGATGAGTGGAGGGGGGTTGATGATGCCGGTGCCATGGGACTGAGGTGGTGTGAAGAAGAAGCAGCAGACGGTTCGTTGGTTTGATGAGTCGGGGGAGGAGTGGGAGAAGAGTCAAATCTATTGAAGAACAGATTCAGCTCGTTGGCCCACTCCCTGTCTCCTGCTTCAGGTCCCCTCTCATAGCCCCTGCTATGACCTGAGATGGATTTCAGGCCTCTCCAGACCTCCCTTGCGTTGTTCTGTTGCAAAAGGTTTTCCATCTTGGTCTTGTAGCTGGCCTTTCCCTCTCTGATTTTCTTCTTCAGCTCCTTCTGCACCCTCCTCAGCTCCTCCTTGTCCCTAGATTTAAAGACCCTCCTCTTCTCCTTCAGGAGGACTTTAAGTTCCGGGGTCACCCAGGGTTTCCTGTTGGAGAAACACCGTACTTTCCTGGTGGGTACGGTGTTCTCAACACAGAAGTTTATATAGTCTGTGATACAGTCTGTCATGGTATCGATGTCATCACCATGTGGGCCGCACAGTACATCCCAGTCTGTAGTCTCAAAACAGTCCTGCAACGCCTCAGTGACCACCTCTTAACATACCTGATGGTGGGGGGTTGTTTCTTCACCATAGGTATGTAAATGGGCTGCAGTCTCACCAGGTTGTGATCTGAGCGGCCCAGCAGGGGGAGGGGGGAGGAGGTGTATGCATGCTTGGTGTTTGCATACAATAAGTCCAAAGTTTTATTGTCTCTTGTTGGGCAGTTTACATACTGGCTGAAGGTAGGGAGAGTGGAGGAGAGCGATGCATGATTAAAGTCTCCAGAGATGATGATCAGAAACTGAGGGTGCGATGTTTGTAGCTTGGACACTTCACTATGGAGGAGTTCACAGGCTGCAGCAGCATCAGCCGAGGGGGGGATGTAAACAGTTAACGCAATGACGTGTGAAAACTCCCTCGGCAGGTAATATGGCCGCAAACTCACAGCCAGCAGCTCAATGTCCTCAGAGCAAAGTTGCTCTTTAACACTGACGTGCCCAGCATTACACCATCTCTACACTGCTATCCCGCCTCCTTTCTTCTTACCACTCTCTCTAACGCTCCAGTCCACTCTGACGATGTGAAATCCTTCCAAAGTTACGAGCGGGTCCGGAGTGAGTTCGTTCAGCCATGACTCTGTGAACATCATGAGGCTGCACTCCCGATACTCCCACTGCAGCCTAGTCAGCACTGTGAGCTCTTCCATCTTGTTGGGGAGAGACCTCACGTTTCCCATGATGATGGACGGGACAGTTGGTTTATAACGTCTCCGCTTTGCCCGATGCTGAACTCCAGCCCTGCATCCTCTTCTTCTCCTGCAGAGCTTAGCGGGGATGTCTGGTCTCTCCCACGAAGGTGGCCGGGCTTGGCGCAGCGCCAACAGCTGTTCACAGCTGTAAACAATGGGGCCGCTGAATGGGTCGCCGGTCGCGAACTTAAAAACTCCGAAAAGTAAAAGAAAACAAAGTGCAAGAGTCATGAAATGCACATCCATGGTTGGAATATGCAAGACACAACACTGCTGAAAAAAAGAAAGATAAATTAGGCAATTAAGGCAAAAACGTAAAGTCTGTGAGGAGCTGATGTGACTTGCTGCCACTCTCAGGGCGCTCGAGTCACGAAGGCTTTTTTGCCAAAAGCATCACAACGAGCTCATCATCGCTTGAGGATGTTGTTGACTCAATTTCTTTGTTCTCCTCTCCTCCATAGCGTGAAAGAACTCGTGGCAAAGACAATATATATTTATTAATTCACTTTGCAAAATATATACGCATATTCGCTTTGCGCCCGGTGTGTATAGACGAAAGCAATTTTTCGGACCGGGGAATATTCGCATTTTCATCTCGCTTTTTCACTTCGCTCCGCAAATTCGCTGGTGTGTAAGGACCTTAAGGCTGTTTTCAAATTGGCCTACTGCACACTCCTGCCGACTGCAGTATGCAGTACATACTGCGTAATGTGTTCGATAGTAGTATGCAGTATGACTGCAAATTGGTCGGTATTATGTAGTATGCTTGGCCCGATTTAGCTGGTTTCTGGTATGGAAAAGTACGTTGTACCCTGGTAAATTGCCCATTCATTTAGGCGATGAAAAAAATCTTTTATGTGTTTCAATTTGATTTTTTCTGGATATTTTAGCCCAATACCAGCAATCGAAACGTGTTCTGTCTATGAAATGACTCGTCAATCTGGTGGCATTTGAGTCTCACTATGGCACTGTAAATACAGCAAAGTTATGTCAATTACGTTGTCCTCGTTTCTGCTTAAATGAAAGAAGTTGCATCTTCGCTAAACATGTTAACTGAAGGCGTCTGCGTGGTGTGGTCCTATTTTGCTTTGTCCCGATAGTTTGAAAACTACAGTAAAAAACCCTCTAATACAAACTCCTGTCTCATGCCAATTTATTTCAAATACCATCTTGGCTACTGATTAAGTCTAACTGCATTAACGTTTACTCACCTTTCTGCATTAAAGCTTTAGACCCCCTTAATGCCAGCTGCCTGTTCAGCTGTGTGATGTTAACATTGCTGATGGCACGCGCTGTGAGCGGTAAACAGTACGGACCGTACAGAATAAGGGATGAGGAGAAGCAGGAAAATTTGAGGTGAGGGAAATACAGGATAAAAACTGTATGGTATGGTAACAAACATTACATTCTTGTCAGTAGTTTGCACACATAATGCTGAAAGAAGGAGGAGAAGACAGGCTGTCGGAAGGAGAAATCTTCACTGTCCTCTTTGAAAATGAATACTTGGGTGGAAAGTTTCGCCGCTCTCCACTATTCTGCCGTCTGCCCAGGTGCTTTGCATTGTGGGTAACAGTAGGTGAAGCAGGCTGGTTCGATGCCTACTGCAAAATTTTCCCGAATCAGTATGTCATCTGGGTATTTTTGGCATACTGCAAGTTCCGCATTTGTTTGCCTACTGCAAACTAAAGAAACTAAGAGAGTGAGCACCCCAACTTCACTGGTTTTATCTCTTTCAAACTGGGAGTGTCCCCAGGGTGTGTGTGTGTGTGTGTGTGTGTGTGTGTGTGTGTGTGTGTGTGTGTGTGGAGAGAGAGGAGGGGTCACTGGTCTCCAGCTGCAGCTCCATGAGGGGAGACCTTCAGGATCCCTGATTATTTGATCCAACTTACACTTTTGGCTGGTAAAGTAGTCAGATCTGATCTTCACTCACTATAATTAATGTTATTGAATGCTTGTTTCAAAACAACAGATTTGATACTAAACACATATGGAGAAATGTAGTCAGTTTGAAAGGTAACAGAAACTCTGTCTCTTTTCACCAAATTGGTTTGGGTAATCTGAAAGTACAAACAAGTCTGGAAAGATTTATATGATCCAGTGTCTTGAGACCAGATAAGGAACCTTTCCTGTGAGGAATATGTGAGTTTCACACACAGGGTTGTCTAGATGCTACACATGTGACCCTAAATACTACACACTCTTCCTTTAAGTGGATGGTCCTATTTGCTTTGTAGATTATAAAGAAACCTCAGTGTTCATTTCAATCTGTTTCATCACCGTGTACAAACACAGAAGCTCTGAGCAGACTTTTAAAGCTTCATCAGACAAAATAGCTCCAAACAGCAGCTGCGCGACAAGAATTAAAATATGATTTCCTTTATCTATTTGCTTAACGTCTTAACTTCTTAAAATCTCAAAATCTGTTTTACTTGGTTGCACATAAATGCAAACTGTAAACTGATTTGAACATCAAATATCCTCAAATATTCAAATATAAATGTCCTCACTGTGAAGTTTGAGGACTGCACTGTAAAAATCAATTACATTGATTGTTGCTATTAAGCAACTCAAAAACAAAGCGCTTTGGTCAACAGACAAAAGCATGAAGAACAAAGAAGCATAAAAAATCTGAATAACAACAACGATAAAAATAAAAAACACAAACTTGAGGACATAAATGGAGAGTAAGAGGACCAAAGAAGAGAGTTGATGTGAGCAAATAAAAAAAGGATAACAATTTAAATGAGGTCAAAGAAATCTAAAGTTTAAAGTGACAAACAGGAGGGAAATAAGGCAGAGAAACAGACACAAGATTAAAAGATCAGAGCTTTAAAAAAGATGAACCAGGTAAATGAATAAAAGATCAGAGCCTCAAAAAAGAAAAAAAAACAGATAAATGAGAAAGATTAAAGCTTTGAAAGAGATAAACCAGATAAATGGATAAAAGCTGATAAGAAATCACCAGAAGTAAAAAATAATTACAACAATAAAGACGGATGAAATGCTTTAAATAGATCAATTTAATTATGATTCATTTAGATGTATTGCACTTTCATTTTTAAGAGAATTTTAAGAATTTAGTAAAAACTGTAAAAGAAATAAAAAAAGCAGCTAAAGCAATTTAAAAGAGGTAAATGCAATAAAGACATTGAAGATCAAACCTTTTAAAAGCAAATAAAGTAATTGACTTAATGAATGTGATGAAAATGATCCATAACAGCAATTAAGATAATTCAATTTTTAAAAAATGAGTCATTTAAAGCTAAGCCATGTGAGAGGAAATCCATAATTAGAGGGGAAATGAAAGGATTAAAAGTAAAAGAGGATAAAAGTTGTACTGAAGATATTTTTAAGTGTTCTATGGACTAAATGTAAAAATCAAATTGTATTAGAAAACAGGGGTTGGTCAGGTGAGACACTGTGAATTTAAATTTTGAATATTTTAAAAAGTTTATTTGCGATCAGTCTGAAACCACCAAACTCTGTGATGTGCTGTCTCTTATACATGTCAATGCCTTCAAACATTTTCAAACCAGTCATGAAAACATCCTATGAGAAAAAAACAGCTGTGAGAGATTTAAGGGAATAACCCTTAAATCAGTGAATTTCATCTCCTGCTCCTTCTCTGTCTTACATATCAACCTCGATTTACACCCTCTTTCGGCGTACTAAAGAGGATGAATTATCGATTAACTGACCGAATATCTGATTGGTTCCTCGGTAACACAACTTGATGGACTCACCTGTACGTGCAGTCGGAGCAGCTGAGCCTCAGATAGGAGTCCTCGGAGTGGGCAGCTGTGTGTGTTTGTCTCTGTGCCTCTTCCTGCAGGCGGAGACGGCCAGTTGGCCCCGCCCACTCTATTAACCACGCCCCCCACTACTCCCGGGATTATAAAGCCTTAAATTATTTCATCATCTGTATAGTCCACTCATTTCTTTGCCTACTGTTAAATTCACCTGCGCTAATACCAAATACAAAAATCATTCAACAGCCAACACAGTACTAAGAGCTTCTGTGTGTAGAAAAAGTATTATTCAGCGCCATCTAGTGGTCAGATTCCAGACAGGAACACTCCCTTGCTCACCCCTCTGGCCTGTGAATAGACAGTGGCCTTCGAGGACAAGAAGCTCCTGTGATGTTTGATAACTCTGTTTCCCTGTATTCATACAAATTATATAAAAAGCACAGACTCCCTCTTCCTTCAACCTGGTTATTCCACCTTAGATATAAAGACATATGTCAGTGGTCTGTCTGTTCTGTGGGCCTGTGCAACTCCTGTTACCTTTGCTTGTCCTCAGCTGTTTGAGTGTAACTTCACAAGATGATTCAAATTCCTCATTTCAGTGCAGGCGGCTGGCTGCAGACTGTACACGTTGAATTAACAACCTGTAAATATGACTTTATCCTTGTCAAACTATGACCTCACTTTTATTAATGAACATTTTCAAAACTTTACTCTTATTAGAGACTTTATTCTCATAAATTTGATAATTTTCTCTTAAATGTATGACTATTTCCTCTTTGATAAAGCCTATAGTCAGGGCTGATTTGAACCAGCTCTTAGTTATGCTGCTATAGGCCTAGACTGCCGGGGCTATCTGGCACACAGAGCTAGAGTCTGTCTCTATCTCCTCTTTAGATCTTTATGTCCCATATAAGTCACTGACCAGTTTTCTGTCTCTCTGAGTGTCTCTGAGTCTTTTAGCTGCCACTGGACTAATGCTGCAAACGGTCTGCTGCGGAACTGCCTGACCCCAGCTGCATCCACCCTGGGCCCTGAGCTCCTCCATCTCTTTGGCTCCTCTGGACCGTTGCTGCAGACGGGGTCTCTGATAAAGCGCTATATGAAATCTGATGCATTATTATTATTATTAAGGATAGACCTCCTCCACACCCATCTCAAATTCGTCCTCCGACATCTTACCGCTAAGCGATTGAGTCACGTAGCCTACACTAATTACCATTTCACCACTCTGTTCTTGCACAACCCATGACTGTCGTAAACTCAAAATGGCGCTGTGTGCTTGTCGTAAATACACTCTTGAATTCGGGTTTTCCTATTAAACAGCAGATTTTTTTTACAAAAAAAATATTTCAGACTCTCTCCTAATTGATTTTTTTTACCACGTGAGGATGCCAATGTGGTGTGTTTCATGTCCTCTTTAAATGCCCAGATGTTTTTCATGAAGTCAATAATTAGCACAGGTGAATAATTATTTGTATTAAATGTAAATAAATATTTAAGTATCTAGAGTGTGAATACAGTATAATCAGAGCAGCAGTAGTACAAGTTTAATTCTTTTCAGTTTTTATTATTTTTCCTTTGTATTCTCTGACAGCCAATTAAAATCCAGTAAATCCCCTATCAGATTTCGACAGCAGCTGGTTATGATGCAGCGCTCTGACTGGACAAGCAGAGCAGCAATACCCCCCTCAGGACACAGCCAGTTTACAACAAACTGAGTTTATTGTTCATTAGACCAACTGTCCTCTACTGCACACACAAACCATTACAAACATCTGTGAACCCTCTCACACACATGCTTATTCTTCTATTATTGTGAGGACCATTGTAATGTAAAACTAAGTTGTTACCTGAAATCTGAAACAAGAGGACGTCCCTGAATGTCTTTACAGACATTTCCACACAACACTGCAATTTAAAAAAATGAACAAGGTTCTTGTGATGATATGTATAAAGCACACACACACACACACACACACACACACACACACACACACACACACACACACACACACACACACACCGGACTTATGAAGGCCAAAAAAAAAAGTACAACCATAGTCTTAAAACAATTAAGGTTGTGTCTGAATGTCCACAAATAGCAGATTTAATAAACCAACATCCAAAAATTGGCCACCTAAGATCTACAATTCTTAAAGACATATGCTTTTATCTCTACCCACAAGGGAACCATCACGTTAGAAATGAACCAGAACCTAGACCTGTAGACAATTAGGACATCTGACTGTCTGCACAATGTAGAAATGTCCTCATAACACCACTTTAAACCCAAGAGGTCCTAATGCAAATTACCCCACTGTGGGGAACCTGCCTGAAGGTCATTATGATGCAGACTAATAAAGTTGATCTTGTCTAAATAGTCATGTTTACAATTCTCACACATGCACTTGTTTTGTATCTATATGGAGGCCAGCTCTATACATGAGCTGTCACCTGGACCGTCAAACAACTGATAAAAAGCTTGAAAGTCAAACCAAAGCAGAGTTTTTATTCTAGTATTTTATATTTCTCTCTGTTTATTGTTGCACCATCATGCCAAAACAAATTCCTAGTCTGTGAATCCTGTTCTTCGACAATGGCAATAAAACCCCTTCTGATTCTGAGGATGGATCTTGAGTTTTTCAGACACACACACACACACTTGTTTTTTTATTTTTGTGGGGACCATTACTATAAAAGTTTACCCAGATCTTTAAACAATCAGGTCCATGCAAAGCAGAAATGTCATTCAATGCTTCTGAAAAACTAAAAGAGGTCCTCAAAAATACAGACACAGGATTAACAACACACACACACACACACACACACACACACACACACACACACACACACACACACACACACACACACACACTTGCATTACTTTAATATTGGGAATGCCTGTTAAAGAAATGACTGGCTGCCTGAAGCCCTAACCAAACAGGACCTGTGTGAAGATCCTTACTACATTGGTTAAAAAACTGAAGCTAGTCCTCACAAAAATAGATGAACAGAACACACACACACATACACACAGGAACAGAAACGTCTTTGGCAGGAAGCAGCTTCTTATTCTGGACAAATCACGACACAGGAGCTGCACAGAAGTGGACGTGATGTCATCAGGAGGCAAAGCATGCACGCATACATGCCCACATACAGCCACACACACACACACACACACACACACACACACACACACACACACACACACACACACACACACACACACACACACACACACACACACACACAGAGATAGACAGCAAACAGTGTGAAGTGTTGTAGATGTGAATATCACTTTGTGTTGAAGTCCAGGTGGGCCATCAGCTCCACCTGCTGTCAGATTTAGGTCAATGCACTACACAGCAACACAGGGATTATGGGCAAAGAAGTTGAGGTAATATGTCTTTTAACCAATGTTTGCTTAAAAAAAGAAAGATTATCTGTGATTTACCTGTAACTCTAGATTTATTTATTAAATACTTTTTGACACTGTGTCAACACTCATTCATCTATTAATCTAAATTTTGCTGATAAAATCTTTTTGTTTTTACTTAATTTTTTTTCTAATTCTGTCTTGAGGCTCTAATAGAACAAATATTTGAGTGTTGTCTGGATTTGTTTTCATTAGTCGCAGACTAAAACAAAATAAAGTTACTTCAGAATAGCGTTTGTACTCCTCCTTCGCTGACTCACTCCCTTAGACCAAACCAAGATGTGTCAGTCCCCTCATTCATTCAAGACCCCAGAATGCTACGAGCTAGTTTCAACCCCTAAACAGAGCTTTCAGTCGCTCTGCCCCCCAACTCTGGAACTCTTTACCATCACACATCCGCAACATAGACTCCCTCCCCCTCTTCAAATCCAAACTCAAGACACACCCGTTTAAACTGGCCTATCCATCCCACCACTCCTAACTCATTCTTTTAATTTAATTTAATTTGGTATTATTTATTTCTTTATTTATTCCTTTGCTGTTGTTTATGCTGCTTTGTTGATTTTAACTGTTTTGATGATTGATGATTTTAATTGTTAATAGTGTTTTGTTATCACTGTTTTATATGTTCTGTAAAGTGTCCTTGAGTGACATGAAAGGTGCTCCAAATAAAATGTATTATTATTATTATTAAACAGCCCACATTCATTAGTTTCCTGCAAAACCTTAAAGTGAGAGTAATCTGACCTTTCTCTGTGAAATCCACTCACCATCTCCATGTCACTTCTAACAATCAGCTGACAGTTTCACTCTTTAAGGCGTTCATTTTTAGATTTTAAGGCAGTATTCCAAAGTCAGTTTAATAATACCCTCTTACTTTTAAGGCGCTTGTTTTTCTTAAAGCCACTTGTAATAGTCTATGTCATATATTACACACTGAACTCTGACAGTTTGAACAGATGTCAGACTTTTTGAATGGCGGTTGGTGGTTACAGAGCGTTGGCATGCTGAATGGTTAAGAGTTAAAAAAAGACTGAACATTGTTTGCTCCTTCAGGCTAAATCCTTGATAAGTTCTGATTAAGTTAGTATAGTTAAGGTATTTCTATGGGGAGAAATGTTGATACAGATAATGGTGTCCAAAATAAAAAGGTTGTTTTCTGACACATGATAGTAACATGCATATCATTTACCTAATGAGTAAATAAATGGTTTTAGCACCATTTATAATCTACTTTCCAAAAATCTACCTTAAATAAAAAATGTAAAAAATAAATAGTTTAAGAACTTCAACTTCAAAATTTCTATAACTGACCAATAAATTCGGTCTCCTTAAAATAATTCTGATGTGGCAGTATCTGGCAAACACAAAGCTTGGTCTTGATGATGGTGTTATTTGTATTTTCAGACTGAAATAAAGGAATTAGTAATTGACTATAAGGGATTTTAAGGTAGGCTGTAGGCTTAACTGTAGGCTTAAGAAAGGTGGACAAAGACTACATGACGTCACCCACAGTGTTTCTTAAATAGGCGATTCAAAACACAACAATATCTTGGAGATCCTGATTCAACCTAACAAAAGGTTTACTTAGCAAGAGGCGCAAAGATTCTGCAGGCCTTTTGTCCTCCCATCTTACAGCTGCAATATTCCCAACTGTCAGTCAAGTCAGCATCGCCCCTCTATCTAGTGCTTGTGATGTAGACATAAATCACTATTTAAAAACAAAAATGAGCCCTAGAGACAAAAACTGTCTCTGTACCAGGCCATGTATACCTCTGCTATCATTTTTAATAAGAATGTTAATGGGATCTACTGGGATTTTGGAGACAGCCAAACACTAGAAGAATTGCAGCTTTTGGCACTTGTGCACTGGCATTATCCTCAGTATTAGAGGTTATTGTTCATTTGTTTCTCATTTATTTTAGATTTATTTAATCAAGGCTATGTACAGACTCCCCTTTCCAACCAGGCCATGCCCCCATTTCTTTTTCCTTGTCTCTTAAAAAAGGGGTGTCTAATTTTTCACCAAAGGATGAAAATTTAAAGGCAAAAATTCATCTTTTTAGATCAGATACAAGTTTTTACATCTTAAAACACACTACATCCCCTTCAAATAATCTAAAAAATCTCTGCCACATATCTATCAATGAATGAATAAATCAAGATCGGACTGAACCTACTAAAATGGTTCATTCTAAAAAATTAACAGTGATCTTTAAGCAAACGGCCATGAGTGGTGGTGTAATGGTTCAACTCTGTATGAGGTCACAGTGATGTCTTTGGGGAAAAGACAGAGAGAGTAAGAGAGACGGACAGAGAGAGAGAGAGAGAGAGAGAGAGATGAAAGAGAGCACATTCAATCAACACACACACACACACACACACACACACACACACACACACACACACACACACACACACACATACACACACACACATCCCTCAACCAGAGCCCATAATTAATAATAATAATAATTATTATAATAATGATAATAATAATCCATAACAGTGATAAAGCAGAAATCAGCAACATGGTCCCATGTGGCTTCATCATCATCTTCATCATCCTCATCATCAGTCCTTCTTGTCTCTGTGTGAAGTCCACTGAGTACATTGAGTGTCCAGGAAGCCAGTCTATTTGTCTCTAATTAACAGATTTGTATTAACTGTAACTAACCGAAACTCAAGATCTACCTGAACCCTTCAAACAAACACTCAATCACCTCACAGTGACCTCCTGAAAACACCTGCCTGCACCTCCGACAGCTCTCGGTTCAGCTCCTCTGACTCACTCCCCTGTGGATTAACAATCTGACCACTTAATAAACTAATTTTTTTTCCCTCAACAACAAAAAAGGACTGACTAATGTAACGGACCGACCTACAATAACCCTGATCCTGATCTCTTCCGTCTGTCTACCAGACCTCGCAGCGATTCCCAGTGTTCATTGGTGTCCCAGTAGGACAGTTGAAGTGGTGGCTGAAGTCCGGGGAGTTGGCTAGTGTGCCGATGACTCTGTATCTTGGGGGGCTGTGGGGGTCAGTCATTAAACCTTCATGAGCGCTCTCTGGAGTGCGAACTGAGCACCACACCTGTCAAAAATAAAACATAAAAAAATTGAAGACGGCACTTTTTTTTCAAGTAGCAACAGTAAGTGCTGACAGAAAAAAAAGAATCAAAATTTGACCAAATTTTCAGTTCCTCGAGCCACCACTAGAGTCTGGCTTCAAAAGTGAGTCAGTCTCCATTGAGCGCCATGTTAAAATATTTAACCTGTCATCATACATCATTAGTGTTTGTAATATTTCTTTCCGTTTTACTCAAACTGTCACACACTAAAACTGATCCTCGACTTTAATCCCCACCACAAGTTTTGCTCTGTCTCCTCCAGGATTCCTAGACTTCTTAAAGCCTTTAAGATAGATGCATGGTTTTATTGTATCAGCTTGCTAAAAGCTTTAACATGAAAACAAACTAATGTTCACGTGCAAAGTAGGAGTTCAGCAGACATTCCACTCTATTCTTTCTATTCTAGTTAACGCCGGCTCAGCATTTGTGTTGTTCATGGTCCCTGTTAAATAAGGAATAGGAGACCCCAGAATTGAACCCTGTGGGACACAGATATCATGGGCACTCAAGTTCCAAATGTCTCACCTGAGCAAATCCCACAAAGAAGAGCTGATCATTGGTCAGGTTGACGGCAGGAAGCCTCTTCTCCTCTCCAATCCTTTGGACCCAAGAGCGATAGGCCTGGAGAAAGAGACATATCAGTCCTAATTATGGATGAAAATATTGTGTGATGTTGCCAACCATTAGCAACACCTATGTGTGGAAATGATCCTTCCGTTCCTAAAAGTTTAATGTAGAAGTACTTCTCACACCACAGACTCCAACCAGAGAACCTTTAGTTACGTTACTTCAAAACACAAATTTCCAAAAAATTAGATAAAATCAGGAGTTCAGTTTTTATTAAGTGTTAACTGCATGAAGCAGATCTTCCTTTATATACATATAAAAAAGATTTTAACAGATGTGTCACAAGTGGTGAGTAATTTTTTCAAACATTATGATGTGATGTCTGGTGATGGAAAAACCTATAAAAAAGTTATCATGCTTTAGATGATTCTATATGATTTTATATGATTACAATGTGATTTAATCCTTTCAGATGGATTTCAGTATGATTTGAATCATTGAAGAATGATCTTAAACTCTTAACCTTTTAGCTCTGCAGAATGGGATATGAAAGTGTTGAACTCTGTACCATGTGTTGTGCAAAGAAGTGAAAACACCTATGTTCCTTAAAAATAATGCCATACATATGCAAAGAATTACCGAAACAATCATGTTCCTCTTTTGTAAAGGTCAATCGAAAGTATTGCAAAAGTGACCACTGCAGATGTGGATGACTATGCATAATCACGAAATAAAAGAGTGCTGTTGGAGAGGAACTGGCAGAGAGGGACTGATCGAGGACTCGAGAGGTTCTCCTCAGCCGTTCTCTCCTTGCAAGTAAAAAGTCTTTTGGTCTCTTCTGTGTTCCTGAATCCTCCGAGTTTGTTAAATATGTCCACTTGAACCTGACATCTGGTCTCCTGTGGTTGATATACAGATGGTGTATTTATACTCACATGGTAGGCTGCCTTTAGTCCTCCGTTGTCTGCAATGTTTTCTCCGAGCGTCTGTTTTCCATTGACATGTTCCCCGTTGACAGTGTAGTGGCTGTACTGATCCACCATACACTCTGTCCTCTGACGAAACGCCTCCACTGACGAGTTCTGCCACCACGGCCTCAAGTTTCCTTCTTTATCGTACTCACGACCTGATGGTGGGAGGGAGGACATCTTAATGAAGAGTTTGAAGATTTCTCCTTTAGTTACTAAGTATTGATCCACCACTGTCTGCTGCCAACATGGAGGAGTCAGAAGCTTTACTAAGGCTCAGCATGGACAGTCTGTCTCACCCTGATCATCAAAGGCGTGGGTGAGCTCATGACCCATCACCACCCCGATCCCACCAAAATTCAACGCCCTGTAAATGCAAACACACAAACACATACATAAGCATAGGAAGTTTGTACGAGTCCAGACACTTAAGTAAGAGACCCTCTAAAGCCCTGCCAGCGTCCCCTACAGGCTGCAAAATTCATTGCAACTAAAACATGCTGATGATACAATTCATCAGTCTGTATTAGAGAAGAGCCAGCCATCACCACTGTGTGTCATTACACTTTTACAGTTTTACAGGTGTGCACACAAACACACATTCACACACACGCACATGCACACAAAGACAGGTAGATAAAGAGGTGCACAGACTTGGGGTGGTCATGAGCGTAGAAAGGAGCTTGTAGGATCCCAGCAGGGAACACAATGCCGTTCTTAGTGGGCATGTAGTAAGCATTCACTGTGGGAGGAGTCATACTCCACCTAAAGGAGAAAAGGAGGGGACAAGGAGACAAGGAAAGGAGATAAGGAATGGAGAGGAGCAGGTTATTAAACTTTGACCTTCATGTTCCTCCACTGAACTAGAAATTTACACCAGCTGACCGAGAGATTCAATATGAGTAAGATCAAATATGCAGCTATTCAGGATGTGCTACTCTGTAAAGACCTGAAAACCTGACAGTTCACACTTTCTGCTAAATCCATCTTTTTGGAACTTGACACATCACCATCTTGGTTTTTCATGTTTTGGGGATAAATTGACTGATACTTGGACAAGAGGCTGTGCTGTAAAGTCCCCTGACTTGTTAACAGGTCACCACAGTCGAGTTGAGATAATTCCAGGTGTTCTCTGAATACTCTCTCTTTTTCCTGGTCTCTGCTGGACTCTGCATGGACCATAATTTCTGAAATTTACATCACACTTTTTCAAGAAAACTGTAAACTATAGACTGAGCCCAGAAACTGATCAAGAAGATGTTTACTAAGGGAACAAATCAGCTGAGAGGGAGGAACATTTTCTCAGAAACTTCTTTTCATTAGATTGATTTTACAACCAAAGAAGACGCCCCATGCTGGTTAATGCAGGTTGATGCATTCTTACTGGTCTTTGTTGGGAGTCTTCCTCAGCTGGTCGGCCATCACTCGGGCTGAGAAGTTGTAGAAATTTAACATGTTCTGGAAAAAGCTGTCGTCTGAGACTTCATACTGAAACACAGAGTTTAATCACATGTTGATCATGGGGGCAAACAGCAGGGGGGCAGCAAAGGATCTCCTACAGCAACAACAGCACAACCAAGCCCTCCTCTCATCATGTAGTGATCTTCCTGGACTGCCAGTCTGTAGGTGAATAAGTGAATGACAGTTCATACTCACCCCGTCATAGACATCGTCCAACTCTTTAGGGTCCAGGATGAATTCTGGGAAACCAATCATGTCGTAGATTGCATCTGCCTAACAACGGGCAGACAGACAGAGAATCCACTCAGCGTCCTCTTTGAGATTTTGGTCCTTTTCCACCCTGGCTTTGTTCGTTCTTATTTTGGGCTTTTCAGTAAAGGCTAAAAGTTTAGGAACTGCACTGGTGCGTCTTCTCAGTCAGCAGCAGAGAGTTTGGTCAGAAACAGCTGCCATGCAGCAGTGCAGATAGAGTTTTTAATTGTTTTAGAATGGAAAATTAATATTCTGCTGACGTGCAACATGATGATCTTTGTATGAGGTCTGTTCTGTAACTTCTTTTCTTTTCAAGAAATACTAAACACTCAGATGATCAATACCACATGTTACGCTAGATTTTTTTTTTACCATATGTATCTTCCTGTCTTTAAGTTGTTACCTTATTGCATATCAGCAAAATGTAATTTTTCCACTTCCCTCAGAACAGAATGTACTGCATGTAAATAATATCTGTCCCAGACTAAAGTGGTCCTGACTGAATCTAAAACTCTTTGTGATTGCTTGTTGAACCCTGAATGGCTCACTTACTCCATAGAATAACAGTCTACCAGTTACACTTGACTAAAGGGACTAATTTTCACAGTTTGAAGGTCCAAACTTATTAATTTGTACAAAGGTCCATAAAATAGGCCCCTGATCTAAAGGTGCCTGGTGTGTTGTCTACTTCTACCTGTGCATACCTTGTCTTTAGCAGCCTGTCTGGTGTGGTCGTCCATCCAGCTGAGTTTGTCCAGAGATTCCTTAAACGCTGAGCGGATTTCATTGATCATCTCCTCAGCCTGAGAGAAGAAGAGAGAAACAGGTGATGAACTCCACCTCTACCTGATCCAGGACCATCAGTAGAGTGGTCATGATCATTGTATCATCAAGTGGAAACAGGCGGTCACTCACAATCTCTTTGCTGTGTTTGTCAAAAGTGGCCTTCACAAAGAGCGCCCCCAGAGCAAAGCCCAGAGTGTCATCAGTATTCCCGATGCAGGTCTGCCAGCGGGGGGTGCAGGACTGGAACCAACCAGGACCAATTAAAACCAATCACAACCAAATTTACGTACTGTTACATACAGTTACAGCCAAGAAGAAGGATACGTTTATTGGTCCTCGAGGGGAAATTCAACGAACCAGTTAGAACCATGAACTGTTTATAAATATGGATGACACATGTCCACTTCCCCTGGTTGTACTAAATTGAAGCTATGGTAACCCCCAGCAACAGGTGCTAACAGAGTGAATGTATGTGGTCTGAGTCAATAAGAGAAAACCTGATCTGGTTTGCATTTTAATCTTCCAGTTTGACCAATGCCCCATCTGTTAACATGGGGGAATGGGGGTAGGCGAACATTATGACTTACATTGCAACCAGTCAGTCAAATTAGCTCTTTCTGCATTTGCTGTATTCCATGGGAGCTGTTTTGTCATCCTTTTGATATACAGTCGATGGTCAGAAATAATTTAATGCTATATCTACAGGGTCTCTACGAGGGCAAAGTTTTGTTCAGCAGACTAAAACCATAAACTCTATATAGAAGTGACGTCATCTGCCTTCTCACTGGATGAAGCCTGCACAAGAACAGCACCCTCTGGTGACAGGCTGTAGTACATATTGTAAATCCCTTCTCCACTAGCAAATTTAATGAAGTTGTGGACAAACTTTAGAAATTTAATACACAGAATATACATTTTTCTCCCCCCTGGTTGCGATGTTGACAGTAGTTTTATGTAAGACTGGTTTGTGCTCAAGTCTTCTTGTTTCTGTGCAGCTCCGTTTTTAAAAGTTATTGGGGGTTCATGTTTTCTATGATTAACACTTGATACAGCCTATGGAAGCTATGGAGCTACGAAGATTTCGTAGCTCATCCAGGGGATACACTGTTTGAGCAGGGTGTCATCACAGCCACTCACCCACTGAGTGCTACAGCGCAAATCCCAGTTTCAGGAAGTGGAGAAAATTGAGAGCAATTTTAAATTGCTTTAAATTCGTATGATGACAGGAGGCGAAGCCAAGTTGTTCACAGTGTATACAGTCTATGAATTAAACCAATTGCAGGATTTTACAAACCAGTAACAGCCTGGTTTCAATCAAAACCGGATAAGCTGTTAGTTTCTTCAAGTTCTGCACAATTTACAGTGGGTAGAATCAGTTTAACAGCTACAAAAAACAGCCAGAACCAACAGAAAGACTTAAAAGTGGGGTCGGCAGGATCTGAGGAAGTGCCAGTTTTTGTGAGAAATCTTGAATGTAAAAACTACCCCTCCCAACCAGTTTTCCCCTCAGCTTCTCTTCTCCCCCCTGTCTCTACTCCAGCAAGCCCCGCCCACAAACAGACGCCCCTGCTCGCTTGCATTTTTCCAATGAAATTCAGAGATAATACAGATAAATACTTCAGATAATTACAAATAGAGCCCAGTCAATGTGAAAGTAAAGAGCATTGGTGCTACTGTAGATGCCAACAGACTACCAGTAAACACAATGTTTGCAGGACTTCTACAACCAGAATAAAGTGTCATACTCCAGAACCTGAGGTAAACAGTTTAGTGGTGCTTCAACACACAGCAAATTCCGTTTGACAAGAAACACTTCTGTTACAGACACTTGGCTTACTTTGTTAAATTGGTTTACCTGTCCAGCAGAAAGGTAAAGGGTCCGTAAGATCCCGAAGTGTCCCAAGGCATTTATGCTGATGTTGACCCTGCTTTTTAGCTCTTCTCTGGACTACCTCCTTTTTAAGTGCCCATTATTCTCCCAGAGTCTCTGGTATCTATTTTGTTTTCTTGCTTGTGTTGGCAGTCGTGGCCAAAGGAAGATTCAGACAATTTTCTGGTTGGTTTCCACTTTACGATATTGTGGCACGCTAACTTTGTTAGGGCTCGTGCACATTATTCGAGGATGTGGAGCGTTCCTCACAACATGGGGGAGCAGCGTCTGCCTCACAACCAATCAGGTTGGGGAGGTGGAGAACGGCTTTATTTACAGTAAGAAAGAGCGAGCCGCTCAGAAATTTAAAAATGTTGACTACACAAACATAAGAAAACGCAGCGATATTGTGATACTCCCGAATGTCATCAATAACTAATAGCTATTGACTGATATTAAATGCTTTTTTGTATATACACCACAAAAAAGATGCTTCTTTAACAGATTCCTATCCCACCTTCAAGCCTTTCCTGTGTCTTATTCACTAGATTCATCAGCTCCACCATCACCAGCAAAAGTGGTATAGTATAGTGGCCCAACTTGGTCCCAACCGTTTGAGACACTTTAGAACTATTCACAGCCAAAACCATCTCAGAAGAACTGTTGAAAACTTGTTTACAGGTGCTGATAAAACCAGCGTCAACACCAACACAAGCGCTGCTTCTTCGCACACTGACCCAGTAAGGGTGAGTTAGGTAAGATAAACAGACTTGTAACAGTCCAGAGGACACCACAGTGAGAATCCAATGGGGACACAGGCAGAGTGAAATAACAAGACTAGGACCAGTTTAAATAGAGTTAGTAAGAGATTGCTGGGAATGGAAAAGTCTACCAACTGTCAAGATGGTAACATTAGATGGAGCTGTACCTGCTGTAGTACAAGAAAGAAAGTACCAGTACCAGGAGTACAAATAGTAGTACCTTTGAAAGAGAAAGCAGAAGCGTTTGAGGAATTTGTACCTTTTTGGTCCCGTAGAGACTCTCCAGAAGTTTGTCCTGAGCATTCTCAAAGCGCTGATCCAAACTGGCCACACTCTTCTGGACCAATGTCCACATCATGTAGTTATTCAATAGACTGAGGACAGAAGGGCAGAAAAACAAACATATGTGTATATATATATATATATATATATATAGAGAGAGAGAGAGAGACTGGTTAGAAAGTTGACTCAATTAAAAAAACAACAACACTGAAATGCCAAAACCTGCAGTTCTCCTCCTGTCCACTAGAGACTCTGTCCTGCATTGAGTCAGTCCCTAGCAAGCCTCATGTTAAAAGTTTACAGCACAGTCTGGGGCAGAAACAGGATGGGTCATTTCTCTGGTCAGGACCATAGACTGTATATACTATGGACAACTTAGCTCTGCCTTCCGTCATTACACGAATTTGAAGCCGAATTGCTCTGGTTATTTCCAGGATTTTCTCCACTTCCTTAAACCACCACTTGCGTAGTAGTGTTGTACGCATTTAGCAGGGGGGTCTCTGTGATGATGCTCTGCTCAAACAGTGTATCCCCCGGGTGAGCTACGCAATATTCATACACCCATAGGCTGTATCAAGTGTCAATCATAGAAAAAAACAACCCCCTAATAACTTTTAAAAATGGAGCTGCACAGAAAAAAGGTGACTTAAGCACAAACCAGTCTTACAGGAACTACATGTCAACATCGCAACCAGGGGGGAGAAAAATTTATATTTTGTGTAATACATTTCTAAAGTTTGTCCACAGCTTCATAAGGATTGGCAGAGGAGGCAGGATTTATGACCTATACTGCAGCCTGTCATGAGAGGGTGCTGTTCTCAGAATGGCTTCACCTAGCCAGAAGGCAGACGGCGTCCATTCTATATACAGTCTATGATCAGGACACCTGTACAGACTGAATTTATTGATTAGAGATGAGTGCCTAAAGAGATGGTTACTAGGGGTGTGGTCTGTTTGAGTGACATATGGAATCTTCTAGGTTTGTAGTTTGATTGCAGAAAGAAACACTATGTTTAACTAGCACTGCCCCCCCCCCCCCCTTCACCCACCCACCCACCCACACACACACACACACACACACACACACACACACACACACACACACACACACGTGGTCATTTCAGTTAACCAAGCAGCCACAGACAGATGGTCTACACACCAAACTGAAGGCTATAAGGTGAAAGCTAACACACCAGTGTGTCACACCAGGGCAGCTACATTCCTTCTCACCTGTGGTCTGTCTTGTTGATTAGGTCAGACACCTGCTGCAGGTATTCTCTGGCGTACAGGACGACAGGCTCTGTGTCATTTAGCTCTAGTGGAGCCAGAGAGGACGACAGGTAGTCCAACCACTCTACGGCCGGAGCCAGCGCCTGAAACACCAACAAAGGAAAGAGACATCAGATACAGAGAGTGTCAAGTCCTTGTGCTGCGATTGGCTATGAGCTGCCTCAAAGTTTGCGTTCAGGTTTTTATCTCCTGTTGCAACTTACAATGAAATAACAGCTCATAAAGTTATAACGGCTCATTATGTAATAACTTTAATATAATTAAGTTCATAATGTAATAACTGACTTATAAAGTAATAAATTGTTATATTATTACATTATGCACAGAGATATTATTACGTTATACACTCATGATTTTATTAGATTATGAGCCATTATTACATTTTGAGTTGCTACACCTCCACTGATCCAAAATTCCCAAAAAAGGCTTTTAAATGAACCTGCTTGTCCTGCCCATCCTGTGAATAGTCTTGGTTTTTTATTTCATAACAAAGGTGTCAGAGAAAAAGGCTTTTTGCGTTGCAATGCTGTTAGTGGCCAGTAGGAAAAAAAAACAGACAATAAACTGAGTGGGGCTGAAAACCCATGTTGACCTGAGACTTCTTTGGTGCCCACATTCATGTACCAGCGTTGCATTTAGCTTTATTTCACCCCCAGCATACAGTGACATCATCACCGGTACAGTGCTGACAATGAAGAGCACCCTGAGAGCCAAAATCAGGTAAAGATGCTACCACACCCTCTTTAGGTGAGCTGTGAGAAGTGAGGGAGACCCAGCAAGATGACCCAGATTTAAATAAAGCGACGTCTTCATTGGAGAAGACTGTTGGGGTCCGCAGCAGGACTTAAGATCGGAGTGAAAAAGATTCAGCTCAGATGTGGTTAAAGTTTTTCTGTTAACCAGATCTGTCCATCCCTCGGTGTGTCTCAGTAACCCTCAGTGTGGGAGCAGACTGCACCACCCAGGGGGGAGGTGCCGAGATGAAAAACTAATCCCTGTTGATTCTGCCTGGGCTCCAAGCAGTCAGTCAGAAACTAACAGGAGAAACTTGTGCAGAGCAAAGCTAGAGCACTGACTGACTGTTTCTGACAGCAGCCGTTCACATGTTTGATAATGAGACACTGAATCAGAGCTGTGAGAACTCAGGACAAAGGTTTAGGTTTGACTACTACTACTCTACATCCAGATGTGTCTAAAAATGAGTCGGTCAGCAGAGGGCGCGGCTGGACCAGCCAAATGAATCTCAGTCAAAAGGAGATCCAGACAGGAGATAAAAGTTAAAAAGTTTCTTACCCTGTTTGTGTTTCATTATTATCAGTTTAAGAAATATTCCAGTTAAAGAAAAACTTCCAGCATGAGCCCAGACTCAGAGGTAACCCTGAAAGGTGAGGGTATGTGACGGTTTTACAATCTAATGGGTCTGTCAGTGAGGGAGCAAAGCTGCAGACCCTCAGGCAGACAGGAACCAGAGCCTCACATGTAGGGAAATTAAGAAATAATATCAGTAAAGAGACAGAAGTGAGAGGAGGTCATGTGACGTGCCCGAGGTTTCAGACAGGATGTTGTTAGAGCCCGCAGCGGGTGATGCAGCAGGTAAAGTCACACCTGTCAGGTGTTATCACAGAGGATGTTCCCCTGCAGGAGGACTCTGAGGCACCTGCCAAAATGTGAAAAAAAACAAAGAGAAACGGAAGATCTAAGCTGAACCCTCAGAGATGCCACCACATTTATGAAGACAGGACAGAAAGACAAGATGTGCTCTATAGGGACAGTCTGGGGTTTATAATCAGGGGTTGTTACCAGTAGAGTCCCAAAAAAGAGCCCCACCTAAAATATTTCCAGGTCCCCCAAAATAATTTCAACAATTCATCACATCTTTAGGAAAATTAGGTTTCAGCATTCCTGCTGGTTTCCTCAGATAGGGCCTGAGCTTAATGTTAACAGCAGAAAATATGCTTAGCCAAAGAGATGTTCTCTTAAAAGGCTCAAAAGTCCCCTTTGAGTACAGCTGCTTCTATGATTAGAAATCATCTCAACATAAACCCAGACAAAGTCAGTAAATCTGGATCTGTCCTGAAATGAACTGGCTGTGTTTCATTAGATGTAGAGGGTGTCAGACTGCAGGGTTTCAGTCAGATGGTTTTTAGGGTTATTTTTGCCAGTTTTACTTAAAATATGGACAGAGAGAGAGGACATGCACCAAATCCAGTCAAGGCTGGAACTGGATTTTACAGGCAATGGTAGGAGGGCTGCAGCCTCTGCACATGAGTCACCTGCCCAACCTACCGAGCCAATCCAACAACTAAGTCAGCAAAATGTGTGAACTCATAAACTACAGAAATATGACCTCAGTGTGGCAGAGAATCTTCAGTCAGTCTGGTGTGGTCAGATGAGTTCAGCAGAAACTTTTTCAGTGCACTGCACTTTTTAGAGTTGGATAATTTAAGTCTCAAATGACTGTGTGATCAGATCAAAAAGGAAGAGTCAGACTGTAGGGAGTCTAAGTTTTTATGTAAATAGTCTCTCAGAGGCTTCATTCTGGTTTACTGTTCATCTGTCTGTTGTGAGTCTCGGTGGCCCTCATTTATCAAGCTTGCGTACGGCAGAAAACTTGCATACACCTTGCGTACGAAATTTTTGACGTGAGGATCGGCATTTATCAACCTGCACGTGAGCATACGCTACGACCAAATCTCACGACAGGTCTGACATCGTGTACGTTCATCTGTCTGCAGAAAGTCTCAGTTTCACTGTAAATAGTCTCTCAGAGGCTTCACTTTGGCTTCCTTTAGTAGTATGAACCTAAACAGCAACCGGTGTTCTTGTGATTTTCTCCTTATTAACTGGTCTTCAGTTGACTGAAATAACATCTGAAGTCCCAAGTCTAGCTTTTACAGGTCTGTTCCCAAGAGGAGAAGTAAACATCTTGTAAAATGTTTGTTTGTTGAATGGAGGTCAGCTCCATCATTTCTGATGCATTCAGAGAAGTCTGTAAATCTGGGCTGCACTTGTTTTTAGTAGCTCAGCATCACTCATTGATTATTGCTGACCTTCATGCAGATATTTGTTAATACAGAGACAGAAATCCTCCTCAGATTACAAATTATTACATTTCGTTCCTTCTGCTTTTTCCCCTTACACAGACTGTTTTCTTTGCAGACACCTGATTAGTTAATACTTCTCAAACTACAAACAAACATATTCAAAACAGTAGATCTTGCATTTTTAATAAGGATCTATAAAGAGATTTTGGTATATTTTTCAACAGTATAAGGGCAGCAGGAAGACTCCTGTCAGGTTAAATGATCATCTCTGCCCCCTCCCCCCTCCTAACAACACCAACCATCTAATCAGTGAGCCGAGGACAGAGACAAAGGTTAGTCTGAACCTGCAGGGATGTGTGTCTGAAGTTCCCCCCATGTTCATATCTGCCATGTTTATATAATAACCTGTTATCTAACCTCACTCCATCTCCCTTTCTGCCACAGAGATGCAGGCCCATAGCAACAGCTCTTGGCAACAGTTTCCATGGTGACCCCTGAAGCATCTGCAACCCTGAAGGACGGAGCGCTGCAGCAGGGACCGTACTGTATAAAATGCTGCTGCCAACACACACTTTACATCAGAGCTGAGCCAGAGAGGGAAGCAGCATGTAAGATGGGATCACTGCAGACAGGACCAGAGAAATACTGATCAGGAAAATTACAGGGAAACACACTGGGAGGAAATCAAACCCTGTTTATGCAGCCAGAGATGAGCAGCAAAGAAAAATAGTCACATTCTTACAAAAATCCATGTTACTTCTTATTCCTGCTTGTAAAAACCACAGATGATAAAGACAGAATAAAGGGACAATGAAGTCTTTAGCTGTGTGTTCAGCTATGTGAGGCATTAGCTCTGAGCTGGATGCTAACATTAGCATGTCAGCTATGACAACCTTATCTTTATCAGTTTGGCAGGTGTAATGAGGATCATATTGACCACCTCAGTTAAACCTGTTAGCACACTGGGACTAACACACAGAGCAGCTGGAGCTGATGTGGAATCATAAACCACGTTTGACATGTTTAAATCTGATAACCAGCCTGCAACAGTCTGACTGTATAGCAGTCTACGAGGAAACAGTCCAACCTCTTTGCTGATGTTTCCCTCAGAAAGCCTCATAGGTTTAATGACTTGATCTCAAGTTTACAGTCTTCTTTAATGAAGCATCATGTTTATTTTATAAATCACATTACATTTAAAGTCGCAGAGACCAGAAACAGGGGAGGAGTCAGTTCGGGGACCTGGGGTAGAAAAGTCACAAAGTCACAAAGGTGATCCGAAGTGTTTTGATCAACCAAAGACACCCTGTGCAGTCAACCATTATTTTTTCTAGTTTTGTTTTGTTTGTTTCTTGTTTTTAGTTAATAGTATCACCCTCATTAAGGAATACAGCTCCACCTCACTAGCTAACAAGCATTAGCTGATCCCTGCGTCTGAAAACCCACTGAACTACATTTGATGCTGAAAACAATCTTTTATCAAATGAAGTTCTAAGTTCATGCAGGACACAGATGCCATAAGCCTAGCTGTAAGGCAACTGATTGAATCACGTTCACAACCAATCATAGTCCATCCTCCAAGGCAGCACATTTTAACTCGTTGTACTCACCACTGTGACACTGTCAAGGTCCACCTCCACCTAAACCTCCTATTGATCTCAGTTTGTTCTCTGACACAGGTCACTGTGGCTCACCTGCAGCTCAGAGATGGTGACCTTGTGGTAGATCTTCTCCTCGTCTCGCCGTTGGTCCTGTGGGACAGTGATGTTGGCAAGAGCCGTCTCAAACTCCAGAATCTGCTGCATCTGAATCTGGGTAGAGCTCCTCTCCCCACCTAGCAGCATCCCCAGCTCCACCATATAGTCCAGATATGCCACTAACACCTAGGAGTCACATAAATGATCAACAGGTTACCTGAAAAATGAGAATTTGGATCCCCAAATACTCTGAATGAAGTCCTCACCTTCTCATTGGCTGTCTTGTTGAGGTAATAGTCCCTGGATGGCAGGAAGAGCCCTGATTGGTCCACCTGAGCAGGAAAGAGGTTAGCCAATCAAGGTCACAGGGAAACAACACTGACAACAAAGGAGAACATGCCACTCTTAAACTGCATGAACTCTAGCTGGTCCTGATCTTAGGTTGTTTGATTACAGTGTGGTTTCTGGTTCTGGCAAAGATTCTTGTTATGCTTTAGAATCTGGTTCTGGTAAAGTTTCCAGTTTTAGATAGGTACTGGTTCTGGTACAATTTCTGTTGTTGGTAATAATTCTGCTTCTGGTAAAAACTGCTAGTGCTTATATAGGTTTGGGGTTGAACGCAGATTCTTTGAGTTTAGATTCTGATAGGGGTTTGGTTTCTGGTTTAGTATAGTTTTTGGTTCTTGCATAGACTCTGGTTCTTCTAGAGATTCTGGTTCTAGTAAAGTTAATGGTTGGAATTAGATTCTGGTTCTGGTTTACCTGGATGACGTTACTGTTGGAGTTCTTAGGATCAGCACTGACAGAAATGCTGAAGAAAGGCTGAGCTCTGTAGGGACCAGAAACCACCTTCAGAACATCCATGAAGTTCTCCTTCTCCCAGGGACCTGTCATGTTCCAGCCCCCAATCTGCCAACAGGAACAAGTCCAGGTTTTATGTAAGTGTATTTGGAGTCTGGGCAGTACAGATTTTTGAAAAAAAAAAAAAAAAAAATTATATATATAAGTATATATATACTTATATATATAATTTTTTTTTGTGTGTATATATATATAAATATATTTACCTATATATGTGTGTATATATATATATATATACATATATATATAAATATAGATACATATATATGTGTGTGTATATATATATATATATACACATCATTTGTTTTTAATTGAAAACAGGGTAAAGAGCTGAGATTCGACAACTGTATGCAGATTATAATCTGATGTTTCTCTAAAATAGTCAAAATCCACACGTAATGGAATCATTTTGTAATTGTTTTTTTCTCTGAGTGTTTGACTTTCTGTCCTCATGGAGACTGACTTTTATGATTAAGAGAGTTGAGGGTCTGTCTGGGTGAGGGTTCTTGAAAAACGTTGCTGAAGTAAATGCTGATTCATAACTGTTCTTGGTCTGTGCTTTGCATGTGCAAAGATGTTAGGCTTCTGTTGATGGTTACTCTTCCACTCACCAGTTTAAAGAACACGGTTTTGAGTGTTCTTCATTCAAGAAGATACTCTTTACACATGACAAAGTTCCTCTGTGATGTTTCATATGATACTGATAACACATTATCACCAACTGGTCTGGCATACTCATGCTGTGTTCCAGTTACCTCGGAAGTAAGATGTCGGAGCAGGGAATGACGTTACACCCAAGTTGACAGCGTTCCAGTAAACAAGTTGGAAAACCAAGATGACGCCTACTGTTAGCCGTTGTTAGCTGTTGTTAATATTTGTCAGCTGTCGTTAGCTGTTGTCAGCTGTCGTTGCCCATTGTCAGCTGTTGTTAGCTAGATCAGTTGTAAAAAACGCATAGCACAGTATTTTACTCTTACAAACACGATAGCACCGTGTTCACAGTTAGGCATTGGGCAGTAAAACATATATTACTTATTTAATTTTACAAAAACAAAACAAGTGCTAATAAAAAATATATTACGAAAGCTTTCACCATTACTCATTACTGTTGATGCACTGCACTGCCATCTTGGATTATGATGTTGCCGTCAAGTCGGGGTTGGTGGGGATCGTCCGAATTTCCGAGTCGGAAATCTGACTTCGGGCGGGCGTTCCAGATGAATTTCCGACTCGGAGCTCGGAAATCCCGACTTCTGAGCACAACTGGAACGCAGATTCATGACAGCATTTTCAACTATTTCTGTGCTGTCATGTGAACAGAAAAATGTTTATAAAACTTCTGATGGGGACGTTTCTTCTGGAAACTGAGGAAATGCAATATCCCAATACATGTAGGTGAAGCCTTCAATCATTTTATAAATTCCAATCAAAACATCAGTATCAGTGCAGACTATTTTTTGGAATTTTCCAGAGCTTTGCTTTTTTTTCAGAGGGCCTCTCTGTACTATTCTATCCTCCGTGGTTATTACACAGATTGCTGCTAAGTATCTTATATTACTCATGTACTGGTCACCGTTTCAGGACCCTGTGAGTTCAGGTCAGTGGGAGTCTCCCAGAAGCTGACAGATTTTAGATGTCACTGCTAACTTGAACATGACTGAATGAGTATGTGGTACTTTTATCGGAATGAAAAATGGGCTACCTTAGCAATGAGGTCTATGAGGGGCTGAGCTCCGAGCTCCTCGATCCTCTGCGTGTTGAGACAGGACAGGTAGTAGGACTGAGTCTTCCTCTCAGCCTCACTGCTGCCGTTAAACGTCCCATTCTCTAAAAGACAGAGTCCAAGTCTGAGAGGTTAAAGTCTTTCTGTTCTTCATTAGGAGATCCTGACGTTTTGGCCGGTGTCCTGGTGTTCTTTGTCCATGTTTTTTTTAAAACCTCTGGGCTTCAGTTTGACAAATGTGTCCACACAGACATTTGATAGGATGTCTCTCTGTCTTATCCTGTCTGACTTTTTGCTTCTCTCTCTGTCTGTCAACATCTTTTTCTCCCTGACCTTCTTTCAGCCTATCTCTTCATGTCCTGTCTTCTCTCTTTGTACCTATCTTGGTCTTGACATGTCTGTCTCCCTGTCAAACTGTCTCTCTTTCTGTGTGTCCCTCAGTCCAAACCTTCTGGGCTATATATTTGTGCCACAAGTGGCACAATGCAGGGTGGTGCACCCCAGGCAGTGCAGCCTGGCACACAGCCAATTTGGTAATTTCGTGGCGCACCAAGATGCACCAAGCTGGATGTGGCGACGCAGTGGGGAGAGGTGTTGACAGAATCAGCTGGCACATTGACAATTTCATGCCTGATGGTGGCGCAAAAAGTGTGATGAAAGTTCATCAATTCAAACCTGGTCAGCTTTTGGTGCAGGTGGAGGGGAGCTGGTCTAGTGGTATGTTGGTAGACCAGTGTAGCAGTGTGCACACGTCACTAATTCCTCACAGGCAGGTTTTCACAATGTCAGGCACATTTCAGTGCAATAAATAATCAACAACAACCATTAGTTAGTGCAACTATCTGAGTCAGCACATACACTTAGATCTATATCGATATATTTTAATCCATATTTGATCTGAAAAAAAAGGTTTTGGCAGGTTTGGCATGCATATGGACACTCAATCTGACCAGATTAACAAATCTGAAACTGCGTTAAAATCATTGTCACACATGCTGGTGTTTATAAGATATTTAAACTGTCCCCTCCCGCTTGTTTTTCTTCTTAATGGGACAGGCGGGGGTGGTGGATGGCTCTGTGGTAGGCAGTAGCCATATCATGGCATCCACCACTCTACTCAGACCTGGACACCTCTACCCATCCTATCCCCATCTTGCTACTGCGGCGGCAAGTGTGCCTAGGCAAACCAGGTGATATATTGAAGTGATCAAATGAGTGATTCATTTCAAAAACATGAAAAAAACAATGAAAGACACTATCGTTCAAAATAAACTCTTTGTGTAATGTTTTCACACCCTTAAATTCTGTGAATATTCAGTCCGGGGTTAGGCCTACATGCAACTATAATATGCAGTTGCGTGAACCAAGTTCGTTTTATATGCAAACATTATTGGAAGAAAGAGACAGGCCATGAGCGTGATATGTCCTTTAGGCACAGGTGGTTCTGATTTTAATGCTGTTATGCATGGCATTTGTTTCATGTTGTAAACTGTGCACACGACCCACCTTTGTCACAAGGTTTAAATACAAGCAACTTCATGTGAGTGTCTTTTTATTTGTGAAAAGGGTGTTTTCCTTACCCATGGGCCCAACCAGGCACAAACCAAAACCCTTAATGCTTATTTGAGAAAGTGTGGGGAGGATGTTGTTTCTGCCACAGCACCTAACACGACACTCGTTGAGGGGCTGCCTCAGGCCCGCGTTGCAGTCTTCTGTCATCTTGTAGACTACTGCACGCATTTAAAGGTGAGGAAAGGAACTGATGTGATTGGTGAAAATTGGACTCAGCTGTATTAAACCCACTCCACACCTTCTCCCCTCATTTTCTCTTACTTGCATGACTGGAAGGGGCTGAGATAGAGAGGGGCTGTACTTGCACACCTGCGCCACACTGTGGGTAAGGCAGGAAATAGATCTCTCTGTGTTTGCTTGTCTATCTTTCAGCCTGTTCCTCTATTATCTTGTCTTCCCTCTCTGTCCGTCAGTCTTTGTCCTCTTCAGTGTCTTTGTATCTGTCCCTTAATCTGTCCTGTTTTGAAACTAACTCTGTGTCCCTCTCTTCATGTCTTTCCATCTACCTTGTCTGTCTGTCTGTCTGTCAACCAATGTTTTGTCATTCTGTCCCCCATGCCCCTCCCCCCTGTCTCACCCAGCAGGTGTTTCAGCAGGGCCTGGTTCTGTTCCCAGATGCTGTTAAAGGTGGACCAGCGGGACCGTCCATCAGGCAGCGGGTTCTTCCTCATCCAGCCTCCACAGGCAAACTGGTAGAAGTCCTGGCACGGGTCGGCACTGCGGTCCATTGCCTCCACCATCTGACTTGCCACAGTGACACATGCCTCTGACAGGCACAGGCCACGTCCACTGTCTGTGAGGCATCATGGGATAAAAAGACATAACGGTCACACGGAGGAGTCAGAAAACAGGAGGATCTGCAGAGGGTGTGTTTGACATGTTAGAGGATAACTAGAGCAAAGGAGAGGAGATTGAGAGGAAAGAAAGACAAAGTGAGGAGAAAAGAGGGAGTAGGAAAGAAAAGGAAAGATCAGGTACAAAAAAAGAGACACACAGAAGCAAAGGGGGAGGAAATGGGAGGGGATAAGGATGGGCTGGGTCGGGAAGGAAAGAGATGTGGAGGAAACAGAAGGAAGAGGTGAAAAGGAGGAGCAGCAAGGACAGAAGGTGCCCGAAAGGATGGTCAGGGTGTGCACTGAGCTAAGACAAGAAAAAAAAGAAAGACAAGAAGGGGATGAAAAAAAGGTTCTGGGAAAGATGGGTGGTGGTGGGAAAGAAAACTTTCGTGCGTGTTCTGGTGAAGGCAGTGGTGAGCTAAACAATGTTGAACTGATACTTTCTTTTGATTGGCCTTTATTGATTTCAGTTGGATATGATAACATCAGATAAAGCAGGTCAGATCCATCCATTCTGGGAAGTACATAAATCTAAACTCTGATTGTCTTTAGTAACTTGGCATCAGTCAGATTAATAATAATAATTTTAAGGTGGTAGTAGGCTGTGCCTACTAGTGCCTATGTGTAAATGTGCAATCTAGAACAGAATGTTGAGTGACCTTCATGCAGATATCTGTTTATACAGAGACAGAGGTCCTCCCCGGGTCAGCAACCATGGGAGCTGGAGGTCATGATGGAAGACTGTGTTCCTCCTGCTTTTACTCTCTGTACAGACACCAAAGCCTGCTGACACCTGATTGGTCAATACTATTGAGACTACAGTTTTCCAGGTCACTTTTCATAACAAAACCCAAGAACAGATCTCATAGTTAACACAAAATCTGCAGCTAGAGATGAAGAAAAATGGGACACTAGAGGGAAGGAGTATCTTATGATCCAGGAATGAAGAGAGGAGACAGAGAAAGGGTTTAAAATGTCAGGATGGTAGGAAAGCAGGAATAGAGGATGGAAAAAATAATGTTTCAAAAGTGGAAGAGAGAGGATGATAGTAGGAAAAGGGAGGACAGGAGTGGATGTTGTGTTTGTTGTAGTCACCTGAGCTGAGTCCAAGTCCCAATACCAGGAGGCAGGCCAGCAGAGCCAACAGCGCAGCCAGCAGCAGGACCGACAGAACAACCTCAAGCTGGGTCCTTCTGCCAAAAATGTCCACACCTCCTTTCCTGAAACCCACCTGAAAGGGACAAAGACAGGAGTCAAACCCTTGGACAAGAATATCTGTTATCTTAACAACATAGTGAAACCGGGGGCTGCCATTAAAAATCAGATAGACCTGCTTAGTCTGAGAGAAAGGACATCCACCAATCTGCCCATTTATCCATCTAACCAACCACCATCCATCCAATTAACCTACCATCCAGCTCACACCAATCCATCCATCCATCCAACAAACCAACATCCACCAATCTATCCATCCATCCAACAAACCAACATCCACCTATCTATCTATCTATCTATCTATCTATCTATCTATCTATCTATCTATCTATCTATCTATCTACAAATTTTTCCACTCATGCAGGTCCTGTAGGCAGCTCTACTTTGAGGTTCCTGCGGGTATCTGAGGTCCTAAACTCAACTCTCATGCTGAACCCGATCACCCTTCATAGTGATCATGTTTCAGTTTAGACCACAACAATCAAAGAGAAGTGTTTGTTTTTATGCTGTAGGTTATATCTATTTGGTAGTGTGACTGTTCAGACAGCTCCCTGCTCAAAGTCTGAGACAAAGAGGAAGGCAGGTAGAGCAGCAGCAAAGATCCTCAGGTTACAGATCAGACCTCAGTGACAATCCACATAGACATTTGGCGAAGCAAGGTACTTGAGGTGAGGACAGGTGAAGACAGGTGAGGACAGGTTGGACAGGTGAAGACAGGTTAGGAAAGATGAGGATAGGTGAGGAACGGTAAGTAAAGGTGAGTAAAACTGGGGATAGGTGAGGACAGAAGAGGAAAGGTGAGGAAAGATGAGGATAGGTGAGGACAGAAGGGGACAGATGAGGAAAGATGAGGATAGGTGGTGAAAGGTGAGGATAGGTGAGGACAGAAGAGGACAGGTGAGGACAGATGAAAATAGGTGAGGGTTGTAACGGGTGACCTTCAGGCTCAGCTCCTTCTGCACCATGATGGTCATAGAAAACCTGTGTTTCCATTGTCCCCCTCACTGCCCGTTTCAACCTCTATGTAAACCAGATCTTGAGGTTCCTGAACTCCTTCACTTGAGGTAGACCCTCAGTCCCCAGCTGGAGGAAGACCATTACAGTTTTCCTGCAGAGTTCAGGTTTTGTCAAACTGGATTACTTAAAGACAGACTTCACCTGTGGGTTACCTGGCTGTCCTTCCTAAAATACATTCCGCTAACTGTTTGAGCTGACTTTTCTCAGATCGGTCCATATGAGTATCGGTGACCCTCCTCCAGCAGCTCCTCTTCTCTACAGAGCTGATGTTCACCCTACAGTGGCAGTCTGGCAGAGATCCAGACCCCCTGCTGCTCCTCCCTCTGAGCCTGATGGACCCACCACCATGGCCTACTTTTGTCTTTCAGTCTGAGCCCCCAGGGTTTCGCTCTTAGACTCTCTGAGTCCAGGACCTCACCTGGGATCGGTTATCTACAGAAGATTGAAGGAAATTTCCTGAGGACACGAGGAGTTATATTTAAAACTCATTTTGTCTTCTCTCAGCTGAGTCACTGTCCTCTTTCTGAGTCTCTGAAACCAGCTAAAAGACATCACCTTTGTGTGATGTCTCTGTGTGCTGCGTTCACTGACCTCCACTGCGTCAGGAGACGAGGCCACTTCAGCTGGAGCGTCTGACACTTCCTCCTCCTCCAACGTAGCTCTTTTATAGCTGGACATCTGAGTGAACACAGACAGAGAGACAGTTGGTAAACTCTTTACAAACTCAGGTCAACAATAAAACTGGGTTTGTCTGCACATGCAGACTCACATTTGAGTCTGTATCTCTTTTGTGTGCTTGTCTAAAAGTGGGGGTTGCTCTGAGAAGTTTTTACTTTACATTTATGAAATACACTGAAATTGACAAACAATTTTTATGTCTGAGAGCTGAGTAAGAGGACATTGTCAGCCGTGCAGCTGAATGAACAGAATATACAGAATAAACATTTCAAACAGAATAAACAAATTTAACAAAATAAGCTAAATAAACAGAATAAACAAAACATGCAGATTGAACTGAATAAATAAAATATACTGATTAAACGGAATACACAGATTAAAAAGATTAAACAGGTGTTACAATTTAAGCATAAATATTTGCTGTTAATGATACACCTCACTGTCAACAGTCAGCAGGATGCGGTTTTTGTAGGGGACACTATGTGAGCACATACTTTGACCACAGGGGGTGCCAAAATTCAATTCTCTTTCCTCCACCTCCTCCCCTTCCTCTCCTCCTCCTCCTACTCCTCTCTCTTCTCCTTCTGCTCCACTCCCTGCTCTCCTCTCTTCTCCTTCTGCTCCCCTGTCTGCTCTTCTCTCCTCCTCCTGCTCCTCTCCCTGCTCTCCTCCTGCTCACCCCTCCTCTCAAATAGTTAAAATGACCCTCTTAAGAAAAAAACTTTATCTTAATGAACAAACTTCTATTTCATAGAGTTTGAGATGAGCACACTGAATGTATCCAGGTTGAACTCCTCCCTGTCATCCTGCTTCTCCTCACGAGGAGTAAATGTATTGATCGTGTTTAACCTGAGAGTGTTACTGACTCTCTGCTGTTTTCATTGATGCCACATCTGTCTTTATTTATTATTTATCGAGTGTTTGAAGACTAATTGCTCCTCTGAGACTCTGCAGCGCTCATTTTTAGATCTGATATCAGCTCTCTGCTGCACACATTTAGACCGCTGGGCTGAAATACTCCAGATTAACACAGACACTATAACAAGTGTTTCTTTTGTAGTCACACACTCATTCAAAAAAAGCAGGTTTTACTGCTGGAGTTAGAGGACTCTGAAGCAGATAATTCTGCTGCTGTTTTGACCTCTTTTTATACATCATATAAGAGTGTTTCCTAACTTTTCTCTCCAATAGATTTACTACACAGCAGAACAATGTTTCTTTCAGTTTTCTGTGACTGTGTCTTTCCTATCAGCAGGTGGGGGTGTGTGAGTGATGTATCCTCCGCTGTAAATCGTGGGAAGTTTTTGAGGAGGTGCCGCTCTTATCAGAAGGAGCTCATTGGATGCCGCCTTGACCTTCACATATTCACAAGTGTTCATTATTATGCTTTATGAGAATGTTTACTTTGCTGCACCATTTACCCCCCTTTAGAAACATTGTGTAACCAGGGACTACTGCGTCTACTGTGGATGTACAGATATGTGGCAGCACTGATGAACTGAAAACTGAGCTAGTGACATGGATGACGTCACCGGCGACCAGCTTTGGACTGCAGCTTTGGACCCGGTGTGGACACACCAGGGCACCACGCGACGCGACCTGACCGACCAACGCGACGCGACGCGACCTGGTCGCGTTTGGTCTGAAAGCGGCTTTAGAGTGGTTTTGAGATAACTAAAAGAAAGATCTCTGTCCATTCTCCTCGAGTATATTCCATTGTCTTTCTCCTTTTTATATGTTTTTCAGGTAATTGGGCAGGTTGTAGACCCAACATACACCCTCACAACGACTCAGTGATGCAAACATTTGAAAAAGCATGTGTTTCTTCATAGTATTGAGCCACCCCTGATATTAAAAATTTGGATCTGCCCTTGCCTGAAATAATTAGGTGTTAACAAAATACCTGTTTGTGTGAATGTCACATAGAAACAGCACAGTGTGAACTTAAGTGAAAATTATGTGCATTTTCCCACAGTACCCTACGGGGGAGCTTGTTTCAGGAGTGTTAATAGATCAGGAAAGTCAAACGAAGAGAATATTTCCAAGTCATGTCAGCAGCTTGATATCAACAGCTTCAAAAACCTGAGCTTTTATCAGGAAGCCCTGAAATGATGAAAAGTAGATGAGGCCGGGGCTCAGCATGAGGACATATTTAGCTGTGATCAAATAAACTTTCACTTCCTCTGTTTAAACCCCCATCTCCGTCATTGTGCATCAGGAATATAAACAGTACAGCACTCCACCCACACTGATCCTGAATCAGCCAGGGACACATTTCATACAGCCGCACAGCTCACATTCACTCAGCACAAAACACTGCCTCAGAGAGTGCCTTTGGTTACTGTGGAAACAGTGTTAGCATGGTAGCATCACAGCTATAACACCAACACACCCTGAGTGTTTTTTATGGTCTGAGACTCAGCTTCACTCTGTGTTTTAGCTATAAAATAGACAAAAGTATGCTGACACTTAGTCTGTATTCTTCATGTCCCTCCATACAGTTTTCTCAAATATCTTAATAAAATGTCTTCAGGGTGCAGCAAAGGAACAAGCTGTATAATCTCTGCTGGATCAGAGTATGTCCATGAAAAGTTCTTGTTTTTGTCCCTAACAGGCTCAGATTGTAATTCTAAGAGTCTTACAACATTTTATAAAAGATCCATGCAGAGAGGGAGCTTTCAGTTAGAGGAAGACGGAGAAAAGCAACACTAAAGCATTTCTTTTTAATACTGTTTAAAGGGGACCTATTTTAACCAAATATCACCTTTCAATCTGTCCGTCCGGATCACCTGTAAAGTAGTTAAGCATGATCTACAGCTTTAAAAACTCCTAATTTATCCCATAGTGGCCTCTGAGTTCTACAGATACCTGAGTTTTTGCTGCTTTAACACTCCAAGAAAGTTGGACACAGCTTGGGGTGTTACTTTTTGCTAGGGCTGCACGATGTATCGTTTGAGCATCGTCATCGCGATGTATGTGTGCATGATAGTCACGTTGCAGAGCCTGCGATGCGGGAGGCAAATGAACTTTAACCTAATTTCAAGGGTAGCTGACTGACATACTCTGTATGTCGACTCTGCGTGGGCTGTGCAGCGATCCACCCAATCACATTTGTTCTTTGCTCAGTTGAGTACAGACTACCCTACTATTCGCCAATCAAAATCAGAGACAAGGAGACCACACCTCTGCACATGGAGTGAATCGCTGGCCCTGCTTGTAACAACAACAAGGATTGCAAAATGAGCAACGAACAATAGAAAACCACCAAAAATTAAGACTTGTTGCCACTTCTAGCAAGTCAGACTTGCGAATCGTGAGACGACACTGGAGAAAAACAATAGAGGGATTATTCGTTAATCAACACAGCAAAGGCGTGTAACATAACTGCAGTTGTCATGGTTATCTTTAGATATCTTGCAGTTGCGATGTTGTCAGCATACTACGACAGTTTGTCCCCCAGGGATATAGGAACTATCCAACTATCCAAAGTTCCTGCTGTTTTCTGGAGCCTTTAGTCTTTGGAGAGAACACAGCTGAGACTTTCCTTTAGGACCAAAAGAAAAACTTTTAGAGACAAAGCCAAAATTAAAAGACAAGCTGAGCAGTGAAAAAGGCTTTAGAGGACAGCACAGCAGGTTGTGGCCATGTCTTAAAATGAGCTGTTCAGACAGCTAGAACACATGTTCAGGGATTACATCACTGTCCTTGTGTTTCTATACTCTGATTTTATCCTCACCAATACTTTGGAAATTTCCAGAGCCTTTCTAGAAAAGAGTCTAACCTAATCATGGAGGCTGGAGTTAACTGGGTTAGAGGTAAGTGAGTTTTATAGCAGCTTTTAGTGGCAGATTTCTACTAGTCATTTTTCATTCAAATACACACACACACAAAACAGAAATATCTAAGCTCTGTTTTAGATTTAAATCATGGTCTAAAGCTTCTGGTCTTAGTCTGTCAGTCCTGGTCCTGGTCCTGGTCTTGGAGGTGAGACCAATTCCTGTCTGTCCCTGCAGTGTCTCACTGTCCTGCTGCTGCTGCAGGAACCTGAAGGTCTCCAACTGTTTCCTTCCTGAGGACCCTCTCTGTAACCCGCTTGTCCGCCCGCTTGCTGCTCTTTAATTGATGACGCACGAAGAGGGGGAGAGAGGGGGGAGTGGGCGAGCAAGGTTGCTAGGAGACGGGAGAGTGAGTGTGTTATATCTCTCTAGAGAGTGATGTCACTTTGTGTGTGTGTGTGTGTGTGTGTGTAAATAGATAATATGTGTGAATCATCTCCTTTCAGCTCTAATGGACTTCATTGCAGCTTATGTAACATCTGTCCTGTCTGTCTGTGTCTTTGTCTGTCTGTCTGTTTGTTTGTGTCTCTGTTGTGAAATCCTCTCTTTTGTCCCCTCTGTATCCCAGAGTCAGTCTGAAGGAGAAAACACAAACACTGAATCATCTCTGTTTCCTCCCAGCTTGCCTAGTTTGGCACAAGGACTGGAAACAGAGTGGAACTTTTATCCTAAGATTTGACAAAAGTTTTAATTTGGTTTGTTATTTCCTGAATGTTGCTGTTGGTTTCAAACCAGTTGGAGTCATCTTCGTTCTTATCAGTGTGTCGGAGGGATTTGGCTGAAGGATCCTGCCAGAAACCACATGTCCAATAAATGTTTCTCAAACATGGTTTCTGCCATTTAAGTCACTTTATAACATGCTGATGGTTTGAATCAGTTACTGATTATATAAAAAGTCTGTGTATGGTGTTTTAACTCTGTAGTTTCTTACTGAGTAAATCTGCTAAATAACCGCTCACAAGCACAACTGCAGTGAGGTTAGCTGACAATGCGCAGTATGTGGCGTGTTAGCTTTGAAGCTCCACTAGCTGTTAGCCTTAAGCATTAGCTCCAGGCATCCTGAAGTGGCCATACAAAAACCCACTCAGGTCTCACTCCTGACAGCCCAGCTTTCTTCACCACAACTGGTCTCTAAATCTGTCTTTGAGTCTCCTGTCCAAACAAGTTCAACGAGATCTCTTCTTCACTGTCAATAAAGCACTGAAGCAGTGCCACTCTCACTCAACGCCACCCACAGACCTGGAGCACTTGTGTTGAACTTCTCTGGTATTTGCAGCATGTTTCATTGGAGACTGTCCTTGCTGTTGCAGATTGTCCTTGTCAGCCACAGTATTTTCCACTAGATCTCCATTGATCTGTGCTTTTATGAAACATAGTCACTGAAGTGTAAACTGGGCTGGTTACGCTGATAAGCATGATCTGGAAAATTTTACAAAGAGAGAATGTAAAACAGATCCAGTACACAGTAGTCAGATGATGCTTACAAACAGGAAGTACAGTCTGTATAAAGAAACTGAACAGAGCAGCTTCAGATTCACTTATTTCACAACTGTTTGGATGTAAAATGTAAAACTGAACTTTAATTGGTCTAACGCAGCTAATCTTGATGTCAGACTGTTTTCCGACAGTGGCTACCATTAGCAGAGCTAGCACCACTGGGCTTATGTTTTCCTTCGCACATCCACATCCCTGTGCTGGTTACACATCACTCCAGTCAAGTGCGTAATGGCCTTCATTCAACTTCACCTTCACTGAGCTTACTGCTTACATCTGTCACCTGAGCTGTATGGAGCTCTAACAAAACAGCTTACACAACCTTTCTTTAACTGTAACTGCTCAACAAAAAACACATTTAATGTTTCAACACATAAAATAAAAATTTGAAAAAAACATTTCGGAAGGAAAACAAACATGACAAAACCTGAAAAAGTCTTACGTAACTTTAGAGAAATTCTGCCCTGAAATACAGTAAACCTGCTGCATGAAGCTCATTACAACTTCAAGTCCATCTTTTCTATTTTATGCATGTCCCCTCCACAAACCTCTTTTCTCTCACCAGGTTGAAGGAGAAAACTATCAACAACAAACAGGTCCCATTATAAGCCAATCAGAGTAAGAGGGAGGCTGGAAGTTGGCCATCCTCCTCACAGGCTGGCAGTCTGTGTTTGCTGCGTCACTGAGCGTGTGCAGAAAACATTGAGTCAGCTCACATCAAACAGTGGGCTACAACAAGAAGTAAACAAAAATCACTGAGAGAAGGTCTTAAGGTGTGAGGATCAGTCTGAGAGCAGGGAAGAACAACACCTCAGGATTTATGAAGTCTGGTAGATGAAAAACTCTTTCACAGCACCTCATGATGGTTACTCAACTTTTGTGAGGACTTAAACTGTTCATAAACCAGACTGACATTAACACCTATGTCTCCATATGACCTGTAAAAGCAAACAAGATCATCAGGGATCAGTTTATTATTCAAGGCTGTTACGGCTTTAACACTGGATGAACAGTAAATTTTGAGATTGTATAGCACTCTCTCCCATCCTCAACCTCTCAGAACACACCTGCACTGCTTCTCACCTTCACCTCTTCACAGCACAGTCTCACAGTCATTATGTTTGCATGTACATCAAAGTGGGGCTATGGTTTTAGCTTGATTAGGCAGTGTGACTAGACAACAGTCCGCGTCTTACTTTACAGGCACCAGGTCAGGCCAGCTCTGTTATTGTTTTTTTACAGACTCCGTAACCAAGTCTTTATATCAAGCAGACTTTTATCAGGGGCTGACCTTTATTTTAAATTGTCTCCATCACAGAGAATCATCATTGTTCATTATTTAGCGCAAAGTGAGGAACTTAAGCCGAAAACATACTGGATCCGTGTAGAGCGCGTTCCGTATTTGCTATACTTTGCTGCTAAATGGAAAACTAGAGCAAACAGCACAGAGATGGACTGTGAAGTAGTTCAGGATGTAGACTGAGCCATGGTATTTATTAAAGGATTTTCAGTGTGCCAGTCCAACTATAGGAAATTTAGTCATTTTCAGCTGTACTAACGCAGTAAATCTATTCTTTTAACATCCTTAAAACCTAGTGATAATGACAACTATGTTAAAAGCCCATAATGGACTTCTCTCATTTACTACCAGCCTAACCACCGTTAGCAATTTCCCTCAGTGTCCTGCGCAAGTGTCCTTAAGCATTTGGTAATGGAGGATCGAACCACCACAACTGACTTTACCTCTGAGCAACAGCCTTCAGAGGACAACCATATAGACATAAGAATTTATCTTTAAGGGGACATTGGCCACTGATTCCCGTCTAATCACAAAACAGAACCAAAAAGATGGCGGCCAAGCACCGCCTGATTATAGCCTTTCCATTTCATCCAACCTGCTGATTGAACTCTAAGCTCCTCTCTCATCTGTTCAATGACCTCAGCACCTGCAGGTCGTTAACTGTCTTATCACCAGGGCAACAGGAGGGTTGTCATCACTTACAGCCGTGACCTTTGACCGCTTACATAAACAGCACCTCAACAACACAATAGAGGACACAGACAAGACACCTCCCACTTATCCTCAAAGCAATCGCACACACACACACACACACACACACACACATTTAATTGGCCACCTTCAGAGGTCCACATTCAGTCAAAGGTTTGAAGATTCAGGTTGATAGAGAGGGTCATGATTGACGTGAAGGGGAAGATAAGACAAAACCACTATAAAATAATAATGATAACAATGATAATGATGCAAATAGTGATACTCATGATAACAAGGATAATAATGGCGATAATGAAAATAATATTTATAATAATAACAATGATAATAATAACAATAATGATCATAATGATAATAATGATGATCATGATAATAAGATTAGATTAGATACAACTATATTTATCCTTTTGGAAAGGTCCCCTTAAGGAAATTGAAATTTCCAGTAACATCATACACAGAGAAAAAAAAAAGAAGGATCAAATATACAATATACAGCTCTGGTAAAAAGAGACCACTGTCAATTTTTCAGAAATCAGCTTCTCTTCATTTATTAACAGTCATTTCATATCAGTGTCTCTTGAATTTCAACCCAAGAAGGTTGGCGGTTCGATTCCCCCCTATCCCGAGTCTGTCCATTGTGTCCTTGAGCAAGACACTTAACCCACCTTGCTCCAAGTGTGTGTCCTCCACTGGTGTATGATTGTGAGTGTTGTGTGGTGGTGGTCGGAGAGGCCGTAGGCGCAAAATGGCAGCCATGTTTCTGTCAGTCTGCCACAAGGCAGCTGTGACTACTAAGGTAGTTTACCACCACCAAAGTGTGACTGTGTGAGCGAATGAATGATGTATCCAATGTAAAGCGCTTTGAGGGTCTCTGATAAAGCGCTATATGAAATCTGAAGCATTATTATTATTATCATGATTATTATCCTGTTGCAATAGGACCAGCTGGATGGCAAAAATAGTGCTTGTAGAACATCAAAAGTAACTGGAACAAAAAAATAACTATTGACGATGCCAAGAGAAATGAAAAGTTTTATGTCAGGAAAAGAAGGGTTCAATGCTGGCTTTACTGGCAGAGGAATACAGTGAGCTCCAGGTGCTTCATTCCTTGAATTTCCAGCTTTGTCCAACACCTGGTTGTCCTGTGGTTAGATAGAGACACGTAGAGCCTTACAAGCCACAATGTCAAGCATCCACAGTGAAATTTGGTGGAGGATCAATGATGATCTGGGGATTCTTCGGCAAGGCTGAAGTGGCTTGATTCGTCTCTGCAAAGGACGCATGAATCAAGCCCCATGACAGGTTATCCTGGAGAAAAACTGGCTGCCTTCTGCTCTAAAAATGTTCCCCAACTCTGAGGGTTGTTTTTTCCAGCAGGCAATACTGCATTCCACACAGCCAGGTCAATCAAGGTGTGGATGAAGGACCACTAGATTAAGCTCTTGTCATAGACAGCCCTATTTCCAGACCTGAACCCCATTGAAAATCTCTGGTTTGTGATCAAGAAAAAGGGTGGATTGTAACAAGCCATCAAAAAAAGCTGAACTGCTTGAATTCTTGCACCAGGAATGGCATGAAATAACCCAAGAGCAATGTGAAAGAATGGTGGAGAGCATGTCAAGATGCATAGATAGATAGATAGATAGATAGATAGATAGAAACAGTACAGATTCTACAAATACAAGTACTGTAACAATATTTACACTAAATAAGGAATAAAGAAAAACAGTCTATAGATGCTGATTGATTGATCATGGATGGGATATACTGTATGGGGGGGTGGGGGGGCAGTTCAGTTTAGACAGAGCTCCTCAGAGGGAGCAGTTGAAGAGCTTAATGGCCTGGGGGACAAATGACCTCCTCAATCTGTCAGTGCGGGATGACACTGATAACAGCCTGTCACTGAAGGAGCTGCTCTGCCTGGAGATGGTGCTGTGGAAAGGGTGATGGGGTTTGTCCTGGATGGAAGGGAACCTGGCAAAAGTTCTTTGCTCTGCCACAGATATTAGGGAGTCCAGTTCTGCACCAACTATGGCCCTCCTTGTCAGTCTTTCCAGCCACGAGGAATCCCTCTTCTTTATGCTTCCTCCCCAGCACACCACAGCATAGAAGAGGGCACTGGCTACAACTGTCTGATAGAACATTTGTAGCAGTTTGTTGCAGATGTTGAAGGAACGGAGCTTCCTCAGGAAATACAGTTGGCTCTGCCCCTTCCTGTACAGGACATCTGAGTTTGGTGACCAGTCCAGCCTCTCATCTAAATGCAGTCCCAGGTATTTGTAGGCCGTGGTAAACTCCACCTGGACACCATCGATGGTCACAGGCTGGTGGAGGGGCCTGGGCCTCCTGAAGTCAATGACCATTTCCTTGGTTTTGGAGGCGTTGATGTGCAGGTAGTTGGACTGACACCAGGTGACAAAGCCATTGATGAGGTTCCTGTACTTTTCCTCCTGACCATCCCTAATACATGCCATGATCGCAGTGTCATAGAATAGAATAGAATAGAATATTCATTTATTGATCTCCCATGGGGGAAATTTTTTGTCACAGCATCACAGACAAAGAGTGCAAAAATGCAGTTATAAAAATAAAGATCCTAATATTAAGAACTTAAATAAATGTAATAATTAAGAAAAAATGTAGAAAAAGGAAAAAGGGAGAAGAAAAATAAAACTATATACAATATACACAATTTACACACACACAAAAAGTGGTGGTGTGTGTCCAGTTATTATTACAGTTCGTTGTAAAGTCTTATTGCAGAAGGGAGGAATGACCTGTGGTAGTGCTCCGTCTTGCAAGGTGGAAGTCTAAGTCTGCTGCTGAAGGAGCTGCTTAAAGCCCCCACAGTCTGGTGCAGTGGGTGAGAGGGATTGTCCATGATGGATATAAGCTTTGTTAACATCCTCCTCTCACCCACCTCCTCCAGGGAGTCCAAAGAACAGTCCAGGACAGAACTGGCCCTCCTGACCAGTCTATTCAGTCTCTTCCTGTCCCTCTCGGTGCTCCCTGCCCCCCAGCAGACCACTGCATAGAAAAGTGCAGATGCTACCACAGAGTCATAGAAAGTCCTGAGCAGAGTCCTGCACACTCCAAAGGACCTCAGTCTCCTCAGCAGGTGGAGACGACTTTGGTCCTTCTTGTATAGTACGTCTGTGTTGGTTGACCAGTCCAGTTTATTGTTGAGGTGGACACCCAGGAATCTGTAGGACTCCACCATCTCGATGTCCAGACCCTGGATGTTCACTGGAACAGTCTGAGGTGTCCTCCTCCTGCGGAAATCCACAGCCATCTCCTTTGTCTTACTGGCGTTGAGCTGGAGGTGGTTTGTGGCACACCAGTTGACAAAGTCAGTGATGACAGTCCTGTATTCCCACTCATCCCCTGACGATACACATCCGACGATGGCTTTATTATCAGAGAACTTCTGGAGGTGACAGCTCCCAGAGTTGTAGCTGAAGTCTGAGGTGTACAGGGTGAAGGGGAAGGGGGAGAGCACTGTCCCCTGTGGAGCCCCCGTGCTGCAGACCACCATGTCCAATACACAGTTCTGAAGCCTCACAAACTGTGGTCTGTCGGTGAGGTAGTCCACGGTCCATGCGGCTAGGTTACAGTCCACTCCCGCCCTCTCGAGCTTCCCCCTGAGCAGTGAAGGCTGGATGGTGTTGAAAGCACTGGAGAAGTCAAAAAACATGACGCTCACAGTGCTGCCGGTGTTCTCCAAGTGGGCCATGGACCTCTGCAGCAGGTAGATAACTGCGTCGTCCACCCCGATGTTCTGCTGGTACGCAAACTGCAGAGGATCCAGATGAGAGCTTACCAGGGGGCGGAGGTTCCTCAGCACGATCCTCTCCAGAGTCTTCATCAGGTGACAACTGAGGGCCACAGGTCTGAAGTGGTTGGGCTCCCTGGGGTGTGCTGTCTTGGGGACAGGAATCACACAGGAAGTCTTCCACAGTGCTGGGACCCTCTCCAGACTCAGGCTCAAGCTGAAGATGTGCAGTAGCACCTCACAAAGCTGGTCATCTGAGAACTTCTGCATGTGGCACAGCTCTGAGTTGTACTTGAAGTCCGATGTGTACAGAGTGAACAGAAAAAGAGAGCACAGTCCCCTGCGGAGCTCTGGTGCTGCTGATCACAGTCTCTGACATGCAGCCCTCCAGCCGGACATACTGGGGTCTATCAGTCAGATAGTCCGTAAGCCCCTGTCCAGGTGGGAGAGAGACTGGGGCAGAAGGTAGACAATGGCGTCGTCCAACCCAACCTTCTCCTGATATGCGAACTGGGGGGGGGGGGGGGTGACCATCTCTGGAAAACCCTCCTCTTTTGGTTAAGAAGAGTCTTGATGTCGCTGGTGATCCAGGGCTTGTTGTTTGGAAAGCAGCGTACAGTCAGAGTGTGCAATAACAGACTCTACCCCTCCCCCACAATATCCATGCAGAAGTTGATATAGTCAGCAGTGCAGTCCACTATGTCCTCAACATCCTCAGTGTGAGCTGACTCCTGCAGCACTCTCCAGTCCGTGCAATCAAAGCAGTCCTGCAGAGTCTGTTCTGCCTCAGGAGACCAATTCCTGAAGGAACGGGTGGTAGAGGGTAGCATCATTACTTGAGGCTGGAGCAAGATGAGGTTGTGCTCTGATTTCCCAGTGGAGGAAGTGGGGAGGCACTGAATGCATCCTTCAAGTTGGCATACATGAGGTCAATGGTCCTGTTTCCCCTGGTAGAGCAGCCCACAAACTGGGTAAAATCAGGCAGTGTTTTGTCCAGGGTGACATGGTTGAAATTCCCAGAGATCAGAACAAAGGCTTCCGGGTGTTGCGTCTGTAGTCTCCCTACAGCCCAGCGGATGACATCTTAGCACTTGCTGTGAGCCTGCTTATTTATATATTTATTTATTTATTGCATTGATGTATTTTTGCTCGCTTTATCTTGTTCTTTGATTGTTTTATTTGTTTTTATGTGTCAATGTACAGCACTTTGGCTACCCACGTGGTTCTTTCAAATGTGCTACAGAAATAAAGTTGATTGATTGATTGACATGCTGTCTCCGCGAGGGCACGTGGGGGGATGTCTCGCAAAAATGGCATGCAGAACTCCCGGGGCATATAATAAGGATGCAGACTCCCGGCTAGGAGCTCAATGTCCCTGCTGCAGAACTTAACTGTAATATGTCTGGGGTTGCACCACTTCTTGTTGATATAGACGGCGAGTCCTCCACCCTTGTGCTTGTTGGTTGCTTTTGTGTCTCTGTCCGCTCTGACCCTTGTGAAGCCGGGTAGGTCCACATTGGTATCCGGGGTGCTCACGGTTAGAAACGTCTCGGTGAGACAGAGCAAGCTGCACTCCCTGTAGGTCTGAACATTCTTCACCAGCACTGCCAGCTCGTCAATTTTGTTTGCCAGGGAGTTCATGCTCCCCATGACATCAGAAGGGACAGATGGCTTGTAACGCCGGTGGTTCGCTAGCCCTTTAGCCTTTTGCTTAGCACGGGCTCTGCAGCCCCGCTAGGGTTGCCTTAACTCCATAGGTAGGTGGGGAACAGATCCAAAGCTGGACTTATTCCTGAGGGAAAGCAGCTGATTTCTTGTGTAGAAAAATCCACGGCTGCTATCCATGTCCAGTGTAGATGGATGGAAGTACAATAACCAAACAAAATACAACAAAAACAAACAAGAGCGAAAAAGACGGAGCTGCTGCCACTCGTGACGGCGCATGCACACCGCATGCTCACAGTCCAGCTGTGATTTAAATCAGGGTTATTCCCCCAAATATTGATTTCTGAACACCTACTTGGTTAAAACATTAGTAATGTGTTGCTTCAAAATGAATATGATTTCTCTTTTTTGCATTATTTGAGGTCTGAAAACACTGGTCCCTTCTTGGTATTTTGACCATTTTTCATTTTTTGCAAATAAATGTTCTAAATGACAATATTTTTATTTGAAATTTGGGAGTTATGTTGTGAAATGTTTTAGGACAAAACAAAAATATTTATTCTACTCCAACACATGCCTATAAATAGCAAAATCTGAAAACCGGATTATTTTGTTTTGGTCTCTTAATTTTTTCCAGAGCTGTGTATACGTACAGCTTTAATGAAGATATCCTAAAAACTTTAGATAATATAAGTACTTATATAAAAAAGTAAGCTTTTAAGTTATGGACGTTTGCACGTTACTGTTACAACAACGACTACAACTATAACTACTGCTGCTAATGATAATGATAATAATAATAACAATAACACCAATAACAATGATCAATGATAGTAATGATAGTATTGACAGTAATAATAATCATAATATCAATGATAGTAATAATAATAATGCAGCTGCTGATGATATTGATGATTATGATGATAAAGATAACAAAAAAAAGTTGATAAAAATACAATTAAAAAGGTTATAATTAACACAGTTGATGACAATTTCAAAAAGGAAGAAGTTGATGATGATACTAAGAATTGTAGTAATAATGATGATCAATATAATTATGATAATGATGAAGTGACAAATATATGATCAAGGCATTGAAAATGTTGCTGCTGATAATGAGGATTATGATACTGATGATGAGTTTATCAATGATTATTATCATGATGATGGTGATAATGATAATATTAATAATGATGATGACTATAAGGATGATATTGATGATGTTGATTTTGATGATTGACAATAATATGAATGTTTGTCATCAAGGTAATGACGATGTTGGTGTTGAAGGCCAGTCACAATTAGCATGGTGGTGGTGTTGCTGTTGGTTGGAGGTTTGAGGGGATTTGTGGTCTGTGTTGTTACTCTGATGGGAACTGGGCGTCTTAAGACAGGAAGTCACAGCACTGCAGACAGGAAACAGCTACTCTGCCCAGCCTACTCACACACACACACCCACACAGACACACACACACACAAACACAAACACACACACCCACACGCACACACAGACACACGCACGCACACACACACACACACACACACACACACACACACACACACACACACACACACACACACTTTGCCAGTTTTAAGTGGCTGAGATTTGATGCTTCTCAATGATTTATTGATGATCTTCAGTTTCTGCAGGATCAGTTTGTGACTGCTGATGCAGAAAAAAAGTTTTGAAGTTTGTATTCAAAGAACAAAAATCTGTCCCTCTGTCATTAGATGTTTCAGTTTGTACTTTAATACACTGGTGTAAATCTGTGAAATATTAAAACCTCCAGGAAACAGACACTGATAGTCTTTTTGTAAACCTTTGACTTTTAGTTAGAAAATAATCAGAGTTTAGTCCTCACAAACTCCCTGCTGCCCCGACCTCCTGCGGGGTCCCATTTGATCAGCAGACCAGATTTAAGAGAAACGAAGGCAAGGTAAGTCACTCTATGAGTTTAATCTAGCAGACTTATGGACTGCTGTTTTGCTGCAAGTGTTACTTCCTAAGGTCAAAAGAAAAGCCAAAACCATTCATATCCATCTGTTCATTGGATGCCAGGATGTGTAAACATAAGCACAGGTCAAAAAATACTGGAGCCCTTAATAATTTTCCTGTAATGTTTATTCTCTGTAAAACTCTGACGGCACTCTGATTCCATGAAGTAGATGACATCTCCATTGTGTCCATTGTGTGAGTGAGAACACCATAGGTCAGCTGATCATAACGACATGCCCGCGAGCAGAAATTGTCTATGAACTGATGTTTGTTTGGGGCTGAATGGAGCAGCATTTCCCTCAGAGATATAAGGAAGCTGGAGACGTGTGAAGTAAAACATCATCAGGGAGAAGATGGTCTGGTTTGGTGAGTTCAGGGACATTAGCAGACTGGTCCACATTCCTGCAGTCTTCGATCACTATGGCTACAGGTGTGTGTGTGTGTGTGTGTGTGTGTGTGTGTGCAGGCCCACAATTACAGCACCCTTTATAATGTCCAGATATCACAGTTGGGATTTTTTTAACTGAATGATTATTAATTTTTTCTTAAATTTGTGGGAGCAGAAATACTTTCAGAAGAATTCCTTCATCCTGGATGAACAACATCTCAGACCCCCCCCCTTTAGTCTGCACTACATGGTTCAATCCTGCAGTGTAATCGCTTAACAGGAAAAACACAGAGCAATGGCAGCAGCAAAGCATCAGCTTATTAAAACACAAAAAAGAACATTCTGAGTTATCATTAACTGACACAGATTCAAGCATTAGCTTAAAATGTTTGCCTTCCCTCATCTAGATGGTTTAGTCCTCTAGCTCCACAGCCAACCCCACACTTGCTCTTTAACATTGAAAAGTGGAGCCAAGGGCTGTACAACTCTGATGACAGTCAAAGAGAAGGCTGTGCAGTTAACCACGAAATCACAGATAAGGTAATGGCTCAGCCAGTGATTCACGCTTCCATAAAATCACATTTTTCTCAAGCCAAGGAAGGTGGAGCAGCAGCAAAGACATCACGGTACAGAACAGAGCAGAAAAGACCTGAACATCTTTCCCAACATCTTTTTTCCTTCTTTTCCTTTTTGTGTCCACTCTTTCACACATAGACTATTCTGCATCTGTTTTTGTTGACTTTGATTTAAATATAAAGTTTGAGGATTTTGAAATAGGAGCAGACGGACTCTCACACTGACAAGAAGGTGTTCTTCTATGGAGGCCGCCATTTTGCACCGCCACATCTAACTGATTAACTAGTAACCTTGGTGTTTTTGTATTTTTGGAGTGACTGCATGAGGATGAGGTAGAAGAAATAGGTGCATCACTGGAGCTTCTTGTCCTTGAAGGCCATTGTCGCTTCACTGATGAGGGCGTAAGCAAGGGAGCACTTCAATGCAAAGCCTGACTGCTGGATTTCTCTAATATTCTCTTTCTTGGAACAGTCTCACTGGCTCAGCGTTAAAATGCATCAACACAGAGCTGCAGAGAAGCTTAATTTTTCAACTGACTTGGTTTGCTTTTTGCTTTGAGGACTCAAAAGCAAAACTACTGAGAGTGTCACGATAAACTCCTGACTAAAGACATTTGAGCATTTTCTGTAAATTGACAGTCACAGAGAATTATCCTGATAAAAGACAATAAAAAGAAAAAAATGTTGTGTAAAAGCTTAAAAAAAAACGACCTTCATGTTTCTTATGTCCAATTTCAAAAAGACCAAAACTTGTGGTTCAACTCTGATTTTATCTTAAGAGTATAGTAAGAGAAGTTGCATGGAACTCCACGCTTCACCTGGCTACAAATTTTTTCCACAGTTGTAGACAAACTTGTTTTGTCCTTAGCAATGTGGTTATCTAAGCAGAGGGACTTCCACAATTTAAACACTTAGCCTCTAAATGCAGTAATGTCTCTCTCTTCTCATTGACGCAAACACAAAGATTCTCTGAGATTTGCAGAAGGGACTCAGGTTTATAACTCGCAAAATCCTTAATAGGATCACGAGGCAAATTCAGCTGGGCACTGGCCCCTAAACAATAGAGACGCTATCAACTATACATCAGGCCTGAGGCACTACTGTAGAGGGACTTGAAGAGTTATGGAACCAATTATATATCAAAATGTGCAGTTAGATCAGGATCAATGTGCCATTTCTTTTCTCTATTGTATATGAATTTCTCGCCAAAGTGATTTGCAAAAAACTATGGAAAACTTTTGTGAAGAAGTCAACGGGACAAGCCAAAAAAAACAACAACAACAAAAAAGAGCAATTGTTGGAGTTTTTCAAAAGTCGACTGCTCCGGCTCTGAGTACTTGCTGTATCAATGAATACTTGAAAAGTACTTGAAGCAATACTTGAAACAAAATGTTCGTTAAGGGTGTGCTCTTTCAAAAATCAAGAACCTACTTGATCAGTACCTGAGAATTTCTGATGCCTGAGCACGGGACCCAGCTGATCAATCAACCTGAGAGGTCAGTGACGTCAGCAGGAGGCGCCCCCCCTCCTCCACACACACACACACACACACACACACACACACACACACACACACACACACACACACACACACACACACCTGTAGCCACAGTGATTGACAGCTGATGACACAACGACCCGGGACACTCTAAGCGCGTGGGCTGCGTGTCACGCGTCTATGCGCGTGAATGATGGGGGGATGTGCGCGTAAACGCGTGTATGTTTGCATGTGAGTGTATGTGTACTTACGGTGTTCCGGAGGTCCTGCAGCGCTACGCTCATCCTGGAGCTCCGTCCCCGAAAACAGAGCGCTACCGACGGCCACTCCGCCGGCCCATCCTCCCGGCTGTCCGTCCGTCTGTCCTTCGCTCTGCTTCGCCTGTCTCTCTGTCTGCGTCTCTGTGTCCGTGTGTTTTCCTTCTGTCTCTGTGTCCTCCTCCTTCTTCTTCTCCTTTTGTCGTGCAGCAGCAGCAGCAGCGGGATCTGCAGCTCTCTCTCTCTGTCTCTCTCTCACCCTCTGTCTCTCTCTTTCTCCTCAGACCCCGCCCAACATCCAACCAGCCTCTTCCTCTCACAAACAAACACAACCCGAGACACAGAGAGGCTGACGTCATCCACACGGCCTACGTCACCTCCTCTATCTATCTATCTATCTATCTATCTATCTATCTATCTATCTATCTATCTATCTATCTATCTATCTATCTCTGTTTTCCTGTAGTTCTGCAGAAAAACCTCAAATCCACAGAGTAAAAATATCAAATAACTGTAAATAAATATACAGATCAAATCAAACTGGTGAAGTGTACAAGTCTTAACATCTGAATGTATTTAAAACCTTTGGGAGAAGTTTTTTGGAGGGAGTTTTATAGGAGTTTTTGAGGACTTGTAGAACATAATATTATTTGTGAACCCTCAAAAACAAAGCAGATGAAGACCTGCTGTGAGCATTCAGCTTTCAGACCACACTGAAGACATGCTGAAGAGATTTTTTCTGCATTTTCAATAGAAAACATCCACTGATGACATGTCTGACTTTTTAAAAATGCAGGATAAGATTTCTAATCAGAAAATATCACCTTAGTATTTACAGAATTGACCAGTAAAGCCTTAAGGAGTAATTTTTCCCACAGGAAATATCAAAAAAGCGCCAACCAAAGCTTCTTCAGAGTGACTTTAGACCCTCAAACTGGAAACCTGATTTTAAAATCAAACATTCATTATGGATGAGTGAAACTTGACTGCCCTATAAAAACTGTATTTAAAGGGTGATTCTGGTGTTTTTGAAGTGAGGTTGTATGAGTTACATGCCACTACTGAGTGTTTTAGTCACTCTGAAGGTTGGTCAACTCGGCCTCTTTAATGAGAAACTGCAAAGAGGACCGACATGTAAACTAGGCTTAGGCTACAAGTTTCTGAGCTCTGCAACAAAATGTAGTTACTTGAGAGAAACTGCGATCCAAATAGTCATCTCAGTTTAAACTGAAAACTGTTTGAACTCTTTAATTTTTACCAGAAAGACCTTTTTTTGTTCTATTTGCAGACACAACACACAGGGCCTCTACCTGCAGTGTACTGATCAGCTATAGTAATTCTGACAGTCAGGATAACATGCTGTTCACTCAGTCCACTCAGTGCCCTGGAGGAGGGACCAGAGCAATTTCTAAATTCACTTCGGAGTAGGAGAGGTTACTTAGTTACCTTGTGGGTACCTGATGGTGAACCATCACCGCTGCTGTACTGATGCTAATCACTGTTTGTTTCCCTCTTTCTTCAGCATTCAGGAGTTCAGTCAGAAAAGGTGAATGTTAGAGTGTCCTCAGAGATTAGCTCTCAGTGTTTTTACAGTTTATATGAGGATCTGTTGACCTGATCTAAATACACTAGCTGCAGAAAGGGAAATAACAAACTCTGCACATTTCACTGTGTCTGCAGGATGATCTGAGGCGTTAGGTGATTAACATCATGGAAAACTGAGATGATACAAAAATATCAGGGACTGAAGCATAGTGGACCTGATCAGCTAATGTCAAAGAGCACATCTGTGTGTTGTGCAAAAAGAAAAGGTCTCTCTAATGGCAAAGTACAGTGTTAAAAAGCTCTAAGTAGAGCGTAAACTTAAAATGAAATGAGTGTTTGGGCCAGAGTCTCTTAATTAGCAGAATTACATGTCAGATTTGACCCCACCTGCAGAAAACTGTAGCCTAGCTTGTATGCTTAGCTTGTAAATTGTCTCTGCTGTTTCAGCTGTCCAACATCTATTGTGGCTAAAACACTTACTGACTTGTTCAGTGTCACTTCAAATATACTGAAATATCACTTTAAAGCTTCTCTAGGTAACAACATTGATTGATCAACCATTGATGTTGATTCTGGCTCCCCCTGTGGAAAAAAAGGGATTTTATGAAGTTGATGTGAGGCCTGGTTATCTGAGACTATTGAAAATTGAAAACTTTTTTTTGCATTATAAAATAATCTTTGTCAATATGACAAAGTTGTAAAGAAAAAATATCAAAATAAAAAAAAACCATTTTTTTGGAGACTATGGATATAATCATTTATAATTTTCTAATATATTTTTTCTAATATAATTTTTTTTAATTCTCATCACCTTTTTTTGACTTATGTCTTAGATGTATTTGTTGATTCTGTTAGCCCTGCATTTCTTTTTTTTTTTTTTTTTTGGGGGGGGGGGCATTCTTTATTTACTTTTTAAAGTCTTTCACGTTTTAGGCTTGTTTAAAATATTCCATCTTCAGGTATTTCAGTTGTTTCATGGTCACATGATGAGTATCTTTCCAATCAAGTGAGTTCACAGCGAATAGCAATTGTGACATGAACCTTAAATACTTCAATCACATCATGTAAGTCCCAGCACAACTTTATATCTGAAGTCTTCCAGCAAAGCATCATGGGATTTTCTTTCCTCTTTCCTGGAATGAGCGACCTGTTTTTGTTGATCCCCAAACAATAATCTGTTCCTGTGAACTAATTAGATGAGGGAATGTGAACTGGTTCGACTGAAAAAACTGGTTTGGTTTTGAGGAACCTGAGGGCAGCTTGTCAAAGTAAAAGCCCAGACTTAGATAGGGCTTTTACTTTGAAGGGGAACAGAGTTAGTAGACAAATAGTTTCAGGTTAGACCAGTCACTTTGTGCTTATCACTCATTCATTCAGTTTTAACACTTCAAGGTTAGCTGATGTAGAGAGATGTGCACAGGAATGATTGGTCTGTTCAGCTGTCAATCAACAGACCAACAGCCCGCCCCCTGATGGTTCCGTCTTTCTCTACAGTCTCTTTAACTTTGAAATCCCTCCTTTCATTATGATGTACCATTGGAGGCAAAGAGAGACATTAAATTTTATGCTCTGCCCACTTAAACTCTCTTGTGCTCAGGTGAGAGGGAGGAAAAGGTGTTCATGCAACATTATATCTGGAAGGTTTTGGAGGATTTCTTATTTATCTCAGTGAATCTTTGAATTTTATTCAACATGTGTCCTGTCCTACATACATTAAGGGTCATACCCTGGACCTTGTTTTTACACTGGGTTAAGATATTGACTCGGTTTGCTCAGAGGAACGGACCATGTTTGTATTGCATTTAATCTGTCATAGATTCTCTGCCAGGTAAGCGTTTGATTTGCTCCTCTGACCAGGGCTGACCAGGGCTTGCTTCTTAAACAGCCTCTCAGCTGAGAAGTTCTCTGCAACCTTTGACCCAAGTGCTGTGTTGTCTGGCCATGCCGATGTTGATTCTTTAGTTAATTGATTTAGTTTTCAGAGTTCTGCTATTTTGGAGAAGGTGGCTCTAAGTAAACTAAGATGTGTTCCTGCTTTCAAATTGTGCCCTTGGTTGAATGTTTCCGGCGTAAATGCTGGAGGACTGAGAGACTGTGGAAATCCATCAAGCTCCAGGTTCACCATCTCTATTACAAGGACCTTATCCTGGAGTTTAACATCATGGTTAAGAATGCAAGAGCTTCTTACTTCTCTAACCTAATCTCCACCAACAAAAGCAACCCAAAAATTCTGTTTGACACTATAAACAAGATTGTTAATCCTGCACCTCCAAACATCCCCATTTTCTCTAATAATGATTGTAGCTCCTTTCTCTCTTTCTTTGTGGGTTAGGTTAGAGATGTCAGGGCTAACATTATTTGTCCTTCTACACCATGTCATGTTTTTCCAAATTGTCCAATAACCATGAACTCTGTCACCCAGATATCCCTACAAGACCTCACTAAATTGGTGGACAGCATGAGCAGTTCAACATGCTTGTTAGAGGTTGTTCCCACTACACTTAAACATGTTCTTGGCTCTGTTGGTCCATGTTTTTAGTCACTATCATACATAACTCTCTGAGTTCAGGTTGTGTCCCAGCCCACTTTTAAACAAGCTGTTGTTCAGCCTCTACTGAAAAAAAAAACAAACCTTGATCCTTCCCTACTCAATAAGTACAGGTACTCTAAATTGCCTTTTCTCTCTAAAATTCTAGAGAAAATTGTTGCCAAACAGCTCACTTCTGTCCTGATCTCACACATTTTAGATAAATTTCAATTTGGTTTCCGCCAGAAATATTCCACTGAAATGGCTCTTCTATGGGTGTCCAATGATATTTTGATGTCCGCTGATGTCGGTAAATGCTCTGTTTTGGGTCTGCTGGATCTTAGTGTGGCCTTTGATGCGGTTGATCACTGTATCCTGATTGAGAGGCTGAGGCAGTGGGTGGCCTTCTCTGGGATCACCCTAAATTGATTCTCCTCCTATCTCTCTGACAGGAGTTTCTCTGTGTCACTCAGTCCATACATATTTGAAACAGCTGGCCTCTCCTGTGGTGTCCCTCAGGGTTCTGCCCTTAAGTCAAATCATTAGCAAATTCAAGGGCATATCTTATCACCTTTATGCTGATGACATCTAGCTATATGTGTCTTTTAGGCCTGAAGACACGGACAAATTGATTATTTTGCTCGATTGTCTGACTGCCAGTAAGGACTGGATGGCTCATAACTTCCTGCTAAACCCTGACAAGACTGAGATCCTCATTGTTGAGTCAGATACCATAGCTCACAAGGTTGCTCAGTGTATTGGTTCCCTCTCATCTGCTGTCCAGTCTAAACTCAGAGATCTTGGAGTTATGTTCGATCACTGCATGCACTTTGATCACCATATAAAACAGTTGTCCTGGTCAAGCTTCTTCCATCCGCAAAACATTGCTAAAATTGTGTCACACCCTGAACTCCAAAGGATCATTCATGCTTTTGTTTTATCCCGCCTGGACTACAATAATTCACTTTTCACCTGCCTCAGTAAGTCATCCCTTCATCACCTGCAATTAGTGCAGAATGCTGCCGCAAATCTGTTGACCAAGTCCAGTCGGACAACTCACATCATCCCAAGTCTGTGTTCCCTTCACTGGTTGCCGGTCAACTTTAGGATTAACTTCTAGGTCCTTGTTTTTGTACATAGAGCTCTGCATGGTTAGGCCCCTGAATATATTGCTGACCGTCTCCACCCCTACATTCTTAGTAGGTCACTCAGGTCCTCCGACCAGGGCTTGCTGGTTGTCCCTCGAGCCTGTCTAAAAAAAAG